CTTCAAATGTTTATTCATTCATTCTCATTATGTTTACCTGAGGAAAAGTAAATACAGAACTATATTTAAGACATGAATAAACGTTTGTATTACAATCACCAGCGTTCTAATCCTGGCAGATCACTGGTAAACATGGAGATCGAGACTACAAGTTCCAGTCATGCACCACTCACACACACACCTGCTCCAGGTTCCGCTGATTGCATACACTCACAGCCGGATGAGCATTAAGGACTGATTACAAGGGCTATATACAAAGCACACATGTACAATTCATAGCTGAGTCTTCATATACTGTTTTGAACATTGTCACATTTTCTTTGCCTTCTGTGTTTGAACCTTGCTTTTTGTTTGTTTTATGTTGTCTGCTGCCTGCCTATACTGGCAGTTCGCTTTTTAATTAAATACAACTCTAGATTTTCTGTGTACATCGGTTTGCCCCTGTGTTGACTTGCCTGACCATCTCTGTTTAATAAACGGGTGTTTGGATCCGCACCTCCGTTGTCAGCATCCCGTTCACATTACAGTTTGAAAGTTTCATTTTAGCATTTTCTTATTCTCCCAACATTCGTGTATATTATTTAATTATTTACCTGGCGACACTATTAATTATTTAAATATTTATTTATGCAGGAATTTAAGGATTTTTAATATACATTTATTTATTTGCATATTTATGCATTTTATTTATGCAGGAATATATGGATTTATTTACTCATTTATATGTTTGCGTATTTATTTATTTATTTTGTGTTTTTGCAGGTTATATTGTAGGTTATAATAGGTTGTAATTGTGGGGGAACAAAAAAATGTTTAAATGTAGCAGATAAATGTAAATACATTACATAAATATCCAGTGATTTATTTATTATTATTATTTTTATGTTCAACGGTGACTCTCTATAAACAAAATGTGCCTGATTTCTTTTAATTAAACACATTTTGAAAAATATCCACTAACATAATAAAAGGGTAGTAAATTTCCCCGGAGTGTATTATTGAGTTTTTAAAAATTTTTAAAGAATTTTCCCAAATGTGTCAAAACAGTATTTTTCACCAAAAATCTTTTAATCTGCTGAAACATTGAAAAATTTATGGCCAAATTAAGCCTCAGAATCACCCTAACGTGGATGAAAACATCTCCAATAGCACATAAGGGTTAGAAACATGTCAAAGGAACACTCAGTTTTTTTTTTTGTTTTTTTTTTGTAATAACATTGCAGCCAGACTTATTTAGTTTTTTTTTACTTTTATGTTCAACAGGGAATCTCGATAAAGTAGTCTGCTGAACAAAATGTGACTGATTTAAGTAATTATTAAAGTATTGAGAGTTCTTTTCATCAAACATATTCTGAAATGATAAAAAGAAAAGACTTAAATATTTTTTAAAAACGCTTTTCTATAAAATATTTTAAAGTTACATTAAGTTAAAAAAAAACTGTTGAATAGTACATGAAACAAACAACAACAACAAAAAAGTGTTATTTTAAAGGCCCGAGGTGTTTGTGCCGTATGCTGGAGGTGTTACGCAGGTGTCTGTTTGCAGGAAGATGGAGGAAAATATGACGCAACGGAGCATAGATCTTATGTAATATATTCGTAACCACAATTTACTAAAATGAATAGAATTCTTGACAAGAATCAGTGCAAACTGCCACATTGTTAGACTGTTATCAGCATTGTGAAATATTTCAGCAAACATTAAAAAAACAACCTAAAATTTTCACCCTAGAATTTGAGTGCTTGTCGTGTGTGTCAAACACGTGAATCAGCCCTGGATTCTGAGTGTACAAACCACAGAAACAGCGGTATAAACAACCTGTGGTTGAAATACTATCAAGATAGAAAAAAAAATCTGTGGTGATGAATTTTTTATATGAGTTGTGGTATTTATGAACAGATAAACAGATGAAAAGGGGGAAATATGAGCATGTACTGATATCACGAACACAAATTGCCATATATTTTCCTTTTAACAATGCATTTTTCCCCTGTTCCCTCTAATATCATCAATATTGTGCTACCATAGTATTTTTAAGAAGTGCACAGTACTACTATTTTTGTGCTTAGTGTTGTCTAATTGGGCGAAATGCCTCTAATTTGACATCACATTTTTAGCAAGCTTTAAATGAATAGATCAAGCCTTCACAACCGGAGAGGGGGAAAAAGCAAGTTTCAGTGGTTTTTAAGATCAAACCACGTAAGAGAGGCTGTCAGTTTTACGTTACATTTATACCACATCTTACAGCAAGAAAAAGACATCAGTCACAGAAAATTTCCCCTAAACACCTTGCCAAACGTCTTTAATATTGTCTTTATCTGAGAAATGCCATCTATATGATCCCAATGCTTTGTCTGATGTAAAATAATAATATATTTAGCAGACTTTTGTATTGAAAGATATTTTATAATCTCTAATATAATGATCTAGAAGCAATGATAAGGGATTTATGTCAAATTCCATAAGATAAATGTTATAAAAAAAAGAGCAGGAAGTAGTGACTCATATTTCTCTGTAACTTCTGCATGTAGCTATCTTTAGACCCCTCTGCCAAGCTCTCGAAAGACAGTTAGCGTTTGCACTGGTTACTAAACCAATAAAAATATAAGTTATGCCAGTCATAGATGACTATTTCAAACAATATGGTATAAGTGAGGAGCAGTGTCATGGGTTATTTCTGAATAAATGAATTATTTCTGAATGCAAAATGCAAAATCCCCAATTCTGATAGGGATGTTTTATAAAATGCAGTAAAAAAAAAAAAAAAAAAAATATATATATATATATATGATTTGGTTTCAAGATGCAGGAAAGATTCCTCAGGGCTTTTCATTGAGATCTGGTGATTGGATGCCATTTGAGTAATGGTTAACTCGCTTTTAAGAATCCAGATTTGACTTTTGTCTTCTCCTGCTGGAAGTAGCCAGCCTCAGATGGGTCACTGGGGTAATAAAGAGGTGTTCGTGAAAGCAACTATACTAGGGTAGGATGTGGGGTTTAAATGTCTCTTAGTTGGTATCAAAGCAAAATGTGCCAAAAAATCTTCCCCTGACTATTGCACCACCAGCAGCTTGAAGTTCTGAGTTATTGATAAAAGGCAGGAGGGGTTTGGGCTTTCATGTTGTTTATGCTCATTTAATTTGTGCAGGTGAACCTAAATAAGTTTATGAAAAATAAATCTTTATTATTGGCATTAGGTATTATAATCAGTAGCGATCTGCCCTATATGCGGATGCATTTAGCCCTACAAAATGACACAAGGCCCCGCTTACCACCCCCCAACTCAAATCAATTGATCCCAATTGAAACCTAATTGATTGTGCAGTTGCGAATTGAAGTGAGCAGGTGTAAACAGCCCCTATGAGTTGGAACACACATGAATGCCACCACAAAGTCATTATTAAGCATTGTGTGTATGTATATATATTGTATTTGTAGTATATGTGTGGAGACACTGTGGCGCAGTGGGTAGCGCTGTCGCCTTATAGCAAGAAGGTCGCTGGTTCGAGCCCTGGCTGGGTCAGTTGGCCATTCTGTGTGGAGTTTGCATGTTCTCCCAGTGTTGGTGTGGGTTTCTCCCTGGTGCTCCGGTTTCCCCCACAGTCCAAAGACATGCGGCATAGGTGAATTGAATAAGCTAAATTAGGTGTAGTCTGTGTGGGTGTTAATGCGGGAGTTAATTGCATGGGTGTTTTCCAGTGCTGGGTTGCTGCTGAAAGGGCATCTCCTGAGTAAAACATATGCTGGATAAGTTAGCGGTTCATTCCGCTGTGGTGACCCCTGATGAATAAATTATAGTATGAATGAATGAATTATAGTATATATATATATATATATATATATATGTGTGTGTGTGTATGTGTGTGTGTGTGTGTGTTTTCATATTTGAACACAAAATAATAGGTAATATATTTGAAAATATATGTACGTATTTGCAGTTTCAATCATTGAAAAGCAATATATGTAAGCAGCCATTGTTGCAATATTTCAAAATATAGGTTGCATACACGACATACACTTACCGGCCACTTTATTAGGTATACCTTACTAGTACCTGGTTGGACCCCCTTTTGCCTTCAGAACTGCCTTTATACTTTGTGGAATAGATTCAACATGGTACTTGAATATTCCTCAAAGATTTTGGTCCACATTGACATACAAGCATCATGCAGTTGCTGTAGATTTGTTTGCTGCACGTCCATGATGCGAATCTCCCATTCCACCACATCCCAAAAATGCTCTATTCGATTGAGATCTGGTGACTGTCAATGTCATTTGAGTACAGTGAACTCATTGTGATGTTCAAGAAACCAGTTTGAGATGATTCACGCTTTATTACATGGTGCGTTATCCTGCTGGAAGTAGCCATTAGAAGACGAGTACACTGTGGTCATAAAGGGATGGACATGGTCAGCAACAATACTCAGGAAGGCTGTGGTACTTGGTACTAATGGGCATAAAGTGTGCCAAGAAAATATCCCCCAACTTACACCACCACCAGCTGAATGAACTGTTATACAAGAAATTATTGCAGTCATGCTTTCATGTTGTTGCCATATTCTGAGTCTACCACCCGAATTTCTCAGCAGAAATTGAGACTCATCAGACCAGACAGCATTTTTTCAATCCTCTATTTTCCAATTTTGGTGAGCCTGTGCGAATTGTAGCCTCAGTATCCTGTTCTTAGCTGAAAGGAGTGGCACCTGATGTGGTTTTCTGCAGCTGTAGTCCATCTGCCTCAAGGTTTGATGTGTTGGGCGTTAAGAGATGCTCTGTATACCGTAGAGATGGTTGTGCGTAAAAATCCCAGTAGATCAGCAGTTTCTGAAATACTCAGACCAGCCCGCCTAACACCAACAACCATGCTACATTCAAAGTCACTTAAATCACCTTTCATCCCCATTCTGTTGCTCAGTTTGATCAGCAGCACATCGTCTTGACCTAGTCTACATGGCTTATTAAATGCATTAAGTTGCTGCCATGTGATTGGCTGATTAGCAATTTGGTTAACGCGCAGTTGGACAGGTGGACCTAATAAAGTGGCCGGTGTGAGTATATTTTATATATGTAAAATCCAAAAATTAACTTGTATGCCATGTAGTTTGAATATATTCCTGTCAGATTTCAGTGGTTCACCATCCCTGTTTTATACTTATGACACACGCTTGTATTTGTCACAAAAAAAGCCATCATCTCAAATCTTTCTAATAAAACTTATCAGGTTATCAAGTGCAACAAACACCCATGACCAAAAACCAAAAAAGAAGCCTATATTTTCTGTCAGCTCCCTGTGCCGCAAAGTCTGCTGTTCCTTTCAGTCACTGCATTTGACTCATGAAGTACACAACAAACAGAAGTGTGAAATTAGACCATCCATGCATATGTGGGTGTTGTGAAAACACTTGTTTAAAGGTGTGATTCTTTATTTGCTGTGGTTTGCAGAAATGTCAGGCTTATTTGGACACACCCTTGACCCCCATTTCCTTTAGCAGCTTGTGCAGTCGCTTGTCAAGAAAGTTCTGCTCTGTCCACTTCACTGCAGGAAGATAGGAGGAAGAAAAGTTTTATATATATATATATATATATATATATATATATATATATATATATATATATATATATATATATATATATATATAATTTATATATATATGATATATAGTTCAATAGGAATTAACGTCTGTGAACTGCAAGTTGCTGCGGACTTTTCAGTATGTTGACATGAAATATAATTTTGAATAGGGGTGGGGCTTTATACACAGCAACTGTTGGAGGGAAGTGGCTTAATTTGAATGTTAATTTGATAATGATCAATTTTTGATTGAACACATGCAAAATAAACAGTTTAATTTATTTAATTTAGTGTATTAAATGTTCTCATTAGGGCAGTGTTTTTCAACCACATTCATGGGGGACTACCAACACCACATGTTTTGGATTTCTCCTTTGTCTGTCACACCCATTACAGGCCTTTCAGTCTTTGCTAATGAGCTGATGATCAGAATCAGGTGTGTTTGGTTAAGGAGACATGGAAAATGTGCAGAGCTGGTGGTCCTTCAGGAACGTGGCTGGGAAACATTGCATTAGTGGATAGTTCACTCAAAACTGTAAATTCTGTCATAATTTACTCAAGCTACATTGTCACAAACATGTTTTAGTTTTTTTTGTTCTGTTCAACACAAAATAAGTTATTTTGAAAAGTGTAAGCTGATAATCATTGACTGCCATTTTATTTGTATTTCCTAATGTGGATGTCAATGGCTTCCAGTTTCCAACATTCTTCAAAATGTCTTCTCTTGTGTTCAACAAAAAGAGGAAATTCCTAAAGGTTTGGGACTATTTGAGGGTGAGTAAATAGTGAATAGATAAATTTTTTATGTGAACTTTAAGTCTAACAATGTGTATTGGCAAAAAAAAACCCAAAAAAACATTGTAAATTTAGATTTCACGCAGACTTTAATCCTACCTAAGTGATCTGTTTTGTGTCCATTCCAGTGCTCTGGCTCATGAATGAAGGCTGATAGTGGATGACGAGAGTATGAGTCCTTTGCCAGAGATGACCACACAACTGGCGGCCCTGTGAAAATGAACACACACAAGATTTTAGTGGAACATGTTTGGAATTTGGTAATTGGTATAATTATGTTATATTCTAAAAGGATGTAGTTTGTGTGAGACGCACATGGGAAGATGTTTGCGCGCAGATAGTGGCCCATCATATGATAGGATCTGTGCTCATCTGTGCTGCCTGAATCAGAATAATGAGGAGCACAAAGCGGAGGAACCTGCAGGCAGTGGGAGTTGTATATCTGACAGGCACATAAAAACTTCATATAACTATGATGTAAGAATAGTATGGGTCGCATTATAATTCTTATTAGAGTTCTAATTGGATGCCGATAACAATATACAGGCAGATAAATGCTAACTTTGACATTTTTTTTGTAATGTAATGTAATGTGTATTTATATAGCGCATTTATTGTGTATGGCCATACACCCAAAGCGCTTCACAATCATGAGGTGGGTCTCTCCACACCACCACCAGTGTGCAGCATCCACTTGGATGATGCGACGGCTGCCACAGGACAACGGCGCCAGTGCGCTCACCACACACCAGCTATTGGTGGAGTGGAGAGACAGTGATAGAGCCAATTCAGTGGATGGGGATGATTGGGAGACCATGATCGTATGGGCCGATAGAGGGACTTTGGCCAGGACACCGGGGTTACACCCCTGCTCTTTCACGAGAAGTGCCATGAGATTTTTAATGACCACAGAGAGTCAGGACCTCAGTTTAACGTCTCATCCGAAAGACGGCACCCACTGACAGTGTAGTGTCCCCTTCACTTTTACTGGGGCATTAGGACTCACTTAGACCTCAGGTTGAGCGCCCCCTGCTGGCCTCACTAACACCACTTCCAACAGCAACCTAGTGTTCCCTAGTGGTCTCCCATCCAGGTACTAACCAGGCTCAGCCCTGCTTAGCTTTAGTGAGTAACCGGTCTTGGGCTGCAGGGTGATATGGCTGTTTTTTTTAATTACAAAAATTCATTACAAAACAAAAGCCAAAATCCGTAATTATAATCCTTATTTAGTTGGTGGTTCACACCACTGTGGCAATTTCTGATAACTTAGTGAACTAAGCAGAGGGAAACTGAATAAACGATAATCCTCATGCATCACATTTCAGTCACGTTGCCTTGTAAAAAAGTTAGTGCACCCTGTTGAATCTCATGGCGTATCAGGAGAAAGCATTGGCTCTTGTTAGATCTTAAAATTTACAAATGAAAACCTCAGATGAACGACATCACATGGCATTTTACACCATTTAATTATTTAATTACCTAAAATCAAGAAAAATACAAAAGCCATGGGTGTCTGTACATCCACTTCCAGGAGTAATTTTCTGTATGAAACTATCAGTCTCATTAATCTGGATGAGTTTTTTGCACAGCTCTTATCAAAGCATTTCAGTCAGTATTACTTCTGGACTAAAGCAAGACATAAATTCCTCCACTTTTGTCAGGTCTTGAGTTGTAGATTTGGTGCTTTGTGTAGGATCACCTTAATCTTGTTGGATAATTTTTGATAAAAATGTATAATTTCAGATGAGGGTTTGATGCCAGATTAGACCTATCCACCACAACACAAACTGCTAAAACTTCTGCTGATGAGTAGTTAAGGCATTTGATTAGCAGTCCCTGGCTTGTTTAATGCTATATGTTGTTCTTCATCATTGTTTTCCCAATTTTAATGTTGACATGAAACAGAAGTTAGGATTGTCCAGTTGTATCAATTTTGTCTTATTGGATGCTGGAACGGGTCCTAAAATGAGAAAAAAAAATGTAGGGCGGTATTTAATTTTTCCTTTGGGAACTGATTCATACATGTGTGTTGCTAACAAAATGGAGGAAGATTATGGAAGCAAAGAATTTTTTACAAAATAATGAAGAGCACAGAGGGCAGCAGTGGCTCGATGGTTAGCACTGTCACCTCACAGCAAAAAATGTCGCTGGTTTCAGCCCTGGCAGGGCCAGAAGGCATTTCTATTTGTAGTTCATTGTGGATTTCTATGTGCATGTTCTTCCCATGTTCACATAAGTTTCCTCCGGGTGCTCCAGTTTCCTCCACAATCCAAAGACATGCACTATAGGTGAATTGTGTAAACTAAATAGGCTGTAGTGTATCAGTGTGTATGAATGAGTGAGTAGATGTGTGCTTCCCAGTACGGAAGGAGTTTGTCTACTCAGTGCTGGGTTGCAGCTGGAAGGACATCCACTGTGTAAAACTTGTGCCAGAGTAATTGGTGGTTCAATCCGCTGTGGCGACCCCTGATAAATTTGGGAAAAAGCCTAGTACCAATATATACATATAAAAATATGTAGAGTAAATTTGGATTTCATCCCGACTTTAAGACCAAAGTTCATATAATTATTTCTGTCTTGATAAGGAAAAATTGGAATTTCATATAGGGTGTCCTAACTTTTTCACATGACTATAAATTGGTAATCATCCAAAATTAGAGGTAGTTTGATAGCTTAACCCTGAAAACACTAAATTCGTTCAAAATAAATAAAAAGTGCTTTAAAAATACAATTTAGCAGGCGTCTTCCCTCATATAAAGTTGCACATTTTGCAAACATTTTCAAATCCAAATATAGATTTTTTTAAAACACACTCATTGGCCACTTTATTAGGTACCCCTGAACAACTGTTATTGCATTTCTCTAATCAGCCAATAATGCCAGTGAATGTGTGGCACTGCATTAAGAGATGTTGTCATGTTCAACTGAGCTTATTTGGTTAACTGGGGTTCAAAATGAGCATCAGAATTAGGAATAAAGGTGTTTTGAATAACTTTGAATGTGATATAACAGTTGGGGTCAGGAAAATGGCGGACCTTTTTCTAGACTTTTATTGTAAAGTGAGCAGAACAATAATGTCATTCATCTACATGTGATAAATCTGGATCGATTGTGTGATGCTCTCATGTCAATATGGACCAAAATCTCTGAGGAATATTTCCAGCACCTTGTTAAATTAATACCACATAGAAAGAAGTAATCCAATATGTGGTGGTCAAACTCAGTACTACCAGGGTACCTGTTATAAAAGTAGCTGGTCAGTGTGCTTTACATAAAATATATGTTTATTTAAGTCCATGCGCTTTACATTACACATTAACATGTGTCTTTATGAATAAACCAACCTCACAAAGCATTTTATATTTTATAGTATACTCAAAAAGGTGTAAAGTGATCAATATTATCATTGTTATAGCATATTGAAATACGTTTTTAAAAGAAATTGGTGCAGAAATCACCTGATTGCAACGGCCTGTCCTCTTCTCTGATTGGCTGATGTTGCTCATCTTCAAATTGGTCTATCTATATGTATAATTTCAGTGGTAACCACAGCAACCACAGCTGATTACTTTTGACAATTGAAAACAGACAAATGACCTTAATTTTCAAAACAGAAGCAAAATGTGCTTTAAATATATGCAGGACATAAAAAACAGAATAAAGGTTTTGGTAAGAGTAAGTAAAAAGGAATGCTTTACCTTCCGACCAGCAGTTGGGCATGTTGTGGATTATGTGAGTGAAACTCTATCTGCGACATAAATAATATATCATCCACTCCTACAGAGTTTCAGTGGTTACGGTTTGTGAGGCCATTTTCAGCATCACAAACATGGGGACCATCACAAAAGTTTGTGTTATTAAATCAACCAGATAAAAACAACTAAATTATATAAGTGAATATTAAATCATAGTCAATTATACAGAGTGAAAAGAAAATAGCTGGTTAATTAATAACAGAAATTACAAATGGCAGTGCTTATAGTTAACAGATTTTATTTTAAATAATAAGCACTCATTAGTAAATATAATTCAGCAACACATTTTCAAGGGTTAGTTCAACCAAAAACATAATGACCATTGAACAGTTTGTTGTTTTCAGTGTCAGTATAGAGGGCACATTCACATAAGCACTGTGCTCTTTATGAATGTCATGGTTGGTTGCCTGCTGACATAAATCTCCAATGCAGCTCTGCTTTATTTTAAAGAGGAGGTCACGCATGGGCATCTGGGGTATATACATCGGCGGACAGTGCTTATGAATGCGAGCTCTATACTGACACTGAGGAGAGGAAACTTAAATAGTTTTTTTTTCTTTTTAATATACGTACAAATGTATTATTGTAGCTTATACTACAAGAATACATGGGGGGGGGGGGGGGGGTGAGCAGTTTTGCACCATTTAGTTCTAACCCTAATTAAACACACCTGATCAAACTAATTGAGTTCTTCAGGCTTGCTAAAAACATACAGGTAAGTGTGCTGAAGCAGGGTTGAAGCTAAACTGTGTGAGTTTGACTGTGTAGAGTTTGACACCCCTGCTCTATATTGATATCAAGGGAGTTTAATTTAATCTAAAATATCTTAACTTGTATTGTGAAGATGAGCATATACCAGGGGTTTGGAGTGATGAGTAATTGATGAGTAATGAGGAGGGTGAGTAATTATTGACATTTTTTTTTTTTGGGTGAACTAACCCTTTAATTTGTGTAACTGTAAAACAAATAAGTAAATCATTTTCATATGTACACTATTGGGTAACACATTTTCAGCAGGATTTCAGACTGTGCATGTGCATCCTGTATGTCGGAGCAAATCTCTCAGCTTATTTGTTTACACTCTCTTCACATCCATCCTGTTTTGACAGCAGGAGAATGAGAGAGAGATATGATCAATGTTGTGGCCATGGTATCAGTTGACATAGTAAAATATCAAAGCTCACAGGTGATGTTTGGTTGCACTACTACATCGTATAAGCCTCTTCTTGCGCTAGCTCATTGAGTAGCTTCTGGGTGGCTGGCAGAATCTACAGTCACAACCGAAAAATGAGAAAAACAGCCTTATGAACAGCGGTGAACATAAAAGATTACTATGGAAATGGTTACCCAAAGGTCCAGTGAAGTGCTGTGAAATGTTTTTTTGTTTGTGAAGTGTGATTTGAACTGAAACAATAGGTGCGTTTGACTTGAACCACGGCTGCAGCCGATAATCAATTAGATTAGTGGAACGCCGGCAGGGGCGGAGCTGAAACCGAGGCTGTCAGGTCGGACACCTCTGGGCTCGTAGTTTGCTGCATGATGACAGATACCATGGTGAGATCAATTATTTATTTATTTATCCATTCACCACTATCCAAAAATATAAAACAAAAGGGCATTCCCAAAATAAGTAAACTACACTTTCAGTGGAAATTTGACAGAAAAAGCAAGATATATCAATGTTACTTTTAAATTCGAGCATGTGCTGATTTTCACAGAAGCAAAACAACACAGACGCAGGGGAGAAAGACAGTGACTGTTTACATGGACTCCAGTACTCAAATTATTTGCCAAATTATTAATTTGTTGACTTTAACTGCAGTTTGGCACTTTCACTTTCATTCAGGAACATTTCATGCATGCCCCCATGACAAACGAGATATTGTATGTGAGGAACTGCTGGAAGCTTTTATGGAATGTTTGATATTTAAGTGTCTAAATGGTACTGCAACCCCTTTACCTCTCTGAGCTTCTCTGTCCCTACACACCTTCTCGTTAGCTCAGGTCAGCCGACCAGCTCCTCCTGGGTGTACCCAGGACCAGTCGAAAGCTCAGAGGGGATCTGGCTTTTGCTGTGGCTGCACCAAAATTGTGGAATGAGCTGCCGTTGTACATTAGACAAGCCTCTTCCATTACTATTTTTAAATCTCTTCTTAAAACCCACTTGTTCAATTTGGCTTTTAGCACAGCGTGAGATGTTGACTTTTTTTGTTTATTTATTTGTATTTTAAAGTTTGTTTTACTCTTTGTTGTCAGCACTTTGGTCAACTTTTAAAGTGCTTTATAAATAAATTGAATTGAATTGTAATCCACACGTGATTCAAGTTGTGCCCCCATAGGGGAATTGAAAACAAAACCTTCGTTGCTACAAATTTATAAAGACAACACTGACAACCCATGTCTCTAAACAATTCTTCTTCTTTTATTAGTTTTAGTTACAGTTGACAACAAAAGGTGGCGTCTCTCTTCTGTCTGAACATTGTAACCGGTAAAAACAGTCTTCAAAGCAATATCATGCTTAATGAAGTTATTAATGAAGTTGCACCTCATACACATTAGAGCGCACTGATTGGCAGTCTGGAAAGTCTTGGAAGTCTTTCTCATGAATTAATGCTAAAAGCTCAAATACGTCACGTTGTACCTGCCGGTACAGACAGCCAGCCTGTCTACACGCTGGAATTCACACAAGAATCTAATCATTTTAACGTAGCTTCAAAATTTCTTTTCAAACCGGAAGAACGCATTTGCTCTAAATAACTCAAAAACAACCAACTTTCACTTTTTTGTGAAATATATGTGTCCTAAAAATGTTTTAGCAACTTGGGACACATAAATTACTGTCCACATCTCAAAAAAATTGTTTTAACCCGTTAAATCGTATGTGGAACTGTATAAAGTAAAAAGTCTGAATGAAAATGGTCGAAAATAAACCTGCAAACAATCTAGCCTTTATAAACAAATTATTCAACAAAAAAGAGGATTTGGCCTACTGCAGTATATTGGAAGGCTTTTAATAAGCATGATGTGTACAAGATAGAGATGCCATAAAAAGTTGTTTGTTTGGAAGTTTGTGAGGCGGAAGTTGTCCAATAATAAAATCGAAACGCACAAGGTTGTTGTCATGCGGTGAACTCGGCCACTCGTGTAATATTAGTGTCTTAATCGCAGTTACTGCAGTCCCTCTTCAGATGCTGCACCGGCTGAATCCATTGTCTGATCTGAGCGCTGTCACGGTACTTTGATGCCACATGTGACAGTCATGTGGTGTCAGTGCAGCGTCAAGCTAGACGAAATTTCTAACCGGCATGCACCGCTTTAAGACAGATTTCGATCGATCTGCGATGCGCTGCACGAAGTCAACTATATCTATAAAGACAAGATGATACATGGTAGCTCCTCCCTTTTTTAAAAACAGCCAATAACATTTGCTTTTTATAACAGCTCTGCTAGTGAGAGTGGTTAAGCTCAATATAGAAATAGCGTATGGAGAGAGGCGGGCGTGCCAGATACTAGAGAGCATTTGATTGGTCAGGAGATTTGATGAGAAACTAAAGTATGAGGTGATATCAAAAAAACAAAAATGTTGTTTCATTTAGGCGAAAGCGATTAACTGCAAGCTTTGGATGTTTTTATCTTCTTAATGTGAATTTTGTCACTGTTTTGGAGTACTCTAGCTTATCCCTAAGACTGGTTTACTGATACTAAAATCTAAAAAAAAACTTTATTTCGATTTTACATTGGCTTTAAATACAAAATTGCAATTTTTACTGTTTTTTTTAAAAATCAGATTAAAACATTTTATTATAAAAGATCCTACATTTTTTAACCGTTGTGTACAACTGCACAAATTTGAATGCGTTTGTTTGTTTTTGCTTACTCGTTTAAAGGTAATGGCTGCTTTCCAATCCTTCTCTTCATCCTGTATGGACAGACATGCTCTACCTGAAGGATCGCTGTTTGGGTGGAAGAAGCTCAAACCCGTCTTAATAGAAAACAAACATGGAAGTTTCGAAGCAGGTTTGCATTGGATAGGTTTCTCTTTGTTTTAGCCACCTTCAAGTGCTGGTGAACAACTTTACAGGAAGTATAAATAGAATTAAATAGATTTCTACAAATAGGATCTCTTAATAAAGTGTGGTGGCAAGGACATTATTAAGCACCTTATATGCAGGCTATGGCATCTTTTTTAGATGAGAGAACATATATTTATATGTGGTGATGAAGGGATCACATTCTAGAAGTGCATTTTCAGTTTGTACAAGCCTCCTGAGTCCTTCCCAAAGAGTCTAGAACACAAAATGACCGTTAGAAAATCCTCCAATTAAAAAACATGATGTCTGATGTTTGTATTGACTTGTATGTTTGGACTTATATGCAAATACAACTGCAGCAGTTTGATTGGCTGTTGTGCTTGCTGACACATTGACGAATGCTGACCTTATCAAATGTCCTGTGTTTGGTTTCTAGACCACATTAACAGGAAGTTCCTATTGTGTTTACTTGTGTGACATAGTTCCAGCTTAAACTGAACATTGAATAGTGGGCAGTCAGTCCAGTGTTGGTCTTCACATTTTGATTAAACTTTATACTTAAACTTTTTTTTTCTGTGTAGCTTGTGTGGATTAATTAGTAGAACATTGATCTAGTCAGTTTTGTAAATCTAGATTTGATAAGCTTTGGCCCACATTGTCTTCCATATTGTGCAGATAAACTCATATTTTATTTAAATAAAATATTACTTTAATAACCACATATATAGACAAACTTACAATTATGCATGGAAATATGAATATGAAAAGGGGTAGTAGATATGTTGCTGAACAAATTTTATATATTGAATAACTATGTGTAAAAACAAACTAAGATATCATCTCTAGAATCTATTATACAACTCAGAAGTACACTATTAGCCCTGCTTTTCCTGGTACACATTCCCAAATCTCGTAGTTTTGTTGCTGTCCAACACAAAATCTAGATGGCACTATGACTTTCATGAATAGTATGATTCTAATTTGTAATCATATTCAAAATTACAAACTCAATGAATAGTTTGCAAGTTCTGCACTCAAGCATCGAGTTAATTTGAGTTTTTCCTTCAAACGGATGATGTTTGCTCTAGGTAGGATTTGCGCTCCTGCATCAGTCTTGAGTCAACACGACAGCGCCACCACGCGGACAGAAAAAAAACTATTAACAAGACGAGTAATGTGTTTAGAGTACATTTCTTAAAAAAAATTAAAAGAAAACAGAACAACTGGGTTCAATTACTTGGATTTTACTTGTTTATAAAACTAGTAAATAGTAACAGATCAATCGCATGTTGCCAGAAAAATATCTGATGAGACAAATTACAAGAAAATTAACTTAATGTTATGGATATAATAACAGTCTTGTAAATAGATTATTTTTGTAGGTGGTTTTGACAATTACAATCAAAGGTCATTAGGCCCATTCAAATCAAGGACATTAACTTTAACCTAGATATGCAGGTATAAAAACTTACTTTAATACATAAGTCTTTAACAACTGAACTTAGAAACACTTCCAATCGATAACCCGTAAATCACTTACTAATCAGCCTTAGTTAAAAGCACCAAATTATTTAAGGTGACACAAATATGCATCACATGTTTACAATAAGCAATGCTATTTTACTTTGACTAGGACAATTATATAGTAATCAAAGTTTTTGAAGTGACCAGACCATAAATTCAGGATATTTGGCAGCTTAATTGAGCTATGAATTGGTAAAGCATAATGATATACTTATGTCTAATTTTAACACCCTTCCAAGGTGTAAATAACTGTAACCAGAAATAGACTTTAGTTCTTAAACAATATTAGTACAAAAAACACAGTGATTTTTTTAAAAGTCTAGTGATTCTATTGGTCATCAGTTGTTTATTGATGAAAAGGTGCCGCATGGGTCTAAGACACCATTAATCATGGCTGTTTTCCTTTTCCCTCAGAGATGATGTGTTCAGGTGCAGCTTTGGTGAACCACTCGGACCAGGCCCCATCATACAGACTGACCCCCGGGTGTCCGCACAGGTGAGCAGCGAGGGCGATGTGACAGGCTGTTACACCTGAGCCACAGGTCACCCAGAAGGGCTTCTGCAGGTCAACTCCAGCTTGCTGGAAGAGCTTGGTTAGTTCCTCCACCGGACGTTCTAGACCTGACTCTGGGTCCATGAAGCTTGGAAAAGGCATGTTGAGTGATGCAGGGATGTGACCAGGCTCTGTGTCTAAGGTGAGAAAATAAAAACCAATGATATATTGGCATTTCTGACAAATAAGTTTTGATCTTACAGTGGTGTATTTCTGTGTACAAATTGATATAAATGTGATCACAGGGTACATATTAATACTTAAGTAAAAATGTGTTCTTCTTAAAATTTGTAATGTATACTTTTGAGGTACCAATATGGAACCTTCAAGTACAAATGTGTACCTTTTGAAAAGTTACCACCCCAGTGACAGCTCACGTACCTTTATTTCTGAGAGTGTATTGTCATTTATTAGGCAAATAGCAAACTAGCCAGAACTTTTCTCAGTTAGAATTTGGATATTCAAATAAAAATTTAAATAAATGAAAACATAATCACAATAAAAGAGCTTGATGATTTTTCTAGCCTCTCTTGTAAAAAAAAAAAGGACATTTGAATGAAAATTTATGGATAACAACAATAGCCAAATTAATATTGAAAACAATTATAAGATGGGCCGTTTTTGGTGCTTCACACCTTTTTATCTGTAATTTTGTGTTTCAAGAATAAGGTCCAAGATTTAGAATAAAAGTTAATTGTAAAATGTTTCTCTAGTTAAAAACAATACAGTAGCGAAGGATGACCTCACTTACATCAGATTATATGTTTTCTTGCACAGCTGGATGTTGCACTAATAAAAAAAATATATAGTTTGCATAGGCCAAAACTGATTAGCTAAAGTCACACAAAAGCGATTGCCAACAGAGCATTCTGCTTGTCGTAAAGCCTTTTTTAATGGGCAATTTTTACAATTTATGATGGTGCAGCAGTCAAAATAGGACAAGTTAGCTCATGTTTGGGACTCATTTTGGACCTTTGTCACTGAGGGGTGGGTCTTTCGAACCACCCGAACCCCCCTAGCAACAGGTTTGCATAGTTGTAGCTTTTAGCTAAAAATCTCAACTGTCACTTTGACCATTAGCACATTCGTCAGTGAATTAACAAACATTTAAATGACATTTAATATTTTGGATATTTCTGTTTGTAAGATATTAAGAAAACAAAAAACTGAGCAGATGAAATTGATTTAACACAGAAGTATATTTTTGAGATGTTTTCCTGTTATTATAATCAAAATATTTTTAAATAAAGATACACTTATGTGATTTTAAGTCTTGTTAGGTGAAAATGTAGCTATCAAAATTAAGGGAGTTTATGCTTTAATCAAGAATAAAAAAAATACCCAAAACAAACAATTCAAAGTTAAAGGTTTTAGAAAGTGTCCCCTGATTTAAGAGTTTCGATTATTTATTTGTTTTTATTTACAATTTTGAAAGTTATTGGCACATTGTTTTGCAGAAAAATTAATGCAATAACAGCTATAACAAACAATCCTTACGTACTTGCCCTTGGCTCTGGTTCAACCCCACGAAATCTCCCATTGGCTCTGGCGTCCACTACTTGAAATTCCTTAGTTTTAATGTTGTTCAACACGTCTTCATAAGTTTTGACCCATGACTCTTTAAAGGACGCTTTGAAGTCTACAGGCGCATGTTTGCTGTACTGCTGGGAAACAGGATGACCCTCTTTTAACCAGTTCTTGAAGCCACCGTCCAGAACCGACACCGAACTGTGCCCAAACACTCGAAACATCCACCAAACCCGCGGTGCGGAGAACGAACCGAAGTCGCTGGCATCGTAAACGACGACATGAGTGTTGTTTCCTATACCCAGGTTACCCACATAGTCTGCAAACTCGCCCTTGGTAGGCAGCATGTGATCAAACTCCGAGCTTTTGTCGCAACATTCGTCGATGTCGAAAAACGAGGCTCCCGGAATGTGCGTTTGTTCAAACTCAGCCCTGGGGTTACGTTTCATTTTTGGTAAATACCATGATGCGTCTAATATCCGCAGATTTGGTCCCACTCGGTTGCTTTTGACAGCGTCTGCGAGCCACCGGGCCGCTACGAGAGCTCTAGTTTGAGCGGCCATTACACTCATGCGCCTCTGCGGGATAACAGCCGTCTATATTACGAACAGATAACACCGACACAGAGGGTTAGAAATGGCTATTTTATTTATTTATTTTTTGACGATAGAAAATGACAATAATGAGGTTCTTATTATTAAAATGTACATTTTACTATTAAATACGTTATTTACGACTATGAACCTTCTGGATATGTGGGATGGAAATCCCCGCTTCCTCTGCGAGGGGGTATAGCTCAGTGGTAGAGCATTTGACTGCAGATCAAGAGGTCCCCGGTTCAAATCCGGGTGCCCCCTGGTAATATCTGTTTTTTTCCCAATTGTGACTTTTAAGAATTTCTAGTGATCTGCTAACATTTTTAAACACACTGCAATCAGATAAAAGCAGAACAGTGGCCTTTCTAAGACATTTCAATCATCTTTTAATTGCATTCACAGTGTCTTTTGCATTGCAGTGGTATTTAGCAAGAAACACTTAATAGGAAATGATTATAGATTGATTTGGTGTTTTTTTATGACAGATCGCCCCTTAGATACTGAGCTTTAATGTTTTTACATTCTTTCATATTTATTTTCGTTTTTCTTCAATATTCTTGCAAATAACTGACTTGCTTGTATTATAAATGTGCAACATTAAATTTTTAAGCTAAAGTAGGATTTTTGTAACATTAAATAAAATAATTTAACATGAATGAATAGAATTGATGCATTAAAAGTAGATAACCTCATATATATATATATATATATATATATATATATATATATATATATATATATATATATATATATATATATATATTATGCCTAATATATTAATACTAGTTCTGAACTTATAGTTCACAAATTTTTTTAATTAATATGCAATTAAATATATATAAAACTAGTATTGTAAAATTGTGTTGACATGTATGAGAAAGTTGCATTTAATTCAGAATTGTGTTTTTTAAATTGATAGTGACATTGTAAAAATGAATAGTTGGTTTTAATTTGCTCATCCTGAGGCCATCAGATATGACCATTTTAATTGTAGCCCTAAAGGGAATTATGTTGTAAATAATGCTCAGTTCCTTACACAAATGATTGTTTTGCTTCAAAAGACCTCAATGTATCTTCAAAAGTTACAGGTGTTCATTTTATTTTGCCTGTATATGTGTTTTTAATTACTCTCAAATTGTTTGGTAGATGTTTACTTGCATTTTATGAACAACCAATGATTAGAGTTTTTTTAATGTTCTACTTAGAAACAATGGCACCCGCTGTAGATCTTGAATGACTTAAAGGTGAGTAAAATAACAGCAAATTTTCCAAAGGGCATCTGTTTCATTTATTAAGATTTGTTTAGTTATATCCTAAAATATTTTATCAAATTATTCTGGTTCAAGCCATAAGTTGTCGGATAGATTTTTGTCACTGCTTATTTCCCCTATGTGACTTTTTTGAGTTGGAGAAAGAAGCACTGGTTTCTTTCAGTAAATGTTGTTGTCAGTTTGTGAAATTATTATTATTATTATTATTTTGTAGTTTGTCACAATATTTATTGGTAGTTTGTAGAAGGTATGCAGTTCTGTAGGAGTGAGTGTTGGTCATGACAATTAAACGAAAGTTTTAGCACAGCTCTAATGCTGTTTTACACTTATTAGCAGTTGTGAAAGAAGGGATTTTATGGCTTATTTTTAGATGATGATTAATATCTAATCTTGATTTTGGTACTGAGATTACTTAATGATAAAAATGATTTTAAAAAGAAAGGCATTAAGGGTTATTGTTATGCATTTTTATTATCACCTTGAAATAATGTTGTAAAATAATACAGTTTTAGCAATCAGCAAGCAAGTTTTAATGCATTCATATAAGCACAAAGAAAGTGTTAACAGATAAGAAAGAAAATGCAAAGTAATACTTGTCTTGATAAATAAATGCACTATTACAATTCTATAAAACTTTAAAGGCTCATAAGTTCTTACAATACATGTTTAATCTTAACTAAAACAATGTCAGTAAATGCATTGAAGAAATAAAAACTGTTTTACATTTGTGAATATATTTAACTGTCAGTCAAGGAAGTTCAAAACTTTTTGCTAGAAAATTAAACATTTAACCATTTGAAACATGATTTCTAAGATTCTTCTTGAGAGTATATTTTCCATTTATTTCTTACATTAGATCAAGCTGTAATGCTACAAAACTGTCGATATAAATACTGAGTATTTGTAAATGTTGAAAGTCCATGAACATGATAAATCATTTAAGGACAATGTGCACCATTTAAGGCAAAAACTTCTTTGCTTTCAGCCTAGGTATGATTTGCATGTCCCTGACATCATTGTGCTGCAGAAGCCAGCATAGGTATCTCTCTGTACCCATACCCCATCCGCTTGTAAGAAGAGGCATGACTTGACGCATGTTGATGTACCATTTGTATGAGTCCTCTGGCACAGCATGGTGTTGTAAGGCCTCTCGTACCATGTCTGGTGTAGAATGACGTTCCCCAAGCCCTACCGTCTCTCCTAAGCCCAAGAGAAGGTCAGCTGCCTTGGCTTTGCTCTGGCCTGAATCTTCGATATATGCTTGGTAGAAAGGCACTCCAAGATGGTCCATTTCTGTCAGCCAAACAGCACCTCCATACTTCTCAATTAGGACCTTTTCTCCCTTTCGAGTTAGCTTCCTACCAAACTGTGGTTGTCCCTCCTGAACCCACTCAAGGCAATCGGAGGAAGGCATAATGTGAATGGCTTGATCCAAGGCTACTCTTGGAAGGGGACCTTCTAAATTCTTAAGTAGTTCCTGGGCATGAGAGAGTTTACCAGCAGTGTTTAAGATAATGTCAGAATGTTGCTTTAGCATTGCCTTTGTCAAATGGGCAACATAGCCTTCAGCTATACTCATGGCAACATCCATGTCACCCAGGAGCTCACATTCCACATGGTAGAACTGGTTGAGATGTGTAGCATCAGGATCTTCCCCTCTGAAACTGGGGGATACATAGTAAGCCCCAGGAAGTCCATCATGAAATCTCAGGAAGTACTCTAAAACAAACTGCATAGAGTCTGCCAGATACACATCTTGGCCTAGCATGTTGACAAACACGGGCTCAGAGTCTGACCCCAGACCCATTGGAGAGGAAATTGTGTCTGTCGTGATTGGTGTCAGTGCATAACCATACTTGCATTTGTTGTTGAAGTACTCCACTGTGCTATGAAACAGGGTGTTTTGGATTTGAAAGAGATTGCGATACCATTTGCTGTTGATGGCTGATGAGGCATGAGTCAGGGGGTCTTGCCAGGACTGAGGGGGAATAGTTTTTGTGATTTTGGAGTGGATCTCTGAAAGGTCCTCTTCATTTGCTGGGGGACCATCTACTGATGTTACATATCCTTTATAAGTTGGACAGAACTGAGGAGCCACAGCTGGGGGTTTTGGGGCATTAGTCTGAGGAACTAATGGAATCAGTTTTGCATGGGCATAATCAATTTCAAATCCTTCAAATATGATAGCCACACCACGGGCATTCATTGCATCTTGTAGAAGATGAGCAACCTTTCGTACTGCCACAATTAGATCTGTATAGTCGCTTTTATTCATCCTGAAGATGTCACTAGTATGTGGTTTTCTTGGCACAAGAACTGTAAGCCCTGGTGTATTTGGAAGAGGAGTTAGGAAGGCTACATGTTCATTGTCTTCCCAGATGCGCCACTGTTGCTCTTCACCACGAATAATGCGGGGGAAAAGGCCATCATCAGAAAGGTCCCCATGGAAATCAAAGCAAGCAGGTGCATTGGGTGTTGGGAGTCGAGAACGAATCTTCTCCTGTACCTGGTCAAGATGGCTATCTTCACACCGTGGACCACTTTTGGAGCTACAGTATCCAGGATCATAAGCATTGAACTCAATTTCCTCAGCTAGTTTAGGTTTCCAGTTGGGTTCTAGGCCATGGAGGGGCAACACTTTGATGTTAGCAGGCTTGTCGAGTTCTGGCATGGACACAAGGGCACAGCGTTGCACACCAAGTTTTTCACAAAGGAGATTGGCAACAGCCTGTGCCCCTTGCATAATTGCAACATAGTCAGGTAACACCAACTGAAAGATGCTTCCAGGTCCATTCATTCTCTTTCGAGTAAGAACAGTAGCTCCTGGAGTCCAAGGATTAGACTGTAGGTGAGCTACCAATTCATCAGTCTCCCAAATCACATTACAAATTCCCTTCATAGGTCTCAAAACCTCAGTTCTAGGAATCCCATTGACCATTGAGCCAACAAACATCACTCCAGCATTGGTTTCAATTACAGCTTCACCATGATGGTCAACAGCAATGATTCCTGCACACTTTTCTTCCAGATCATTATAGATAACTTCCCGACAAGCCTGTCTGAGACTGTAGCCTTTGAGGTTGTATAAACTGGCTACTTTGTGAGCAACTGTCTGGCGTAAGAAGACATCCCCATCACCTGAACATGTCACAGCAAGTTTTTCATCAGCATATATTCCTGCTCCCACTATTGCAGTGTCACCAACTCTGCCCTTCCACTTGCCAACTAAACCCCCAGTGGAAGTGGCTGCTGCTAACTTGCCCCACTTATCAAGTGCAACTGCTCCTACAGTTTGAGGATGGTTATTCTTACCATCACCTGACTTCATGATTAATTCCTTGAATCGTAGGTCAGTGCCAAAGTAGTCTGCTTTCACTGTTGTTTCTTTCTCTCCAACACTTTCTATAAACTCTTCTGCACCTTCTCCAATCAGTAGTGAGTGGACGCTCTTTTCCATAACACAACGGGCTGCTTTTATTGGGTTTTTTACATTTCGCAGACAAGCCACAGATCCAGAGTTCTTCCCATGTCCATCCACAATTGTGGCCTCCATTTCCTGCTCCCCATCTCGATTATATACTGATCCCTTGCCAGCATTAAATAAGAAACAGTCCTCTAACGCAACAACACTTTTTTGTACTGCATCCAGACTACTACCTCCATGAGAAAGGACTTGTGCTCCAAGAGTTAGAGCTGTTTGAAGAGCAAATTCAATGATTTCAACTACTTTCTGATTCAGCATCATTTCCTCTCCTGCACCACCATGGATCAGCAAAGTAAAATCTGGCTTTATGTTTTTGTTGGAGTTTTTTTGCTCCACAGCTTTAATTTCATCCTCGGTTGAAGATCCGTTTACTAGTTTTTCTTCATTGTCTTGCAGGAGACATTCAATGGCACCCATCTGCCCAGCAATGGCGTACCTTAGTGCCAAAAGCATGATTAATTTTAGATTCAGCTCAAATCTTTCTCTGAGATTTCCCAGGACACTGGCAAATGTACCCTTCCCGTTCAGCACTATACGTACTTTGTCCTTCCTTCCTAGATATGTGACAGCAAGCTGGTCTGAAGCATACACATTGCCTACAGCACACTCAACACCCTCCATCAGATCTGATCCAGTCAAGTAAATTGAAGGGCACCCAAAAGGGTCAAGAAACTTTTTGAGTGGGTTATCTTGAGACATAGATTTGCGAAGGGCTGCCAGATGAGGCCCTACACCAAAGCCTAGTTTTGTGGCTTTTATGAGGTTTTTGTGCTCTATAAAGGCTAGGTGAAAGAGCCTGAAAAGCTCATTTGTGTACTGGGGAATGTTGTCTGGGCCAATGCAGGATGCCAGTGCTATAACAAGCTGGTGAGATTTCATAGTTGTGGAGTATGTGGGATCACAACGGCCATGTTTGAAGTGACGCATGTGGGTTGGTGTTACCATGATAAGGTTCATAGCTGCATCCCCCAGTGTTTGCCTCAAGGACAGCTGCAAAGTAAAATTAATCCATGCATCATATAAACCTCTGAGACCCCGCAAGGTTGTAAACACATCTGGGTAAGATGAAACTTCAAAAGTCATGACAGACTGGCTGGATTGTAGAAGGCTCGAAACAGACTTTTCTGGCACAGTTATGCCTTCCAGTGGCACATTCAGGGGTTTAGGATGAAGTGAACCAGCTTTTGAGAGTGGAGCTAAACCATTGGGTTGTGTTTTTATCATTTCCATGTTTTCAGATTCTGAGAGCTGCCACAGACGTTCAACAACAAGTCCTGCTACCATTCCATCCAGGGCACTGTGCTCAAACAGCATACCTGCTTGGCCATCTTTAAACACCACCAAGTTAACCACCTGTTGAAGAAGATACAAATATGTTTATCATTCCGCCAATTATTTCTAAATGTTTGAACAATAACAATAAGCATTGCAATAAGAAATTATTTAAATGGATAGCTCACCCCAAAATCGAAAGTGACTCACTATTTTCTCACCCTCATGAGTCAGTAAACCTTTATGAATTTATTTTTTTCTGTTGAACCACAAAGAAGATTTTTTATGACTGTTGGAAACCAGTAGTTATTGACATCCATATCAGAAACAAACAAACAAGAAATACTATGGAAATCAATGGCTATTGGTTTCTGGAATTCTTTTGTGTTTATCAGAAGAAAAAAATTAAAACTGGTTTATAACAAGTTGAGGGTGAGTCAGCAGTGACAGAATTTCCATTTTTGTGTAAACTATCCCTTTAAAGTGTTTAATTTTGGAAAGTTCAGCTTAAGTCTGCACAATCAACCGCTTCAAATGTTATAATTTGATTAAATGGGCATCATTAGTGGTTATCAGCTGATAGATATGGACTAGTAGGGGCCTTCTGCACATACTGTTCAGTTCAGACAGTTAACATACATCCACTTGGTTAATCAGCTAGACTATTAGAGAAGACTCCAGATCCATATCTGGCTTTACATTACTGTGATGGTTGGGTTTAGGGTTGGGGTTTTGATCAAATTTAAAGAAATAATATAAATAATTATTGCGGTTAATCAGCTATACTAATAGAGAAGACTCTAGATCTGTTTTTACATTACTGTGACGGTTGGGTTAGTGTTGGGGTAGGGGTAGACATTATTAAATACAATTAATAGGAAATTTAATAAATAATATAAGTAATTCTTGTTAACCTCTGGCTGCAGCCATATGTGATCTATAGCTGATTAACCATGTGGATGGATGATCAGCCGGTGCAGAAGGCCCCTACTGGCCCATATCTATCAGCTGATAACCTCTGATAATGCCCATTATATCGAGTGATAACATTCAAATCGGCTAGCACAATAATGATTAGGTGCTCATTATTAACATCCTAATTTGCTTTTACATACCTTATCATAGTATCGTAAACATTTCCCATCTTTCTCTCCTAGCCGGATGGTATTAAGCATTTCTGCAAGATCAGCAGGTGCTGGACTATCTTCCAGGGAAACAGCGAGAATGGCACTTTCCATCATTTCAAGTGAAGCTGCAGCTTCTCCGCCTGCCTTTAAGATGTCCATTCTTACAGAATGCCAGGCTTGACGATTTAGAGAAGACAGACCACAAACAATGGATGGGTCTTGTTCAGGGGTTGCTGCTTGGTGACTCATTGCATGGACCAGTTGGCTGTGGATGTCATTGAGAGGTAAAGGAGAAACAGGTTCCCCTGAACTTGGCTTCCATAAAATTTGAATTGGGAATATACCCTCTCGACAGGTCAATATGGTGTGAAGGCTGTCTGGATATGTCTGAAACAAGAGAATGTTTCAAATAGATTAGTTTTTTATTAAATCAACATGGTAAAAATTGGATTAATTTAACCTTCACCTTTAGTTCATCCTGATTCTTGCCTGGCAAGCGACTAGCCCCAAAAACTTGTGACTGTTGCGTTCTCTCAGTTGCCACATCCCCTTCCACCAGACATGGTTCACTGTACAGCTTAGCAACTGCCCACAGCAATGCTGTAGCCCGCTCTATCTGTGCCAGATCTCCCTTTAGCTTAGAAGAGGGCAAGACAGAAGGAATAGCAGTGGAAGTGGGCAGGGGATCATAACAGGAAAGCAACCGCTTTTTGAATTCTTCAGTCACCCAGTTTTCACGTCCAGAGGCATGATTCTTTAGGTGTTCTTGGACTTCTTGAAGTGCATCTCTTTGCTGAAGCAGAGCAGTTTTATAGTGTTGGTACTGCTCAGGGTTTAAGGTGAGCTGAAGTACCCGGCTCGCCTCCTGGAGAGTAACATCCAGATCTGGAATGGGATAATTAGGTAGCTCCATCCTGTAGAGTAGAGGACAAAGTAGAAAACAATAGACCATATGGTAAAGTTGTTTTTACTGTGTTTTCTTTAAACTTAGGACCTTTAACCTTATTTTTATTATTCTCAAGTTAAAAAAATAAGTTGACTGTTGGGCCTGTATTATAAGCGTTTCAAATGACTTAGAACTGACTTAGAACTAGTCTAGATACTTAGTGGTGTGTTCATGCTCATTAATTGTTTTAAAATGCCTTGGTGGACAGGGCTGGATTAAGAACACATTGGGCTTTGCGGCTATTTTGTGCTTCACAAAAGTATATCACAAATATATTTTTGCCCTTATTATTTATAATAATATTAATCATTTTGTTATTATCATTATTGTTATTATTAGTTTACCAAGTAATATTATTATATAATTTTTCAACATTTGATTTATATGTAATTATAATATTTTTTTTTTTTATTAAATGTATTATATTATTTTTCATTATACATATATATATTTATATATATATATATATATATATATATATATATATATATATATATATATATATATATATATATATATATATATATATATATATATATAATATTATTTTAGAAAATGTATTATAATATATAATATTTTATCATATATGAGCTTCAAAGTGGCAAAATCAGTAAAACAAAAACTATTTGCAATACTTCCCAAATTATTGCTTTATAATAAATATTTTAGATGTGGTTTTTCATTTTGCAGCTTCTTTAGAACTTGAGCATAAATACGTAATGATGGGATACCTTTAAAATTCATTATCCTAATTTCCAAAAATTGCTTTAGGTATGAGTCTATTCAGGATGAATCCACTTATCCTGACTTCTGTTAATAAAAGTACATGTTAGTCAATGAAGAATACTGGTTAAAATATGTTCTACCATCAAATTGGATATCCTACCTTTGAGTGGACTGTTCTCGCACTAGTGTCAAAATTAAGGAACTGTCCTAAGAAAAAATAGTTATCTGGTGACCCTTATGGGTTACTAAAGCAAGGCTATTCAATATTGGCTTTTTAATATTCTGATTGGGCTACAGCCACTCCGGGCCCCAGTTTAGCGGTGTAACTGTTTATGAACAGCAACAAATCGAAAGAAAATACTTCACATTATAGAAAGCATACCGCAAAGAGGCGTTTCTCTGCGCAAATTAATTCATCAGCCAATCAAGAGCCTCCTTCCGCTTCAGCTCCACCTAGCCCTTAGGTTAATCTAGCCCTGTTGGTGGGTAGTTTTTGTGATCAGAACATATTTACTAGGAGGCACACACATGCAAAACTAACAATTATTATATGTCTCTGTCCATATGAAGACATTTCTTAGAAGAAAAAATAAATAGAGCACATTAAAAAACATAGAAATATATGTAAATGACATTTATGACACAAGTTTATATTTTGAGGTCACATATATAATATAAGTCATATATAACATTTTAAAATTTTGCAAAAACCATTTGAATTACAAATAGTATGCTCATATGTTTAAATGTATTTATACAATTATGGCCATATATGAAGAATAAAAAAATATATATATAAATATATATTTCAACATGTAATTTCAATGGTTGAAAAATTTGCTGTTAAATTACAGACATTTGTCATAAAATAACAGACTGTAAATTACATAAATTTACCTGAAATTTAAATGTATGTAAGTTTCGGTAATGTACTGTCTGTTACGTTTTTTTTTTCCAGCACTCCAGCTGCCGTAAAGTAATTAATTTTTTTTTACAGTGTGGCTATTTTTATATTGAAATATATGTTGCATACAGTATATGACATGTATTTTATACAGGTGACACTAAATCTGAATGTGATGTAGATTCAGATTTCTAAAAGCAATGCGTTGTATTAATATATTAGCCAAATGAATGGTGCATAACCCTTTATATACTGTAGCCATCATTGAAATAATGATTGAAAAAACCTGAGTGTTACTGGGGATTATTACAAGACTTGTTTTATGAAACAAAATAAAGCCATACATGGTTCTTCATCCAATAAAGGGTTAAAACTTGGTAGAATTGTTATTTCAGTTATATTTATACAATAATGTCATGTGATACCATCTAATACCATCTTTGAATGATTACATCACAGTGTGTTTTCACACGGCACATGTGCCACGTGACTGATTTTGTCATGTGTAATTCACTGATTTAATTACGTGGCCTACTAAATTGGCTTATATCCAGCAATGTGTTTGAAGACATAATTCAATTTAATTTGTCTTTATTTCTGTAGCGCTTTTACAAAGTAGATTGTGTCAAAGCAGCTTAACATAGAAGTTCTAGTGAATTAAAACGGTGTCAGTCCAGTTTTCAGAGTTGAAGTTCAGTTCAATTCAGTGTGGTTTAATTTTTACTGCTGAAAGTCCAAACACTGAAGAGCAAATCAAGTGATGCGCAGCTCCACAAGTACCAAACCAAGCAAGCCAGTGGCAACATAAGATGCATCTATTAACATATTGGGTGACTTTATGACCTTTACAGACTGGAAACGTTCACATACTCCATAACGAACTTCGCTAAAGCTACTTCTTGAGCGTGTGGCTGTAATCAATATAGCATGCTGTTTGTATAGCCAGTTGTCATGGGAATATGCCTCATGCCCCTGGTTGTCTAATTGGATTTTGGCTGATTGAATCACGCTGTGTCTCTTTTTGTACATCTAATAATGGGTCTTTCTTTTTTCCATTTATGGTACCATAGTGACATGGAAGTTCACTGTAGGCAACATGGATCATGTGATGTCATTGATTACTGTTGGATTCATTCAGTTTTAATCAGAGCAACACCCAACTACAATTCCTTGACTGCAGTAGTTTTTTGTGTGGATGTTTGGACCTAATGATATATAATCTATATTTTTTATTGTTTTAACATAGTTTCTTTTAGAATAATCAACCTCAAATCTTTGCATGCACTTTTCCTACAGTATTAAATTTATGCAAAACATGTTCATCAATCTGATATAACAGCTTAAACCAGTTTGAACAGGCTGTATCAACTTAGACCAGCTAAAACCAACACACCACTCATACACCACTTATTCAAAATCATTCAAAATAACATTCAAAAGAACAGCTTAAATCATCTGAACAAGCAAAACCAGCAAACCATCTTGTGATCTTTTAATTGAGAAATATTTTTTGCAAGGAACATAATTGGAGTCACTCAAAGACTTCTCATTTATTAATGTGTATGAAATGTTTACGTCAAATGTTTTTAAAAATTTTAACCAATCATGCATGGAGCCAGGACATATTTGTACCACGTGTTTCACGACTGTCAAAAAAGAACAATAATCAATCAGTTCAATTTAAGTTTAATTGGACAGTGCTTTACACACTAATTATAGTTCCAAAGCAGCTTTAAAATTTAAACATTAGATGAAAAATCAAAAAAGCTTAAGTTAAAGTTAAGGTTATACAATGTAATGGACTTTAAAAAAAAGAGATATCTAAAGTGCTCAGCAAAACTCAGTATACCCATTAAAAAATAATATTTTTATCAATATCTCAGTGAATATAGGCAATTTATTTTGTTGTAGTAAAAAAAAAAGTTAGTAAACAGATACATTTATTCAAGTAATATTTTAGTCACCAAACATATTTAGACATTAAAAGATAATACAATTAAATTCAAGAAAAATATTCCAACTAAATTTTATTTTAATTTAAAAAAAAATTTTTTTTTTTGCTTCACTTGATTTTTCCTTTTTAAAATTTTTATTTAATATTTTTTTATAATATATAAATTTGGGTGTACTAGTTTTTGGACCGTTATCATAAGTTATCTTGTTTGAAAAGCTCCAGATTTGGCTTCAGTACTGACTAATCTAATGTATATGCACAAATATAATATTGTGTACTGTAGCTTCCTATTTAAAAAATATGAATTTAAAAGCTAGTTTTGTTAGGGGTGTACCTATAGTTGCTGAGCACTGTATCTATGTATTTTTTTTGTAATAATAATATATCACTAATATTTAAATGTTTATTGGTACACTGTAAAAAAAAATGCAGGGTTACACACGATTGATTCATATTATTCTAACAAAAATCGATTAAGTTAACTTTACAGATTTAACAAATTTAAGTAGATTGAACTTTAATAATTAAGCTGTCTCTACGAAATCTCAACAACTGTGGGGTTTTAATTTATTTTAAATAACAAGCAACAAACACAATTTTAGGTATGATTGCATATTTCCAGTAAGCACTTTTTTAAAGAAAGGGGAAATACAGAGGATATACTTTCACAATATAGCTCAGAATGTATTTACAGCATTATGACGTCAAATAAATGAGCTTCCAGAGTCAAACCTTAGTAGTTTAATCTTCAAATTTTAAATTGCTATATCTACTTTCATTTTGATGGGTTTGAAAATATTATCGATTGAAGTAAATTGTATTTATGTAGTGATTCACTAACAATCCAGTCCATGGTTTGCATTTTGAGTGACTTTGACAGTGATTAATTAAAACCTACATAACTTCATTTCTTATAATCAGTGCAATCTTATTGAAATTTTCTCAACTAACCTGTTGCTAAATAAATGTCAGAGAAAAACAACACACAAATTACAATATAGAAACTTTAAACTCACCTCAGGGCAGTAAAGACTTCCAAAAGTATATGTGGACTAGTAAATGCGATGAGAGCTAGAATGCAACAAGCTTTTGTTGAAGTGAACAAACAAGAAGAGAGCTGTAATCTGAACCTAGTGATTCCAATTAAGGAATTTAATTTCCCGTCTCCCAATAGACGTGGACAGTATAACAGGCAGATGGTCACACTGACATTCCTTTATATGCAATAAAAAAGCAGAAGTTTAAAGTTTCTATAAACTATACACAATTTCTGATCATTTCTGACCATTTCCAGGAATGCTTGTAGAGGCTACTTATTTTATAGCCGTGTTCATACACACTTTCAAGATTGTCAAGAAATATTTAATGCAACTCAGTGTTTAATGAGGATATATATATATATATATATATATATATATATATATATATATATATATATATATATATATATATATATATATATATATATATATATTTTTTTTTTTTTTTTTTTTTAAATGAAAACTGACAAAATTTTTAATATCATATCCCACACACTTTCATTCATTCAACACATTCATTTACATAATAACCCACTCCATTATTTTGCTTGTTCTGTAAATGAATGTTTGAATTTGAATTAGCTCAGTATTGCTTTATAATCTCATTCATCAGATTTAGGATATCATAGTGTGACATTAATATAATCTAGGCGTCAGGTGGTGTCAGAAGGTTGAAGCTTTCCTTATCGGACGTTGAGAGCTAAAAACTGTCATGTGATGTGCTGTGCGGTGATGATTTTTGTCGTGTTTGTGCTGTGTCTCCTACTAGCAGCACAAAGAATGTATTGAGCGAGCAGTCTTGTGTGCTTCACGTGAGCAAGGTGCTTCTTTTTATTAGGCATTCAGATTATTATGAGTTATGTTTTATTGTGGCTGACTGTGTCCTGATCATGGAAGCTTTGAAAAAGAATAGTACATAAGTAATAATAACTTGACTTCTAGTTAATCATTTGGTATCAGAAGTCCCTTATATGAAAGGCAAAGGTCTCTGGATTACTCTTATTTTACCCAAATTAAAAAAAAATGATCAGGCCTTGATTTTTAATGATTTAATTAGGACAGTAAGGTCTGACTTTGCTTAGACAAAAGGCTTGTCACTTAACAGAAATAATGTACAGTACAGAATATTAAGTCATTGTGCAGTGGAAAAAGAATTTATATTGTGTATTAATATTGTATGAGCTTGGATGTTTCCATACATCCCTGCAATGACTTGCATAACTTCAGAATAAAGTCATCTGGAATGACAAAGAAAGCGTTCTTTCAGGACTTCCAGAGTTAATCAAGATTCTTTGAATTCATCTTCAATGCCTCCTCCTTCATCTTAGCCCAGACACGCTCAATAATGTTCATATCTGCTGACTGGGCTGGCCAATTCTGGAGCACCTTGACCTTTTTTGCTTTCAGGAACTTTGCTGTGGAGGCTGAAGTATGAGAAGGAGCGCTATCCTGCTGAAGAATTTGTCCTCTCATGTGGTTTGTAATGTAATGGGCAGCACAAATGTCTTGATACCTCAGACTGTTGATGTTGCCATCCATTCTGCAGATCTCTTACATGTCTCATACAGAATGTAACCCCAAACCATGATTTTTCCTTCACCAAACTTGACTGATTTCTGTAACAATTTTGTTTTCTTATAGTGTATAAGAAATAATAGAGAGAGAGCGAGAGAGAAAGATACGTTCATAAAATAACAGAAAATGTACTGGCAGTATATTATTATTTAAGGTTTTTGTACAGTAATATATGACACAAACCCTGAAAATATATCACTTTAAGTCCCATAATACAAATTCAAAAACATAAATGGGAGGGGGGGTTAAAACATGAATCACAAAATATGAAAAACTGTTAATTTGTGGATTTTTTTTCACAGTGTAGTAAATGTTGATCTATGAGTGGTAGCCTACTGAGTGCAGAACTTCTCTTTAGTGTTTATCAATTTTCAGGAATGGAGTTCATGGGTTTCTTTAACTTTTGACCACATGGATTTTTTGGTTGGAAGAGGATGTATGACGTCAATCCATCAAGCATTTTTGTGCTTAAAAGATGTCAAATAGATGTGCAGAAATAATGTTTTGTCTAAAACAAAGCAAGAGTTTTTGCTGTTGGTAAAATTCTAGACATCGAACAATAGTCCAAAAAAATCAACCAGACAGATTCCACACAATTGATTTATGTTGTTCCTACACAAATCAATAAAGTTAACTTTACAGATTTAACAAATTTAAGTAGATTGAACATAAAAAATTAAGTTGTTCTAATGAAATCTCTTGGCTTGAACAAGCAACAACAACAAAACATTTTTAATTGGGTACATATTTCCAGTAAGATCTTTTTAAGGGAAAGGGGAAATGTACAGAAGATGTAATTTCACAATATAGATCTGAATGTATTTACAGCATTATGACATCAAATAAACTTCCAAAGTTTCCAGAGTGAGCGTCAAACCCTACTTTAATTTAAACTCTTGACCGCATAGAATTTTTAGTAATAGATTTCTTTGAAAGCACCTTAGCTGGTACTGAAAATTTCCATGAATTTACAAAGTATGCCAATCCATCAAGCAATTTTGTGTTTAAAAGATGTTTAATAGAGGTCCAAAAATGGACGTCTTGTCTAAAACATAGCAAAATTTTTGCTGTTGGTAAAATTCTAAACATCTACTGTAACAATAGTCTAAAATAGTCAACCAGACTTCACATGTACTGCATAGGCATTCATTCCTGTCTGATATTGGTGTTTTGGACTATTGTTTGACGTCTAATAGATTTTTGATATTTGTTTTTTTTTTCTACTAGAAAAGTAAATGGTTACCAGTCTCTAACATTCTTCAAAATATCTTCTTTTGTGTTCAGCAGAAAGAAAAGAAACTAATAGAGGGTTGGAACCACATGAGAAAATAATAATTAAATAATTGTTTTGGGTGAACTATCCATTTATTATGCTATCCTGAAGTAATCATGATTTAGTACAAATAATTGTTTTATTAACATGAAAAAGAAACTGAACTCATACCCATTTAAATCACAGTATAGACTTACTTCTTGCTTCACATTTAGATCAGCACTCACTAGTGGCTATCACTTGAATTTTGAAAAGTATTTTACGAAACAAAGTTTTATTAGCTGAAGTCTTGTGATGCAGCTGGAAAGAACATTTGCTTCACAATGGAGGATTGTAAAAGGGACGATCATTTGCTGAATGTAAACCTTCATGTCTGGCTGCATTCTTTTCCTTTATCATGAAAGGTTCATTTTGAAACCTGCACCCATTAACTTCCATAGTTTTAGTTTTGCATACTAGCCTGGTTACAGGCTTACGGCTTTCTTCAAACTCCCCTTATGTGACACCCATGAAGGTTTAGAACCACTTGACAGTGAGTAAATGAGTATGTTTTTATTTTCTGTGAACTTTCCCTTTAAGTTTACCATGGAGTTTTGAACTCAAAGCCATTGTGCTCCTTTTTTACAATCTCTAGAAGCTGTTTTTCAAATGGGCTATGATAATGATGATATCTGATGGTGCCAGAGAAAGACCTCATGGCCCAGGACCTTCTAAAAATGAGGACCTTTTCCCTGAACGCTTATTTTTATTTAGATATTTATTCCTTTTTAAGGCTGTTCAAAAAGCACCAGTGATACCAAGTTCAGTCATTATAGTGTCTTATCCTGTAATTATTGCCAACTGACTGCTACACTGGTTATTAATACAGATACATACAGAGAACCAATCTCAAACTCAGTATGAACCAGAAGTTACTGCAGACTTTTATTTTAGTAAAAATAAAGTATGTCCCATTGAAAAGGAGTATTGAGTAAGGGGTGGGGTTTATTTTTTATGCACCCCTCCTCTTATCTTGTACTTACAGCAAACTAATGATTGGAGGGGCGTGGCTAAGCATATTTCACTAAAGCCATCAAACACACATCATCAGAGAAGGACTGCCATTCCAGAGCAGAAGCAAATGGTTAGATTTTGATTAAAGACCTGTAGGGTATATTTTACAGATTTAACTCAAAATGACCAGTTTGTCAGAAGAAGAGCCGGAGACAGAGATTCAATTAAAAAGAAAATTTACTGACGATAGTATGCAGTCTCATCAGCAGAAGTCAGCTTCAACACTTGTAAATAAGTTCCTAGGCTGCTCTGTTGCAATCTCAAAACAACAACAAATATTACTCTTACATAACGTTATTAACTGTCATACATATAGGTGTTTGAACCTGATTGGTTGAAAGACAGACTTAGAAATAATCCATGTGCGTGTGTACAACAGGAAGCACTGTGGTGCAGTGGGTAGCGCTGTCGCCTCACAGAAAGAAGGTCGTTAGTTCATGCCCCGGCTGGGCCAGTTTGCATTTCTGTGAGGAGTTTGCATGTTCTCCCCGTGTTCTTATGGGTTTCCTCTTGGTGCACCACAGTCCAAAGACATGCACTATAGGTGAATTGGGTAAGCTAAATTGTCTGTAGTGTATGTCCTGTTCCTCCAGGTTGGGCATTGAGTGTTGGTCTAACGACCCACTTCATGGTGCGGCTAAATATCAACTTCAATATAAATGGCCCTTGGAGTAAGTAAATAAGTAAGTGTGTACAATATCTTAAGCATTCAAACGTCAGACAGCCACTTCAGAGCTGACCCCAGAAAACTAATAGAACCCAGACACAAAGTACAATCTGTTTCTTACCCAAGGCTGAGTATACTTGCAGCAGTCTTATCAAAACTGGTTAAAAAACGCTATAATCTACATTCAAACTGGCAGTTTACATACAAAGGAATTGGCAAATGACTCAGGAAACAGTTGTTTACAATTCTTCAAGAGTCAAGGTCCACTCAATAGGGATCCATTACCTCTGACTTGGCTGGGTATCCTGAGGAAACAAATCATTTGGCATACAGAAAAGCAATCACACACATATTATTCCAGTTTTATCTGAAATGGGATGACACTAAGGTTATCATATAATCCAGGCTCTTAAACATTCAACTTTATTAATAATTATCAAGACATAAGAATTGATATGTGTTACTCCACCCTGGAGCAGACATCCATCAGAAAAACCACAGCATCAGACCTTTTTCAGTGGAACAATGAATTACTTGTTCACCTTAAGATAAAAAAAAAGTGCAGTAGCAAAATAAACAATGTACATTTTTATTTTGATTTTATGCTGGCTTAAAGAAATAACAAGTGAGACTTTAAAAAATCTGTGATCCTCACTGCCTGTTAGATATACGATATGAAGTGGGTCTCAGATCGGACAAGCACTGCATTAAATTCCATTTCCCCCTGCCATGTCTTTAAAATATGACAGTTTATTTTACCCCAATATTTTCAATGGAATTTATGTGCTAACCTGTTGCTACTGACAGCAGCAGTTGTTTCAACGGTCTTTCATCTCGTTTTATGCTTGAACAACTTTGAACGCTTCAGTCTACTGAATGTATTGTAATTACAGTACAACATGGATGCTGTAAAAAATCTTGTGAAATAGTCACATTAAGCTTTCACCAGAAGTTTATCGTTGGCTATGAAACTCTAGCTGAGCAGATTGTTTTGGTCTGATGCTGTGGATTTTCTGATGCATGTCCGCTTCAGGGTGGAGTAACACATAAATATTCTAATGTCTTGATGATTATTAATAAAGTTAAATAAGAGCCTGGATTATATGATTACCTTTGTGTCATCCCATTTTAGAAAGTGTGATAGATTTTTACTGTTTGTTTGTTTGTTTGTTTTATACTACTGTGTTTATATAAAGTGAAGATCACTTGAAGAAATCAAATCTTAAACGTGATGATTTTGTAATGGAAAGACTGCACACCGAAAGCCATCAGGCTGGCTGGCTGAAATGTAAAAGTCTGTGTGCATATACCCCATTTCAATGTGGGTGTCTTTACATTGCATTACTTTTTTGTGTTTCTACTTTTTAACCTTTTTTTCTCTCAGCGTTTTTAAATTAAAATGTTTTGTTTTACATTAAAATTGTATTTGCTTATACTCATTTAGTACATAATCCTTAAAAAATACGAATGGCCAAAATGATGAACTTGTTTCAATAACCCCGGAAGTCGCGTTCTTGTCACTTTCCGTCTTCTTCCGGAGCGGCGTTGCTCGACCCTGCACTGAACGCTGATATTTCGCCACCTTTGGCAAGCTAATCGTCCATTTCAGTCTTATACAACAGTGAGTAAAAAGTTTTACTGCTTCTGGACTTGCGTTTGTAAAGCGTTTTAGACCTCGAGGATTGTGATTGTTGTCACATTAAGAAAGTTAAAGAAGGTCACTGCAGATGAAGCTAGCTAACGGTAGCACGCAAATAACTGCAGCTCTCTTCACAAGCGTCTCATTTTCATACATATTTGCCTGCAATGCTTGACATGTCGCGTGTTGATAGTATACAAACGAGTGTGTTTGTTTTCATTTTGATTTACAATCCTTAATACAAGAGACTCAATCCACTGGAAACATGTCGTAATGGTTATAAAGACGATAGCTTCTTTATTTGAGGTTATTGTATTTACTTTGGCATCAGTCAAGGCATATACGGCGGAAACAGCAGTATTTGTGTTACAGAATGATTATACATACATCTCTTACTGTGATATTTAACATGTAATCGAAGGGTCAATTAACTGAGAGTGTGGTCAGGAAGTGGCACGTGCCAGCACTAGGCTGGGTTTTTTGTGTTTGTTTTGAAAGGACAGATTGTGGACTGGGTTTGTTTAAAGAAGAGAACTGAATTGTGGTTTGGTTGTCAGATGATTATTGAATATGCATTATGACAGCAAAACCACAGCATGTTTGTGTGTCCCTGACCTGTTGTCATAAAGAGTAGGGTGATATTCAAGCGATAGTTTACTCAATAATGAGAATTGTGTCTTTATATACCCACCCTTTGTTTGTTACAAACCTTTTTGAATTTCTTTCTTCAGTTGAGCATAAAAATATATTTAAGAATATTTGTAGCCTGCCATTGGCTTCCTTGGTATTTATTTTTCTTCTTTGAATCCAAGTGGCTACCAACATTGCTTCAAATATTTTATTTTGCCTTCATGAAAATGAACTCATAAAGGTTTAGAACCACTTGAGGGTAGACATGGGTCTATAACCAGGTTTACTAGGGTTTGGAAAAGTAATGGTTTTAATACAGCAAAAATGTTGTGTTATAACGTCTAAGGTAGTATATGTAAGTTTTTGTTGTGTTGTCAAAGGTCATTTAATTTTATTTGTTTAGGGCAACAGTATCTCCAGCAGCAAAGGAGCATCCACATCAAGAGCTACTGGTCAGCCATGAGAACAAACATCTGAAAAACAAATCACTTAATCACCAACATCCTGTAGATCAGGGGTTCATTCTTCTTATGTGAATTACTCAGTTAGTTGGATTTGGTTATTGACGATTTGACACGATCCAGGAGTTTCGTTCTTCAAAACTCATCTGAGAGTTGTTGTCATAGCAACAGTTCTTGTAGCTCAAACCTACTCGGGAGCTGGCTCATTTCATATAAGCAGGATTAGATTGACTCATTTCAAGCAAAGGTAATACTGAAAATATGTACTAAATGCTGATATTTTCTTACAGTTGTAACCTATAGATTATATACACTTGGTAAAATAGTTAAAAAAAATTATATATACACATTTATACTTTATAATAATTAACATAATTTATTACTTAATAATTAATCATATTTATGTTTATTTACATATAATATAAAAAAATAAATAAAACTTATGCAATCTGCACTCCGAAATAAAAGTAAAAAAAAGGGTGGTTCTCTCTAAGGGGATCAAAGAGAACATTTATTAATGTGTATTTTTAATAAGGTACTGATCCAGCTTTAGTAGCTACAACTTCTGTATGATAATAGACATGCTCAATATTCAACAGTTTTTTTTTTTATAAAGGAATAATAATTTTTTGACAGCTAATTTGCTGTGGCGTGATTTGATGCTTTGCAAAAGTTTCAGAAACTCAAAATACTTTTTTGATGCAAAATAATTAAAATTCCTTGGGCCGATTAGGAAATTAAAATAGGATCTGCCAAATCATCTTAGATCAGTGGTTCTCAAACTGTGCTACGTGAATCAGTCATATTTACATGCTACATATATTTAAACAATTATCAAAAGTGATTTTTATATGAATATGATGACATATAGCAAATATTTATGAGGTCCAGGCAACATTTTCAGATGTTGATGAGTAGACTACTGTATGTTAATACTTTACATTTAAAGGGCCATGACACCACCCACTTTCGGTTCAGGTCCACCTCAGAATTTTTTCAAAAGATGCATCATAATGGGCGTGGAGCTTCGTGAGCAAAGGGCAGGAGTGGGCGTGGCCAGCAGAGCAGGGGAGAAGGAGGGGAGCGAACAACTGTTGTCAGTCAGTTGGGTTTACAAAATGAGACACAAACCATGAAACCCATGATTTTATAGTTTACAAAGTTAAAATGCAAATAAATAAACAGTAATTTAATATCCTGCTACATTTGTCATTTGTAATTTCATATACACACAACCACAATTTATATCATTATTAAGATAATCATGTTCATATAAACGCTATAAATGAGGACTTTTCCCTCAATCCCCGGGTCTGAATATAGACAAAGTGCAGCAGGTCTCTGCCCTGTCTATTTTAACCTTTAGTCCTGCTGGTAATCTAGAGGATTTAGGCAAACACAGCAGCACGGTGATGTGTCTAAATGTGAACAAACTCCTGATAAATAACAAAGTCTGCCATCCTCCAATTCTTGTACTGCTCTCCCGACAGAAATGCTTGCTGCACAAACAGAGCTTTGCTGTATCGGTCCTGACAGCATCGCACGGAAAAACAAGCAACTAACCCCATGGATCATGGAAACAAACACATACGATCCTTCATGAACGACTAAATACTGTGTACCGTGGGTCTGTGGACGCATCTCACCAAGTCATTAACGTAGGATCTCTCACTCAAAGCTTGTCAGAAGTTGGCACTGGCCGCTCTGCTTTGCCTTCGGAAAACTCTCATGATTAATTAAGAAGTCGATTCTTCTCATAGGATGAGACAACTCTGTTATGAAGAATAACGAGAAACCGACGTGTCATCTTTGCACTTGCAGTTTTGCTATACGTCGCTGATTTTGATCCCGCCCCAAAAATCATTTTAAACCCGGAAGATGAAATTAGCTGACAAAAGCTCAAAATTATCCAGTTTTCACCACAATTAGAGCTAACAGATGCTAACATTGTCTTGAATTATGCTAAACACACACGAATCTGTTAAAATCTCAAAAAAAGTACTCAAGGGTTTTGTGAACCTACTGTATTTCAATACTGCGCATTATGGTGGTACTTGGAGAGATTTTTTTTTCAGAGGTGGTACCTGATGAAAAAAGTTTGAGAACCACTGTCTTAGATCATTTAAGAAAGGTACAAAGAACGGACGTTTTTGATACCAATGAAAACAGCAAAAGTCAATGATTCATTCTAATTATTTAGCCTGACATGTTTACTGCTTCAAAATATTAGAAATGTTTCTTAAAATAAAATAAAATATAATATGTTCAATGGGGTAAAAAGTTGCTGTTTTTTTTTTTTACCCAAAAAAAGAACATATTTTAGATTACGAATCACAATACTGTGAAACCATGATATTTTTATCCAAGGTTATCATACCATCAGAACCTTATACTGGCCCGTGTCTACTTAAGGGTTAATGTATGCTTAGAAAATGTAATTTTTTTGATGAACTATTCCTTATGTGTTGATTTTCTTTTTCTCCAGCGTGTGAGTTGCGTGTCTTTGGCCACTCTGAGCTCTCCCTGATGGGCGGCTGGTCCCGCAGTGCTGTGCTGCAGCTGTACCGAGCTCTGCTCCGTGCAGGCCAACATCTACAGTACACTGACCGAGACTACTACCGGCGTGTAGTGACCCGAGAGTTCAGGCGCTGTCAGACCCTCAGCGCCCCGGCAGAGAGGGAGGACGCGCTCAAGAGAGGCCAGTTCTTCCTCAACAGCGGCCTGGGAGATTTGGTGTAGAACAACTGGGCCATCTGCATCAAGACACTGGTTGGTAAGATCAGGTTTTTATATTTGAGATGGTTGTTACGAAATAGCTATTAAAATATTTATATTAAGCTAATATATATATATATATATATATATTTATATATATTTATATATATATATATATATATTTATATATATATATATATATATATATATATATATATTTATATATATATATATATATATATATATATATATATATATATATATATATATATATATATATATATATATTCATTCATTTATTCAGATTAAATAGTTAATTCCTCCTAGTCGGTATTCTAATAAATGAGGTTTTAGATGGGAGTCTTAAAAATACTTTAAGTCAAATATAAAATAGCGTTATGTTGGATTTAGTGTTTATATATATTCATGTTAAAGCTACAGCTGTTATTCAGTTAGAAGCACTTATTAACTTTTGATTTGTTTAATTTAAGGACAAAGCTGTAGGTATATTTGATTATTTCCCATATTTCTATAATATTTGCTGTAAAAGCACTCATTTGTTTAAGGGTAAAAGGTTAAATAAAATACTATTTAATATATTAGATTTTTTTCAGCTAGAACTTTGCAACCATAAAACCCCTTTTGTTCAGTCCTACTTATCGAAGTCTTTTGTCTAATAACACCACAATTTGTTACCAGAACTGAACTGTCCCGTGATCAACATGATGTGATCTTTGAGTGAACTGCATCTAAGCTCTGAATGTTATGGAGCTTCCAGTTAATGAGAAAATTTGATGTCATCATCTTATCCTATCTTCTTGCTCCTCAAGGAGGGTAAAGATCGATGGCAGGAGTGAACGGGGATCGCAAGGGGAAGAAAGATGACAATGGGCTGGGCACAGCGATCGACTTTGTGCTCTCTAATGCAAAGCTGGTGCTGGGAGTGGGGGGAGCTGCCATGCTGGGCATCGCCACACTCGCCGTTAAAAGAGTGAGTACAAGAACGCAATTCTATAAACACCTAAATAAAATCTCCCATGATTGTGGAAGGGCTTTTATTAATTCTACACAGCGAAACATCTTGAAAATTATGCAAATTGTATTAGGTGCATGCTTATGTCAATATTGTTATCTGTCCCTGATAAATTTAGGTTAGTCTTAACACATTCTTCAAGCATCACATTTCAGGCTGTATTCTTTATGAATGTGGCATGATGTAATGCTTTTTTTCTGAGGTTGTTTTTGAACATTTATAGCTACACATGCGGTACTTTTTCATAATATAAAGGTTTAAAAGTAAGTTTTAAGGTTCAACTGTTAAAAGTAAGCCATTTATATTTAAAATAAAATAAAAATAAAAAAACATGTTTACAAATAAAAAAACATGAATTGCTTCAAAATGAAAAAATAAGCTACAATCTTAAGTTGGGTTCAGTAATATATTTCTGTCCTGCAGCATTAAATTAACAGTGGCTTTTACATTGTTTACATGTAAGCTTATTATTGAACCTCCTTTTAAGAAATACTTTGTTACTAGTGCTGAACTACATTTTAGAAATATACTTGAAATATTGATGTAGAATTTATTGTGATTACTCTCAGATGTACGATCGAGCTCTCAGTGCCCCATCCAGTCCCACAAAAGCAGACCCATCAGGACGGAGAAGCTGGGAGGAGCCGAGCTGGTTGGGGTCATCTCCACGCACACTGAACCATGACATGAAACAAAATGTCAGTCGCTCATTGCAGACACTGCCCACCTCCTCCAGCTCTTTCAAGCCAGGTAATGAATCTCTGCTGCCTCGCTGAAACAACATCCTGTGCTTTTGTATGAGACTGCCATAATGGACCCTTTTCACATTTCTGGGTTTCTCAGTAGCGGAAGTCGTCATAGTTGGGGAAAACTTAGAGCGCAGTGAATGGGAGAATACAAAAAAAAAAGTACAATCTTAATTACTCATATAACAAAATAAAAATCCACAATAGTGTTAAAACGACTTTTAGAAAAAGGAAAAAAAATTGTGTGAGACTGAAAACGGCAGCCAAAGGAGAGAATAACGTCAAATGTACTGTCCTGCTCCAAAGACGCTGCATTAGAAATGCCTCACACAAGCGGTAATTTGTTTTTTGTAATTTGAAGCAAAGACAATATGCTACATACGTAAATACATATAAATGTTCATACGTTTTTAAAAAAAAAAATCTAAATATTAAAAACATTCAAGTATTTGAGATGCTGAAGACCGTTAAACACATCATAACAGGATTGTGAAAAGGGTTAATACAACATGTGCATTTCCACTCCCTGATGTCCCCACTGCTCTTTATTGTCAATTTAATGCTGTTTGATTTTATATTATAGAAATAAGGGTTTTCCTATTTTTGACATTTTATATTTTGTTTCTCTCCTTGCAAAAAAAATATTGATTTATTATTATTATTATTTTTAATCCTGGGCTATTGGTTTCTTCTTAGTTGATCCTATCCTAACCTGCATCTTTATTGTTTATCAGGCTTGTTCATGTTGGAGTGTCTGCTCTACTTTCTCAGTGGGTATTTAAACCCTTCCTTAACTAACCCACTGTAGGTTTCTGTAGCCCCTTTTTGTTTTGATCAATATGGAAATACATAATCATTTTGACTAGTTGGTAAGTCATCTGAGAGATTAGTCAGTAGCTATGGTTCCATCCACCTGTTTGTATGCATATTTTAGGATATCACATTTTAAAAAATTATGGAAAAAACGCCAAGATATGCATAAACGTATACACAACTGAGTAGGATAAACTTTTTATCTAAGAAAAACAATGTGCCATACACTAGGATGGTAATACATTTACAGAATATATTCCAGCATGTGCATAAGTCATGTGATTTTGTTATAAGAGATCATGTGATGATAAAAATGGGTGTGATAGGACAGATTGACCACATTATAAAACACCATTTTAAAATTCTATACCCTAAGTCGGTCATGAAAGTGTTCGATATTATTACATCCAGAACTGTCTTGAGCTCCTATGCGGCCAGAGAACGGTCTCACACCTCCAAAAGCTACTGCGTATTCCTTGCATGTTGGCTTTGTGTTCTAAGGCACAAATAATTTATTTGGCACTAGTTTTTCAGGAAGCGACGATTTTTAACTTTTTGACTCACTGCATGGAGTCTTTTGTATGATATTCTAGTTTTGCACAAATCTAATTTGGATCTTTGGATGGAAACATAGCTAGTGTCAGATAAACACTGACAATTTTCTTATCAACTTCTCTCCTCCATAGTGCAGGACTCTGTATGTGTCTGGAGAACTAAACTTAGTTTTAGACTGAGCTTTAGGTGTATGAATGTGTAAATCTTTCACATCAACAAAATAATCTAATTACATTTGTCTTTGGCTGTATTAGATTCTTTGCATCGTGGTTTGGCTCGTGGTGGTCGTCCTGCTAAGGCTGAGCTCCAGAGGGCACGGCTGCGTCTCTCTCTGCAGGAACACCTCTGGGCCTTCTTTCATGAGCGAGTGACGATCCCCTCAGAAGAGCAGTCAGTCGCCCGTCGTGCTGCGTTGGACATCTGTGCAGAGCTCAGAGTCTTTCTCCATGCCAAATTACCTGATATGCCCCTACGAGAAATGTACCTGAGTGGCAGTCTGTACGATGACCTCCAGGTGAGAACCAGAGTGAACCATTTAGAGGGTGTTGTTTCATCATAAACAAAAGTTATGTTAAAAGTTATTTTTGTTCACCCAAAAATGTACTAATCCTAAGTCAGTAGTAGGTGAATTCATTATATTTAAAGAAGATATTTAGCTGAAACTGTACTTTGTGATTCACAAAATGTGGTTCGTGAAACAAGTAAAGAAACAAAAAATACCAGTGGCTCCTGATTATACATACTCACCGGCCACTGTATTAGGTACACCTGTCAACTGCAATTGTCCAAATTTCTATTCAGCCAATCACATAGCAGCAACTCAATGCATTTAAGCATGTAGACATGGTCAAGATAATCTGCTGCAGTTAATATCGAGCATCAGAATGGGAAAGAAAAGTGATTTAAGTGACTTGGAACAAGGCATGGTTGTTGGTGCCAGACAGGCAGGTCTGAGTATTTCAGAAACTGCGGATCTACTGGAATTTTCATGCACAACCATCACTAGGGTTACAGAGAATGGTCCTAAAAAGAGAAAATATCCGGTGAGCGGCAGTTTTGTGGGTGCAAATGCCTTGTTGATGCCACAGGTCAGAGGAGAATGGCCAGACTGGTTCCAGCTGCTGGAAATACAACTGTAACTCAAATAACCACTCGTTACAACTGAGGTATGCAGAACACGACCACCCTTGAGGCAGATGGGCTACAGTAGCAGAAGACCACACTGGGTGCCGCTCCTGTCAGCGAAGAACAGGAAACTGAGGTTACAATTCACAGTGGTTCACCAAAATTGGACAATAGAAGATTGGAAAAACGTTGCCTGATGTAATGAGTCTCAATTTCTGCTGCAACATTCGGATGGTAGGGTCAGTTTTTAGCATCAACAACATGAAAAGCATGGATCCATCCTGTCTTGTATCAACAATTCAGGCTGGTAGTGGTGGTGGCGGCGTAATGGTGTGGGGAAAATTCCCTGCCACACCCATTAGTATTAATTGAGCATTGCGTCAACGCCACAGCCTACCTGAGTATTGTTACTGACCATGTCCATCCCTTTATGACCACAGTCGACCCATCTTCTGATAGCTACTTCCAGCAGGATAACGCGCCATGTTACAAAGTGTGAATCATCTGGTTTCTTAAACATGACAATGAGTTCACTGTACTCAAAAGGCCTCCACAGTCACCAGAGCTCAATCCAATAGAGCACCTTTGGGATGTGGTGGAACGAGAGATTCACATCATGGATGTGCAGTCAACAAATCGGCAGCAACTGTGTGATGCCATCATGTCAATATGGACCCAAATCTCAGAGGAATATTTCCAGTACCTTGTTGAGTCTATGCCACAAAGGATTAAAATCAGTTCCGAAAGAAAAAGGGGGTTCAAACCAGAACAAGTAAGGTGTACCCAATTAGTGGTCATTGAGTGTATGTCTTATCAAGAAAATAATCAGTCAGCATTTATTTGAAATCTATTAAAACAAGTTTTTGCTTTTACTTTGAATCAATGTAATGCATTCCTCTAAAAAAGAAATTATTGATTGGAAGTGTAATTCATCCATCAGTCATTTTCATTTCATTAATTTTCTACATCTTACATTTTTAGGTAGTGACTGCTGATCATGCCCAGCTCATGGTTCCCCTGATCCTGGAGAAGAATCTCTGGTCGTCGATTCCTGGCGAGGACACCATCATGAATATTCCTGGCTTCTCGTTGGTTCGGCGTGAAAACCTGGAGTACTTTCCCCGAGGTAGCAGCTACTGGGACCGTTGCATGGTGGGTGGCTACCTTTCCCCAAAGAGCGTTCTAGAAGTCTTCGAGAAGCTCGTCGCGGGTTCCATCAATTGGCCCGCCATCGGTAGTGTTTTAGATTACGTCATTCGTCCTGTGGTTCCATCGGAAACGCTCACTCTAGAAGTGCAGTACGAAACGGACCGCCGGCTGTATGTGGACTTCCTCCCATTGCTTGTCATGGAGGATGGCGTATCGTTGATCGCCAAACCGCATCGATTGGCTGCAGAAAGACACGAAAACCTGTGGCGGCAGAGCTTTCGCGTGGCAGAAACGGCAAAGTTGCGCGCACTTGATCAGGAAGACGCCGGGTGCCGTTCGGTGTGTCTTAAAATCCTTAAAGCCGTGTGTAAACTGAATCCAGCGCTGGCCAGGTTGAACGCAAGCCAGCTCACGAATGCAATCCTTCTCCTGAGTGACCAGGAGGGCGATTGGACTCAAGAGGCGCTCGCCGACCGTTTCATGCAGCTTCTTCGTGCGCTAGTGGGACATTTAGAGGCTGGGAGGATGCCTTGCACCTTAAATCTAAAAGTCAATCTGTTGTGCGAGTTAACACCGCAGGAAATAGATGAACTGGGATACACACTCTACTGCGCGCTGTCTGATCCTGAGAGCCTTTTGAGAACTGTTTAATCAATGCATGCACACACACACACACTACCACTGTTTCCACGCAAGCTGATACACAATCCAAAATAATTCTTATGTCACGTCATTTTCACACTTTTATATTTTTCAATTATACCATGGTTAATTGTCTTCAGGTAAATCTGTCTATTTTTTACAGCATGGCAAATCTCATTTAGGAGTTTTAGGCTTTGCTGATTCACACTTCAGTGTCATGAAGATTATATATTTATCTAGTGGAGGATCAGATTATCATTTTAGTGATCCCTATGTGATATTTTTTTATAAATTCATGCATCGTCTTCTCTTGTTTCAATTTTTACCAAAAATGCAAAGGGTTTCAGTGGAGGTCATTTCACTTATGTCTGATTTATAAAATGTTGATTTGAGGTATTATGGTTTGGTGTTTTGTCAGATTTAGTTCCTGTTTTCATTAAAATGCTTTCATATTGAGTGATTTCAGAGTAATATATACATGTTTAACACAGGAAGCAGGTCTAGGTTATTCAGATAGTAGGTTTCTTTGTTTTTTTTTATGACTTTCCAGTCACTTTTCATGAACAGAAATGACAATGTTGCATAATAGATTATTATTTTTAATAACATTTTTGAAGTATGAAGTTAAGGAACACTATTTAAAATGAGTACAATTGTCCAAATATTTTCCACTTAGTTTCTGTTCACTATTTAAAATGAACTACAAATTACTGTATAATTTAATTTAAAACAATGTTCATTTGCTCCTGTGCTCTTCTCACCCCATTTTGTGCCATTTAAAACATGTTCATTACCTGTAAGCAGCTGTGTTATGTCAGAGTGATATGTAAAGATTATTTGTCAGTAATGTAGCATACATTGATTATATTTAGCTACGTTCTATGAATTATCTTTCAAATCTGCTAAAAAATGTTCCGTGGGATGTGTGATGTTATTAAAATGATTAAAACAGGCGATTAAATACTGCTGAAATCAGGTGTCCCTTATCAAAGAGCTGATTTGTTGTATTAAAGCTGTCTAATGAACCAAGACAAACCTGCAGACGTTTTTTAAAAGGATATTTCACCCAAAAATTAAAACTGATACTTTTGCTCAAACTCAAAATATTCTAAACCTTATAGCTGCTGTGTAAAACAAAAGATATTTTGGAGAATGTTCGTGAACTAAACAATTGATAATAACCGGTGGTCTTAAGTCAGTGGCTCCCATCAACCACTTGGTTACCAGCATTGTTCGAAATATCTTTGAAAGAAGCTCATACATGTTTGTATGGGACAAAAGCAGTGTAAAATGATATCTGAGTTAACTGTTTTTGAACAAACGGTCCTTTTAAATCTAGAATTTAAATATTTTGGGAAAAATCTTGGTTTTCTGAAGCCGTGTGGATTATAAGGAATGTTTGGAAGAACAGAAAGGTATTGTGTGCAAAAATTCATAGAGATCTTTTAGTATTTTTGTACCGATTGTACAGATATAACCAAAAACAGGCGTGAAACTATTTATGTATATCTTCTGATCGTACCTTTATGTGCTTGTAGAGTCATTTGATTGAACAAAAATATAAAACAGGCAACGTCCGCGTTAGGAAATGCCAAAACTCGCAGGAGATCATGTGTTCATGTACCGAAGCGTTTCATTTGCTTGCGTAACACTTGTGTGATGTAGCAGATGCACATTTACCTAGCGAATGATGCGAGCGAGCAGCACCGGATCCAAAGTAGATCTGCAGTTCAGCTTGGCCTAGTGCTGTGTGCATGTGACGCTTGTGTTACTTGTTTCATCATTTCCTGTCTGGTGGATTTTATTTTTATTAAACAGCACTTTGTATTGGTTGTCATGTAAGAGTGTTTTGTGCCTCTGGTCTCTGTAATACAGAGCAAAGGATGAAAATAAAATAGAATGGTGTGAATTTGATGTGTGTTACTTGTGCAAGTATAAAAAAGCCTAATCGTTGACTTACACCACTTGTTATACTTTAGTTCAACATGAATGCATGTAATTAAAAACAGTGAAGATCTTTATGAGTTAAAAGATTTGCTTTTATATGAATCCTGGATAAAATAAATCAAAATGATAGAAGCTTCTTAAATGTCTGGCGAAGTGCTTTGATAGTTCAGTTCATGTGCATCAAATGAAAAGCAAATAGGTGCATTCGAGATGAATCACGGCTGCTTTTGAGTGACGCTCCCGGCCGTTAGATCGCCCCCTAGGGGCTGGCTGCAGTACAAGTCATAAACCCTTTTCCTCAGTGTTAATGAATGAGAGTTAAGCCCAAATAAAAATATATCACACTTGCAATACAATTTCCCGAAATTTGGTTTTGGTCAATAGAGGCATTGGTTATCACACTGATATAGGTGCAGATCTTCATTTTTGTAAAGAGTATGTTTTTAACCAGTATTTTAAAGCTATAAAAACGGGATGGGTCATCGTGATTGACAGTGGTGATTGACAGCTCCTCAAAGCAGACCGTCAGAGCTTCAGGAGGAGATTGAAGTGTTGTTATTCTATTTCTGTGCTGTTTTATTAAGATACAATGAGTTCAGCAGTAAACCATACTTTCTGACCTTGTCAGACACTATAGAGCAATTGGTTGTTCAGAATATTTGATGAGAAACTGAAGTATGAGGTGATATCAAAAACATCATTGAGTCATTGAGGCAGAAGTGACAAACTTTGGACATTTGTCTTCTAAAATACTGATACTAACATCTGAAAAGCTTTGTTTTCATTTCACAGGAACTTTAAGCAGCAGATCACCATATTCAAATGATTTCTGCAGGATCTTGTGGCATTGAAGACTGAATGTTGCTTTGGATTACCAGGAATATATTTTGTCAGTTAGACAAATCCTTGGTGAGAGCATACAAGTTAAAAACTCTAATTAGTGTATCTGCATCTTATTCACTTGTTTTTTTTATGTCTTTAAAATAAAATCAGTGTTGGAGGCGAACCAAATTAACATCAGTGGCATGACAGAAGTTCAGCCAGAGGTAATTCAACATTTGTCGCAGTTCAGATTGATTTAATATGGTGGCACATCCTGTTTGTTAAATGAAATGTCTAATTTTAGATGTCATGTGATGGACGCTTGCTTTATGTTACTAAAGAACGAAGTTGACGGATTTAATAAACTGGGCTCTCATAAACGGGGCGGTTTGTAGAATTCCGAAACCTTTGTTATTAGAAGCAGCATCTCTCACATAAAGATTAAGCATTCATAGACAACCTAGGAAGTCTGTGGAGGTCTTGAGTTTTATGTTTCATTGTTTTTATTTTATGTACATAAAATAAAGTTATGGACTTTCTTTTAGGAACAAAACAAGGATACAGGATTCAATTTCTGGAAATTTCCTTGTAAATTTAGAGCACAATAAATTTCTTAAAGGTTCTGTATGTCAGTTTTTGACTTTTTTAAAGCATAAAAATACCATAATAAGTTTGCAGATATTTTAGAAACATGCCAAGCGAACATTCTTGTTTATCTGAAAAACAATCCTCAAGTCAGATATTTTGTTTTGAAAATGTGAGTAACGTTGAAACATCTGTCTTTGTTTTGGTTGTTTTAACCCACCCGCTGCCACTTTAGCCAATTATATTCCAGCACCCCGGGTTGCCCTGTTGGAAAACCAATATTTTCAACATCTGAGGTGAACTATCTGCTGCTGCTTTCAGTAATATGGCAATAAACGTCCTGTAAAATGGCATTCAAACTCGCATTATTAGCATTTAACACTGAATAAAGCACATGAGGTGTACCTGAGGTGATCATTGTCAGTTTTCTGTTGATCAGCTGCAAGAAGCCGTTTCTAATGTCAATTTCAGGTGTTGGTTAGAACAAAAACTCCTTTAAATATGGAAAATATTTCTTTTATTGCGTGCCGTTGGTTTTATTTAGAACAGTGTTTGTCAACCTTTTTTTTCCTGAGACCCCCTTTTCCGCCTGAAAATATTGTAAGGCCCCCTCCACATTTAATGATATTATCGCTCATGTAAGTCTGCAGTGGGTATAACAAAAATAAGATTGTTTTCAAACAAAACGCGATGTTAATTACTATATTTACATATGTTTATGCACAAATAGCCTAATGTAAAATACAAAAGCAAAACATCAGTAGGCCATTTGTATCGGTTACACCTTGCGGAATTGGGGATGAGTCGTCTGGGAGTCTCCCGTATTCTTAGTCTTCCGTTCAGACCCATCTTCCATTTTGTTCTGTTGGTTGGTATGCTGTAAATATTTTATTAATTCGAGAGCCTCATGCATTCGTTATAATGCACTGTGGCTGGGTCAGGGACTCTTTGCTTCAAGAAAATGGAATAAAACCATAGTTCAGGTAACTATCTTGGTATTTCATGTTTCCAGTAATGTTAGCGATGTGACCTGAAATGTTTGGAACTTCCTCACCTGGGTCCAGTATACTTGGGTCATTACTATTAGCTGCTGAAGGTGAATCAGTGAGACTCTACGTGGAAGACTAATTACAAATTTGTCAATTTTTTGGTCAGAAAGGGGATAAAACATGATCATTCTTCTAATTTCCACTGCTAAAACAATGTTAAAATATGACGCAACCCCAAATAGAGCTCGCTGAGGCCCCCTTGTGGCACCCCCCTGTTGGGAACCGCTGATTTAGAACACTCCTAAATCAGCCTGAAATCAGCCTTTAGGCTCGATTGTCAAGGGTGTCGTCAATCTGGCAACCTGTGCTTGGATGTGTTTTGATACAGGAATGCAATACCTAGTTCAACCACAGGGTGTCAAACTTAAATACTGCACTTATACTAAAGTACAACACAAACCAAACAATCAACAACAAACTAAAAAAATCTTTAATTTTAGGTTTGGCAGATATTTGGCTACAGTTCCTATACAGTTATTAAGAAGCTCAGCTTTAACAGAAATACCATTCTTATTAATACAATCAACTCAATATAATACACTATAATACTATAATGTCAATTTCATCCAAGTGGTTTACAGACAAATATAAAAGTCGGCTGTCCAAAGAAAACCAAAAGTACCACAACAATTGATCTACCAGAACCTTAATCCTACAAAATAATGAATAGCATATGTATAAAATAAAACTGCATAGATTTGACTATGTAAACAGTGCAAAATAAAAGCAGGTTTTAAAGGGAATCACAGAGAGCCCTCAGCTAAACAAGATTCTCATTTCCTCTGCTTTGAATTTCAGACGTGGATAAATGTTTCTCTCATATCAGGTATTTGTTCATTTCCTCATGTTAAAGATGTGGATTTCAAACTTAAAGGGTTACTTCGCTCCAAAATAAATCATTTCTCATTGTTTCTCACTCTTTAAGACGTTTGTTTATCTTTAAAACACAAATTAAGAAATTTTTATTAAAATTGGGTAAACAAATTTGAGCAAAATTATCTTCTGATCATTTAGAACATTAATGAAAGAACATCTACTTGTATTAGCAATGTCATCTGAAACGAATACTCACCCAGTTATAACGCTGTTAACTTTAACCAGGTATTCAGTCTGTTACATCTCTCTAGAATACCTCAATTAAATCACTTAATCCATTTGGATTTGCTTATTGATCTCTTCAAGAATATTCTGAAGCTTGGATGGTTTTTGGCAAACACAACTTCAGTTTCATTTTTTTCATTTTTGTTCTGAAGGAAATTAAAAGTCTTAGGGAATCGAAACAATAAATGACAGAATTCTCGTATTTTTTTATTCCTAATGATTATTTAGGCACTATAATGTGATTGACTCTTTTCATTTAGCTGGAGCGAAGCCTACACGGTCCTGATCCCTGTCGAACACAGTGTAGTAGCGGCCGATGAACACGTCTCCCAGAATCCACAGCGGCCCAGCAGGAGGAGGGATATCCATCGCCATGAAGCCCGACAGACAAACATTCATACCCATGTGACTCACCTGAAAGAAGACGTAAATCAGGTCCATATGCTGATTTAAATATATCATTATTATGTTTGTTTACTTTCCAAACAAACAGAAAATGTTTATGATTGTCATAGGTTTTAGAGACAATTAATGAGGTTCTAGATTTATTTGGAAATCCTAAAAGGAAATGACGAACCTTCATGACATACTCCTGTCCAGTTAAGTTGAACATCTTTCCTCCAAGGCTAAAGGAAACAACTGGAAGTGTAGGAATCTTCTTACAGTCGATCCAGTACTACAAAAGAGAGAACAGAGTTAAATATGTACTGTAGATTACAGCTATATCATCACTGCATGATATGAAAATACGGCAGTTAAAGAGAGTCAACATGATTAAAATGACCAACAAATGAAGAGATTACATTTATGAGGAAGAATGAAATAAACTTTACGTTAAACATTTTCATTCATTTTCTTTTCAGCTTAGTCCCTTTACTTATCTGGGGTCGCCACAGCTGAATGAACCACCAACTTATCCAGCATGTTTTTACGCAGTGTCCATACACACTCATTCACACACATACACTATTTTAGCTTTACCAATCACCTATAGCGCATGTCTTTGGACTTGTGGGGGAAACCGGAGCACCCAGAGGAATCCCACGCAAACGCGGAGAAAACATGCAAACTCCACACAGAAATGCCAACTGACCTAGCCGAGGCTCGAACCAGCAACCTTCTTGCTGTGAAGGGAAAGCACTACCTACTGCATCACCCCATTTTAATTAAATATTATTTACAAAAACATTTTGGGTACGTTTTAGATTTTAAAAGACCTTATGTCTACTAATGCAGCACTGGAGTAAGCTAAAAGAAATATTTCAATTTATAATAACTAAAGAAGTAATACTATTAAACATTTTAATTTCTATTTAAAAAAAAAGGGTTTCAGCTTTTGCACACCAATAACTACAAACTCTGGTTCCAGTAATAAACATCTTTAAAGTAATCTTGTTAAAATTGTATTCTTTTAAATGGCAAAAGTATTTATTTTATTAAATGATTATATAATTATGAATATTTGTTGTGATATAAATATTCTACATTAATCTAAACACATTAGTTTTTCTTTTCCCTTTGAAAGAAGCCTTGCTTATAGATTGATTAACATCATATCCTATATTTTTATTTAATTCCATGTCAGCTGTTTTTTTTATGGCAAAAAACATTTCGCTAATAAATATACAATAAAAAAAACCCACAAATGAATACATGGAAATAAAAATACTAAAATTTGCTGAATATCACCTTGAGTAAGGCCCAATCCCAGTTCTATTTTGTACCCCTAACCCTTCCCCATCCCCTTGGCCCTTAAAACCTAGGGTGAAGGGGAAGGGCTTTAAAATTTACCCCTTGGGACACCACTACAGCACTTGCACACGTCATCATACTGTATGTCATCGCGATCTCATGCTTCATATGAGATCAGATGATGACGACTGCTGTAGTTATTTCAGTAGTGCTATTTTTTGTTTTTTATCTTCAGGAAATCACTGAAGGTATCTATTATGTTATCATACCGCTCTAATGTGGCAATAAGATCGTAATAATGTTCTGTGCATTTAAACAGTGGCCATATTCATCTATGTAAACACACCAAAACAACATTAACATTATAGCAGACACTGTAAAAGCTCATTCCCAGCACTAGACTTCTCTGACAGGGTATTCCAGCGTCATCAAGTGTCAGAATGTTATACAGGAGTTATGATTAGGGGTTATAGATCGCGAAATTTAGCAGTTTTTATTTAAGCATTTTTTTTTTTTTAAAGCATGACGGTAAAACACGAACGCGTTTATGAATATATTAAAATGTGCTTGTTTGTTGTAAAAGTTCATAATAATTACAAAAAAATTACTCATTTGTGGATCTCCTTACTTCCGGGTGCAGCTGTGGCTGGTGTATTCTGGACAATTTTCTTACCCCTTGCCTTTAGCCCTACGCCTTCAAGCTAAAGAGAATTGGGACACCCCTACCCCTTCACAGGAACACGCAAAATGAGGGTTGGGGTAAGCGGAAGTGCTAAGGGGTAGAATTGGGATTGGGCCTCAGTTCATCATCAGAAATTCCTTCTGCAATCATTAAAAGCTGGACAGTTCAATAGAATGTACTTTACAGTAATAGGAGTTTTGTGTCAAGGACACACAAAGAACCTTGGGTTAATCTTGTATGTCCAATACGACATCTGGTAAAAATCCCTTGATCAAATCTAAACTTAAAATATATTACAAAAATCTGTTAGAAATTTTAGGTTGTATTTCATACATGTTATTTTTCCATGTGTCAAATTTTGACCAAAATACTGTACAAATCCACTTACAGTATACAATAACTGTTTTCCATCTGAAGATAATAACTAAATCTGTATTCATGTGATACTTGAATGATTTTTCAGTGTCACATGATCCTTCAAAATCATTCAGCTCTGTGAATTTGCAGCTCAAACAGCATTTATTATTATTATTATCATCAATGCTGAAAATGGTTGCTGCTCATTGTTAAATCTGCATTCATTTGAGCCATTTAAGTCTTTGCTTACAATTCTAATCAACTTAAGGCATCCTTGCTTAAAAGTTTTTTTTTTTCAAAAACAAATCTTAATGACCCTAAACGTTTCATCCAATAGTACTATAGATCAGTGTTTCCCAACCCTGCTTCTGGAGGCACTGCAACAGTACATATTTTGTATGTCTCTCATATGCGACTCATTCATTTCAGGTTTTGGGATCTCTTTGAATGTTCTGATGAGTTGATTCGGGTGTGTTTGATTAGGAAGAAGGCTGGGAAACATTGCTGTATATAATAAATAATGTGTTTGTGAAGATGTTTAGGCTGAACAGCTCCTCACCTCCCCCATGAGCAGTGGAATGGCTCCGATGGCTTTCTGCAGTGCCCGCACCTCCTGAACGGGCCCCGTGATCATTGATGTTCCAGTATCAACAATAGCCTGGCATCCACTTTTGCAAAGGGTAAGAGTGGAACCAACCTGGACTCTGTAGAAAAGAAATGACTAATATATATGACCCTGGACCAAAACAACTGTAATAAGTGTCAAAATTTAGTTCTCATCTCAAACTGAATAAAATAAGCTTTCCATTAATGTATACATTGTTAAATGAGAACATTATTTGGCTGAAATAGATCTATTTCCATATCTGAAATCTGAGGATTCAAAAAAATGCTTTACTTAATATCCCAATGATTATTCGCATAATAGAAAAATGTATATAGTTTTCATAATCCACTTGTTAAGTCTTGACGTATCGGTGACGTATGGATCTGTTTCCGGGTCCAAGCCGCTTTTCATTTGAATTGAGAAAATATTTGTTTATGGCCAATCACACATTAAAGTGAAGTTTATATCAAAACATAGTGTACACATCGGTCTCTGGACTTGCTGCATCACAAATACCAAAATTTTAACAATTTATAAAACATCCCTTTCTGGGCGTCGGATATTAGGTATGGATAAATTGCGATCGAGATTTTCGAAAGTATTACGTCGCTTTGTAAACATTTACTATTAGCAATTGATGAGTCTCCCTATTCAGTTTCATAGAGCGCTTTGACCCGAAAGCCCCTTCGCGTGACGTCACACTTACCAAGCGCATAGCCAAATCGTATGCAACATAAGTCATCCAGGGTCACATATTAGGTCACTTATATGTGAGCCTAATTACTGTTACTCTCTCTCCTAGACAATTCACATCAGGGACGTAACAGGATTTACCTAAAGACTATGCCCAAAATAACCAAACATTAAAGGCCCAGTATCCACGTGCTATTAAAATGAGTCTCTTGTGACCACTTGTGTTCGTATTTCGTTCCCTCTTCCTCCTTTTTTTAAACAGTGCGGTGAAGTATGAATACCTTGTTTTGCAGGGCTTTCTTGTCCCCTAACAATCACATGTTAGATCAGCAGACACAGAGTTGGTCAACTTTGTGGCTTTTCAAAAAAGCATTCTACCAAATGAGCCTTTACACCACATATGTTGTTTAAAGGGATAGTCCAATCAAAAAATTTATTCTCATTATTTACTCAGATTGAAGTGTTTTTTTTACTTTCTTTTTTCTGGTGAACACAAAACAAGATATTCTGAAGAATTCTGGGGGAAAAGCAGCCATTGACATCCATAATAGGAACAGAAAATACTGTGTTTTTTTCCCCTTTCTTCAGAAAACCTTCCTTTGTGTTTAAAGAAGAAAGAAACTGAGACTGGTTTGGAACAAGTTGGTTCTGGAAAGTTGAAAATTGAAAACCTGTGTTTAGTGTCATCAACTTGCCGTCAGATTAACAAAAGCGCATCTTAATATCAGGTGTAAACAGCGCCAAAAAGCCACATCTGAAACATCTTGTATAGTAATGTAATGGTTATGGTAACATACTCATCCATTTTTATCTGCCAGTAGGCTTTTCGCGTGACGTTGACATAATGCAGATCGCCGTTGAAATACTGCTGGTCAAAACCTCCCAGCATCAGCTCGCCTCCAACATCACCGGCCGGGTCCCTGTCCAACACATCCATTCATGATATCCAGCATGTTGACACCACACAGTGTAAGTAAACTCAATATTTAAAGGCATAGTTCCCCAAAAAATATATACTATACTATATTTTAATCTCAATGTGTCTTTCCTGTTAAGATAAAGGTTATAATAATAATAAAATTTTGAATTCTCTCATCATTCACTAACCCCTCACTCATTAAACCTAACTAGGTTTCTTTCTTCTGTTGAACACAGAAAATATTTAGAAAAATGCTGGATGATGGAATCCATTGACTTCAATAGTATTTTTTTTCCTACTATGGAAGTTAAAGGATCAAAATATTTGTGTTCAACAGAAGAAAGAAAGTCATAAAGATTTAAAATAAAACAAGGGAGAGTAAATGATTTTTGGGTGAACGAAAAAACATTAAAACATTAAGACTCTTTAAAACATGGGAAGGGGAAGGGGAAAGTAACTCACATACACACATTTGAGTCACAAATGATTCAGTTAGTAAAAGAAGCTTGTTATACAGAGAGAACAATCAACTCTAGTGTGATAGATTGGCCGTAACTTTTTTTTTTTTGGAGAGCAGGATGGGGGTGGCAGTGCTATGCAAGCAGTTATGAGAGTCATGCGTTACAGTTTAACACAAGAATAAAAATCATTTGTTCTTGCTTAAGGTCACACTATCAGCCAGATTCCTCAAAAATATAGAACTGAATTGGAGAAGAGATTAGAGGAACCTTAGAGAATGTGGTTTCACAATTCCTTTCTGAACTGCCTCATGTCAATATTAAATGTAGACCGTTTGGCTATTAAACAATCTGAATAAACAGTCAATGGAGTGTAGTGAACTGAGAGGGTAATAAAGCCTTACCGGTTGATATAGAAAGAGAAGATATTCTGGGGCAAGATTTTGGCAGCCATGGCTGTGTCAAACACAGGCGTGACCCTATCTACAGAAATGGCGGGGTACGCCATGCCCAGGACTCCATCAAAGCGTGCCACCGCGAACACAATCCCAGGCTGTTTTACCGCCTCTGCAAACTGCTGGCCTGTCACATTCAGCCCTGCCAACTACACACACAAACACACACACACACAAATGACTGACTTTTTGGATGCCAAGTTGAACGTAATTAATCCCTCCCTATTCTACAAATGGCTCAAATTATACATTACATACACTTCCCTTGTGTCCCTTGTGTTTCGTGCAAGTCACATTGGATTAAAGCATTTGCTAAATGAAGACATAGAAAGTCATTTTATATTCAAATCTTATTTAATATTTTGCATTCAATTTTAGTTTATTAAATGTATAAAGCTGTAATGGACACTGCAATGACGATGATGAGAAATACAACAGGTATGCTAGAGCATTTGCCCGTTTTTATGGTTGCATCTTGTGACATCATATTCTCTTTTTGGTTTGTTTAGATGTTTTTGGTCTGTGTTGCATATATAAGCAATATCGCAGTGCGATAGTAGCAGTGCGATATGTCTGTATATCGGCACTGGTGTGAGGCTCGGCGTGTGTTGGCTCGAGGCTGCAGACTAAGTGCTTTAATAGGTCACAAGTATTGATATACAGCCACATCACACTGCTTCTTGTGTGATATTGCGTTTATACAACTGTTTGACAGCATAATCGTGTGTATAGATGAGAAAATAAAACATGCATAGTCTAAAAACCCTTTTGTATGAGGAACTACTTTCTTCTGCAATTCATTCACATCCGCAGCTGACGTTAAAACAGCAGAAACTATTGCTACTTTACAGATGTCACTTTAGAGCTAGTGTTTGAATGATTCTCTAGCGTAATGTCTAAAATGATGATGAAACAGGTGATTATGCTGACATTTGAAGATTATAAGGCTGAACGGCATGAAATGCCATCAGTCTACAGAGAACTCCCAGTATTTCTCTGTTGCAATCGGGAGATCACAATAATTAACCCTGAAAAAGCCAAAGCCAAGCAAACACTACCAAATTATTATAGCATAAATACAGAATGAGAGAGATCAACTTAGAATGTCTTATAATGATTTGATCAGCAGGGATTTGAAATTTAGAGTTTTTCTCCCTAAGGACTTATGCGGTCTCTGTCGCCATCTTGTGGCACAATGTAAACTGGCTGTTAAATCGATGAATCTTCGAAATGATAAACATTTTAAAATTGGCACTATCCTTATAACTAAACTGCATAGTTGCAATCTATACAACTACATTTTCGACTAAAAAAGGCTCAAAAGTACATTATGCTGTCCAACAGCTGCAATACTTGTCAAACTTTAGTGAGTTTCTATATAACAGTATAATGAAATTTTGGTTAATAATAAGTTGTTTGTGTCGTTTTTCTAAGGAAGGCATGACAATCTTAAATTAAACAATATTAAAAAATTAGTTTAGAATATATCAATAGTTTGATGATGTCATAACTGGACTGAGTCATAATAAGAAGGTAAAATCAGAAACTGCAGAATTACTCTAATAGAGAGTTATTTTCAATTGAGAAAACTTCATTTCGCTTATCGCTTATTCTAGCTGTTAAAGCACTCAAATTATTAAACCTAAATAAATTGACTTTTTTTTGTCAAAGCAGTTGACTCACATTGACTGTATCCTGACTGATGAAGCCAGAGAGACTCCCTCTGCCATACTGAATGGAGAACTCAGTGCCATTCTGAACGTACGTGCTTGACTTCTTAGAGTTATAGCGACGGTGCAACCCTGAGAACATAATGTAAACAAGGTTAACAAAAGCAAAACACATAGATTCATACAAGAACATCACTTACAGCATGCTATGTCCAGGAAGGCGCAATGGATAGATGGAACCCAGAGGTTTGATGATCCGGTGTCAAACAGCACACTGAAGTCCTGAGGAGGCGTACCAATACTGATCATGCCATAATACTGGGCCTGAAGAGGAGGAAAGAACACTCACTATACTGCATATGCAAGAACCAAAGCCCCAAAGGGTATGATAGCAGATCCACTCACATCCATGAAGTTGGTGAGTTTCTCCACAGGTGGTGGGAGTTGTGTTGTTGTTGGTGCTGGTATTGTGACGGAGCCTTGATTGGTAAATGTGCCATCAGAATATTTCGCCTTCATTTTAGCCAGAGATTTGATCTCATCGATAGTCTTGCCATTGTCTGCCAACATGCGGCGCACAGTACGCATCTTGTGCAGAGGAATTCTAGAGGCAGAGATTTAGTTCAGTAGAGTAGTTTATTGCACATATAAAATTGTGGCTATTAAATAAATGACACCAATGCTCTAAAAATACACATTTATTAAATAACCAAATCTAGGCTGATGATTTGTGGAGTATTGCAAAGTTTAATAATAAAGTTATTGAAATGTTGGTCATTTGCAAGTGTTTTTTAGGAACACTTCAAGCCAGGTAAAACATTCAGGCAAATTAATTATACTGATTGTAACTATAAAAAAAGATTAATTGTAATTATGTAAATATACAAAAAAGTCTATATAATGTTAATTAATTAGTTTACCCTAATATTGCTAGACTCCCAGAAACCAATCTATTTCACTTGCACTTTTGCTATACTGTATTTATTAAGACGTGTGATTCATTTAATGTATTTTAATTTACAGGGGCGGCACAGTGGCTTAGTGGTTAGCACTGTCGCCTCACAGTAAGAAGGTCGCTGGTTTGAGCCCTGACTGGGTCAATAGGCATTTCTGTGTGAAGTTTGCATGTAATTCCCGTGTTGGTTTGGGTTTCCTCTGGGTATCCACCACAAGTCCAAAGACATGCGGTATAGGTGAATTGGGTAAGCTAAATTGTCCGTAGTGTATGTGTATGCCCTCCAAGTTGGGGGTTGAGAATTGGGCTAATGACTCGCCTCGTAAAAATGAGTTGTTACAAAACACTAATACGGTGCAGCTAAATATCAACTTCGATATAAACGGTCCTGGGAATAAGTATTTTATTTTTTACTCCTCTACAAAATCATCATAATCAGTACAAAATTTCCTAAATTGTTATTTTTCCAAAAAGAGCTATTCCAGAAATTTTATTCAATATTGCAGGAAAAAAAGTATGTCAGTTTTTTTCAAATATCGTGCAGCCCTAGCTCGCGGTGACAAGTTCAGTTTCCAGCTTGAGGTCTTTGCTGATTCTGTTCCCCTTTCTCTGCTTCCCACACTTTTCTGTCTCAACTGTACTGCCCTAGACAATAAAGGTGAAAACCCCCTAAAAATAATTACACTACATTTTAATAGTTTATAAAAATGTATTAATAAAAATGACATCATTATGATCCATGTAATGCTGCATTTTTGCTATTGTGTTATACATTTTAGTGTGTTTTCATATATAATTGCTATTGATTAAATATTGTCACTGCGCTATTACCATGGTGAGTTTAAGATGTTAAAGAAAAGCAAAAAAGTTTAATACAGATTTAATTTCCCTCAACCCCCACATACACTTAAGTGCAAAGGTCACAAACTGGATTCCTGGAAAGTGGCAGCTCTGCACAGTTTTGCTCCAATTCTATTCAAACACACCTGATCCAACTAAAGAAGGTGTTCATGACTCTTGAACACCTTGATTATTTGGATCAGCTGTACTTGATAGGGTTGGAGCAAAACTGTGCAAAGCTGCAGCCCTCCAGGAATTTAGTTTGAGACATGCTTTAGCGCAGCAGTGCTCAACCCTGTTTCTGGAGATCTACCTTCCTGCAGATTTCAGCTCCAACCCTGATCAAACACACCTGAACCAAATGATTAGGAGCTGAACAGCAGTTGATAATTACAGGCAGGTGTGTTTGATATGAGTTGCAACTAAAATCTGCAGGAAGGTAGATCTCCATGAGCAGGGTTGGTCACCCTTGCTTTAATGTATCCTGACTGCTTACATTTTTTTCCATTTAGACCAGGGGTGTCCAAACTCAGTCCTGGAGATTGATTGTCCTGTAGGTTTTAGCTCCATCTTGCCTCAACACACCTGCGTTTATGTTTCTAGAAAGCCTACTAAGAGCTTGATTAGCTAGCCCAGGTGTGTCTGATTGAGGTTGGAACTAAACTTTGCAGGACACCGGGCCTTCAGGACCGAGTTTGGACACCCCTGATGAGACATTTTCAACATGATATACAGAAGACACACAAAAACAAACATTTCAGTGGAACAAACGTTTATTGTATCAAGATGCCTTGTTATTTTAGAAAATATATTTTAACTTTCATTTTCAGTTTTATAGAATTTCCCTTCAGCCACAAAATGTAGCCTTTTGGATATTTTAATGAGTATCGATCAGATTGTTTTTACATAAATGTATGTTAAGATTAATGACAGTTAATATGGTGGCAGTGCGTTCAGAAAAGCATTGATAACACCGCCCATGAATAGCTACGCATGAGCAAAGCATTGCATTGCTATTGGTCGATTTGAAGTCAACTTAAACTTTCAGGTTTTTGTACTAGTGAGAGGTTTTCATGTACCTTAACAATGTGAGGCGATTATATAAGAAAACATGCCAATTTATTGGTCGATTAAATCAACTCTTACGCTTAAAAGATCTGATCACGAGCTGAACATCACTGCGTCAAACTAGATCGCAGCCATTATAAACAACTGTAAGCCTGACATTTCAACTCGCTTTATGAAAATAAGTTTTGTTGCTTCGACGTTTGTTTACATTATATGGCTTATCAAATTGGACTTTGCGAACAGTAGATCACACATGTAACTGTTTACTGAAATGTAGCCATACTCGGTCATGTGAGTTCAACTTCCTGATCTTCAGCGCCAGTTGATGCTGCTGCTGTTTTAAGCTTTTTACACACAACCTCCAAAAGCAGCACTGTAATTATGATGTGTATGAAAATAGTCTTAACTGATGATATATATCAGATGTATTTCATTTGATTGCAAAACTATAGCTGATTTCAAATATAGCTGAATGTTGCAAATACATTAAGAGATATTTAAAGCAAAATTACATAAATACATACAATGCGTATGTAGAAACACATGTTGAACAGATACAAATACAATTAGATCACTAACAAATAAGAAAATGCTTGCATTTACCTGATTATTGCTTGGCTGTCCGCAATTAACAGCCCTATTAAAAACGCGAATAGGTGAAAGCCGTTCATTTTCTGATCTTTAAAGGAACCGAATAGTTGTACTTCTTTTCTGATCCTTATATGACTTGCTATTGCAATTCTGAAATTTTACTCGTACCGCCACCCCTTGTGCGCAACTCATACATCCGCAAGTGTATTTCGGAGAGCTTCGTGGAACTTCGGGGATTTCCGTTGTACTTGGTTGAAGCGCAAATCAACAAAGTTCAGTTTGACACACCCGCTTCTTCATGGAATGTGCTGAAATGTGGTATCACTGGTTGAGTTACATCAATTCAATTAAATGCAGCTGTTGATATGATAAACGAGTTCTACTGTGAGTAGCAAGAAGATCAGTTTTACTGTGAGTAGTCAAAATAGAAATGGCCTTCCTCATTTTCGTCAGAAAAAGCTGAGGAACAGAGGAAGCAAATGTGGTACAACGCAATCGAGGAAGTGGAGTAATCAAACCCAATGATTTGTTTTTCTTATAGGTAGTCGTACAAAATATAGACTATTTTTGACAATGTATTGCAAAAAACTCTGCTATAAAAAGTGTAAATAAATAGGCTAAATAAAAAATCATCACATAACTTATAATAGTTTCTACTACACATAGCCTATTATTAGAATCACAAAACATTTGAATTTAAACATTAAAACTAGTACATTTTGATGGAATGTACTGGTGTCATCAACAAAATACACTAAATTGCATTTAGGCCTGCAAAGACCAGTTTCCATTAGAGCAATTGTTCAACCAAAAATGAAAATCTATTCATTATTATCTACTCTCCCCCAAGTGGTTCCAAACTTTTATGAATTTTTTTATTCTGTTTGGGGGAAAAACTATGAAAGTCAATTGTAACAGGTTTTTAACATTTTAATAAATATCACCTTTTGTGTTCAACAGAAGAAACAAACTCTGATTTGGAAGTGAAGGGTGAGTAAATGATGACAGAATTTCCAGTTTTGGGTGGACTATCCCTTTAAAACCATTATATATCTCCATATAATCATTTATATCATTAGCCATTAGCCAGTATACATTACCTGACAAAAGTCTTGTCAGTGATCCCAGTTGTAAGAGCAACAAATAATAACTTGACTTTTTGTTGATCACTTGGAAAAGGGGCAGAAGGTAGATATCAGTCAAGTTTGTTTTCTTTCAGATTTTCTTTTCGGCTTAGTCCTTTTATTAATCTGGGGGCGCCACAGCGGAATGAACTGCTAACTTATCCAGCATATGTTTTACACAGCAGATGCCTTTCCAACTGCAACCCATCACTGGGAAACACCCATACACTCTCATTCACACACATACACTATGGACAGTATAGCCTACTTAATTCATATATAGCGCATGTCTTTGGACTTGTGTGGGAAACTGGAGCACCTGGAGGAAACCCATGCCAACACAGGAAGAACAAGCAAACTTCACACAAAAATGCCAATTGACCCAGTTGGGGCTACCCACTGCAGCACGGCGTCGCCCATGGTCATAAGTGTACTGTAAAAAATAGTTTAGTTTTTTAAATAGAATTTGCAGTCAAAATAATATTCAATAACATACTCAACACATACATTTAAATAATAGTTTTTGACTACACTGATTGGATGTTCTCGTGGAGCCCGCCTCTCTACATTTGTTCCAAGTGGTGATGGTCTGTACACTGTGGACAGGCAGATGCAGGGGCTTCATCCTGATATCTTGTTTAGCTGGTGAGTAGACCATTTATGGAGATCAAGAAAATATTTTCTCATAACTGTTCATTCGATCTGCTTGGCTTTGTAGGCAAACCTAGCTCCAGCCGTTCTGGGATTAAAGCCTATGACTTGCAAGGATTTTTCAAGATTGCCAAAATAAAAAAGCAAGAGTGGAAATAGAGGTGAGATTTGTTGTCTTACTCTTCTACATCTTTATTCACGGTAGTGATCATTTATTAATCAATCAATTTACTAATCAAGTTTTTCATTTGATCAAGACATGCTGTGAAAGTTTTATAAATATTGTCAATGAAAAATTTTGTAATGAGCATGTGTATATGGTGGGAATAGGGAAAGGAGTAAAACAGTTCTTTGTCTTTCTCCTTGCACACACTAAAGGTTAGAGCCGCTGTGAAATGTGAGGCCGCTGTGTTAATTTGAACAGGGCAGAATGAGATCAGAGGTCAAACATGCAAGAATTTTGCCAAATCATCTTTGAAGACAAAAAGTTAAAAGTATATATTGTGTTAATGCTGAAATACTGAAAATAATAATAATAATACATAAATAACGATTCCGAGACTGTAACTCTGATTGTTTCTTGTTTATATGCTAATGTTCAAATGTTTGGGGTCGGTGAGATTTTTACAAAGATATTCTTATTTTTAATCAATGATTATTAATATTTTGTCAAGTTAAACTGTCACATTTAAGACTTTTACTGTGATATTAATAGAAACTATTTAGTGTTTGTTTGAAGGATCATTTGACACTAGAGTATAATGTTGATTTGAACTACATGAACAATTATTTTAAATTGTGACAGCATTTCAGTATTACTATTTCAACTTCATTATTTAATCAAATAAATCCAGAGATGTTAAAGTATCAATTATTTAAAAAACGTTGACCACAAGCTTGTGATTATTTTTTATAATTTCACGCAAGATTGTTTTTTGTGTGAACGATGTGAACAATAAACTAAAATAATCTTAATTTTATAATCAAAATGTTGTGTTTAAATGCAGTATTATTAGTATATTTGTTGTTTCCCCTAGGCTTAGTATATTCAAAGTTTCAGTTTACCTTAAATTGCAGGTCTGCAGGTGGAGGAAGGCGCCACCATGAGGCCGACAGTGGGATGTCTGTTGCTCTCTCTAATGATGTCTGTGGGTCAGACTCTGAAGTGTCCGCGTGTCTGCGTCTGTGACAACACAAAGCTCACTGTGAAGTGCATAGGGAATAATCTCACACACATTCCACCTACTATAGACGAGGTGAGTGTGATTTTCAACATTCAAATAAAAGCCAAACAAAAGCCAAAGTGGATAAGTCCGCTGACATATAGCACCATGATACTCACGACCAAAGTTTGATTCCTGTCTTGAGGTCTTTTGCCAATCCTTCCTCTCTCTCTGCCCCTAGTGCTTTCCCGTCTTTTCTCCACTATCCGATCCCAATAAAAGGTGAAACCCCCTAAAGAATAATCATGTTAAAAAAAAATAATAAAAGTATTAATGTCATTAATAGAGCTGTCGAAAATACAAAACGCGTCTCTATTCTCTCTTGAGCTTAGTTTTCAACAGCAGATGGCGCTGTAGGCTAGTTTTTGGCCATTCACTTTTGGTGCTTGTGAGTCATGTCATTTGGCTTTTATATCATCAGATTAATGTAAACACAGCTCACTATCAACACTCTTGTAAGATGCTTAAACCTTTACCTGCTTTCTTAATACTTCTTTTAGATTTAAGTGGTATCGAATGCTGACCGATTTTGGCTGTTTGTAAAGCCTACAGCGAGCCACCTGTTGTTAAAAACCAAGTTCAGAATCCATTCAGTAGAGAGGATCGATGCTTGATTAAATTTCTTGAATTTCAATTTCTTTAAACACACACACACACACACACACACACACACACACACACACACATTTATATATATATATATATATATATATATATATATATATATATATATATATATATATATATATATATATATACTCAGTTTTTATATTTTGTATTAGTGGTTATAGGGGCTTACAATTCAGAAGCCCTTGTTATTATTAACACCAGTGGCTATTCAATGAACTGCAATCAGAACCTGTGCCCAGACAATTGCATTCATATAACATAAGAGAAAGTGAATGAGATTCATGAATACACTCATGGTCGAAATCTTTTTGCTTTTTGATTAGAAGTGAAAAACAAAGTTGGAAATGGGTATGCAGTGATATATTAGAAAACAAACATCCTAAACATCTTCTTCATAATATTTTTCAATTTAAAATTTAGATTTTTGTAATGCTAACAATTTTGTTGTTGTAGAAGAGATTTTTTATCATTTTTTTTTCTTTTGAACATTTCACACATATATATGGTAAACTGTAAATCATGTACATTTATTTAAATATGATACAGTAAGTTTTATAGGAATACGAGGTACACTCTTAAGTTTCCATTTTTGTTTTTCTCAATTTCCTTTATATATCTTACAAATCTCAATGGGTTTTAAGACCCAAAACCCACTAATTATAAATTACTGTTAGGAGATGGTTGAGTATATTTTGCACAATAGAACAACATAAGAAATGCTAAAAATATTGCTGCAAATTTTAAAAAAAGCAACTGACAATCTTGTCCGAGAAGGTCTCATTTTTAAGCATTTCTTTAGACATAACAAATGATATGACAATATAACACAACACAATTTTATTTACATGTTTTCATTTAGAAAGAAAAACAAACAAAAAAGACAACAACAAAAAAGTAAGAAAAAGGCACTGGTCGCTTCAATTAGTAGCAGATTATTCCAGATAACAATCTATGTCAGTTTACCTACAAGCAAGGTTGTAGAACGGAGGGTGCTATGGCAGCTTTACGTTTTATTTATTTATTTTTTTCCCTAAACATTTAGACAAACCTGATACTTGTATAAGGACTCTTTTTCTAGTTATTTTCACAGCATTCAATACAATCCGTGCTGACATTTTTGGTATCTAAACGTATTGAGTTGGAAGTAAATCCTTATCTGATTAGGTGGTATGTTTCTTTCCTTACAAATAGAATTCAGACAGTTAAACTGAATAGTTTTGTCTACTGCAATACAAACAAATGTTGGAGCACTCCAAGGTTGTCTGAGTTGTGAACAACTGTTATGGACAGGTCTAATCCAGTCTTTCTCAACCACAATCCTAAAGGACCACCAGCTCTGCACATTTTCCATGTCTCCTTAACTAAACACACCTGATCGTGATTATCAGCTCATTAGCAGAGATTGTAAGACTTGTAATGGGTGTGACAGACAAAGGAGACATACAAAACATGCAGTGTTGCTGGTCCTCCAAGAACGTGGTCGAGAAACACTGGCCTAATCAATTCATCTTAAAGTACACAGATGATACAATATTAATATTTCTATTGAGCAAGATAGAAGTTACGGGATTGCAATAGAAAGGTGTTAATAATTTTGTGGAGAGGAGTGACAAATACTCTACCAACTCTCCAAAAGTCTTTCCGAATAATCGGACTAACATGTAAGATTTGGTAACTTTATTATGAGCACGGGAATCAACATTTTTAGATGCTGGTTTTGCATTTGTCTTAGATCATAGTGAAACTGGACTTGAAGAAGAATAATTTTGGGGAACTGCCCAAAAATGCCTTCAAACACACCCCGTACCTGACCCAGCTCAGCCTGCAGGGGTGCAGTGTCCAGGCCGTCAGAGAGGGGGCGTTCCGGGGCCTTTCACGCTTGTTGCAGCTTGACCTCACCAACAACAACATTGACATCCTCTACCAGGTTTGTGTCAGAAGTTATCGTTTAAGCCTGTAGGTGTGTTTATTAAAGATGAATGGAATGTGTGATTTGATCAATGTTTTTTTTTCTTTCACTGCTCCTTTAGGAGTCATTTGATGGTTTATCATCACTGAAGCAGTTGTATTTAGACCGGAACCGCATTGAAGAGATCCATCCTGGAGCTTTTGCTGCATTGAACTCTTTAAACCTGCTTTCACTCACTTATAACCAGCTAGTCTACCTTCCTAATATGGCATTTCAGGTATACTAATGGTAGATGTTTCTTCAGGATGGACATATTAAATTAAAGGGATAGTTAATCCAAAGCTGAAAATTCTGAATATTCTGAATTCTGAAAATTCCTATACTTGTTTAAAACCTCTATGCATTTATTTCTTCTATTAAACGCACACAAAGATATTTTGAAAAGTATTGGAAATCTGCAACCATTGACTCCCATAGTATTTGTCTGTCCTATTATGGAAGTTAATAGTTACAGGTTTATAACATTTTTTCAAAATGTCTTTTTTTTTGTGTTCAACAGAATAAATTGAAGGCATTAAAGGTTTGGAATCACTTGAAGTTGAGTAAATAATGTGTAAAATTTCATTTTTGGTGAAACTGTCCCTTTAAGAAGTGTCAGTAAAGATATCACAGAAATAGATCACATTTTAAAATGTATTTAAAATGTATTTATAGTATATAATGTGTAATAATATTCCTCAGTATTGTGGTTTATACTGTATTTTTCTTTATACTTTTAAACTTTTTAACGCCAATCTTCTGAGCAGAAGAACACATCATAACTTCATAATGAATTGTAGAATTTCCATTAGGTTTTAGTGTTAAAATCTCTCCCCTTTGAAGTTACACTGGTTTGTTAGTTAGTTTGTAAGTGTGTAATGTAATTTTACATTTCTGGAATTTAATTTGACATATAAACAATTAATCCTGAATTAATATCTCCCAAATATTGATGTCTCCCAGGGTATGATGAATATCCAAATGTTACACTTGAGTCATAACTCCCTTAATAATCTGGCGACTGAAGCCTTTGCTGGTCTTCTTGCTCTTACACACTTAAACCTGGACCATAATGAACTCCAGTACTTCCCCACCAAAACTATGACCAGGTAAATGGAAATTTTTACTATTATTATTAATATCGTTATTATTTTAGTAATCTCTTCTCTTGTTTTGTCTCAGACTGATTGAGGTGACTCATCTGGACATGAGTTATAACCCCATGACGTATCTGGTTGAGGAGAGCGTGGTTATGCCGAAGCTCACACATCTGTCTCTGAAGCACAATGCTCTGCAGGATCTGTCAGAATCTACCATATCTCTGTCTCCTGTCATCTCTCACCTGGACCTGAGCTTCAACCAGCTGTCGTATATACAGGCCCTCGCAGCATCTACACACCTCACCAGCCTGAACCTCACCGGTGACTCTGTGTTTTGTTTATACTTCACTATTTTTGTATTTAATGTTTCTTTCGTATATTGAATCTACTAGTAGTATTAATATATGAATATTTTTTTTATTTTTTATGCAGATGTAGATTTTTTTATGTAATTAAAAAGAAATTTAATATTAATAATTTATATTTAATACAATATCAATTTTAATGCATGATATCCTACATGTGAAATATAACAATTTCAATTCGCACTAACAGATTTTTAAAACTGTAAAAATATTAAAATGTAATTTAATAAAAACATATTTCAATAATTAAAACTGAATTAGTATTCATGACAAAAAAGAAATTCTGAATTAAATAATGATAATAGTTATATTATTATTAATAATAATAGTAATAATAAATAAAAATAGTAATAATAATAAAAGTATTAATAAATAATAATAGATAATAATAATTGTAATAATAATAATAAATATAAATAATCATTTATATATACATTATTATAGTAATAATAATAACAATAATAGTATTCATAAATAATATATATATATATATATATATATATATATATATATATATATATATATATATATATATATATATATATATATATATAATAGGATTAATAATAATAATTATTATTACTATTTTTATTATAATTTATTATTATTATTATTATTAATAATAATAATCTTTCACTCACATGTCTCTAATCCCAAAATACTACATAAATGTTTGATTACACACCCAAAAGTCCTTAATTTTTTTAAATGACTGTGCCTGACTGTGAAGTGGTCTCTTTCATTGACTGTCCTTCAGGAAACCCCATCAGGTGTACATGTTTACTGCGGGATCTGAAACTGTGGGCACTGAAGTCAGGAATCAGACTCTTTGGGGTCTGTGCTTGGCCTCCACACCTCTCAGATGAACCTCTGGAAAATGTTCAAGAACAGGATCTCCGCTGCAGACCGCAGGATGAGTGGACATCAGATGTGATTGAAGAAGGCACAAAAGAAGAAGAAGAAGGAGTGCAAGAAAAGACAGTATCTACAGCCAAGTCAAAGAAAACAAGGAAATGCCCAAAGGATTGCCTATGTGAGGTGAGATAGGGGCTGGAAAATTTTAATGTAATGTAATGAAAGCTCGTTTAAATGATAACAAGATTTCTTATGCTATCTGCTAGGCAAGGTTATTTTTTAGAAAAATATTTTATCACTCACTAGCTGTTTCTATCTACTTATTTTTATGCACACTTTAAATATGTTGGATGAAAATGCCAAGACAAGCATTACAAAACTTTGTTACAAAAAGTTTATGTTGCTCCACACAGTTTGGCTGGTTTTATTGTGCTGGTTTCACTCTGTTTCCAGCGGTAGTTGTTGGAAGGAGTGAATCGACTTTCACAGCACATGCAGAAAGCGCTGCACTATGAATGCCAGTTTGTTGCTGTGTTGACAAAAATTGATGAGCATTGGAGCACACACGCCAAAGTCAAATATAAAAATTGCTCATCATTTTGCTCTGTTAATAATCTGCTCGTGAACCTGTATATTTGTTTATGCATGACCCACACGTGCTTACTGCAGAAAGTCCACTCAAATAACTCAGACAGGACATTTCTATGTAGTAAACATGTTCCTGCAGATTACAATAGCATTACTGTGGCAATGCTGGTAAACTGATGCCCCTCACCTTATTCACTGTCAATAAAATGTGGTAATTTTTGTTGGCTTGGGTTTTTTATAATCTAATTTACTGAGTTACATTTAAATAGTCTTTCAATATGGTCTTATTTAGTAAATAATAATTTTTATTAATTATTATTATAATAATAATAATTTTTTTGCAATAGGTTTCTTCTTTTGCATATAGTATTTTCAGTTTCAGTTGAGAATTTTCATTATGGTAAACACCCTGCCAAAAAAAACATTTATTGGTTTTTAACAAGACCATACACAGTAGTATGTAATACAGAATAAGAAAAATGACAGATTGTCTTAGTCTTTTTATTTGAAAAAAATGCATGTTTAGCAGATTCATAATTGTGAAGTGCCGAAGAAGACATGGTCGGCGGTTAGTGCTCATGTTAATCATGTTTATTTTCACGTTTTAACACAAATATGCACTAGTGCTCTTTAACATAAATCAGTCTCTTTGTAGAACTCTGGGTGAGCTCTTGTGGCAACACAGCTTGGCAGCCTGTGATAAATTTGATGCACACGTCTCACAGAAATCCTCTAGAACTCATTCAGTCAGATGATGACTCTGAATTACTTCCAATTTTGTGTGCCATATGCATGAGAAATTTATTCAGCGTGACGTCTGAGGCAGAGACTAATGTAGATGTAACCTTTGAAATATACCAGATTCCTTCTCCTTGCCTGGTGTAATCTACATATCTCATCTCCCCACGTTTTCTGTTCTCTCTCCTCTCTCCCTGAAGTATGCAGCTCAGCACGCTACATGTGAAAACCGTGGCCACACTAAAGTCCCCTCTGGTTTCCCGAGAAAAACACTTCTTCTTGACATGCGTGGCAATCATTTCCACTATCTCCCAAGCAAAAGTTTCCCTGGCATCCCCGAGGTGGTGTCTCTTCACCTGGACAGCTGTAAGATCCATGAGATCGAAGGTGGAGCTTTCCAGGGCATGAAGAACCTGATATACCTCTACCTGTCCGACAACCAGCTGTCCTCTCTGGACGCAAAAGTCTTTGAAGGTGCCCATGAGATCATGTACCTTCACCTGGAAGACAATAAACTCACTCATTTTCCTTCATCAGCAACTCTGACTCACATTCCCAAACTCCTGGAGCTGCATCTGGAGAGAAACCTCATAGCTAAACTAGAGCCTTCAGGACTTCTTTCTCCAGTCCTTCAGCTTACAGGACTCTACCTCAATAACAACTCCATCGCTACTATAGTGCCGAAAGCTCTGGATCCTGCTCCCAAGTTGGACGTTCTTCATCTTGAAGATAATGTGTTAACGGATGTGCCAAGTGATGCATTAGACCACGCCCCTCTTTTGACTGAGCTCCACCTCTCTGGGAATCTGATTCGCTGGATCGGTCCCAGAGCATTTCGCGTGGTGGCTGAAAGTCTAAAGAACCTGCTCATTGATAGAATGGGTCTTCAAAAGGTAGAGGAGATGCCCTGTTTTGAAGTAATAACAGCAAATCTTTGCCTTTCTTGTGTTTATACTAGACTAAGCTATTTGTCTTTCTTTGGTTGGTGGTAACAGATGAGTGTGAGGTCTCTGGCAGGGTTTGGTCCTCGTCTGCTGTCTTTGTCTCTGGAAGACAATCTGTTGGAGGAGTTGCCTGACCTTTCACCTCTTGCTGGACTTCAAAACCTCAGTCTCAACAAAAATCCACTAATGTGTGACTGCAAATTGCTACCATTTTACAGGTAATCTGTGCGTCAGTCTATCTGTCTCTCTGTTTATCTTTTGAGATGTAGTGGTACATTCATGATTCAGTGATTTAAATGATCAGGTCAGAGTGATGGTGCATTCCAAACGGGATCTATCACACTCCAAAGGACACTTGGGAGAGAAAACAATAATGGCAGCCATATTAAATTGCCATTCCAAAATAAAGTGCTCAAAATTGAATGGCACAACCAATGGCCACTTTGGGACCCCATCCTTTGCGCAGGGAAGTTGATTGCTGTCGCACATGGTATTCCTTTTATTCTAGCTCATCCCTATACCAGAATGCAAATCTGAATAAAAATTCCTCTAGAGCAGGAGTGTCCAAACTCGGTCATAGAGGGCCGGTGTCTTCATCCCTATACCAGAATGCCATCAAAGATTTTTGTCTGGAGTGTAAACCCTTGAAAGAGATTAGGGCTTAAGGATCATACCTTCCAAATAGAATACAGTGATTGTTTCTAGTTAAAGGTTCACTGATTTAGATGATTAAATCAGAGTAAAACTCAATTTAACTTAATTTAATGATTAATTGAAATTTCAATTTGATTCAAAATGAGCAATGAATTGGATATCCTTGGGGCTTAAGTGTCTGGAACCGATGATAAAATCATATTTAGGTTACTGTGAGTTGATGGTGAAATAAATCTGCTGTTAAAGGTTGACCTGTTTAAACCCACTATACTTTCTTACTGTAGGAATATGTGGCGACAATTTCGTTCCTACCATAGCAAAAAAAATAGACATAAAACTAATGTTTATATGTTTCCTATTCAATTAACACAGTCAAATAGCCCTGTTTTATCTGTTTTTTTATATTGTTTGATTTTGTAATCTTGAATTTTCTGTAATTATCAGTAGTAGGTAAATAAGCCTTTCAAAATAAACATTCATCACTAAGTACTTAGGCATGTAAGCATGTATCTCAACTTTCTTTCAGATGGTTGGAGAAGATGAGTCTGAGGGTTGAGGCGGTGTGCTTTTACCCCTCCGAGCTTCGAGGTCAGTCTGTAATGGAGTCTGCCATCTATAAGAACTGCTCTATAGAAAATGCTCATTCCTTTAATGAGACCTCCATCCCAACCAAAGCCCATGAACCCAACATACCCAACCCCACACAGCCCACAGAACCATCTTATGCTAAACTGAAACTGGCAAAGACAAAGATAGCTGCGACACCAAAGAAAACCAAATCTAAAGAATTCAAACCAGAGCGAGCTCTGAAAATGACCAGGCCAAACAAGAAAAAAAGAAGACGACCAAAAATGAAGTTGCCAATGATATGAGCAATAGGATTTCTTGATTTAAACGATATAGATATCATACTAAGGGGTAGTAGTGCTGCTGATTTGTTTACGGGTAATCCAGTGCACGAGTCCATATGCCCCCATTTTTTAAAAATGAAAGCGAAAGCGAGGCTGCGGTGGGAAGAAACCCAGAGGAATAGGATCAGCACGTTAAACATGTACTCCACAACATGCTGTGGAGTACAAACCTCTTGCTGTTTCCACGATTTCAAAGTGTAGATGTGGAGTAAACATTCAGTTAAGTTTAATTTAACAAAAAAAAGCACATTAGGCCTCAAACAAAACCACAATCTCTTTTAAAGTTATACGCTTAAGTGTCTTACTAGGCTTCAGTTTATGGAACCAGGTAAACACTGCGGGGACGCTTACCTGCTTCAGCCAATGTAACCCGGTGAGCGATAAAACAATGCAGTCCTCTCTAGCACACCATTGTGTTGTCAGTAATATTGTTGTCCCGGTACTGAAATTTAAAAAACTAACATTTAACATGCTAGCATTTAAGCGCCGTTGAGCACGTTTTTAAACTCCGCTGATCTGCGGTGAAATTACTGTTATCGGCGGTGATTGTCATCAGTTTACCTCTCTTCACAAGTGCAAACACAGATACACGGACACTGGAGCGTTTTAAAGTTCAGTCAAGTCATCAGCAGATCGCTTGTCTGCGTTTGCATTCTGTAAACATTGGTGAAGTGCAGTGAACTGATGACCTTTACGACCAATCACAGTCATTTCTGTTAAGCACTGGTGGAAAGAAAACATTTGCTAACTAGTGCCATTTCCCTTAACTTAGGGGAAAATAAGGTCCGATATGCCTTTTTATTTTCACCATGCATTCAGAAAGGACCTTCGGGTCACTCGGAAAGTGGTGAAATTATAAATTTGTGTTCACTGATAAGATATAAATCCAGGTACACAACAATACGCCATCTTGGATGCCGTTCCTGTGTGACTCCAGGCGTTACTTCCAGGTTTATTTCCACTGCAGACTCTCTTTCGCTTTTAAAATGGAGGCTGTGTGAAGTCTGTAGATCATATTTTTTCTTAAGTAACTATTGTCTTTAAATGCTTTAACTGCTTATGCTGGCTTGCCCACACTAAGAGATAACGATAAATATATACATATTGATGACTATATTGTTAGGATTAAGTAGTCGTACATGTGTGTTTTTTTGTTTAAACAATACAATTATTAGCTAGCTACTATGTGGTAGTAGCTCTGCAGATTTGTTTACAGGTAATTCTTTGGTTGAATCTTTGTTGAATCAAAATTTGTGCAATTTTAATGCATCCACACAACAATAGTGTTTTGGGGCCTCTGAAAATACTTGTGTAACGTTATATGCTTTTGTGTGTGTGTGTGTTTGTGTGTGTGTTAGTATGTATATGTATATGTATATATATATATATATATATATATTTGTCACGCACTTAACTGTATGATATTACATGTTAAGTCGGTTGAGCATTCCAGTAACGTCACTTTATATGTAAACAAATGTGTAAAATAGTGGAAAAACTACGAATTGTGTATAGTTTACATAAGTCTACATGGTAGCTGTTCGCAAAACTTGTCAAAAAAAAGCAAATATGAATATGTGAAATAAAAAAATATATAGATGGCATTTAATGTTATCTGTAAATCCTGGTAACATGTAATCTCCTGTATCATTTCAAAGCTCTGCACTTGCACTGCACTGATTTGATGTATGTTGAACACGGTCATAATTATATAATATGCAGGATTCCGACAATGTAGTTTATAATAGTGGTAGGGTATTGTAGATGGTACAAATCTGGAAACAGTGGGCCTTAGCTTCCAACAGGTTCCATGGTGTAATGGTTAGCACTCTGGACTCTGAATCCAGCGATCCGAGTTCAAATCTCGGTGGAACCTAATCTTTTAACTCGACTGTAATTTGGACTAGATTGTGTCTGATTAAACTGGAATAAAAAAAAATATATGAATGATATTAAAAACATCATAGTATACACAATTGCTTTAATTCACACGTTTACATGTAAAAGATTATAAACCGAGTAGCTGTTCACTCTCACTCTTTCTCGCGAGATCATCAGACATTAGCAAACATGGCGGCCGCGATGGATGTGGACACCCCAAGTGGAGCTAACAGCGGAGCCAGTAAAAAGCGATTTGAAGTGAAAAAGGTAAGTAATTGTGAAGTTCACGTTAATGATTGCTGTCAACTGTTTGTTCACATCCGTTTAGTCTCTTTAAAATTAAAATAACACTCTTTCACCGCGGTGTGTTAAACCCAGTTAGCATTAGCCGCGCTGCTCTTTCACATCATCATTTTAATCACCGGCCTCTATGCTTTTCATGTTTACAAAAACCTCATAAAGTGTCACAAAAATGAGTACAAGCTAATGTCAAGCAAAAATATGTTACATGCTCGCCCAATGTGCTTCTTATTTGAACTCCGATAAATTCTGCAGCGTAATCCCAGAGATTATTGAAGTAGGCCACTAAAGAACGAAATACAGCGCTGATCATTCCCAGACCTTGGCGAGTTTTTTAGGCAAGATTTGTGGACACTGCAGCCGCTTACAGCACATTCGATTCTAACCGTTTGAGGTTCATAGACGCATTCCGAACGCTCTATTCGATTATCGGTAGACGTCATTTACATGTTCCCAACGTTCGTTTCCATCACTTTTAGTCACCATAGTGACATTCCGAACATTCCATTTAAACACATTTACCCCCCTCAAAGTTCGATGCAAACATTTTAGTGAATTTCACATATTACACACGGAATTGAACATTCTATAAGTGTATACAATGTACAATAAATTATGTTATACTTATTACTTAAGTAAATTTTGACTTGTGTGCATCCTTTTTAAAAGCTAGGTACGGACATGTTTGAATGTTATAGACCAGGGGTGTCAAACTCAATTCCTGGAGGGCCGCAGCCCTGCACAGTTTAGTTCCAACCCTGCTCCAACACACTTACCTGTAGGTTTCAAACAAGCCTGAAGGACTCTATTAGTTTGATCAGGTGTGTTTAATTAGGGTTGGAACTAAACTGTGCAGAGCTGCGGCCCTTTTGGAACTTGACCCTTTTGGAGTTTGACACCTGTGTTATAGACAGATATTATACCTAATGTTACTCCATTTCATTTTCATATTGATTTCAACAATGTCAGCCATTGAAAACACCCTCCAAATGCTTGATTTTTAACAGTTTCTAGTATTGCAAACTTGTTTCAAATATTTGTTTCCAACAGTGTGAGGCGTTGCAAGCTCATTCTCAATGTTCAATTCCAACAGTTTCAGGCATCATAAACCCTTTCTGAATGTATATTTTTTGTGGAATATTGTAGTTGGTTTCCAGATTACCAATTTGTAATCTGGATTCAAAACGATCACCGTGAACGGTTTGAATTTAGATATACTTTTTAAAAAATGTTTTTAAAATAAGTTTTCATACTGTACTCGCATACTGTTTTCACAACTTATTTTCACTATGTTCCTTTACAAATGTTATGGCTGCTGGCTTCTTTTCTTCCTCATTATGATGTATAACTGAGTGGAAGCGCTGCTCATTGGTGGAGGATATTTAGGCTTAGTTTGTGTCTGTACATGTGTCATTAAGAGAAAAGGTGCTGTTAGCATTTTTAATAAAGATTATGATTATAAACTCTGCTTGTCTTGCAGTGGAACGCTGTGGCTCTGTGGGCATGGGACATTGTAGTGGACAACTGTGCCATCTGCAGAAATCACATTATGGACCTCTGTAAGTATAACAGCTGCTTTAGTCTTTTAGGTTTAGTCTAGATCAGGTGTTTTCAGCCCACGACCCCCAAAATAACAATGCCAGTGACTCGCGCCTAGCCGTGGGATGAAAACCGTGTTCAATGTATATCAAGGTTTGGAAAGGTCAAGGTTTTAAAGCCTTCAAAATTTTCTCCTATACCGTTCCTAAGGTATGAGTTCGATCTTTTTTTTACTTTTTATTTTTAGGACAGTAGTATCTCCAGAAAAGATATCCAAAGATGCCATTTTTAAATTGTAAAAATAATCAGATTTTTTTAAAACAAATGAAGACAGCAGAAGTCAATAATTCATTAGAATTATTTAGCCTGACATGTTTACTTCTCCAAAACATTTTATATGTTTCCCAAATTTACATATAGTGTGTACAAAGGGGAAAAGGGTTTTGTTTTGTACCCAGATATTTAAAAAGATTATATTTTAGAGCAGTTATCTCAATACTGTGATACTGTGAAATACTCAATACTGTGAGGTACTCAATACTGTGATACTGTGAAATTTATTTCCGAGGTAATCATACCGTCAGAATCTTATACTGGCCCATGCCTACTCACGACCCCCCAATATTCTCTAAGGTGGTGATGAATATTTAAACCTTGCACACATACCAGTAGGCCCAAATCTATTCATTGTTTAATTTTAGAGATTGCCACTGTGAGAGCTTGCTCCATGTTCTGTTGTAGCCTGTATTATTTTTAATGTATGTGAAAGCTGTAAAGGTGTCAAAGTTTAACCCCCACTGTGGGAACCACTGGTCTAGATGAGCTGTAGCTGATCTGTAACTCTTGTGTTTGCTTCAGGTATTGAGTGTCAGGCCAATCAGGCGTCTGCCACCTCAGAGGAGTGTACGGTGGCCTGGGGAGTCTGCAATGTGAGTATAATCACACACACTTTGAGCTCTGGGTTTGTTTGGTGCTGGTGTAATGCTGGTGTGTTTGTTTTTGTGTGTGTCTGCAGCACGCTTTTCATTTCCACTGCATCTCCCGCTGGCTGAAGACCAGACAAGTGTGTCCACTGGACAACAGAGAGTGGGAGTTTCAGAAGTAAGTCTTTTTGATTCTTCATTCAAATCAAGTCAAATTCACAAGCTTCGTGTAAGGGATAGGTCTCAAACTCAATTCCTGGAGAGCCGCAGCTCTGCACAGTTTTGCTCCAACCCTATTTAAACACAGCTAATCCAACTAATGAAAGTGTTCAAGAGTAGTCTTGAACCTTAATTATATGGATCAGCTGTGTTTGATTATGGTTGGAGCAAATCTGTGGAATCCCTCCAGGAATTGAGTTGGAGACCTATGATGTAAGGGATAAAGTACATCCAGACGGTTATCACAGAATCAAGCCCAACATTCTTTGTGGATTAAAGGCTTTATTCTGTGATGATGCCTGCCTGGTTGTACTTTATTCCACTTATTATACAGCTACTTGGCACAAAACATAAAAAATAGATTTAAAGCATTGTTCTTCCAATCTTCCATTGTAGAGTCAGAAGATTTGAATATGTAATGTAAGTTAATGAGTCAGCTATATTTTAGATGCAGTATTGTACTTTATTTCCTGTACCACAGCAGACAATATTTAAAACAAACTAAACAGTTTAGTTTCATTCCTGAATGAATCTATTTTTGAATGAATCATTTAAGTGATGCAATGATCCATTCATTAGCACAGATTTCTAAACCTATCAGCTGCTTTGTTACACTTGGCTCAAAGATGTAGCATTAGGGGAGACGACACAGTGAAATAAAGTCCAAAATAATATTTATCCTAACACAATTGTAAATAACAAATCAAAACAGCAGTATCTGTATGTTCAATCAGTGTGAAAAGCAAGTGAATGATTGTTGTCAGCGCTAGTGCATGGATGCAAAACAAAACCTAAAGCCCAAATTGGAGTGCAGCTCTGGCCAACTGCCCAAACAGTGAATGAACAGTGGGCCTGATAAACTTTCTCACTGATTTAAAATTTCCTCTGTTTCCCCACACTCAAGTGGTTCTACACTTAAATTAGTTTTTCTTTCTTCTTCTCGATACAAACAAGATAATCTGAAGAATTTAGGGGAAAAAACAAGCATTTACATCTATAGTATGAACAAAAATAAAATAAAAAACACTATGGAAGTCAATGGCTGCTTTCCACCAACATTTATCAGTAAAGCTTCTTTTGTTTTCAGCGGAAAAAAGAAACTCAAACGGGGCTAAAAGTAGAGGATAACACATTTTCATTTTTGCATGAACTATTCCATTAAGACAGGAGCCGTGTCTGAAATTGCTCCATATTCACTAGATGTGGGGTGTACACCATTTGCATTGCTTTCTAATGTCTTAATGAATGGCTAATGAAGTATTTCTCTACATTTATTCAACACTTTTTATCCACAGACAATGGTGATTTTGAGTGTTAATCTGATGTACATCTAAAGCTGTAAATACTTACAACTCAATAAAGCATAGAAAACAATGTCTGATGAAACCAGTACAATGCCAAACAAGCACATCATTATAATTGTAGATTAGATTTTCCTACAGAAAACATGTAGGAAATGATTTGCTCAACAGGCCACTGTATAAAATAGATTTCTGAAAGTGAATGAGGAGGAAAAAGAAAACCTTTCTGCCAGAATGTTTCATTAGAACAATAAAGTGAAAAAGACAAATAATGCTCATGTCCAGGAGGGTTGACAGGAACTGGACTCACCTTCTGCAGACTTTTCAGTATAATGATGGTGTGTTTTATATTTAGTAGAGGGCAGGCTTTTATTTTTTGCTCCTTTTTTTCCTTTCACTCTGATCAAACTAATAGTTGGAGGCGCATGGCTGACGCCTGATTTATGCCAGTTTCACACTGCAAGCGCGAGCAGAGCGTGAGCAGCGCACAGGCGTTTGTCTTTGACACTAGCTGCAGCGTGCAGCGGATCGACATATGCTGCACAGATCGATCTATCTTTTCTTTCCAGTTACTTTTTTTTTTTTTTTTTACTCAATGCCCGCGGCAACTGTCTCCTATGCTGTTTTCTTACCTGCAACTCTTTATTTTTTATAAGTTATGTAGATCCTAAAGAGCTGTTTGCTTCTTAAGCTGTATGAGGAGTGTCATGTCTTTAAGGGGCACTGTTGCACTGTTTAAGGTGGATTGTTTTTAAATGTCAGGATGATGTAGGCCTATACTTATGATAATGTTTATACAATATAGTTATAATCGTAATATTTATACATGATCAAACTAGTGTGCAGCTTAAGCAAAACTGATGCTAAAATAGTTTTAAATTTGGTTTTGTAGTTCTGGCCTAAAAGTAAATATTTGTTGCCGCTTTTAATCGTTTATATTGACTATAAAAATCAGTGGATATTATTGATGCATTTATTGGGTAAAATTGCTACTTTTCACTGTCATTCAATGTTTTTGGTCATTATCAATGCACTGTCACTTTATTAGAGCGCGGGCAGCGTGGCAATAATCAACCCAAGCGCCGAAACTATCACGGCACTGCTGCTTCAGCGACGCTCATGCTCCATGTTGACGTGCTGCTTTTGCATGCTGTATGAAAGCTCTAATCTGTTAACATGGACGCTGAAAAAACACGTGCTGCTCCCGCTTGTGGTGTGAAATGGGCGCAAGCATATTTTGCCCAAGTCATCAAACTGACATCATCAGAGAAGAACTGCCCTTCCATATATTGATTAAGGATTATCATAACAATTATTTTTTTTTTTAATGGATTAACTTGCACTTATTAATTGTTCATTTAGCGCAGCCTCAATGTGGTCTAGCAAAATAACCTTTGTAAATTCTGATTTAATTATCCTTATTGAAAGATATCCCTAATATTTTAAAGATTTTTGTCTTGCTACCGGTCTCTGTCTGGTTGTAAATATTCATAGCTGTGTTGTTGCTGTTTTTCAGGTATGGTCATTAGACGTGTATCTGCAGATCTGTGTTTGTGTTCCCTTCCAAGATGTCCTTTCCTGAGCTCCATCACAATTTCTCCCTGTTGAAGACTAGCCGGTCTAAATTGGAATACTAGTTATGATTTTTTTTTTTATTTCTGTGCTGTGTGCAGGATTCAGTGATGCAAATTATCAATAAATTCCCTCTAAATCAAGTTTTGCCTGATTATTATTTTTTTTTATCATTAAGCCAAACCTTTTCAGTCCAGATTTTGAAACAAAAAATAAAAAAACTGAGGGAAGAAGCAGGTTTAGATCAGCTCATGCATTTAAAATAAATGCTTAGTAATGGGGAAGGGCCTGATTATCAGGATCAGGTGTGTTTGATTAGGATTGAAACAATGTGGTCCTCCAGAGTCCTGCTTTCTGTGCACTCATGTTACTGGCACAAGGTAAGTGTTGTCTTATTTTGATTCTTTCTAGCAAAGAAAGAATCATGTTCATGTTTTGGTTTCAATTGTTCATACAAACCGCATTTTGCTTTTGGTTTTTACCTTGTGTCTGTGAGCTAAGAGATTTGCTAATCTACTCTGTTTTGAATGTTTAGGAAATGATTTTTTTTAAACTTGTTTCAAAGGTCAGAATTTCTTTCATTTTGATGGTTGTCCTAAAAGGCATGTTTTTCCAGAATGTCCATGGTAATAGACAATAGGGCTGCACAATAAAAGTTTTGGCATTGATATCGCAGTGTGACCATTCGCAATAGTCACATCGCAGGATTAGGAAAATAGCCATTATAAAATAGATTTTTGAAAAACAATCCCTTTTTTGTCTAAAGATTCTTAAATCAGAAAACATTTACTTGAGAACAAAATTACTTTAGTGAAACTGTTTAAAATGAATGTAATAATAATATAGCTGCAAGCAGCCCAACAAACACCTCATATCCAAGCACAAAAACAGCTGCCAGTGGGCTCCGGAGGATAAAAAAAAAAGACTATTCAAGTGAACAGATTTGCCCTTTTAAGCTTAATTGTTTACTTGTTACAAGATTTTTAGTATCTCATGTACACATCTTGATTTGAGATGCTTAAAAATTTGCTTTGGAAAAAATAGTAAGGAAAGTCTAAAATTTTAGCAGTGCCTGTAACAGTATACAGCTGTAATTCAAGCCTTTATTTTCTGATTTAATACCCATTTAAAAGCTTTGAATTATAGAAAGCTGCACCAAAATGCACAGAAATCCTGTTTGAGCTGGTTGCATTAACAAAGAATATAAAGAATCTCGTAGACCCTGACAGGTAAAGGGACTCAGTTTGCATTGCAGTTAAAAGTTTTGTTCTCATTTTTTGAAGAATGTTGTAAACTAGTAAACACTGACATCAACTGTAGGAAAAATGACCATAATAGAATTGGTTGCCAATTTAAATAAACAGTAAATAAACACATTTTAGATTTGCAACAACCAAAATGTTTATTGAATGAAATCATCATGAAATTCCATAAGATGCAAATTTGCCACGATGAGAAAGTCGATTATGATTGAATTGAATGCTTTTGCATTGACAAGAGAGAAACAATGAATTAAGAAAACAATGTCAGATTACACAGAGGGAGAGGAGATGAATAATAATGATAACAAAAATAATGAAATACCATTTAAGGGAAACCCGGGAAGTGAAAGACTGATTAGACAAAAAAAAAAAAAAAGATTTTAGTCTAAACCCAGTCTTGAGCCAAACATAGACCTACTAGACTTGATCAATCTGCAGCAAGCAACCCAACATCAGAGCAGTTCTCCAGTCTAATGTTGTGATGGTTAATAGACTAAACGTCAGGAATGATCGACTGCTTTTGTTAAATGCAGCTAGAATAGTCTCTCCAATCCAAAATCAAGTGCTAAATATGTTGAGCTCGGTGAAGCCCACAAAAATACTTCATTCCCAACAAAACGTTTAGAAAATAAACTCGATTGTAATTGCGTCATGCGTCTCTCAGTCGACACCCCGCACCCCTCCCATCTCTCTGGCCTAGTTCCGATACTCTTTCATAGTTTCTTCTGCTTTCGTAAACAGTCAGTATCTCCAGCTAAGCGCTGTTGGTAAATTACGGCAAGAAACCCAGAGTGAAAAAGCTACAGCAGAGTATTGGAACCGGACATGAACTCTTTTTGCCATTATTATTATAGTTTAGGGCTGAGGGCCGGCAAATTTGGAGCTGAGTTTGTTGATCAGGGCCATGATTTTCGGGTTGCTCTGGTACTTGGCAATGTTGGCGGGGTTTTGCGCCACATCCTGGAACGCTGCCATCACCTCTGGGTCCTGGAAAAATGACAATGCATTAACAATTTAGCATCATGCTGAGATTACAGCGAGCCGAGATGCTCTGGAATGTAACATGAATAAGGCATGCGTCTGGATTATTTAGATTAATTTTTCTCTGCTTTAACAGTGAAATGACATTTAGAAAAAAAAAAAAATTAACTGGATAAATGAATTTTAGCAGGTAAAATGGAATCTGGCACAAAAAAAGAAAATGTAACTAATTGAATAGGGTTTAATCTGGACATATGACAGGGTTTGGTAGGTTTAGTCAATACATTATTTATTTGTTGGCTTTCAGGCGAATCTTTGTGCGAGATGCTTTTAGTGTATCAGTTTACTCTAGTAAAAGCATTTAAAGGGATAGTTCACCCCAAATGGCGATTTATCTTTGTATTTACTCACCCTCAAATGCTTCTGAACCTTTAGGAGTTTCTTTATTCCGTCGAACACAAAGAAAGATATTTTGCAGAAGGCTAAAAACATGTAGCCATTGACTTCCATAGTATTTGTTTTTCCTACTAAAGAAGTCACTGGTTTCCTGCTTTCTCCAGAATATCTCTTTGTTTTTAACAGAAGAAAGACAAACCATTTTACAACTTTTAGTTTTGGGTGAACTCTCCCTTTAAGTGAACCGTTTTGACTTTGAACGTTTATCCCAAAAGATTGTGTGTACAGTAGTTACTTAAGTTGTATATCTCTGGAGCAGAACTACAGTTGACAAATAAACTTAGACTGTGCCTCAATTAGTGGTGTAATGCAGAGAGAGAGATTTAGACATGGTTATGATTTGGTTAACTACCTGCATAGCCATGAGGACCTCTGGGTCATTAAATAGGTTGTTAAATCCAGGCATTCCACCTGGAAAACCGGCACCTCCTGAAGAAGCACAAAACAACATCAGCTGACAGCACTTCGCATAAGAGGACAGATGATAAATCCAGCCATTCATATCTTAATCTGTTACTGCAGTAAATCACACAATGTATTAAATAAACATTTTGGTTCTGTTGTCTATACATAGATTACTCAGTTTAGCTGGATTTGACAATCCAGGATAGTTTCATTCTTCTGTAACTCAAACCTGCTCTGGAGCAGCTTATTTCATATAAACAGAGGTTTAGACTGCGTCATTTAAAAAAAAAAAAAAAGATGCTGAAAGCACGTTTCAACTGCTGATATTTTCTTACAGGACATATTTTATTCTATTCAACTGGGAAAATTAACCATACTGTAAAATTATTTTTTAGATTTATTTAAGCTAATAAATCAAAACTGTAAAGTAACTCCGAAATAAAGATGTAGAGAAATATTCCAAAATAAAGGTCAAGGGGTGGAAACTAGGGCTGGGCGATATGGCAAAAAATTCAATCTCAATAATTATTTTCCATATTGAACTATAACGATATACATTTCGATACAAGATGTTAATACTTCCAGATTTAAAACAGTACCCAACAATGACTGAAGTCACAAAAATTAGAGGGTTCATCAAAAAGGCATAACACTTTCAGTGGCCAAAAATGCGGTACTTCTCTAATATCAACAAACTTTAATTTTATCATTGTTATTGACATAAATTTATCATGATTCAATGTAATATCATTTATCGAACCAGCCCTAGTGGAAACCTTCTTAAGGGGTTCAAAGACAACATTTTTGGACATTTTAGAGAGTCTACAACAGGGGCCAACAGCCCTGTTTCTGGAGAGCTATCTTCCTGCAAATTTCAGCTGCAACCCTGACCAAACACAGCTGTCTGTAATAGAGCTGTCGGAGAAAATATGCAAACATACAGTACAGCACTTTAGAGTCACACTGCTAATGATCGCAGATTTAATGTAAATTCTGCCACACATTACAGGAGACACAGCACGGAGAAAATTGACAATGGTCTACAGCTAATCAGGACAGAACACAATGCGTTTTAGAAAAAAAAAAACATGTCAAATTGCACAAAAACAAATAGTTGAAACTGAGGCTGTGAAGAGTGAACCACATCATAGCGAGGGACCACTGTATTCTAATTGAGAGTTTTTTTTTGTGAAGGAATAATTATATAATTTATAGAATCATGTGCAGGTGATGTTGACAGCTTGTATGCAGGTGATTTGATGCAGACACTTCTCAAATATCAAAATGCCTTTGATGCAAATTTTATTAAAGTAGCCAGTTATGCCTCAAGTCATGTGATTATGAATTTTGAATACTGTCACATAGAAAATCCACTCTAAAACTAAATACATTGCTAAATAATACTCTTGACAGTGCAAAGCCTGTACAGTCTTCAACAAATGTCGAAAGCTATTGCTTATTATTTAACAACCCATTTTATCTACTACGAATTTCGTTATTTTGTTTACATGGCTGAAAACTGAATATTAATCAAATGATGACATTTCACTGCAGTTTTGACACCAGCCAATAGCAGCCTTGCTGATCGTCGTTTCGAGGATGTGAAACAACAAAACACAGTAATGTCAGATCACTTCAAATCAAATTAGATCGTTTAAGGGTTAAGCGCCATGGCAGCTTTATGAACAACATGGTTTATTAAATTATGTACACATATACATGTGTATAGTCCAGTACCTGGAAATCCTGGGAATCCTCCTGCTCCGGCTCCTCCTCCTCCACCTCCAGCCTGTTGTCTGGCTTCCTCTTCCTGCACACACACAAACGTGATCAGTTCTGACTCTGCAAAAAATGCCGATTCAGGCCTGTCAGTGTAAAAGTATTGATTTCTTTACCCGCTGTGCTCTCTCGTGCTCCTCCCTCGCTTTCTTCACTCGCTCCTGTCGGGCTCGGATCTCTCGTTCTTCGCGCTTGCGTTCATATTTGCGCCGGTGATCAATAATTTTGTTGGCCTGCGAGCGAGACATGAAATCACATCATGAGAAGCATTCTAAATTGCTTCTTGTTGTTTGCTTTCAGCTTAGACTTACTTGACCATTGTTTTTACACAATCATCCAGTTAGTAGTGTTGACTTTCAATTATTAAGTAGAATTTAAAGTCATACTTTAAAGCATTGTTCACCCAAAAATTATCATCCTTTACTCACCCACCATTTAAATAAAAAAAGAAAGAAATTGACATGCGCACAACACAACCAAAACAACAAAGGTGGACAACAAATCTATTTGCTGGCCTGGCATTTATAATACCATATTCTATTCATTTTCTAAATCATTTTAAAACCTAGACCTATTTGTAGGTTGAATTACTCACTTTGTAGCAGGGTCACCGAACGTAATCCTGGAAGTCCTTGAGTGTCCTGCAGAGATTAGCTCTAACTTTCCTCAAGCTTCAAGTATACATATGCTGCGTCCCAATTCGCAAAAGCCCTAAAAGTATGTACTTTTTTTGTGAAGGAAAAATATATACTTTTGAGTGTGTAACATAACGCCCCATTCACACGGGGCGTCAGCATCAACGCTTCCCATTCACTTTGAATAGGTGACGTCAGCCGAACTGCATTATGGATCCGTGCTCGCTGCAGAAGTTGGGACTAGCTCAACTTTAAGCGCCGACGGAAGCGTCAGCAAATCAGATCGCTGTATGCAAATACACCAGCTAGACAGTGGCCTATTGCTGACTGAATTTCATTGGCTGATGCTGCTATGACGATCGCTTTAGCCCCAACTTCAGACACGTCTTCAGTCAAGCATTGACGTTGAAGCCCCGTGTGAATGGGGCGTAAGAGTACGCAAACTTTGGGACACTACTTCCTCGTTAACAGATCGTTGTGTTGCTGAGCCCTGTCAATCATCGCATGTCAATTATGTTTGTAGTTTATTTACACTTTTCGCGTTTGTAGTTCTAATCGAATTCACGTCCAACACACAATGTACTGTGGGCAATATCAGCAGTTGGAGTATGGACGCTTCTACACTTAAATTCCTTTACCGGAAATAGTAAACCATCCGGGAACCTTTGGCATACTCTTTTCAACGTACTACGATTTGAGACATACTAATTCTATTTTTGAATACCATTTAGGATGGATAGTAAGCATATTAGGACACAGCACTGGTAAGACCTTGATAAGCTTGTTCTGTTGTGTTTGAGCTCAACTCTGCAGGAAACTGGCCATCCAGGGTCAATCTTGGTGATCCCTGCCTTTTTAAAGAATTTCCCAGATACCAACAAACCATTCTCCAAAAAATGATTCCACCAGCTTAGAAATCTTTGTGGAAGGGCTGCAATCAAATGTTTCTGGCATAGATACCTTTGGCTGGACTTCTTTGAGCATGGCACTGGCCTCTTCATCATAGTCCAGCTTACAGGCCATGGCCAAATCTCGAGCAGACTCCTCCCAATGGCCAAGCAACCTGTGAAACCAATGCTTTTCATTAGCAATAAAAAAACAAAACAAATGTAAGGTCAAGCCAGATATCTCAGCTCTTCCACAGAAACGTAGCCATTAGTCTGTTACTTGTGTGCTTTCCCTCTCCATTTATACGGCTGGGCAGAGTCTGGGTTGATGCTGATAGCCCGGTCACAGTCTCTGATGGCAGCGTTGGGTTTCTGCATCTTCACATAAACACTAGGACACAAACAGAAACAGGTTATCGACCACACAGGCAACCAGAAGGCAGATCTGCAAAATCCAAAGTGATTGGTCGATACCTGGCTCTTTTGGCGTACAAAATGGCCAATTTTGGGTTGAGTTTGATGGCCTCAGTGAAGAGGTCTAGAGCTTTTTGTAGATCACCTGAGAAAGGAGAACATTTAGGAATTTTTCAGAAGCAGCCAACACTTTCTTTATTCTACCAGTTTAATTATTACCACAATTAAAGAAATGTGAACAACAGCTGGATTTCCATCTGCACTAAAGTATCGCATGAGAAATGAGTGAAGAAATGCCAAATTTTTAAATAAAAAAATACATTTGTTTGCAAAAGAAATTCTTGCTTGAGTTGGTTTTGGACTTAATGGTTAATGCCAATAATGGAAACACATTTGCTGAATTAACTTTAATGTAGCAAACATTAATTCCAAATGACTAATCGTCTGTCTCTGTTATGCTTGACTTATTTACTGTTGGTTACTAGGTTATCAATACTACAGTGAGCTGTTCAAACAACTTGATTGAAAAGTACCTAATTCGCAATTAGGCTATTTGATTTTTTGCAAACTTTGAAAAGCACTTCATAATAGCATGGAAACCTGGCTTATAATTAGATTACTACAGATTTCAGAAAGTCAAAACAGCTCACCATCTCCTAACGCATCGATGGCCTCAGTTTTCTTCTCATTGGCCTGGTCCATCATCTCTTCTGTGACCTGAGATTAAAAAAGTGGTTTCATCAAGCCATTTGCAGAATTTCACTTTTTACTAGACTAGTACTAGATTAGAGCATTTACCAAACCATCACAAACAGACATACAGTAGTAAATCCTCTGTTGTTTACATTTTTGGAGAAGCAACCCAATACCAAAGTCTTAGGATCAATGTTGTCTTTAGTGAATAAGGAAACATGAGCACATTAAACACTTTGGCTGTTGATATCTGAGGGTCACAATTGGTCAAATTAGATTGGGATAACTAAATGTTAATTTAGTGTCAGCTCTGTGTCAGACTTATCCGGTTATTCAAAAACTGAATGTGTGGGTATTTTAGTTTTGGTTATATTTTAGTCCTGCTGCATAATGATATGCTCAAATACGACCGGTTGAAGTGAATATCACTTTTATTTGAGATTATTGCCCATTGACAAGCACAAGTCAGTTGTCAGTTCATTGAATTAATTTATCGGACCCTGTCCATTTCTCTTATTGTATTATAATATAAATAAAGTTACTGAGAATATAAACTAATCAAGTTCAAAATCTTCGCTCAAAAGCTGAAACTGTTTTTAAAATCATAATAATTCTAATTATCTGACTTGTAATATGGCACAGATTTAAATAAAAGCATTTATTTACAAATTCGAATGCCTGATTGTCAATTTCGCTACACCAAACTGTTTAAACGACTGTCTGGCTGTATTACATGTTCATTTGAATAGAGTAGAACAGTTGAGCACTAAAGCCCAATTTACACGTTTGCATTTGCTTTTTGATCATCAGTACTTTTTCCTACTCAGCTCAGAGAGTGAGAGCATGCTCATGTTTGCCAAGTTGTGAAGATAAAGTAAAACACCAGGCAGAAAATGTCTCCTCTTAAGAGAAAACCTTGTGACATTTGGCATTAGCAAGCAGGATATATTGTGGAGGCTTGTTAAAAACCGCTTATAATATTTTGGTAAAGAAAATAAAAATAGCTTTTGGCTTTTAGTCTTATTTTCCACACACTGCATGTTCATATAGCTGCAGTTAGGATTTAATAATGCTGCTTTTGTATTAGTCTCATCTTAATTATACTACCAAAATGAACAAACGCTCCTTTTGACCTATTTTGTGCAACAGTACCTTCAAAAACCTTCTTTGCACTTGAAGTTATTATGTTTCACTGCATTTATTATTACTACAATGTGACTAGAAAATCACGACTCAAACTGTAATTGTCAAAACTGAGATTATTATGATTACACAGGACTTAAGCTCTGCACATTTCGCCCCATAGACTTCCATTTATATGCATGCAAATCAACAGACTTTAAATGCCAATATGTGCGACAAGTTTCACAGTTCACTGCTTTGCAAAATTAAACTTTACTGTGACCCTGGTATCATTCTGATTTTGAGCCCCTTTATGTCACAATTTGCTGCAGTAATATTTGGTCTATTTTTTAATTTTAAAACCACCATTAAACTATTAACTGCAAAAGTACAAGATTTGAGGACACCTACCAATCAATTTAGATTTTTAATAAGACATCTAGGCTAAAACAAGACATTGGACAGTTTTAATTTGGACAGTCAGTGAAAATCTAAAAGATGTCGAACAATCTATTTGATGTCGATTAGTACAGGTGAAGCCATTCATTCCCGTCTCTTTGTTGACTAGCCCATTTTCTGACTATTGTTAGACGTAGTTACATTTGAAGCGAATGAAAAAAGTTTTTTAAAACTGTCCTTAAAAAAAGAATTGGTGTTGTTCAATATTTTTAGGACGACTTTGAAAGGTGATGAACCACTTCAAATGTTGACTACTGTATATCAGGTTTTCTCTTATTTTAGATTTTAGCCAAGACACCTAATTTTAGATGTATAATTAGATATCTAAACAAAAAATGTCTAATGCTGGCTGAGCATTTACTGAAAGTCATAAGCTTGCTGACAATAAAAATTGTGCTACATATATACAGGTGCTTGCAGTACATTTTCAAAGTGAAAAGAGAATGGGTCCTAAAGAAAGAAATGGAAATTTAGGGTGCTTTCACACCTACACTTTTGTTTCAGAACCTGTTTCGTTTGCCCAGTTAGCGCGGTTCGTTTGGCATATGTGAATCCACCAATCGCTCTTGGATCCGCGCCAAATCAATCGTTCCGAGATCGCTTGAATGAGGTGGTCTCGGCTCGATTGCAGTGAGAAAGCAAACGATAGGTGCGCGGTTGTATCACTGTGTTTTATGGATATATAATAGGCATACGGCTATATAAAGAGAGAATTATGAGTAGGGCAGGAAGTTTCACGACATTTGAAATCTCCGTTTCGGAACAACTGAATCGATTCACAGGTGTGAAAGCACCCTTTGATTTGCAGCATTATAGAAAGCCTTTAATGATTAAAACAAAAAGAAAAAAAAAGCAGTCTATTCACCTCCAAGTTTTCAAAGTCCCCCATCTCTTGAGGATCATCTGTGTCAGGCTCAATCACTCCTTCATTGTCGATTTCTGAAGAAATTAATACCAGATAAAGTTTATATGACAGCAGAAACACTAGTTATAAAATAAGAACATTTCCTCCAGTCAGAAATGTCTGCAAGCAATAAAACCCAAAATGAGACTATATTTACCAAATAAGACTAAATTGTGGATATGCAGAGTAGACCTTTACTAGCCCATTAACCTAAAACATTCAGTTCAACACTGTTACACTAAATTATAACATATGAAGTAGCCTCACTGCTGTCAGGAGTAAATCTCAGTAAATTTCCAACAGCTACCAAAACATCAGTGACTACTTGTCCTCGTAACAGTTTCTTTGGCTTCCTAAGTGTATATATAGAGCAAATGTGAGATGAGTGAAATCCCCAATAGTTGGAAAAAGTTTTACAGACAGACCAGAGCTATTATGAAGCCACAAAAAGGCCAAAGCGACGGCATATCAAAATGGCATATGAGGAGCAAACAGAAGATATTAAAAGAGATATTAGAGTCAACATACCAATTTCGCTTTCCTCGCTCTCAGACGGCGGGGCTGGTTCGGGTTTCGGTGCTGCTTTTTTTGCGCCTCCATCACATGGACAGCTTCCCTACAGACAAATGAAAACCCAGATCAACATCAAGCTTTAGTAAAAAAAAAAAAGAAAAAAGAAAAAAAAAAAGTTCACTCCCAAAATAAGACAATTCTGTCATCAATTGCTCATCCTCCACAGAGTTTTTTTTTGAAGAATTTTGGAAACCAACTGTTTTAGCTACTGACTTCCATAGTAGATTTGATTTTTTTTTTCATACAACCTTAGTCAATAGTTACAAGTTTTCCAACATTTTAAAAAATATCTTAAAATATCTAAAAAAAACAAAACAACAAAAAAAAACTCTAAATGAAAAACCCCTTGAGGTTGTGTAAATGATGATTAAACTTTCATTATTGAGTAAAATATCCATTTAATTTAACGCCATAAAACTAGCAGCACAAATAACCTTAATATAAATAAACCATGGTATTGTGTATGTTTTCTCTTTATCTTTTTCTCAACAATTCCATCAAATTATTTGCAAGGTGAAAAAAAGTTATGGTAAAATTTTTATTTACCATTTTTACCAAAAGTTTATCTAAAACTTAGGAAACTATATTTGGTTTTTACTTCACTGATAGGATTCCAACAGGATGAAAAAATGCTTTAGGAAAAAAAAGAACATATTGGTAAATCTTCAAAATGTGTCATCCTAGTACAGAGATATAAACCATGTAATCCCATAATTAAACAACAACATCCAAATTTCTAGTTTCAAATTTTTTTTATCCCTGTGAAGAAGATATGTACCAGTTCAAAAATTTGTTATGTTTGTGTCTTTAATCCATAACTGATCAAGGACTTCACACAAATTCAACTCAACTCTTGCACTCTTCTATAGCACTTTCAACAAACCACAATGGGTACCAAACTGCTGCACATAAAACAAGCAAATATACACTCATATCACATGATTAAAATCTAAAGAAAATAAGTGTGTTGTCAGTGACCTCTGAAAAGACTCAAAAGTTTGAGCTGTTCTTGAGGAGATCAGAGAAGATCGTTCCAGATTCTTGGAGCTGCTACTGAAAAAGCAACTATCACCTTGATATTTTAAGCGCGATTGTGGAACTGTCAAATAGAGACGATCCTTAGAGCGAAGAGATCTTACAGGCCGGTGTATAATAATTAGCTCAGAAATATACTCAGGGGCCAGGCCATAGAGGGATTTAAAAACATACATCAGAACTTTGTACTGAATTCTAAACTGGATTGGCAACCAATGTAGAAACCATTACAGGTGTAATGTGTTCTCGTTTTTTGTGCCTGTTAAGAGCCTGGCAGCTGCATTCTGGACCAGCTGCAGTTGCGAGAGAGAGGCCTGACTCACACCCAGATACAATGTGTTGCAATAATCCAGACGAGAAGAGATGAAAGCATGAACAACCTTCTCCAAATCAATGAAGGAGAGGACATACTTCAGCTTGGCAATATAACTAAAATAGAAAAAACTATTTCTGACAACTGCATTAATTTGTCGATCAAATTTTACCTCAGAGTCAAAGATGACACCAAGACTTTTTACAGAGGAATGTACTTGTTCAGGAAGCAAAACAGATTGCCATTAGAATCTGAACCTTTTGGACCAAAAACTATGAATTCACACGTGTCTTCATTCAGTACTCGTACTTCATAAAACAAAGTACGAGACGTCCCATTTGTGTCCATACAATATACAGAAAGCATACAAAATAAAAGTATCTACTTTAACGTAAACAACAACAACAACAAAAAAATTAACATTTTAACATCACTAAGTGAAAAAGGCATATTTATGTAAAAATGAAACAAAATATATTGACCTGTCCATAGTAAAACACAGATGAACAGGTGTACTCAAGACACTTGAAATACAAACACTTTTACGATTAATATTATTCAAAACTTCTGGCCAGCAACAAATAGATAAAAGCAAATGGACTGGACAGTTTACCTCACCCTACCCCCCTGCTCTCATCCCCTATTTTTGCACTGCTATTTATCATCTTACATCTACATATTTCATATGCCTCTTGTTCTACCTCAGAAATGGTTTACTCACCTCACCCTACCCACCTCTCATCCCCCATTTTGCAGTATTTATCTATCATCTTACATTTACATAGTACATCTCATATATCTCTCTTTCTACCTCATAACTGATTACTCCACCTCACCCCCCCCTCATCCCCTATTTTGCACTACTGTTTATCATCTACAGTTATTTTTACTGTAACTTATTGTTTAGTGTGAGTCATATTGAAGAGATATAATTGCACTGAGTCACGAGATGCACTTAATCTCATCGCACATGTATATAACGTACATTGTAAACGTGACCTTAAAAGGCTAAATGTAAAAAGAAAATTAATTAGTATTCTGGTGCTGCATGGTGATCCATAAACTATTTTAATATGTCCTGAATTTACTGATTTTTTTTTTTGTAAATAAGCCTGACAAGACTTTTCGAAGAAATAAATTGTTACATCATTAAACTGCTCCACCAAGAAAAAACTATTGGACTGCATGTCGCTATTAACAAACAATGCATTTTTTCTTCCAACAGATGCCATAATTTCTAAAACATAAGCCTCTACCAAATGGTTTATATGTCAGTTTATGGTAAAAGTACTAGAATTAATACATATACTATGAAAAATCATAATATGAAGTGTAAAATAAAACATTTTTGAATACTAAATACTTTAGTATTAAAAAAAAAAAGTGTAGTAGAGCAACTGGACTGTTTGTTTGATTTTTTTTGTAAACCACCAGTGGTGTGTGTAAATTATCATTTAAAACAGTCATTCTTTAAATGACTTTAACATTATTTACAACAGTCAAAACATGGTCAACCATTTTGTAGAGTGGGCAGTTAAAGGGTTAATGGGCATATTCTGTAAACCAAGTAAACAAAAGTCTGAAATGCTTAACAATAATAATACACACACATTAAAGTTTACACACCCACATTTCAAATACAGTTTTTTTTATTCATACTTTATGGCCATAAACTGTTTATTTAACGTTAGTGTCCTACCTTGCATGATGAGCTGTCATTCATTGTTGGTGATGGTATACTTGCTCCCATTCTACAATAAAGTAAAATATTAGCATTTTTAATGGCGATTCAGCCCATGTTTTACTCGTGTATGTGCGCTCCATTAAAATAATTAAAACAATTGAAACTGGAACTTTCTGTGAGCCACATGTGAGGCAGGCTGTGGGTGTGACTGCTCGCACAAGCAGCAAACTTTGGCACAGAAACCTACTATATTTATTTCACAACAAATTCCGCATTTTACAAATATTATAAAGGAAAACATGTTAAAGCAATACAGGACACACAGTCAAAAACAGGCACTGACCCCAGCAGCCAGGTTTTAAAGAAGCTCATCTCTGGCAGATGCAGCACTGATGGATTCTCATTGCACAACTGCACAAAGGCCTTTAACTCTGTCACTTTCCGAGGGTCCATTTTCCACACGAATCAAACTCAAGCGGAGCAAACCAATCCTGAAAAAAACAAGGAAGCGTGTTTTATTATTCTGGTCATATGACATGTTCGATCAGCGCGCAGGACTAATAAATGATGCACAGCAGCAACGCCAAAAAACTGCAATCAAACTGTGTGCAACATCGCTGTAAATCAGTAATTAGTGGTGTGTATGGGGATTAACGCACGCGCTGCATAGAAGCTTCTGGAAATAATGCGAGAGAGCGCAATTTGTTATTATTGGAATTATTCGTTCAATCGACTTCATCATTATGCATTCGTAGATAAAATAAAACAACAATGCCGTACCTGAAAGAGCAAAATCCCTAAAACGCGCTTCCCCAGCAGCGATTTGAGGGTCGCGAGATTGAACTCGCTCTGCACGCGCGAGTCACTGAACGCGAGAATGCGAGTTTTGCGCAGGCGCGATTTAAAGCACTCGCTACTATGACAAAAACCAAAACAACAGGGGGCCTTCAGGCATTGCGCTCATTTTGGAGTAAAATGTGCTAGTTAATATGAGAAAATGTACTCCTAAAGCCTTTTATTTGTTATTTTATGCATGTTTTATTTGGTTGTTAAATCCATTTTATTTGTTGTTATTGCTCTTTGTATTTAAAACGATACATATTATTATAGATATAACCTTAGCAATCATTTACCCCATGAGTTACATGTTTGTTACATTACCATTAGCGTTTTAATACAGATTATTCCAAAATTGTTATATCTTTGTGTTTTTGGTTAGACATTTGCACATTTATTATAGATCAAGAACTACTATGGTGATTAAATCTGCATAAATATATATTTAGGGATACTTTTCTAATATATATATAAATATATAAAACAACAAATAAAGAAATAATAAATCAAACTGTTGAATTTCTCAAGAAAAAATAAATAAGAAGGGTCCTCCATCATTCAGAGTCGCCTAATAGCTGTCATAGCAGAGCTGTCCAATCAGAGCTCAGCAGTCTCTCCCAGTACACCAATCAAAGCTCAGAGTCTTCAATGGGGCGTGACACTGTCACCTTCCCTGCGATCATGCTTACAGTTACATCTTCAGTGAGGAGTGGAACTTGCATGTGGTGGTTCCTTCAGCATGTTACCTTTAGGTTAACCTTTTGGTTTGCAGTTTTTAATTCGCACGAGTGTGCAAACGTACTCTACCTCATGTTAAAAGTATACGGCTCCGTTCAGCTGACCGGGGATTTAAAGCGACGATGTTTCATTCCAGTAGCGGTTTACTAAGAGCTGCCGTCCAGTGCGCTTCACGATCTTACTGGAGTCCTGGTAATGCTTTAGTACTATACTTACATGTTTACAGGTCTGTCATTTAATATAACGCGTTGTTTGAGTTTTTTAACTGGTTTATAACCGCTTATAATGTGTGAAATCATGTATAGAAGAAAGAAAGGCAATTTTGTTTATATAGAACTTGTCGGACACGATGGTAATTCAAAGTGCTAAACAAGAATTAAAAGAAACAAGAAAATAAAAATGATTAAGAGACTTAAAAATGATTAAAACAAATAAAAACTGAATAAAACGTGTTAAAACAAGTTTTAAAAGAATGAAAAAGAAATTAAAATCAATAAGTTTTGTACTATAGAGAGACATATTTTATCTTTTTTATTAGCATTGTTTCTTTTGGGTGGTGCAGTTTAATTCACAGGATTTCTACAAACTATGATGTATACTGTAAACTCACATACTTTGAATATTTAACGCATGTTTATTTTCCTCATTTGAAGTAAAAAACATGTTTACAGATTGATATTTTTTCCAGTCCCTCAACTCTGTGATTAGTTGTTTTGGAAAATATACAGATGTTTCAATATAATGTTAACATGTACTCTCTGTGGATTTATGTTTTGAGTTTTTACTGCAAATGTCACATTGATATTGCTAAAATTGCTTAAAAACATAATAGTGTGATCTGTCGAACGTAGCTCAGTGCTCATTCAGTAAAGGCACAGCTAAACATTTGTGTTTTCAGACTTGATTTGAATATGCCTAATGTTGGAGCACATCTTATCATTTCTGGAAGCTGATTTCAGCAGCGGGGGTTGTAATCGCTAAAGGCAGATTCACCCTGCTTTGACTGAAACCTTCAATTTTCTAGTTTATATGATCTTTGTGATCTGATTGATCTATTTGTATTTAGTGAGCATTTCTGTAATGTATTGAGGTCCTATGCCATTTAGTGATTTATAGACAAGTATTAATACTAAAGTCTATTCTGAAAATAACCGGAAGTCAGTGTAAATACCTGAGGACAGGTGTTAAGTGCTCTGATTTTCTGGTCAGAACTCTGGCAGCAGCATTCTAGATGAGCTGCAACTATCTGTTTCATTCAACTGTTTTTCTTTATTTTTTTAAAGTTTATCCAAATCAAGTTCACTGTGCTTAACATATTTTAATTCTTTAATGTTTAAATCCCTTCGTGAGTGTATAGTCACCTGCCTCACCTTGGAAAACAACGTTAATTTCTGTCTGATGTTGAATTAAAACATTTACTTGTCATATATAATATTTCAGCAGTTCTTTGCTATTTTGTATATTTTTATTGGGTTGAATGTTTAATTTGCTCACTACACAAACGTTTAAAGAAATTATTTTATTCCTCATGGAATCTTTAAATTGATTAAATTAACATTTTACAATATTGCTTTCAAATCTTCTGTTTTTTTAAAATCAAATAAAAGCAGCTGTAATGTGCGCTATACTTATTAGAAATACATTAAATGATAATATTAGACATAAAATGTGTTTCAGATTATGTTTGTCATGTTTTGTTTTGTTTTGTTTTACAGGGTCTGTGTGGTGTCCATGCAGGCATGTGTCTGTGAAAACAGAGGGATGGAATTCAAAGAAAGTTCCTCAGAGATACCTGGGTCAGCCCAGTCCATACACACACCCTCACCTCATCCGACACGGTACGAAAACAACAACAACACTGGACTTTATTTCAACTCCTTTCATCTAATGTCATCAAAATTAAACCTTTCTTATGCTACTGTGCTGATGAATGATTGGCTAATAGACATTCTAAGATCTGGAAGTATTTTTAAATAAACACACATCTAAAGTAGATCCAGGAAGTTCTTGACTACGTTTTTATATCAGCATTCCTAATGATTACCATTATTAATATTACAATAAACCTAGAAAGACACAAAATAAGTTGTAGAGGAAACGCACAAGCTAATCCTTTAAACAGGAGAGGTTTGAGGACAAAAATCTGACAAATGTCTTAAGACTCGACATCTAAACAATGTATTTATTTGTGGCAACTGTAGTATAAGCTGAATAATTGACTCCAGCCCTTTGAATTATTAGAAAATAATTTAGACAAATTTAAGTGACTTCAGGCACTTTGAGAGTAAAAAAATATGTATACAAGGAAAATGAATACTGTGACTCCTATAAATAAATCAATATTTGCAAGAAACTGAACATTATTAATAACACATCCGCAGGAACAAACCCACATTTGAGCTTATGCTGTTTGTTAAGAGTACAGAGAGAGGATTTTATGTTGTAATGGTACTTGTTAAATGATAATTTTGATTACCATTTTTAAATATCCCCCTTTTTCTATCCGGAGTAACTTTCGTTAAATTGTGAATGATCAGGAGAGTTTTATTGGGTACAATGGAGTGTAATTATTCCCTTCAGTTTATGCACAAGCAAAATACAAGTCTTTCTTCAGCAATATTAGGGAATATTACTGTACTGTAGGGGACACACAACGAGAAAATAATCTACAGGAACAAAAGTAAACACAGTGAACTCAAAAGGTGTATAGATATTCTAATGAGGACACTAACGTCACATTAAAAACACCAAGCATACACACCAAAGCATTGTTTATGTTCATGATGGATTAAATCAAAGCACAAAGCTAAAGATACCTTCCACTCAATTTTCACAATGTAAATTATCTGTAGTGCAGTCTTAATATTTGATCTGTTAAGTTTTTTTGAATGACAGTTCTCCAAACCAGAAGTTCAACTGAAATTTTGAAATACTGTAGTTACATGAGGAAAAAAGGTGGGGGAAATAGGTGTAATATTGTTAGTAAACTAATGGCATTAGCTCATTTGTGAATTTGCAGCTCTGCATATGTTATTATGAAGCAATAAGCTTGTTCTCCAGGCTTTCATGAACATGCTCAGAACTGTTTTCTGATGCTGTGGGTTAAAGATAATATTGTTGTAAATAATGTTCAGTTGCACAGCACATCATATCATGCAGTGAGACCTTAATGTATTTAGGACTTAGGTGCCACAAATATTAATGTGGTTTTGGCTGTATATATTTTTTCTTTTATTATTTTTTAAATATTTTTATTAATTTTAAGTGATTACGTATTTACTGCCCAATAACATATTAAAATCATAGTAGTGATTAAAATTAATAATTGTTTATTAAATCTAGTTTATACAGTGCTTCCAGAAAATATTCATAGCGCTTCACTTTTTCCACGTTTTATGTTACAGCCATATTCCAAAATAGATTCAATTCATTTATTTTCTCGAAATTCTACACACAATAGCCCATAATGACGACGTGAAAACGTTTTTTTTTAAATTGTTGCAAATTTATTAAAAATAAAAAACCTGTAAATTGTACATAAGTATTCACAGTCTTTGCTGTGATGCTCTAAATTGAGCTGATGTACACTCTGTTTCCACTGATCATTCTTGAGATGTTTCAGCAGCTGAATTGGAGTTCCCCTGTGGTAAATTCAGTTGATTGGACATAATTTGAAAAGGCACATACCTGCCTATATAAGGTCCCAGGGTTGACAGTGCATGTCAAAGTACAAACCAAGCATGAAGACAAAGGAATTCCAGTGTTCTTCTGTGGAGAGTGGAAACCCTTACAGAAGAACAACCATCTGTGCAGCAATCCACTAATCAGGCCTGTATAGTAGAGTGGCCAGACGGAAGCCGCTCCTCGCCTGGAATTTGCCAAAAGGCATCTGAAGGACTCTCAGACCATAAAAAACTAAATTCTCTGCATTGATGAGACTAAAATTTAACTCTTTGAAGTGAATGCCAGCCGTTACGTTTGGAGAAAACCAGGCACCGCTCATCACCAGGCTAATACCATCCCTAGCATGGTGGCGGCAGCATCATGCTGTGGGGATGTTTTTCAGCAGCAGGGCCTGAAAGACTAGTCAGGATAGAGGAAAAGATGAATGCAGCAATGTACAGAGACATCCTGAATGAAAACCTGCTTCAGAATGCTCTGTACCTAAGACTGGGGCGACGGTTCATCTGCCAGCAGGACAATGATCCAAAACAGACAGCCAAAATATCAATGGAGTGGCTTTACAACAACTTGGTGAATGTCCTCAGTGAATGTGCCCAGACCTCAATCCTGTTGAACATCTCTGGAGAGATCTGAAAACGGCTGTACACCGTCACTTCCCATCCAAACTGATAGAGCTTGAGAGGTACTACAAAGAGGAATGGGCAAAAAGATAGGTGTGCCCAGCTTGTGGCATCATATTCAAAAAGGCTGTGAATACTTATGTACATTTTTCAGGTTATTTATTTTTAATAAATATGCAACAATTTAAAAAAAATCTTTTTTCACTTACTCATTATGAGGTATTGTGTGTAGAATTTTGAGGAAATAAATTAAATTAAAACATTTTGGAATTTAGCTCTGTAACATAAAAAAAATGTGGAAAAGTGGTATGAATATGAAGCTATGAAAACTTTCCGGATGCACTGTAACTAATACAATTCAGTTGTATTTTTTTAAACTAATATACACTATATACTAATAATTTAAAACTAATATTACCATAATATCTGTCCTTTTTTAGCTGTTAATTTGAATACATTACCTAATTTTATTTCACTAATTTACTAATGAGTCTTCATTGTATATGGTAATAACTTATAATTCTTTTGAAATTACATTTGTTTAAACATTTGTTCACTCTAAACATGTACAATAAAGTATTTTTTATTATTACAGCTCTTAACGTAAACTTATTGTTGCTTATATTGTTGAAAATATTTTATATACCATTTTAAAATCATCAGTTTCAGTGATCAATAGTAAATACCTTTCAAAGGCCAGAGGGGGCTCTTGCTCTGAAACTCCAAACACCCATGAAGGAAAAACTCTCATAGCAGTTGCTAAATGAACAGAAGATTTAGCTGTTTCTTTGATTTAAAGTAACTCATAACAAAGTCCCTTTAAGGCAAGTCATTTCACCCGGCGGCTGTCTTTGAAACACCTCTTGGGTAGTATGCTCGGGCATTCTGTCTGAATGGGGAAACATCAAACTCCCCAAAACTGCTTGCCAAGCTTACCATTGAATTTCATATTAGGGATCACCAATAAAATTCAATAACAACTGCGTCTTTAGTTTTATTTCTAAACATCCAAATCGCACAAAATCTGCAGAAACTCTCGTCTGTTCCAAACCCCTACGCCGGAGAATCGTCAGTCTATAGCAATCGATGATTGGCTCCTGTACTAGAAGGCGGGCTTTTTTCGCCATAATGACCCCATTTAAAAAGATATGAGTGACATGTCTTGTGCATTCTAGAGCCTTTGCTAATAATCACACGATTACGGAATCATCTCATAGACAGAAGTTGTGAAGTGACTCGAGTAACAACCTGTTATTAAATGTGGTATTTTACTAATAAAAGTAATTACATGGAATTAAAATGCACAGCTTCTAGTTGTTTATTGACCTAGTGAATGTCTGTCTTTTACAGGTGAGGTAACGCCAGGTCTCACCCAGACAGAGTATGAGCTTCGTCGGCAGCGTTTAGCATCTCTGATTGAGATTCAGGCAGAGCGACAAACAGGTTCTGGAGCCTCTTCAAACTCCTCCCACATTGTCATCATCCTATCGCATCCAATTCGCTACATGAGCAATGACATCCCTTACCCGTTCCACCAGAACCAGGATTTCCTGTACCTGACAGGAATTACGGAGCCGGATAGTGCACTGGTCATGTACGGATCAAGTAAACCAGACCAGGCTGTGCTGTTTGTCCCACGCCGAGACCCAGCCCGAGAGCTTTGGGATGGACCTCGTTCTGGCAAAGATGGTGCAGCTGCTTTAACAGGTCTCGAGCGGGTTCACAGTACTGAAGAACTGGGTGTAGTGCTAAAAAGCATAAAAGGTAAAAGACAACGGATGTTCAGTTTTACCTGCATTTAAGGTTTTCATTTGTTTCAGCCAGAGCCATTAAGACTAGGATACTAGGACAACCTTGGATAAAAATATTACGGTTTCACGGTATGACGGTATTGTGTTTACTGCTGTAAAAATTATTTTAAATGTCTTGGTAAAAACAACAACTTCTTTCCCCATATAACACAATATATTACATTTTAGAAAACATTTATACTATTTTGGGACAATAAACATGTCAGACTACATAATTAAAATAAACTATTGACTTCTGCTGTCTTCATTAGTTTCAAAAACACAGATTTCCTTACAACACAAAAAGAAAAAACTTCACATATACCTTAGAAATGGTGTAACAAGCAGTTTTAATACCTTGACTTTTTCAAACTGCAGTAAACCTTGAAACCGGTTATCGTTCTATGCCTAATTGAGAAAGACGTTTGCGACAACGGAGGTGCGTAATGTTTGATCGTCACATGATTCATGAACTTCAAATCGTTCCAGGAAGTGTTTTGCGGTTTATTCAAATAATATTAAATGATGTTAAATCTTACACATTATCAAACTTATTTTTGCAAAACGTCGTGCTTTTCAAAGGTGCATCACCTGTTTGTAAGTGCTAATTTCTGGGAATTATTGAGAGTCTCTCCACAAGCTCTCGCAATTTTCTCTTTGGCTCTGGTTTCAGCCTCCTTTTTTCCTTTTTTATTGCATAACAAGAACAATAGCATACAAAAATATGATAAATACAATGCTTACATTTTCACATCAAAGGAACAAATCAGTAAAGAATAATAAAAAAAATAAATAAAATTACAGGGGATATATAAATTACAAAAAAATTGAAAAAGAGAAAATGATTCCAAAATTGCGTACATCCTTATAGCTTTTTCATTTTTAATGTCTTTTAGGGTTTCAATATAATGCTTAAGATCAATTTTAAACAAATAAATATTAGGTTTGTCGTTGGACCATTTTTGTTTTTGCACATGGTACTTCCCATATATAATCATTAAATTAATAAACAAATTTTGCTCAAATTTTATTGTTATTAATATTGTACATCAAAAAAAAAAATCTTTACAAGAAAACTGTATATGTGCATTCAAAAAACAGGTGTTTAATCGATTCTTCCTCTAATTCACAAAAAGTGCATAAAGATTCCATGTCATTAAAAAAGATTTTAACAACTTGTTTCACTTGACAAATTAAATGAATTAGTTTATGTCACTTCCTAAACTTTATTGGTGAGACAGTATTTACTAGGTAAATTCCATTCCTTTTTCCCTTTTCTTAGGAGGAACTGTATGGTATGACAACTCTCAGCCTTGTCATCCACGGTTACATCAAACTCATGTGCGCCCCCTGTTGGAAGGAGGACAGCTGGTGAAGTCTCTCCGACCCCTCACTCATTCCCTCAGAGCCATTAAGAGCCCAGCAGAGGTTGCACTGATGAAAGAGGCAGGACGGATCACTGCTCAGGTAGTGAATCCATAATAGTACTGTACGTCTTGGAAAAAATACTTTAAAGGGGTCATAGTGCATAATTTAGCCATTTGAGATTGAAAAGGATTTGCAAAATGACAATTTTCTTCAGTGGGAATTATTCTGTACATTAGTAACCACTAGGGTTGTCAAAAGTGTTGACTTCGGTATTAATCGCTACTGATGTTTTAAAGATTTCCATTTTCCTTGAACATTTGAGCACATTTTTAAACTGCTAACTGCCCATTGTGTTCATGTGGTCACCAGATATGACTGTTTGGCTCTGAAGATCATTGCTTCACCGTTGTTCACTAATGGCCCATTTCCACTGAGTGGTACAGTTTGATACGGGTCGGTACGAATCACTTTTATCAGGCTTGCGGTTCCACTGCCAAAAGGGTACCAATTTTGGTGGGCGTAGTGTATGCCAGAAAGTTTCAGTCGACGTCATTCTCACTTAAGCTAAATGTCAAACTAAAGCTTTACGGGTCGTTTACATATCATATGAGAAGCACTTCTCACAAGATGCTTTATACACAAAAAATACTTGTGTATAAATGTTTATTACTAACCTAATGAACGTAATTTGATTAGAACTGCGGATCAATTACAGTGCGAAATAGCCTACTGCAACGTCTGCAATTATATAAAATAAATAAATAAATTTAACATTTATGAACACACAGACCCTTACAGTCTCAGATATGTTACCAATTACAGAAAAACTACACAACGCATACATTTAGTTTTTATTTGGGTTCAAAAACAACACACAACATATAGCCCACAGTCAGTGCAAACCTCTCATCTGTATATTCAATCTTTACCAGCACATGTAACCTCTGTTAAAAAATAATTCCGTCATTCCCGAGTTCATAATAGTCTAAAAGGTGATGATAATAGTTAAACATGGCAGTTATTTGCTCCTTTGTTTTTCTGGATTCTCCTTTGTTTTTTCGCGAGTCACTCTCGCGTTTGTCCGTTTCTGAAAGGATCGGATGTCAGAAGCACTTTATTAATAACACACACACGCTATTATCATCAGCTCAAGAAGTTCATTATGTTTAAATATAGACGCATAAAAAGTGGTGTGGTACGGTTCGCTTTTAGGTTCATTTTGACTGTGGAAATGGCCATAAAAGCGTACCATACCATAACACTCAGTAGAAATGGGCCATAAGCGCAAACAAATAATAGTTGAAACCTAGAGCTTTTGAAAACAGTGTCTATCTTGATCTGTCTATGATCGTTCAGCTGATATATTTTTGAAAATTTTAGTATCAATTGGTATGATTGTAATCAATATTTCTGCCAACCCTAGTAGTGAAAAGTTTCTGAAGGGTGAGGCTTTTTTGAATTGTGTTAGTAGCATGTTGTTGGCTGTTTGAGACATATAATATACTGATACGCTCAGTTTCTTCAAGAAATGTTTACATTCACTGACATAAACAGCATTATGAAAACTTTTTGTGTGCTTTTTACATTAGCTGTAATACTTGCGTGACCTTGCTAACTGATGTGATTGCACTTAAAAGTCTGTGAGCTGAGTAAACCTAAGATCAGATTGGTTTAGAGAGACTAGTTCAAGGTTAAAAATTTAGTTGTGTTTATCCTCAGGCATTTAAAAAGACAATGGCTATGTCAAGAGGAAACATTGATGAGGCTGTTCTCTATGCAAAGGTGAGTAAAGGGACTAAATACAGTCTTTAAATTCATGGTTATGCAGTAGAGATTGTAATATTTTTAAAAAATAATTAATGCTTTAATGGTCTTAAGAAGTTTATTTTTATTTTTGTACTAAGTTTCTTATGTCTATCAAACTTCACCTGTATAAAATATATTTAAAATTTTTATAATAACCGTCAATTATTAATTTTTCTCTAAGTTGATACATTTTAAATTGTATTTATTCCTGCTGTTTTGTTGCTTCTTCTCAGTCACTTTTTAACTAGCATAATGTTATAGCAGTCTTTCTTATGTTTTGATCGTTCCACATATCTGGCATAATACTGTACAGTTTGGCATGAACACTAACATTTTCAGAAGTGTACTTTCAAATATTTAACACAATGTGGCATAACAAATAAAACATCCAGTCAAATATAAATCCAGAGTTTGTTGCTAGGACCAAAGTTCCTTAAAACACAATCATTTATTAAACAATACAACAGGAGAAAAGAAAAACTAAAGTTTCAGCTATGAGCCTTCATCAGTGTAATGATTCATTATTGTTTGATGCTTATATACTCAGTCATCATGTCAGGAGTTCACAATCAGTTGACCAGCAGATTCATTTTAGTCTCATTAGGATCACTGCACAGAATTAGAATGGAAAAAGTTATATATCAGGAAGAAAGAAGGAAAAAAAAAGAGAAAAAATTATAAATTGAGCATGGACCATCTTTGCTGCTTGTCTTATAACAATGAAAAAAAAATTGTTAATCTTACTTCTGAACAATTCTTTTTGTAATGTAGCTGTATATGGTTGTAAGAACCAAAATTTCTGGTTTGGATATTTCAGAAAAAAAAAACAATCTGTTGGGATTTTCACGCACCGTCATGCCAGAAAATGATTATTACAGAGTGGTCACATTGCTTTTTGGTGTCAGAGGACAAAAAACAGATTCAAACGAATAGAAAGGCAACGGAAACTCAAATCACCACTCGTGAGATCCAAAGTCTGCAAAAGAGTATTTCTGAATTCTCACACCATGTGAATGTTTATAGCAGAGGAGCAGCAGCAGAAGAAGAAGAGCACACCAGTGACAGACCTTTCAGCTAAAACCATGACTCTGATGACTCTATGGCACCAGTCCCTCTTGGTGTACTTTTAATAATATTAAAGGTTTAATTAACTAATAAATTAATTCATTCATTTATTTTCCTTTGGCTTAGTCTTAGTCAGTGGTCGCCACAGTGGAATGAACCTCCAACTATGTTTTATGCAGCAGATGTCCTTCTAGCCACAACCCAGTACTGGGAAACACCCATACACAGTCACACACACACTCATACTCTACAGACGCATGTCTTTGGACAATGTGGGAACCGGAGCATCTGGAGGAAACCCATGCGAACACGAGAACATGCAAACTCCACACAGACATGCCAATTGGCCCACCTGGAAGTCGAACCAGCAACCTTCTTGCTATGAGCGACCGTGCCGGCTAATTATTAAATTAATGTATTAATTATATTATAAACTTTGGGTGATCACAATTGGTGATACTGAAAGCTTATGGGACAGAGAAGTGGGGGTGACGTTTGTGAAGAAGGGTTAATTGATGTCATGAAGAAAAAAAGCTATTCTGAAGGCACAAGAGGGTCCATCCTGGTAGTGTGCCAGGAAGCGTATATGGTATGTTTCTATTGGAGTTAGAAGTACTTTGTGAAGTTGCCATTGGGTGATGCCAAGGTAATGGACCATCTGAAAAATGAAAAAGTACCAGAGAAACACAAATGACATCAACAAGCTCTTGAAGAGTCAAATTACAGTGCCCAGTGTGTCCAGTCCACATGCTGACTAACAGCACTGTTTTCTTTCCTCTTTTCTGAAATTCTGCATGTTTTCTCCTACAGTTTGATTATGAATGCCGTGCTCATGGTGCTAACTTCCTGGCATATCCGCCTGTGGTTGCTGGTGGAAACAGGGCAAACACACTTCATTACATCAACAACAATCAAATAGTGAAGGTGAAGTACCAAACACACACACAATTATTACCAGTGTTTTCTTTTTCTATTAGAAAGAATCCAGAACAGATCTGTAAACTGTACATCTGCATAAACTAAAGCCATTTTTTCAATTGACACAATATTCCAAATCTTTTGCTGGCATGGTCCGAAGATAATAGTAATAAAAATACTATGGAAGTTATAACATTTCTCAGAATAATGTATTTTGTGTTCAACAAAAGAGGGAACACAAACAGGTTTGAAATTTGTGAAAGGTAAGTAAATTATTTTTTTGAGGGATGAACTATTCCTTTAAAACAACAGATAAGATGAGCAGCTCGTCATTGCCTAATTGTTATCAATATTCTCATTATGATCCTTTCAGTCTATTAGTCGTATGACAAAAGTGGCCAATAGCTTATAACAGTTTTTGAAGTTTCATCATCTTTTTTTTTTTTACCATGAGTTGGTGCTGCCTATTTTATGAGAAATTTCTAAAGTGCCTAATGGCCAACATGGAAAAACTGAATATCATTCAATATATTATGCTGTAATATATTAAATTTAAACCTCTTTGGTGCACTCATTAGCTACGTTTCCATCCGCTTTTTTTTTAAAACACCAAGATGCGCATTAATGTTCAAATGTTAAAATTAAGGCTTGGTTGGGTTTATAAGATGCAAAGTAATGTGTGCTCATGCTTTAATTGTAGAAAATCGCGTTATTTTCTAGAGTTCACACTTAGCTGATAATTGATTATAAGCTAATTTGGCATGCTGTCCCGGGAGAGAGCCCTGAGCTCATAAGATTCCAGAGCCTGAGGCTTCCTCCCGTTGCAAGGCGAAAGGGGAGTTTGAGCTCAGGTAGATTTAGAGAACTCATCTGTCATGGTGGCTGAAGAGCAGATAGTAGTTGCTCTTAAAGAGATAAGTACTAGGTAGAGGCAAGACTATGGTGTTGATTTGGAGTAGTCAATAAACTTAGGTTGCATGTTTTTGATCGGTGGGAGGAAACTGTAAAACCCAGGGGAAACCCACGTGAGCATGGGGAGAACGGGCAAACTCCGCACAGAAACGTCTGCTGGTTTGGTAAAGCTTGGAACCAGAGACGTTCTTGCTGTGAGGCAACAGTGCTAAGCACTGGGCCACCGTGTCACCATTCTAGAAAGGAGGAGGAGTAGGGGTGGAAGGGGGTTCTTCAAAACGAAGATAGTGGTGATGCGTAACCCAGGGTATTTGTAGTAGCTTAGGAGTCGTTTGATTGGTGCATTGAGAATTGGATAATGCAAGTCCAGCCACTAGCACTCATCAGCATGTCATCCTCTTGAAATTAGTTTATAAAAAACTTCACTTTTTATATATCTTACTTTGATTTTATACAGCTACTCTACTAACATGAAAACGACCATCATAGTTCCTAGTTTCTCCTAAGGGCTCGCCCTTAAGAGCCTCTGATTGGTCTGCTAACATAGTGTTCTGTGATTCGCGGATTGGGTCTACATCACACACCTACAAGCGCACGCTTTTGCTCTGTGTAAACAGTCAGAGGCTCAGAGCAGCTGTTAGCAGCATCAGCTGCCTGAATCAGACAGAAATGAAGAGCACACAGCTCACGCCTGCTCTATAAAATAAAATCTGTCTAGTGTCTTTTACATATATTTGGAATAAGCATGTGTAAGTAATATGAAACGTTCACATACAGTATCTTTTGTTTGTTATTTGAGATGTAGAACGCTCAAAGCAGCCGAATAGAGAGAAACGCATAGAGAGATACTGCACAAGCTGCTGAAGATTGTGGGTGTTTACAGCGGTTTGACTGATAAATATGAATTTGTAGCTAAATTGTCAGCCGTGCAAAACAGCATTTCCCATTGTTTACATCCTTGTTTACGACCTTGTTGATGCTAGAAACTGTGCTTGTAGTTGATCAAACAAAAACACTTGCAGGTTGTGGCTCACAGTCCACAGCTTCATCTGTTGGAGGAGTTTTACCGAATCCAGCTCTGTTGATATAGCAAGGTTTGGACGGCATTTTAGCTTTTACTGCTTTAACATTACAGCACCTCTGGCCTCGCCCCTTCGCTGCACAGGGTGTGTGCGCAAGGTAAATGCACGTAATCTGAAGCGTTTGTGATCTCACTAGCCCGGATGTGTTTTTTTTTTTTGTCCCCAAATTCGTTCGGTATAGGCAGTTTGCTAAGCTAACTCTGTAAAAGCCAATGTCTCCCTTTGCATTTAACTTTGAACGTCTTACATTCAGAGATGTTGTTTATGTTCACACAGCCACATTACGCATCAACTAAAGTTTAAAATATGATATTGTAGTGGACCCCCCTTTAAACAATGTCAATAAAGTTACAATATATGGTTCTTCACCTGATAAAGGATTGAAGAAACCAGTCAGATTTAGTTTAGCAGTTTAGAGCAAAAATAGGCATGTTAACATATAGGCAATTGGCAAGTTGGTCATAACACTCAGAGTTTGGACTGAATATGCTGAAGCATTGTGGAAATACAGCCTCGGGTACAATTCGGCCAGCTCTTTGTCATATTTGTTTGTGCGTTTTGTAAATGAATCAATTTCAAGGTCAATTTTATTGGTATAACAACCCATTCAAAGAACATTACTGTTGACCAAAGTGCTCCACAGCAAGCAATAAAAACACTCACTGTTCAATACTTTCCATGTTATTATTTTAAAATAGTGTTTTATTATGTTTTCCTCAAATTTAAAAATTGACTTGTAAATGGCTTCAATTATCATTTCATAATATTGAAAAAAACCAGTTGTATTGTTATTGTATTGGGGTGGATTTTAAAGTGTCATCTTTATCCATGCAGTTATCATTCTCAGTGTGACCGAGTCAAAAACTTTTTTTCTGTCTCCTCTCTCTCTCTCAGGATGGAGAAATGGTCCTGTTGGATGGGGGCTGTGAATATTTCGGCTATGTGAGCGACATCACACGCACTTGGCCGGTGAATGGAAAGTCTGTGTTCAACAGAACTCTCATTGTCTCAAATGTAATGTCGCTTTAACTTCATGCTATTAGTAAGCAATTAATAAGTGCTCTGGTTGTGTCTTTGTGTGTCTCAGGTTCAGTGCTGCTCAGAGGGAGCTCTATGAGGCTGTGCTGGAGGTGCAGTTGGCCTGTCTGTCTCAATGCAGTCCTGGCGTCAGTCTAGACTACATATACTCCACCATGCTCACACTGCTCGCCCGGCAACTCAAAGAGCTCGGTATCCTTCCATCACATGCCAGTGATACAGATGCAATGAAGGTACTCAAAAACTGACAAAGTTTGTTTAGAAGGAATAGTTAATTCATTTTAAAATTTATTTAATATACAGTAGTCAACTTTTGAACTGAATCAAAAAGGTTTTTCAAATTTGTTCTTGGACAAGAATGGGTGTTGTCTATTAGTTTTAGGACAACTTTGAAAAAAGGTTTTGAACCACTTCAAATATTGAATATTGTACATTGTTCTAAATATTTCAAATCAAATACTGTCTAACATTATTGTTACTTTTACATGTATTATACATGCTTTTATGAAGATTTTGTCAGCGTTTAGTTTGTTTAATGAGGGGTGTACACTGCCTTTTAAAGAATTAAATGTAACATCCTGTTGATCAAAAGTGAAAGATGTTTGCAATCTTACTATTTCTAATCAAAGCAATTATTTTAAACTTTATCAAACAGAAGAATAAGCACTGGGATATTAACATTTATGTTTACATCGGAAGAAAATTAAACTACTACAGTGGGTATGGAAGTATTTTTTTTGCTTTTTGTTATATTACAGCCATTTGCTGAAATAATTTGTTCTTTTTTTTCCATTAATGTGCACACAACACCCCAGTTGACATTTTTGCAAATTTATTAAAAAAGAAAAACTGAAACATCACATGGTCACAAGTATTCAGACCCTTTGCTGTAAAACTAGTATATTTAACTCTATTATATCTAACTAGCTATTAAAAATGGTGCTATCTATTTCTTCTGATCATTCTTTATTTGGTTCTACACCTTCATTTCAGTCCAGCTGTGTATTATTATACTTATTGGATTTGATTAGCAAAGCCACACACCTGTCTATATGAGACCTTAAAAGCTCACAATGCATCAGAGCAAATGTGAATCATGAGGTCAAAGGAACTACCTGAAGAGCTCAGAGACAGAATTGTGGCAAGGCAGAGATCTGGCTAAGGTTACAAAAATAATTTCTGCTCTCCTTGAAGTTTCTAAGAGCACAGTTGCCTCCATAATCCTTAAATAGAAGACATTTGGAATGACCAAAACCCATCCTGGAGCTGGCTATATGGGGAGAAGAGCTATGGTGAGAGAGGTAAAGAAGAACCCAAAGATCACTGTGGCTGGGCTCCAGAGATGCAGTCGGGAGATGGGAGAAAGTTGTAGAAAGTCAGCCATAACTGCAGCTCTCCACCAGTCAGGACAGAAAGGCTCGACACAGGAAAGCCCACATGAAGTTTGCTAAAAAAAAACACCTGAAGGACTCCAAGATGGTGAGAAATAAGATCCTTTGTTTTGTTGATCTATCAGAACTTTTTGGCCTTAATTCTAAGTGATATGTGTGGAGAAAACCAAGCACTGGTCATCACCTGTCCAATACAGTCCCAACAGTGGAGCATGGTGGTGGCAGCATCATGCTGTGGGGGTGTTTTTCAGCTGCAGGGACAGAACAACTGGTTGCAATCAAAGGAAAGATGAATGTGGCCAAGTACAGGGATATTCTGGACAAAGACCTCCACCAAAGTGCTCAGGACCTCAGACTGGGCCAAAGGTTTACTTTCAAACAAGACAATGACCCTAAGCACACAGCTAAACTAGCGAAGGAGTGGCTTCATGACAACTCTGTGACTGTTCTTGAATGGCCCAGCCAGAGCCCTGACCCAATTGAGCATCTCTGGATAGTTCTTTAAATGGCTGACCACCAACCTTTACCATCCAAACTGACAGAACTGGAGAGAATCTACAAGGAGGAATGACAGAGAATCCCCAAATCGAGGTGTGAAAACGTGCATCTTTCCAAAAAGACTTATGGCTTTATTAGATCAAAAGGGTGCTTCTACTGAATGTAATGTGTATTTAGATCATTTATTGTGCGTGGCCATATACCCAAAGCACTTACTGAGTAAATACTGAGCAAAGGGTCTGAATACTTAGGACCATGTGATAGTTAAGTTTTTGGGCTCTATTTTGACGGTCCATGCGCAGAGCACAAAACGCAGGGTGCAAACGCTTTCAGAGCGTGTCAGGATGCGTTTTTGCTAATTTAAGGACGGGAAATCTGCCTTGCGCCGCGGCGCATGGTCTAAAAGGGTTGAGTTTATTTTCTTAATGAGTTATAGGTGTGTTTTGAGAATAAACCAATTAGAGTCTCATCTCCCATTCCCTTTAAGAGTCCGCTGCGTCGCGCCAAGAGCGCATTCACTATTTACAGGACGCAAAGTAAGTCTAAGTGGAAAAAAATGAGCATTTCACAAGCAAACAGTTCACAGTTAACAGTTTTTTTAACAGAAAACTGTTAAACAGAGCATCTACTGCGTGAGAATGAGGGATAATGGATCACTTTCACTTTCGCTCTTGGATAGGGAAACCTTTACGCACAGACATCAATCAGTCTATAAATAATTAATTGCGTTTGTGAAGCGCAAATATTCATTTCAAAACTATTTCTAAATTCAGTTTTAATTTCTAGCAAACAAATAAATGAACAATAGTAACAAAGTGTGTTCAAAAACCTGAGTTATATCCTAAAACACATGCTGTGCCCCTTATGGTCTAAAACCTGACAGGTGGGCAAATCTAAGCTTGTTTTTAATAAAAAAATATAAATATGGATGCAATAAATAATACTGCTAATAATAATAATAATATTATACAAAAGCAAATTGTTATGAATGAACTGAAAAAGCCTTCAGAGATGAAGAAGACATAAAAGCAGTGATTTTTCATATTTATGTAGGCTAGAAAATAATATGTTTTGTAATATTTTAATCCTTTATATTTATATCCTATATCTATTCTTATTATATCCTATATATATCCTTAATATAAAAATGTTTTCATATGTAAAGATATTTGCCTATATTGCTCTCTTGTGCGTATTAAGCAGTGCGTAAGCGAGGCGCAACTCTGCGCCGGAGTTTCAACCGGGTTAGTTTTGGTCTAATGAAAAATCTATTATAGCTTCTCAAAATAGCAACGCGCCAGCGGTCCGCCTCAGAACGCCTCAGAACGCCTCAGAACGCCTTCCTTTTTAGACCAGAACGCCTATGGGCGCAAAAATTAGCGCTAATGCATTTGCTATTTAAACAGCGTAGCGCAACGCCTCAAAACGACTCTTGCGCCAAGCTGAAACTACGAAAAGACTACTGCGCCACGCCTTGCGCCACACTGCGCTGGGTGAATGATAGGGCCCTTTATTTTTTTATAAATCTGCAAAAATGTCAGTAATTCTGTGTTTTTCTGTTAATATGGTGTGCTGTGTGAAAAAAATAAACTAATTCAAAACGAACTACTGATTTTTACTGATTTTTGCAAATGGCTGCAATATAACAAAGTAAAAAATGTAAGGGGGTCTGAAACTTTCTGTACCCAATGTATATACCCAGAGAAAATAGTTTTTTGAAATTGTCACAGTATTATTTTAGTGTAGTGTTTTCCTAAGCAAACCTTTGAGTGGTGTTTAATTCATGAATCTTGGTGGATAAAATTTTATTTTGCAGCTAAAGTATTTCAATAATGTGCATGACTTCATACAATATACTCTATTAATTACCAAGATATTGCATTTTCAAATACATTTTTCAAGAACCATGGACTTAAAGAGTAGTATATTACAAGAACATTTTATAATAACTTCCAACAACTACAGCCATTAATGGAGCACTTTCATCATCATTCCCCATCAATAAATTCATCTACTTTCAACCATTGAGTTTATGAAAACGAATATGATAATTTTGTGCCAGAAAAGGTATTAATAGTACAGTATGTGCATAATTATGCAGGTCAATATTCTGAATGTATTTTTTCACCCAAGCATATTTTAGCAATTCCAAACCACTTAAATCTCGTTAACAAGGGCTCTCACCTTTAACACCTTATGTTGACTTGAGACTAAAGGCTCCTGATGGTTTAATTCTTGCTTTAGCACCTAATTCTTCACTTTATTATTCAAAGTATTTTGTGCTTCATATCTTTTCAAACCATTTATTGCACCCTGCTGCCCCAGTGAGGATTTCTTGTCTAATGGTTATACCTTAATTTGCAGTTTCTATAATATTGTATCCTCCTTGTTAATAAGTTTGGCTTTTCATGTTGTTTTATGGCCATTTTATTTGTAAATAAAAACATGCTTCATAATTATCCACATCTGGATATACAGTAAGACGTTATCCAGCCTTTATTAATAACTACACATCAGTATAAATTATTATATACAAAATTATTAGTATTTAGGAGGTATGTGGTCTGGAAATTGTAAAAATTTCTTTGTAAAAATATTCAAAAAATATTTAGAGCTGCATAACAAATTTAGATGCAAAGTATGTCATAAACATGCATCCTATTTATTTGAAATAAATCAGCTTTATTTATATATTTTTGCCTGTTTGTGTATGCATCTTTTGCTGTTTTTCCCTTTCAAATGGCGTGATCTGCGTCACTTTAAAATCAACATATTTCAAAACCCTTTCACCTCTTTTGGCTTCATTATAAATTGCTCAATCAAGCAGTTTTTGAAAAGGCATTTTAATTGGTAATAATTTATGGAAAGACAATAGTGAAAGGGCCTTAAAACTGTCAAGTTGATGCTATATTATAATCTTTTTTAAACTATATGATAGCTGTAAGTAATTATTAGTAATTATTTAAAGTGGTTGCCAAAAAATCAGTTAAAGCCAAGTGTTGTTTATTGTTTTAGATCATCAAACAAATTTAAGATTGAATCTAAGATGACACAAGTAAACACAAATTAATTCCGAGACAAAAACCACTGCTAAGCAAAAAGTACATTAAGGCTCATCTCAGTTATGCCAGAAAACATCTTGATGATCCCCAAGACTTTTGGGAAAGTACTCGAGACAAAAGTTGTAATTTTTGTAAGCTGTGTATCGCATTATGTGTAGCATAAATAACAATGCATTTCAGAAATGAACATTATACCAACAGTAAAATGTAGTGGTGGTAGTGTGATGGTCAGAAGGGTTATTTTGCTTCTTTAAGTCCTGGAAGACTTGCTGCGATAAATGGAACCATAAATTCTACTGTGTTACAAAATATGCTGAAGGAGAATGTCCATCTGTTAGTGACCTCAAGCTGAAGCAAACTTGGGTTCTGCAGCAGGACTGTGATCCAAAGCACACCAGCAAATCCACTTCTGAATGACTGAAAACAAAATGAAGACTTTGGAGTGGCCTAGTCAAAGTCCTGACCTAAATCCAATTGAGATTCTGTGGCATGACGCTAAAAGCAGGTCATGCTCCAAAACCCTCCAGTGTGGCTGAATAACAACAATTCTGCAAAAATGAAAGTCCTCCACAGCGATGTAACAGACTCATTGCAAGTTAATCAAGAAAACACTTGATTACAGTTGTTGCTGCTAAGGGTGACCCAACCAGTTATTTAGTTTTATGGGGCAAAAACTTTTTTACACAGGGCTATGTAATTTTATATTTTGTTTTTATTTAATAAAAAAAAACTTTATTTTAAAACTGCATGTTGTGTTGTGTTATTTTTGACTGACATTTAAATTGCTTTGGTGATCTGGAATGTTAAAGTGACAAACATGAAATCAGTAATGGGTGCAAACAATTTTTCACACCACTGTACTTTAAAATATACCACAGTCTTCTTACACTGCTCTCGAGATCCTGGCTCACAGCACTCGCACTCCAGGAATTCAAGACATTCTTTCTTTATTTTTTTTATTTATTTATTTCATTGAACTTCCCTAAAGCTCTGTGGTCAGGAAATGACCATAAGTCTTTCTGTGCAATTTAAACAGCAAAGATCTGGCCCACTTATATCAGTGTAGAGCTTTACAGGCACTATAAAAACAATGTTGCGCTTAATGCAGTAGATTTATGAGGCCAGCAAACGAGCGTGTTGGTCAGTTTAGCCCGTTGCGGCTGTGAGGACGTAGGTTTGCACTTATTACAGCTTAATTCAGTTTTCCAGTTCAGCTTTATGACTGTTTAACATGGTTTTTTTTCAATGGATGACCTCCTCTCTTTCTCTTTTTTTTTTTTTTGTATTTCCCAGGCTGCTCGACAGTTTTGCCCTCATCACGTGGGTCACTATCTGGGCATGGATGTTCACGACACTCCTGAACTTTCACGTTCACAACCACTGCAGCCTGGCATGGTGATCACAATAGAACCAGGTAGAGATCATAAATTTTTGTTATTGAAGTACATAAGAACATGTTGGATGCCTAGACATTTGTTAGGGCTACCTCCGAGCAAATGTTTTCCTGAAAAATAATCTATTTTATGGTAAACATGTAAATTATCAGCGTGTTCACTGTGTCTTAAAAGGTTTTAAAATATCTTCAATATCAACGGTTTAGGCCATAAAATGTGTTAAATTCACTGAAATAAGTTGTTGTAGGATTTTAATCATTTTAAACAGGCCTTATTTTTTTTCTCTCCATGTCATGCTATCCAAACGGGCAATCCAACACCCATCCAATCACCAACAATCCAACTCAATAAAACTTTTAACAAAAGTTACATTATTAAAAATATACAAATGTATAAATAAATACATTTGTTTACAAGTTCTCCCTGTATTTATAGCTACCTGGTATGTCAGCTGACCTGGACATACTATTGTGCATAAAATTTTATTATAATAATGTTTAATTAGTCTTTTTTTCAGTGATTTTATGTATGTATATAAATAGAGTTTGCTTGTTTTTACATACTTTTTTATAATATGTGGCTAAGAAAGAACTGTAATTTTAGCTTTTTTTCTGTAAATTTTGAAGTACAAATCTTTTCCATTGGCCATTAGAAAAAAATACTTGGTGTTTTGCCCTGCATACAGTGCATCCGGAAAGTATTCATAGCGCTTCACTTTTTCCACATTTTTTATGTTACAGCTTTATTCCAAAATGGATTCAATTCATCTATTTCCTCAAAATTCTACACACAATACCCCATAATGACAATGTGAAAAAAGATTTTTTTAATTGTTGCAAATTTATTACAAATAAAAAACCTGAAAAATTACATGTACAGAAGTATTCACAGCCTTTGCCGTGAAGCTCTAAATTGAGCTGAGGTACATTCTGTTTCCACTGATCATTCTTGAGATGTTTCAGCAGCTTAATTGGAGTTCACCTGTGGAAAATTTAGTTGATTAAACATGATTTGAAAAGGCACACACCTGCCTATGTAAGATCCCAGGGTTGACAGTGCATGTTAAAGCACAAACCAAGCATGAAGACAAAGGAATTGTCTGTAGACATCTGAGACAGGATTGTCCCGAGGCACAAGGCTGGGGAAGGTTACAAAAAAATGTCTACTGCTCTGAAAGTTCCAGTGAGCACAGTGACCTCCATCATCTGTAAGTGGAAGATGTTTGGGACCACCAGGACTCTTCCTAGAGCTGGCCGGCCATCTAAGCTGAGTGATCGGGGGAGAAGGGGCTTGGTCAGGGAGGTGATCAAAAACCCGAAGGTCACTCTGTCTGAGCTCCAGCGTTCTTCTGTGGAGAGAGGAGAACCTTACAGAAAGACAACTATCTGTGCAGCAATCCACCAATCAGGCCTGTATGGTAGAGTGGCCAGACGGAAGCCACTTCCCGCCTGGAAGTGCATTTGAAGCACTCTCAGACCATAAGAAACAAAATTCTCTGCTCTGATGAGACTAAAATTGAACTCTTTGGAGTGAATGCCAGCCGTTAAGTTTGGAGAAAACCAGGCTTATCCCCAGGCTAATACCATCCCTACAGTGAAGCATGGTGGCGGCAGCATCATGCTGTGGGGATGTTTTTCAGCACCAGGAACTGGAAGACTAGTCAGGATAGAGGGAAAGATGAATGCAGCAAGAGACATCCTGAATGAAAACCTGCTTCAGAGTGCTCTTGACTTCAGACTGGGGTGACTGTTCATCTTTCAGCAGGGCAATGACCCAAAGCACACCGCCAAAATATCAATGGAGTGGCTTTACAACAACTCTGTGAATGTCCTTGAGTGGCCCAGACCTAAATCCTATTGAACATCTCTGGAGAGATCTGAAAATGGCTGTACACCGTCGTTTCCCATCCAACATGATAGAGGTTGAGAGGTATCACTTTTGGAATAAGGCTGTAACATAAATAAGTGTAAAAAAATGAAGCGCTATGAATACTTTCCGGATGCACTGTAATTCTGACATTTAATTTATAATATGAAAAATGTCTTTAAAAGGTCTTAAAGTCTTATATTTGACTTAGTAAAACTGTGATTATGCAGCTAGTAATAATTTTGATTCCACACAATCACTGAGATATGAAAACCACGAGTGCTTATATTCTCAGTGTCTTATATAAAGCAATTAAAGAGATTGTTGACCCAAAAATGAGAATTGCTCTGGTTTTATATTTAGATAAACCTTTTTTTTTTTTAATTAGGAAAGGTTTTTAACTTTGGTGATTCCTAACATTCATGTCAACAGCTTGCAACACTTCAAGAGTCAAAAACATCCAACAAAAAACTTATATAGGCAAAACAAAAGAAAAACAGTCTGTCTTTGCCAAGGATTGAACATTTACAGAATTATTTGTTTTAATCTACAGCCTTGTCAAAGAGTCCTCAACAAATTTACAACAACTTAAGTGTATATAAACAGATGCAAACCCACACGCTTGTTCTCAGTGGTACTAACTTGAGTTTATCCTGGATTGAAAGGTTGCAAACAAACACTGTAAGCTTGTAGAAATGTGTGTTTGGAAGTAATTACATTTTTTTGTTTTGATTATATGTTTTATTTTTTTATATCTTAAAAGAACGATAATTTGTAGAATTTATGAATCACCAAGGGCCAACAGTTTAAGCTAAAATCTTCTTAAAGCTTTAAATCTTTTAAAATAAGCTTAATCTTTACTGAAAAAAAGTCCCCAACATCTTGTATGGCCATGAGGCTGAGTAAATAAAGACCAATAAATCACATTTTCAGTTTGTGTAAAGACTTTACATTCATAATAGTTGTTTAAAGTGAATGCTACTATATCTTTTTTGTTGTGACGGGAACTAAAACGTGCCGGGAACTAAATTCACAGGAACTAAAAAGTAACAGTAACTAAAATATATTTGTTTTATTTAGGGCTACCATTTTTTAATCCATTCTTCTGGATGTGATTGTAAAATGGGGGCTTATACACCAATGACATGTTTTTTTCGCTTTAAAAATCTAGTTTTGTTCTAGTGATGTGTGACCTTTATTCTGGGAATACAGTAATAACACCAGTTTATATAGTGTAATGTTACAGCATTTAACCGTTTTGGGGTCATCATTTAAGGCCTGTTCAAATAAAAAATACTGCATATAAACATAATCGTAAATATAACAATAATGATACATGAGTCCACATTAGCGCACAAAATGTTTAGGTTTAGAACAAGTTAAGGTTGTGTAATTAGGGCAGAATAATTTTTTCAACAATCCCTTTAAATATCAAAATGAATCGACAGAAGTTTTAGCTAAAAATACTCTAATGGTCTATTAAGGGAAAAAAGCCTCATACATCTCAGATTGCCGGATTATAATTAACAGGCAATTTTCATTTTTGGGTGAACTATTCCTTTAATTGAATACCTTTTTTCACAGTCTGAGTAGATTCTAATTGGCTGTTGATATTTTTGTCCATCAGCTGGAAAATATAGTTCTGTTACCGTTGTGCTATTGCTTTAAACTTTGATTTTGAAAACTATAGTTATCATCTTGATCCTACACTTTGGATTTCCTGCCCATGGTAATTACCACACCAGCCAAGATAACAATGACGTGTCTGTCACAGACTTGGCAACTTCACTTTCTGTCAAGTGTTTTTCCCTTCTTCTTTTACTACGTCTAACCAGCCAATTAAATGCTGGTTGACCAAGGCTCTTTTAAGTGTTAGCTGTATTAGGGGGCAGCCCTAGAGTTTATTAAAGATAATTGGGTGAAGTTTCATCTCCTGCTGTAGATTTAAAGCTTCTCATCAGATCAGCACCTCAAACTCAAAAACTAACTATTCTATTTACAGTAATCGTTTACCCATTTAGCTAATTTTAAAAAGAAAAAAAAAAAGACTTGAAAGTGTAATCTGCTCAGTACTCCAGCAACTTTTTTTTATTTCTGCAGTTCATTGAGCAGCACAGTTAATTTCAGTTGTGCTCATTATAAGAAACGTTTCTTGAGTAGCAAATTTGAACATTATAATGATAACTTATAGAAAATGTCAAGTGTTTTCTTATAATGGACTATAAAAATGAGACTTTGCATCAGAATAAATGAAATTTAAATACCGAAAGGCCATTAAACAGTCTGATAGACCAAAATTTTGATTTAAACAATATAAAAGTAAACTTTAAATTAACATTAACTAACTTTAACAAATGCTTCTGATATTTTTTTTGTTCGTCCTAATTAATGCAGTTTTTTCCCACATTAATCCATTGTGTAAAGTTACCAAACATTTTGTTTATTGAAATCAATAATAATAATAATTTATATTACTATTTTCAACTATATGATCGCCTCACAGCAAGAAGGTCGCTGGTTCGAGCCCTGTCATTTGGCATTTCTGTGTGGAGTTTGCATGTTCTCCCTGTGTTCACGTGGGTTTCCATAGGGGTGCTCCGGTTTACCCCCACAAGTCCAAAAACCTGTGCTATAGGTGAATTGGGTAAGCTAAATTGTCAGTAGTGTATATGTGTGAAGGAGGGTGTATGGATTTTTCCCAGTGATGAGTTGGTGATTCATTCCGCTGTGGCGACCCCAGATTAATAAAGGGACTAAGCCGAAAAGAAAATTAATTCATGAATTTCCAACTATTTGTATCAATTAAGAATGGCATGGTAGCTCAGTGGTTAGCACTGTCACCTCACAGCAAGAAGGTCGCTGATTCGAGCCCCGGCTGGACCAGGTTGCGTTTCTGTGTGGAGTTTGCATGTTCTCCCTGTGTTCATGTGGGTTTATTCTGGTTGCTCCAGTTTCTTCCACCAATCCAAAGACATGCGGTATAGGTCAATTGGGTAAACAAAAAAATTGGCCATAGTGTATGAGTGTATGTGAATGTGAGAGTGTATGGGTGTTTCCCAAAGCTGAGTTGTGGCTGGAAGGGCATCCGCTTCATTAAAAATATTTTTAGCCAGCAGCTAGCTCTCTACAACTCTCGCATGGTTGCCCACTGAAGCTAAGCAGGGCTGCGCCCGGTCAGTACTTGGATGGGAGACAACATGGGAAAGCCAGGTTGCTGTGTGGGTCCCAACACCCCCGTATAGTGAAGGGGACTCTATACTGATCAGTAAGCACTGTTTGGATGAGATGTTAAACTGGTCGTTAAAAATCCCAGGATGTCATTTGAAAAAGAGTAGGGGTTTAACCCCAGCATCCTGTCCAAATTTGCCCTATGGCCTCTGTCCATCATGACCTCCTTACCATCCCCATATCATAATTGGCTTCATCACTCTGTCTCCTCTCCACTCTGTCTGGCGCAATATGGCTGCCGTCACGTCATCCAGGTGGATGCTGAACACTGGTGATGGATGAGGAGATTCCCCCCAAAAATGTGCAAAGAGCTTTGAGTGCCCAGAAAAGCACTATATATGAATGTAAGGAATTATTAAAACATATGCAGTAATGTAGCAGTTACATGAATACTGGTAAGTTCATATTAGTTTGTGAATATTACTCAAATAAGATTATTCATACTTTAAAAAATAATAGTATTGAATATTAGAGAGGAAAAGTGGGTGGACTGGTTGTATGGCACAACTAAAACTGGAGCAAGAAGTCAATAACCTGAATGCATGTTGTCACACGCTGCACTTGAGGTGTACACAGATCTGTTGATTAAAATCAGAGCAATCTACTTACAGAAAAACATGTTGTTTTACAAACCGCATTTGTTTAGTGCATTCATAAACAACACATTTATAACATGGTAATAATACTGATAAACCGCAGACCTGTATCATGAGTGCCAAACAGGCATGCAAGTTAAAGAACTTCAAAAGACAGTTCAGTTAAAAATAAAATATCCTCTTAATTTATTCACCCTCATGTTTACAAACTTAAATGTTTTGTTTTGTTGAACACAAAAAGAAGATATTTCGAGAAATGATGGAAACCGGAGTTCCATACTAGAAAAAACAAAACATGAAAGTAAATAGCTACCGGTTTCCAACATTCTTCAAAATATCTTTTGTGTGTGTGTGTGTGTGTGTGTGTGTTCAGAAGAAAGAAACTCAAACAGATTTGGAGCAAGTGAGGGAGAATAAGTTATGACACAATTAGAATTTTAGTGTGAGCTGTTCTTTTAACATGAGCAAATACTTGAAAACCAAGTCTCTAAACTCTTATTTCTTCTTCCCATAATCCAGGACTGTACATCAGCGAGGACAACAGGTCCTGTCCTGAGCGATTCAGGGGTCTTGGGGTGCGAATTGAGGATGACGTGGTGATCCGAGACCACGGTGGACCCCTCATTCTGTCCGCAAACACCCCAAAAACCATCAGTGAGGTGGAGAGAACTTGTGCACATGCAGAAGACTGAAAGCAAACACACAGCAAGTCCTTTAAGAACGAGTCTGTTTCTCCAGTCTTTAACACCTCCTCTTGTAGGATTTTCTTTAATAGTGAACTCAGGAAGTCTGGATTTCACAGAACGTGTGTTAAATCTGGAGGATTAGGAGCCGGATGTGTTTGGACAGCGTGCATGGTTTTCCTGATAGCCAGTTCACTTCTACAGCAGCAGTGTTATGTGTTTGACCTGCACACCTAAGATCTGGGATCAGGGTTTATAGGAGACTTTAAAAGAGGTCAGAGAGAGAAGCGTCTGTGATTTATTGAGCATGATGAACAATTTATTTGTTTGTGAGTGAATTGAGTTTCTTTAAATGTTTGATTCCTGAGGTTTTTATTGTCATAAATGTCTTTTTTGACAGAAAAATAAATCTCTAGTTCTTAATTGTTGCTGATGTTTGTATAACTAGTGCGTCTAATCCAGATAATTAGTCACAAAATCTGCCATTCAGTCCAAATTATGAATATTTTAGTTGCTTAATATATACGTAAATCAAGTCTAATGTTATGATTTATTCAACCTTGAGCAGTTTTGTTTTAGCGGTAACCTAAACAAACACTACATTTGAGTCCTCTATAGAGTTAAACAGTTGAGTTTTACCATTTTTGAATCCATTCAGCTTATTTTTGGGTCTGGCGGGAGAACTTTTACCTTAGCTTAGCATAGATCAGTGGTTCTCAAACTGGTATGCGGGCTTAATTCTAGTGGTACGCGGAGATATCAAATGTGTCATATATACATGCTACATATATTTCAAAATGTATCAAAAATGATTTATAAATTAATATGACATACAATATTATTTATTGTATGGCATATAGCCTATATTTCTGAGGTCCAGGCAAAATTTCCAGGTGTTCATTAATTGGCTACTATATGTTAATGCTTTACATTTAAGTACAGCACTTTTCTTTTTACTTTTTAAGAACATTAACCTACCATTTTTAAACTTTAAAAGTACATTTTAATTAAAATGTTCATGTTTTTATTTATTTTTTTTACATATAAGCACAGTACAGTGTTAACGTTCAGGCTATTATGTTTAAAATGGCTGACAATAATAAATATTCTTAATAATAGAAATTAATCTGCTATGTTTTAGAACTGCACAGCTGTAGCTTCTTTACTGGGCTTACTACGCTACTATATTTCAATACTGCGCATTATGATGGTACTTGGAGAGACAATTTTTTTCTGAGGTGGTACTTGATGAAAAAAGTTTGAGAACCACTGCCATAGATTATTAAATCGGATTAGACCATTAGCAATTCACTGAAAAATGTGCGTCTAATCCACATAATTAGTCACTTCTTTGCAAAAATGTGTCATTCAGTCCAAATTCTGAATATTTTAGTTGCTTAATGTATATATAAATCATGTCTAATGTAAAGATTCATTCACTCATGTGCAGTTTACATTTAGTGGTAACATAAAGAAACACTACACTTGAGTCTCCTCTAGAATTAAATAGTTATGTTTTACTATTTTTGAATCCATTCAGCTGATGTCCGAGTGTGGTGGGGGCATTTTTAGCTTAGCTTTCTAGCTTAGATTATTGAATAGGATTAGACCATTAGCATCTCACTCAAAAATGATGATGAGTTTTGATAATTTTCCTACTTTGTAAATCAAAAGCTTGCCTCTTCTATTCACCTTATTCTCCGTGTATGAGCGGGCGCAACCATTTGAAACATTTTGGCTCGAGACCTCCAGTTTCATTCACTCCCATTAATTTTTAGATGTTAAAAACAGCTTGTTTTGCTGCTTCATGATGCAAACTGATATTTATTTCTTATTATATTATTCTACTTTGTCTGTATAATCATGCAAACACATTTTAGTAGAGCAGTTAGTTTGACAGTTTTCTGTCGTTTATCATTCCTAGTCATTTCTTCAATAGACAACTGAATCGGAAGTTTTAAAACAATCGCAAAAACGAGTGCACTTCTGCATTGAAGAATAAGGTCAATAGTTACATCGTGTATTAAGACCAACTGAAAATGAAAAGTTGCTATTTACTATGTCGTTATTTTTAACTAACATCACCAAAAAAACTAGTGAACAACCTACTTAAAATTATGATGATTCATGAGTATGTTCAGGTAATTGACACAGAAGACACAAAGGGATAGTTCACCCTAAAATAAGAGTTTACTCACTATTTACTCTCCCTCGAAGGGTTCCAACCTTTGCTTTATTCTGTTGAACACAAAAGAAGATATTTTGAAGAAAGCTGGAAACATCCACTCATTTACTTCCATATTAGGCAAAACAAATACTATAATGGAAGTGGCGTTACAGGTTTCCAGTGTCCTTCAAAATAACTTCCTTGTGTTTAAAAGAAGGAAGAAACTCTTGAAGGTTTGAAATAGGTAAAGGGTGAGTAAATGACAACATAATTTTCATTTTGGGTGAACTATTCCTTTTAAACTCCCATATAAAAAAGCTGGCTACTTGGATAGCTCGCTATGTTTTGTGGCATGCTTATTAGGTAGGCAACTTTTTGACATCCTCTATGACTTTCAATGTACTCATATCCAATATGCAATTGAAGTTATGTTAGGTTTTTCAGCTGAAAAGACTTTCAACATGCCAGTGAGACTGTGAAGTGCTGTTTAGGTAGGCAGTTTACAAGATAAGTTTTTTTAACTCTTCTGAACAAGTTATGATTTTCAAACGCTTTCTACATTGACTGGTCTTTAAATGTTCTGAGCTGAGAATGCTCCAAAGATGAAAACAGAATAGGTCTATGGGCAGTTCACTGGGTTTTGGTCTTAGCTGAGATGACCTTCCATGCATTTATGGCCAATACTACTGACTGATATTTTATACAATACGCTAAGCTTAAGTGATTTGTAGTGTTTGTATACACAAAATACTGTTTAGTTTAAAGCTAAGTAGACATGCATTAAAAATTAGGTAAGTTTGAGTTCAAGGTGTAAATCTGGCTTTGCAAAAACAGCTTTTGAACAAAACAAATGGACAAAATATTGTATAGGCAGCTGTTCGGGCTGAGGGTTTTGAACAGAGTTCATTCTGTAAGCTTGTTATGGGGTGCAGAACAAGCCTTTATTTTGGTTGTTTTGACCCAAACTCATTCAGAATTCATCAAAGGTGTCTAAAAGATAGTCTAAGGAGTACACTTGGTTTTGATTGAGGTAAAGTTGGTTTTATATTCTCACATTCTGACTTTCTCAATGATATTTCAGAAAAGTATTATTTGCTAGTTCTAAATATGGAAACCACATTAGCAGCCAACAACTATCATACATCATTGTTTAAATAGTCAATTAAATAGTACTCAAATCATACTTAAATGCGATTTCAGCCTAAATATTCAAAGTACCATGGTAAAAAATAAAGGGGGCATGTCAGAAGTAGTCTCTGAACAAATGTGCGAATATAAAACCAACTTTACCTCAATTTAGTTTTAAGACAGTCTTTTAACATGAGAAGACTTGATTATAATGTTCTGGGCAACAACTTGAGTATTTTTTAGCTAAACCTAACAGGATTATGATAAACACAATGTTGTCTACATAGTCAGCTACCAAGGTTTTCAGATGCACCCTCTGAGGTGTATGCATGCTTATAAATGCTGTCTGGATGTTGAGGTGAGCTGATGAACGTGTTTATTATAAACACTATGCAGTCTACATGTTGGCAGCTCACTATAGGAATCGAAAAACTGTAACGACTCGCTACCATGGCCAAAAATGCCTTGTTCTCACCTCTTATCGCTACTGGACTTAAATTAGGCACTTGACCCCTGCGTTTCTCAGAGGAAGCTGTCTGTCCCTACAGATAGCGAAGACAAGTCTTATTTTGCACGCCAAGTAACACAACGTAGTGGGCATCGTTTCGCATATCTAACGTTAGTGGCTCCAACATCAGATGATGCTGGAGCCCGTCTTGCACCCGCCCAGAACAGTCGCAACTCCGAAACAGTACGGAAACAGCACTGTCCGGGAAATCCCGATCGCCATCTCCCCCTCCACCCCCCTTTACTAATGTTACCGCACCTCCAACCTTCCCTCCCCCCAGCCAGAGGAGTAGAAACAACAAGCCGCCATTTTGTTTGTGCGGAGAGAGTGAAGGAGGCAGGAGCGACCGAAAAAAAGCCACTCGAGCGCCGACCACTGCGACTCTGAGCGCCGCCGGCTCCGTCCTCGCGGATCCAGACCGGAGAAAACACAAGCCGGGCGGTTAGCGGAGGACACGGAGGGCAGATTACAGATTCTCCCGTGTGGAAATCAAAGAGCAGACTGGTTTTGCCTTTCTTTTTCTGTTCTTTTTTTGAAACGGAGCGGAGAGGCGGAAGAGGGCAATACATTTAAACGAAGGGAAGCTCGTCAGGGGAAAAGGAAAATAACAGCGTCACGAAGTGGGAATATCTGTGAAATTACATCGCCGGTTGCTGGCGGACGACAGCGAAAGTGGGGAAAATCGCAGGAACTGTGCAGGAGAAGGGAGAAATTTAAAAGGGATGAACGCGCAGGGGGGTTCACAGCATCACAAAGCCTATGAAAGGGGTTTGAGGACCCCCAGATTTTGGGGGGTGCAGCTGGCAATATCACCCGGATCGGCAGATGCTTCAGACCCCAAATATTAGTGAAGCCAGCCTCGTTTCGGTCCATTTCTATTTTCGACCCACCGCTGTTCCTCTCGCTCTTTCTTATTGCTCCGCGAAGAAGCTCTCGGGCTGTGCAGTGACAAATTATTCTTATTTGCTCGATGTGTCAGTGCGCTGAAATACAGGCAAATGCATTGAACAACTTCACTCGATTCCCATTCTTTGGCTCGCGACTTCATCTTCTCGCACTTCGACCAATTGCATACATGTTCTGTCCGCTAGACAGCCACTTTTAAAAGCATTTCTTTGCATTTTGCATGCACGAGCTGTGCGCAGTGCAGGGTGGTCTCCTGAAGCAATGGTCAGAGATTTTCTGCAAACACTTTTAACTCGTGCAGTGGACACATTCACACAGAGGGCGCACGAGCCATATTCAGATACGAACGCACAATAAACCATTGAACTTGTCACTTTGAAGTGTTGTTGCAAAATACCACGACATGGACACTGAAATATGCAAGTTGTTTGGAATCGTTTAACGCGGTAGTCCGTGCATGCAAACTGAAGTCGCCTCAGTCCTCGAGTGCACATTTCTCATGTTATTTATTCTGCAAAGAGTATTATGTAAGGACGAAAGGACACCTTTACATTGTTTAATTGTATTCCGAGTATTTATTCGTTTTCTCCATCCGTCTTACTTTCTTGGAAGGACATAAAGGCATTGATGAAGAAGATTCACACATCTGTGCTAGTTTTGAGGTGCATGGTGGACTTTTAATCTTCGAAGTACAGTGATGCTGGCCGAGAATTGCACATGCTACAATGTAAAGAAGAAAGACACACAATTCTGAATCCGAGTGTTTGATCGGGAGCATTGCACGAAGCGGAGTGAGTTCGCTTTCTCGTACACAACGCCTTTAAAAAAAAAGCAACACTTCAGTTCGCCGCCGACAATGGCGGAAAAGACGGATGCAAGCAGCGAGGATAAATCTCGGGAAAATTGCTCGGTCGCCGAGGAGGCTACGTGAGTTTGCGGCGAGCTTGCATGACCGTCTGTTCCTCCCTTCACCTCCTCCTTTCGGAAATATACTTTGAGGAGCTAAAGACTACAAATTCTTAAAAGGGAGCATTAAAGGTGGACTGAACACTCAAGCATTGCATTGCATGCATGTATCGTCCCATGAAAGGGAAACGGGAATCCGTCCGGTGTTCGTGAACGGGGAGATTTCATTCGCTCATCGGCTAGCGACTGCACAGGAAGGGCTATCCTACGCGGGATATATGCTTTAACACTAAACCGGAGGAAAACTATGGCCGATAATGTGCTGGACTCCGGTCCGCCTACAGCTAAGAGGCCTAAATTGTCTTCCCCGGCTCTGTCGGTCTCCGCAAGCGATGGAAACGGTAAATAACAATAATAATGTTCACGCGCTGCGGTGTGCGGTGAGTCTCGCGCTTGCACACCGTCGCTGTTCGCGTGCATGTATGAAAATAAGACACGCGACGTGTGTTTTAACAGCTTCCCTTTGTTGTGTGTGTGTTTGTCTCAACCCCAGGCATTTAAATAACTTAGCAGAGTAGCTAGCAGGCTAATTGTCTCCGTGTTTATATCTGAAGTTGATGAGGTGTGTGTTACAATGGTCATCCGAGTGTGCAGTGTTTTTCCGGGTGTGAGTTACACAAACTTTTCGCATTGTGTCTCTTTATTAGAATGCTTTGGTGTCAAAGGTTTACGAGGTGATGCGTTTTGAGCTTGTCAGGAAATGGGAAAACTCCACATGAACTCCTTATAAATCACATCGCTTTGCTGACACACGGTTGGCAATGAAGTTGAAGCTTGTCGAGTTAGTTTACAGGAACTACATGGTAGATGATAGTGTTTGCAAGTCAACAATAAGCAGTAGATGCTAGCTCATATACATCTTAAACTAGCCTAAGGTGATTTGCTGTTTTCGCTTTTTGAGCAGAGGTGTCCAAGCTAAAAGCAACATGACCATTGGAGACTATTTACCCATAACAGTCTGTTTGAAGCAGTGTTTTCTATGGCGGAATTTAGTGTCTAACAGGATGATGTTTGATATGAATTGTAGCAATCCATCAGTACATTTGTTTCTTTAAATGGTAGATTGTGATCCAAAGCAGTTGGTTGCTGTTATTATTGCATGAATTTAATGCAATTGGACAACAGGAAACGAATCAAAATAGTTTTGTATATAAAACTAAAGTAATAACTGATATTAAGTTTAATATAAATATAGCACTGTTTAAGTACTGAGAACTACTAACTACTTTAAGTACTGAGAAAGGTGATGTATGTAAACTTTAAACTTGAAATATTTACCTTAAGTTATTCTATTGCACACTGTCCCAACACCTTTATAAGCCAGCCAATGGAAGTTTGCAATGTTTTGAATATTTTCATTAATGTATATACATTTTAAATTCTATATATGCAGTTTTTTGTGTGCCACAAATGCTTGAAATATGATAAACACTGTGATTTTTAATCATGAGCATGTCTAAATATACATGCATTAAAAAATTCTTTAATTATATTGTGACAGCAATTCATGAAATCAGGTTTTTATATTACCTGTGTGGCATTTTACCAATTTTCAACCCTGTTATACCCCGTTTCCTTTTGTTTTAAAACAGCCAAAATGGTAAACAAAATATTTAGTTATTCATGACGTTGTCAGGTTAATCGCTTTGCTTTTCTATAAGTCCCTCACAAGCGCTCAGAAGTTTGCCGGATTCATATGTAGAGTATGTTCAATGTATTAGTTGTTGGTATGTTTCTGTTATCAGGACCTGCCATTATGTAGGAAAAAGGCCCCCATTTTGTCCCAGAGCTTGTCCATTGTTATGCCATACCATGTGTTTTTTATTAGTATGAACCATTAGGACATGCACACCGGTTCTACTGCATACTGCTCTCCAATGCTCTGTCTCTCATCACAATCATCTGTTGCAGCCAACAGCAGAGATTTGTTCAGTTGCAGTTCGGTCAGATTTTGTTGATTTCTTGCTGTATACTGATTGATAGACCGATATATTGACCGAGACGATTAACCGGATGATATTTGACCACTGGAGACTTGCTGTTCATTTCACTGTCTTTTAGGTTTTTTTAGGTACAAGTTACATTCATATGCACTTCAGTAAAATTGGATTGCTTTTCCAATGGCTCATACTGTTGACACCAAGCGTGATAATGATTTAAAGATATAATTCTATATATTAATGCATGACATGTCTATAATAGTAATGACAAGGAGAAACAATTTTTGGGAATTATGTTCCTCTTTACTTTAATAAACTTGGGCGTTTTAAATGGATAATGACCCAAAAATGAACGATTACTGCTTCTTAAATGATTCCAAACCTTTTTTTTTTCTGTTGAACACAAAATAAGATATTTTGAAGAATGCTGGAACCCGGTAGCCATTGACATCTATAGTACGTAATACAAATACTATGGAAGTCAATGGCTACAGGTTTCCAGCATTCTTCACTGCTGTGCAACAGAAGAATTAAGTTTGGAGGAAGTAGAGGGTGCATAAATTGACAGATTTTAGTTTTGTTTAGATTTTTTTCTCACTTTAACACATTATTCCAGGTGGAAACGGGGTATGCTTATCATTTTATGTGTGAGCAGGCCTTAATGATGCTTTGATTTATCTAATTGAGAATGATTTTTTTGTGAGCGGCAACCTAAAGGTCTGTTTTCCTGTCTTTCAGATTTTGGCTCTCTGTTTGACCTGGAGCATGACCTCCCAGATGAGCTCATTAACTCCTCCGACCTGGGCCTTCCAAACGGGATGGACCCCAGCCAGTTGCACACCAGTCTGGGTGGAGGAGGGATGTCAGGCCCTTTGGGCGTCTCGGGCCAAGACACTGCGGCCAAACACAAGCACCTGTCTGAGCTCCTCCGCCCTGGTGCTCCTCCATCCGCCTCCACGGCCACCGGCAGCCCCGGTAACGCTGCCTCCTTAGGAATGATGGGAGGTCTGAGCGGTGGCCCTGTTACTCAGGGAATGGGTGGCCCTCAGCAGCAGCCTAGCATGATGCCGCAGCCTGGCATGGTGGGGGGACTGAACCGAGCCATGATGGGCACCCAGAAAGGGAATGGACAGCCGCAGAGTATGATGGGTGGGCAGATGATGAATGGTGCACCTAGAATGGGCTACGCCAATGTGAACATGAATGCAGGCATGGCTGGCAACGGGAATATGCTGCCCGATTCTCTGCAGCAGCCAAATGCAGGGCAGCAGATGGCACAGGCAGCAATGAGACCGCAGCAACCAGGAGCAGTGAACAAGGTAACGTGGGAACAAATCAGGGTGTAATAATGAGAAAAAGGATTCTGTGTGCTTGTACAGATTTTTATTTGTATGAAAAGCTTTTGATTGACGAAGACTTGTACACACTTCTGAATGTGTATCCAAATTTACTTTTCTATTAAGATACGAACAGAAAATACGGGAAATATTAACATAAATTTACAAAACAAAACTAATTAGGATAAAAATGATTCTTTAAGTTAAAGTTGGTGTTTAATGTGACCTCCCTTGGCATTTTGAACAGTTTTGTTGAGTGTGTCCTGTCGAATTGTTCAAATAATGGGCTATGTAATATAGGGCTGCAACTAGCAATCATGTTGATAATTGATTAGTTGGCCAATATTTTTTTTCCAGATTAATCTGATAAAGTGCTGAGTACTTTTTAAGATGTGACCTTTTGCTTATTATGGCTGTATAAAACTCTAAATTAGGCTGTTATTTATGTGTAAATGTCAGTACGTCCCACATGTTTGAAATATACTTGCTGTGGTAGCCGGATTGAAAAACGCCATTTACCCGCAGCACATAAACAGTTATACTATGAGGTATGAATATATAGTATAACTGTATATTTAGTATGTTTTTTAACGTAATTACATTTTTAACAATTTTATTTATTGTGACACTGTTTTAAACTGTTTCTTTTCAATGATTTAAAGTAAAAAGGACTGTTGGAATAAAAAAAGTAATCCACTATTTCTCTTATTTTATGCTAAAAGATAGCCTATGTAATATACTAATATCAGCAAATTAATAAAATAATCAATAAATGAGAAATAAATGGAAGAAAAATGAATTCTGTTATACGATTATTTAAATAAGGCAAATGCGTTGAATAACTTAATGGTTTACATTTTGCAGCCAGTTTAGACCAGTCATTTTGTCCTCTTCTAATATATACTAAAGTTTTTTTGAGTCGTTTAGATTGAAAAAAATGAATTGTTGAATGTTTCTCTTGCTCGCACAACTGTGTATGCGCAGTCAGTCACAAACTTAAGCGAAAGTTGAATTAAGTAATAAGGTAATGCAAAAACGCATAAGAGCTTTAGAAAGCAAAAGCAAAAGTTGTATCCGGACATTTTAAGAGATTTAGAAACCTGGGCCGGACTAATTTTATAAGTCCCGAAAAAGGCATATCTCTGTGGGTCTGCAAAGCATGTGCGACGGTCTGTGGGAGTGTTGACAGGTCTGACGCGCACAGAACAAAACGGGTGAATGAGAAGATTTTTCGCTACTTAATCGAATGTGGATGCTTGGTAATTGGATGTTAATAATAGTAAAAAGATGTGTCACTAAATATACTTTAGCATCCGTTAATTTACCTGGGTTTCCCGCCCAACTAAAGTCTATGTATAGGAAGCACTGAAAGTGTACTTAGAAATATATATAAAAGCCGCATATTGAGGTCAATGATCTTTGATTTTGACATTTTAAATCTGTCTAAGCGGTTTGTTTTAGAACGGTAAAATTTTTCTAAATATCTAAAATACAAGCAAAACAAGTGTTGTACACCTGTTATATTCACATTATGAAATTAGAACATAAGCATGCCAAGATTGAGATATTAAATGGCAGAATTTGTTGAAATATCAAAATTATAAATAATAAACAAATAAACAGCAACAATTTCTTTTTGAAACAGAGGAAGAAATCAGCTAAAATGAGCTGAAAACCATAACATAGACTAATTGTGATATTCTACTACTGCTGTTGTCTGTTGATTTTAAATATGGAGTCTCTCACTCTAATCCCACCATTTAATTTAAGCTAATTTAATTTAGAGCCAGTACTTCTGTCCCTCGAAAATTCAGTCTTTCGTAGAGTGAGGGGTATTATCCTTTTTAAGGCATTTAATGTAAAATTTTTTGATACCTTGGAGGACTAGGGGTGCATGATTTTTTTCCATCAGCTGCTTCTGTACCTGCCATTGCACGAGGGGCTTTCTATCTTGTCGTCATGCTTCTCAGTCACTTGAGCAGCCCAACTAATCTGCTATGCCATTCATTGACAATCAATTTCATTGTTGATTTTACCCATAGTTGTATATCAGATAATGTAATTAATAATTATTATGAGGTATGTAATTGTAGTTAATATCAGGGCTCTTTCGGCACTTCCCTAGGTTTTTCTTTAGATTTAGGCTTTCCTTCCTTCCTTCTTTCCTTCCTTCTTTTTTTTTACTACATACTTATACAGTACTGCCAATTTAACTTATAACTAATTCAATTCACCTGTACTGCATGTCTTTGGACGGTGGTGGAAAACGGAGCACCCAGAGGAAATCCTCACGAACATGGGGAGAACATGCAAACTCCACACAGAAATGCCAACTGACCCAGCTGGGGGTTGAATCAGTGACCTTCATGCTGTGAGGCGATCGTGCTACCGACTCCGCCACCATGACACCCATGTTTGGGATCATTATCAGTATTTTAAGTAAAGCCCTTTCCAGAATTGTACTTATCAGGACTCACAAGTCCATCAGTTAAGACATTATTCTGAACATCACTGGCTGAAACGTAGCCCCAAATCAGGATAGAACACCTACTGTGTTTCGCTAAAGACTGCAAACACTCATTCTTTTGCCTCTTTCCTTTGTCTTTAACATGTAGTAAACAATTGGACCTGATTTCATGGGCATGACCTTTAATGACATCCGGATTGAGATCTGTAGAGTTTATTATGGATTTGGCCTATCCTTTGCAACTATAACAGCTTCAACTCTCCTGGGAAGGCTTTCCACAATTCTTCTGGAGTATGTTGTTTGGGAATTTTTGATCTGGATTGTGGTCTCCCCTTTAATTCATCCCAAAGGTGTTCTGTCAGGTCAAGGTCAGAACTCTAAAGGTCAGTCAAGTTCTTCCACACTGAACTCACTCATGGAGAGTAGGAGCATGAAATGTTCCAAAATGTCTTGGTATGCTGAAGCATTAAGAGTTCTTTACAATGGAAATAAGGGGCTATGACCAACCCCTGCAAACAACCTCTCACCGTAATCCTACCTCCACCAAACTTGGCACAATGCTATAAGGCCAGTATCGTTCTACTGGAAACTGCCAAAGCCAGACTCATCCATTGGATCGCCAGACAGAGAAGTGTGAAACCATCTACATTGTTCTTGAGTCCAGTGGCAGTGTGCTTTACACCATTGCCTTTTCTTGCTTTGCAATGAAGTTGGTGATGTTAGGTTTGGATGCAGCTGCTCAGCCTTAGAAACCGATTCCATGAAGCTCTCTACGCCTGTCCTTGAGCTAATAACTATAGATGTTGACTACAGAAAGTAGGCGACTTCTGTGCACTGTGTGCTTCAGCATACACTACGCATCCTCTTTGTTTTTTTTGTGGCCTACCACTTCATAACCAAGTTGTCGTTGTTTCCAATTTCTTTCGCTTTGTTATACTGCTAACAGTTATTCTTGGAATGAACAGTAGTAAGGAAATTACAACAATGGACTTTTTGCACAGATGTCCACCTATAACATGAGTTCACAGAGCACCTGAGAGCCACCCATTATTTCGCAAATGTTTGTTGATGCAGTCTACAAGCCAAGTCCACAACAAAATGGCCTATTTTGCCCACTACTGCTAATAAATTCTTATAAGTACAAGGTATTGTGAAGTGTTTCGGTGAATTAATTACTGGTGAAATTTCACTTTACCTAATAATAATAATCATAATAAGAAAAATAATAAGAATAAGAATAATAACTGTAGAGGACAATGATTCTTGAGGGCCAAAGGATTCTAAAGGATCATTAAATGCATAGTTACAAAAGACTGTTGTTTTTTTCTTGAAGAGCAGGCCATTCAATGTTCTTTCCAAACTTCCTATTTCAAAACTATTTATATGCAGTCAAAAGTACAATGAGAAAATTCCTGTCACACACCTATCTTTTCTATGAAACCAGACTTTATTGTTTAGTTGCTTTGAATATAGCTTGATACTAAATGTTAAAGGTCAAACATAAAAGTTTTTAGTATTTATTGGTATTAAATAAATAAATTAAAAACCAGGTTTTCTTATTTTCACACTTTAGAACTTAACAGAACTAATAAAAGACGTGTGTAGTTGTAGAATGTTAGGTTTTAAAACTAAACTAAAACGTTCAGCTGTTGTTTCAATACACAGTTCTTATTAGTGATCATCTCATAACAGAGCTGAAACCCAACCCTTTGTTTATTTTTTTGTCAAGCAAGACCATTCTCTAAATCAGGTAGTGAAATAGACGATTGAAATGAATGCGTAGCCATCTTGTGGTGTTTCTTTGGTTTGGACGAGACAGTCAGTAATATGAATCTTCACACTGAAACAATCTCAGTTTAAAAAACCTTGTCTTTTGCCTCATACAAGGAACTACGCACCATTTTGTTGATTCACAGGCGATTGCACAACCTGGACTGCAGGAAATGGGCAGAAAAAAGATGGAATGACATTTTCTATTTTGTTTGCTTGGTCTTTCTAGATTTTAAGCAGCTGTTTGAGGTTTATTTTGGGGAATTGATACTACTGTGTCACTAACATTACAGAAATGAGGCTTAATTAAAAGTTTTGGAAATAAGCATTAAACAAACCTAGTGATGGAAGCTTGTTTTGCTGTTAATATTCCTTCAACTGTTTTTTCATCATCATATTAATGGATCAAACTGAAAATATAAAGATTGGAATCGTAGCTCATAATTTTTTCTCCTGTTTTTTTTCTTTCCTCTGTCTCAGATGGGGATGATGGGTGCTCCAGGCCCGTATGGCGGTTCATATGGTCAGTGCGGAGGACAGTCTCAACTTGGGCCTCAACTCCAAAACAAAGCGGGTCAACCAAACAGCATTAACCAGTTTAATATGGACAAGAAACCTCAGCTTGGGCAGAACATGGGTGGCATGGTAAGAAAACTGTAAAGAAAATGTGTCATTCACTACCTGACAAAAGTATTATTCAAGTTTTAACGAACAACAAATAATCGCTTGACTTCTATTTGATCATTTGGTATCAGAAGTGGCTAATATGAAAGGCAAAGGCCTCTAGATTATGATTCTTTTGCAAAAATAAACTGTATCATGCCTTGATTTTTTAAATTATTTAATTAGGACAGTAAGGTCTGACTTAACTTAGACAATAGTTTTGTCACTTAACAGAAATAATGCACAGTTTTATAATATAAAGTTGTGATGCAGTGGAAAAAGAATTAATATTGTGTATGACTCCCATGAGCTTGGATTTCTGCATCCATACATCTCTGCAATGAGTCCAATAATTTATTAGTAAAGTCATCTGGAATGGCAAAAAAAAGCATTCTTGCAGGTTTATCAAGATTCTTTGGATTCATCTTCAATGCCTCCATCTTATCTTAGACATGCTCCATAATGTTCATGTCTGGTTATTGTACTGGCCACTTTTGGAGAACCTAGATCTTATTTGCTTTCAGGAATTGTGATGTTGAGGCTGAAGTATTGAGAAGAAACGCTATCCGGCTGAAGATTTTGCCCTGAATTGGTCTTGATACCTCAGACTGTTGATGTTGCCATTCACTCTGCAGATTTCTTGCACACCCCGTACTGAATGTAACCCCAAACCATGATTTTTCCTTTACCAAACTTGACTGATTTCTATAAGATCCTTGGGTCCATGCTGGTTCCAATAGTTCTTCTGCAGTATTTGTGATAATTGGGATGCAGTTCAACAGATGATTCATCTGAAAAATCTACCTTCCAACACTTTTCCAGCTAGAAGTCAAGTTATTATTTGTTGCTCTTATATCTGGGATCAACGACAAGACTTTTGTCAGGTAGTGTAGTCAACGATCAGTATTGTGCCCAAAAATAAGTATTCATACCAAACTGTTAGGTGCAAAACTTCAGGTTCAGGCGTGACAGATTTACTAGCCAATTAAGTGAGTGCTCCTTCTTTCTTTTCCAATCAGCATTTCCAAAACCATACAGATGCCGCCCACCAAAAAAAAAATAAGTGAGAGCATGGTGGAGTGATGATGGTTTTTCTTCAGTTTATAAGTAGCAGTACAGACATATTAAAACTCTTGGACAGACTGACTGAGCGCTCGAGTTTTGCTTTTCAAATCTTGACAGCAGAGTGAGCGAGTGTTCCTGTTCACATCAGTGGATGCAGAGTGGATCTGACACTCCATAACCACCTTCATGAGCAGGATGCACAGCGAGTGTGTAAACCAGAATTAAAAGCACCTGCAAATTCCCTGCCCAGAGCTCCTTGAATATCTCAAATACATAGAAAACTGATCTAACTCACATTCTTTGCTGCTGATTTAATCAGTATTATTCGGTATTTTTTTTAGCTAATTATATTTCAGATTTGTCCCCACAAAAGTTTATGAAAAAAATTTGCAAGTAATTTCTTTGCCATTGCAAACGAATTTCATTTTTGCGTTTCTTCTCCCTTATCGCACCCAAATTGAACCAAACTATGAATTTCTACTCCAAAATGATGACAAAATTTGGATTGAGAAGTTAAAATGCATTTAAAACTTACATTCTCTTATGACTACAATTTTAATTACATTACACTTCACTATGCTACCCCTCAGATTTTTTTGTCCAGTCAATTACTATTGAGAACCTGAAAAGTCCTACCCTTGCACTGTAAATAGACATTAAAGCTAAGGCTGAAATGAGTCACTTGTTCACATAATGGGGTATTTGCAATTTTAAATTCAGCCATCCAGCTGCAGGGCTTCCAGTTAATTGTCAACCCATACAATATCAGATTTCTTTAAAAAACGGCTTCTTCACTGCCTGACTGAGATACGACATAAAGACAGAATCAGATCAAACAAGAAGCACTGCATTAAATTATATTTTTTCATGTGTTTTCCATTGTGTTAAAAATCTGCTGATTTATGCTAAATAATTTTAGAGGTATAACTAAAACCTTAATATATAAAATAAAAAGTAATACATTTTTAACTTGTATTTAATGTTTACAATACAAATCCAATTAGATCCACTTTATTTGGTGAACAAATCAAGTCTTCTAAATAATATTTCTACTCAAAGACAGAAAATTTTACTTTACAAACTGTATTGTAAATAAACCATTTGGATATTTTCGTATTAGTCAATAATTATTACTGAAATAAAGTTAAAAACTAAAAAAAATATAAATTTGCACACGTTTACACAAGTAAATAAAAAGAATCAATGAAGGGCTAAAAATCTGCGAAATTCAGCTCGCGCAGATTCCGTGTGGGCCAAATTACGGCACACATTTTTCATAACATTTGTTCCTATCTTGACTCGCCTAAATTTTTTTTACCAAGATCTTGTATTGATGATGTGAGAGTCGGACTGCTGCGTAAAGTCTTCTTCAGCACATAACATAAATTCTCAACATGGTCTCTGTGGAGTTCAATCCATGTTTAAAAACGATCTCTCACTCCCTGAACTACTCTTTCACAAATTGAGCCTGATAAATCCAGTAATTGTCATCTTGGAATATGCCTGTGCCATTAAGGGAGAAAAAAAATCTATTCATTGAAAAACCTGCTCATTCAGTATATTTGGGTATATTTAGGTCAGTAAATTCCTGGAGGGCCACAGCTCTGCATACTTTAGCTTCAACCACTCACACCTGCTCTAATATTCTTGCACACCTTTAGTTGGTTTGGATGTGTTTGATTAGGGTTAGAGCAGAACTGTGCAGAGTTGTGGCCCTCCAGGAGTCTAGTTTGAGTCAGCTGACCTCATTCTTTGGGCACATAATGCTGCTGAACTCAGACCCGACCATCTGCAGCATCTCGGATCACAGAACCGACCCCCACACTTGTATGGTAAGCACAGGGCATAGTGGGTGCATCTCTTCAGCCACTTCGCTTTTTATCTTTACGTACCATCACTCTGGAATAGGGTATATCTGGACTCATCAGTCCACATGACTTTAATCATCCGTTGCTCCAGAGTGAAATTTTTATACTTCCTAGCAAATTGTGACCATTTTTTTGGATTAACCATTCATTGATAAGGGTTTTAAAGGCTGTGTAGCCATTTAGCCCCAATACCTTGAGTTTCCTCCACATTGTACATGTGTAAAGGCTCTTGTTAAACACAGCTATGAGTTTTACTGTTTCTTTTTTACAATTTGATTTCACCTGAAGATTAAGTGGTCGCTGTTCTTGATAAAAGCTTTTTTCTCCAATGGCTACATTTCTTCCTCAAAGATGATGGTTCCCCACTTTCCTTAAAATTTTTAATAATGCGTTGGACAGGTCTTACAGCATTTTTTACTAGTTTCAGCAATCTCCTTAGATGTTTTCTTTTTTTGATGCATTTAGAAACAGATGAACATCTTATCCCTGACTGCAGATGTGTCTTCTGACAGAAATGAGAAGCTTCTCTTTGCATCAGTTAGGGTTAAATAACTTATCAGCTGAAACAGAAGCGTTCATGCAGTAATTATCCAAAGGGAGCCTCTTACCTATTTGCTTAGTTAAATTTTTGGACTGCTGTGGATATACACTCACCGGCCACAATATTAGATACTACAAATATTAAGTATTACTAGTACCGGGTTGGACCCACTTTTGCTTTCAGAACTGCCTCAATCCTCTATGGCATGGGTTCAATGAGGTACTGGAAATATTCCTCCAAGATTTTGGTCCATATTGACATGATAGCATCACGCAGTTGCTGCAGGTTTGTCGGCTGCACATCCATGATGCAAATCTCCAGTTCCACCACATCCCAAAGGTGCCCCATTTGAGTACAGTGAACTCACGTTTATGTTCAAGAAACCAGTCTGAGATGATTCGCACTTTGAAATGGCGTGTTATCCTGCTGGAAGTAGCCATCAGAAGATGAGTATATTGTGGTCATAAAAGGATTGACATGGTCAGCAACAGTAGGCTGTGGCATTGACACGATGCTCAATTGGTACTAATGGGCCCAAAGTGTACCAAGAAAACATCCCCCACACCATTACACCACCAACACCAGCCTGAAACGTTAATAACAGGAAGGATGGATCCATGCTTTCATGTTGTTGAAGCCAAATTCTGACCCTACCATCCGAATGTCACAGTAGAATTTGAGACTCATCAGAACAGGCAATGTTGGAGTGCGAATTGTAGCCTCAGTTTCCTGTTTTTACTTGACAGGATTAGCACCCGGTGTGGTCTTCTGTTGCTGTAGCCCATCCGCCTCAAGGTTGGACATGTTGTTTGTTTAAAGATGGTCTTTCATCATTCTCCTCCGACCTCTGGCATCAACAAGGCATTTGCGCCCACAGAACTGCTGCTTACTGTACATTTTCTCTTTTTCTCTGTAAACCCTATATATGGATGTGCGTGAAAATCCCAGTAGATCAGCAGTTTCTGAAATACTTAGACCAGCCTGTCTTGCACCAACAACCATGCCTTGTTCAAAGTCACCTAAATTACCTTTCATCTCCATTCTGATGCTCTGTTTGAACTGCAGCAGATCGTCTTGACCATGTCTACATTAATAAATACACTGATTTGCTGCGATGTAATTGGCTAATTAGAAATTTGCGTTAATGAGCAGTTGAAGAGGTGTACCTAATAAAGTGACCGGTGAGTATATAATACTTCAGAGAGAAACAAAGCAGAAGGAAAAAAAGTCTAAACAAATTAATCAAAAGCGACAGTTTGACGTTACCAATATCATTTGTTTAAAAAATGCTGTTCTTATGACCTTTACACTCATCAAAGAGTCTTGGAAAAACTCAAAGCATCACATTTCCCCAAATCAGCATATTAGCATGATTTCTGATGGATCCAGTGTCAACGAAGGCTGCAGAAATGACTGCTGTATATGCTTTGGCATCACAGGAATAACTAGCTTTTTTTTTTTTTAATGTACAGCAATACTGCTGCAATACTGATAATAAACGCACCTTTGGTGAGAAGAAGAATGTTTAAAATCTTCTTTAAATTTGTGTACATGTTGCCATATTTGCTAATGCTAATGGACCCTCCAGTCTGCTGACTTCCTGATCTTTAAATCTTAATTTCCATCTGGAACTGCAGGAGCATGAAAACACTCTTCGGTCTGTCTTTCTCCAGCAGGGCCCAGGTGTGGTGGGTGGTGTATCGGGGCCAGGTGGGACGGCAGCGCCCCCTGCCGCGGACCCAGAGAAGCGTAAACTGATTCAGCAGCAGCTGGTGCTGTTACTGCACGCTCACAAGTGCCATCGCAGAGAGCAGGCCAACGGAGAGGTCCGCCAGTGCAACCTGCCTCACTGCAGAACCATGAAGAACGTCCTCAATCACATGACGCACTGTCAGGCCGGCAAATCCTGCCAGGGTAAGCAGAGCCAGCTTTTTTAAATCTTTGATTTGTGTTTTATGTTTTCAACCCTAAACAAGATGACATGGTGTCTTACTGGTGGCTCACTAATGTGCTTGTGTTTTTTTGACAGTGGCTCACTGCGCGTCCTCCAGACAGATCATCTCTCATTGGAAGAACTGCACACGGCATGACTGTCCTGTCTGCCTGCCGCTAAAGAGCGCCGGAGACAAAAGAAACCAGCAATGTGAGTTAACATGCAGAAATGTCTGGAAGCTTGTTTCTGATTAAAAAGAAAAGATGACTATGAATCTCACAATTCATGTTTTTATTATATATATATATATATATATATATATATATATATATATATATATATATATATATATACATATACATATATATACATATATATACATATATTTATATATACACACACACACACACAGTTGAAGTCAGAATTATTAGCCCCCCTGAATTATTTGCGCCCCTGTTCATTTTTTTCCCCAATTTCTGTTTAATGGAGGGAAGATAGTTTCAGCACATTTCTAATCTTAATAGTTTTAAAAACTTATTTCTAATAACTGATTTATTTTATCTTTGCCATGATGACAGTAAATAATATTTTACTTGATATTTTTCAAGACACTTCTATGCAGCTTAAAGTGACATTTAAAGGCTTAGCTAGGTTAATTAGGTGAACTACTCATGTTAGGGTAATTAGGCAAGTTATTGTATATATAACTTAATGTATAATATATATATGTATGTTTCCTCTATAGAATAAACTTCTAATCTCATATATATATATATATATGTATGTGTGTATGTATATGTATGTGTGTATGTATGTATGTATATGTGTGTATGTATGTATGTATGTATATGTGTGTGTGTGTGTGTGTGTGTATATATATATATATATTCTATAGAGGAAACAAGATTATGCTCAAGATTATCCTTATGTTTAGAGCCTGATACGTACAAAGGAAAAAATGTTTTAGCTGTTTTCATCCATAAAATAATGGTCAGTGGTGTTCCAAAGTGATCCTTGATTTAACTTTCAGTGTATGGACAAAAAGGTGTATTTAGAAAAGGGCAGCTCAATCTCTCATCCTTCATCTCTCTATTTCTCTTTAGCTCTATTGGGAGGTGCTGGGATGGCCATGGGTGGTCCTTTAGGTGGGTCATTACCTGGTGGCCAACCTTCAGCTCCAAACATTAACCCACCCAGTCAGATTGACCCAAGCTCCATCGAGAGGGCGTATGCTGCTCTTGGACTCACTTACCAAGGGAACCAAGCATCCAATCAAAATCAGCAGACCTCTGTACCCGGTCAACCTGGCATGAGGTCGCTCAACAACATGGGTGAGAGTTTGTGTAATCTTTAAGATTTGTTAACATTCAAGTTATTTTAATCCCTTATGCAAGATGATGTGAAACTAAATACAGTTACTCAGATGCTGCTTTCTGTATAACAGTGCAAACACACAAAGCTGCATCTCAAACAGTGTGTGAATCTTGAATTGAGTTGTCTTGACTGTCTTGTTGCTTTTATTACTGACGTTTCACTTTCCAATAATCTTTTAAATTCAGAATTGTTCTAATCTAATAGTGTTTTTTTTCTGTGGTGTTGAAGTTGTAATAGGGATTTCTGACATTTTAACATGGTATTGGTATCTAAAACTGTGGTATCATATTAAGCTTATTTATTGGAAGATGCTATATTACAGGAGTCACACATGGGAATTCTTTTTGTAAAAATGTTGTCAGGACGGGTTGAAAATTATATCGCAAAGGCCTACTCAAGTCAGTAGTAAATAACTAGAGAATATTTTCATTTATTAGCATGTATTATTTAGTATATTTATTCAATATAATCATTCAGTCCTGTAAATAACATTTTTTTCAGTTCACTGTGAATGAAAAAGAGGAAATCTCTCCCCTGCAAAATTATATCAGTTACAGTACATTTCAGTTCTATTAATTGAACAGTTATTTCAGTTCAATTATCTACATATTTTTTAATAAAGCTGCATTCCTGTCAGGTGTGACAAAAGTGACAAAGTGACTAAAGGTATAGTGGGTAAAGGTAAAGTCTTTTTTTCAGTAAAAAGATTTTATGCTTAAAATAACAAATATCTAATACTAAATTTAGATAAAATCTTTAATTTATAAACATTTTTCTTTAAAAAAAAAAGGTCTTAGAGATGCATTATGAGATCTTGAAAAATTCTAACATTAGACTGATAGCACTAAAGGCCTACGTCCCACCTTGCAAATCATTATCCAAAGCCATGCCACCTGAACGCGTGCTAGAATACATCACTACAATGCATCACATAACATTCATCTCAATGAAAACTATAGTACAGATAGTAAGTGCAATTCTAAAATTAAAAAACAATGTAGGTTGTTGATGTTTGCCTGGAATTTTTTGACTGAAAGGCATTTGTGAACGCACACATTAAGTAATCCAGGGTGTGCAGAGGTATGCAATTACATATTTTGACAGGCAGGTAGAAAAAGCTATTGTAATGTTCAGACCGAACATTTTGATCAGACAAACTTTTCTTTGTCATACAGCTTCCACAGAATATTAAAACACGTTTAAATAGTTTAGGACCGCTTCATTTAGGGTGTTTTCACACCTACCTTATTTTCCCTCTTGGTGCGGTTTGTTTGGGTAGGTGTGAATGAAGCAATCGCACTCGAGTGCGCACCAAAAACAGACCAAAAAATCAAACCAAGACCTCCTTAATGAGGTAGTCTCGGTACGCTTTCAAACAAGTCCTGGAGCTGTTCGTTTGTGGTGAGAACATGATCCGAGCTGGAACAGACCAAACCGCAAAAAGTACTGCGCAATTTTGAACTAATCCAGCTGCCGTAGTCTGACGCACTGAGAGAGAGAGGCAAAAACATTACCTGATGGATTGTTGGTAATATTTCTGGAAGATGACAATGTCACAGTTTAGCTAAATTAATTCACGCCTCCTCCTAAAGCAGGGTTCATACGGTCTTGGAAAACCTGGAAAAGTCATGAAATTTTGACATGGCATTTTCCAGGCATGGAAAAGTTCAGGAAAAACAGAAAAACCCACAAAGTCTTGGAAAAGTCATGGAATTTTAGTAGTAAAAATGTGTATTAACTGCGATGTGCCTTTGCTGTTTGCAATGCAATAAAACATTATTTTTTAGCCACAGCCGCACTTCACTCTCTGAATGTAGTTTGTCTACAGTGATGTATACAAACTATATAGTATACAATGACCAGGAATATAATCAGCCAGCGCAGCTGTCCCTCCATAGAAAAAAGCGACATTGTGTCTGCAGGTTTGTTTACTTGAAAGGGTTCCATTGGCATTTTCCCACACGATAATTCTGACCAATCGAAAAGCAGTTTAGGAAATGCGTTCAATAACATCTGGCCAATGAGTGATGTGGATTTTGTCACATGACTGCATTTTTGTTCTTTTCAACTGGTTCGGACCAAAGCAATCGGTGTGGTGTGAAAAGCACCCAAAAACTGCTACAATGTATCATTTGTTGCCCTTGGTCTGGACCAAATGAACCGAACCACAGATGTGAAAGCACCCTTAATGTTTGCCCTCCGCATGTGAAGAGACAAAAAAACAGAATCAACATAACAAAAATGGTTTCTTGGGACAATCACCTAAGTAATCACCATGCAATATTGTCTTTTCAGAAGTTAATCTTGAAGTTAATTAGAAGCATCTTGATTAAGGATTGTTTGGTTGTTTGCGCTGACACAAAATACTAAGTAAATAACGTTTTGCAGTGTAATGACGTCCATTAGTAAACTGCTTTTTTGCAGTGTACTAATGTTTTATCTACATTGTCTTAAAGTGTCTGTCACCAGAAACATTTATTTTTTTAATTTGCATCCTATATTAATGTAAAAAAAAACTAATTTGTGTATTCATTTGTTTGTGGTTTTTAATTGTATATTTATTAATGAAATGCTTTTGCTGTGAAAATAGCCATTGTTGCTGACATGGCATTAAATTAAAATATATATGATATATGATTTGACCTACATTGTCTTAAACTGTGTGCTGCAGCAGGTGGGAACTCAATGGGAGTGAATGGAGGAGTCGGTGCGCCGATGTCAAACCAGCATCCAGGAATGCTGCCCGATGGCATGCTGCACAGGAACATGACCGCTCAGAGGTATTGAACATCACTGGTTTAAAAACTTTTGGTTAGTAGCTGCTTCACATCGATGTCTGACGGTTTGTCTGTGTCTTGTAGCTTGATGAATGACAGCTCTGGTGTTGGTAACATGGGCTCTGCTGCGACCGCTACACCGCCCTCTGCTGGAATGAGGAAGAGCTGGCATGAAGACATCACACAGGACCTCCGCAATCACCTTGTACACAAACTGTGAGTCATGTGTACACACACACACACACACATACTGTTGCTCTGAGTAGTGGTGTGTAATACAGTTTGAGATATGCAATAATTAATCTTGATTATTGCGATTGTGGTGACTTCAAAATACCCTCAATATTTATTTATTATTTAAACTTTTGAATGGCATTTTAAGGATATTTAGAAAATATTTATATAGATAGATATATTTATATGGAAGATATTTTTCAATATTCATTATTTACAGTATATTATATTTATTACATTATTTATTTTCAGTGATGTTCATAAGAGAACCAAATGTTTGAAGAGGTAATAGGTTACTTCTTTTTTGAACATTAACATTTTCACATGAATCTGGCCAAGATAACATGACCAAGATATTGAAAAAGATTAGGGCTGATAAACGGTATTATATTCTTGATCAAGTTTATGTTGATAACAATGATAAGCTCTCGATTTGTTTTGCTCTATATTGACCTAAGAGCCAATTAGACAGCAGAAATGTGCAACAATGGGAATCTAAATGTGTGTTGATAATAGAGTTACCAAATTTTCGTCCACTAAAGATTTTGTTATGCCGTTTTATGGACCCTCTAACTTTTGTGGCTTCAATCATTGTTGGGGTACTCTTTTAAGTCTAGAAGGGTTGACATCTTATATTGAAATATTTATCGTTATCCTACAATATGGAAAATAATTATCGAGATTGCATTTTTGCCACTTCGGCCAGCCCTAAAGCCTGAGTGCACACGGCGAATGTGACGTCATCGATGTATTTGTGGAGGTTCACTTTGGGTGTACGTAAGAGATTTCTGCTGGCGGACCGCATGATTGTTTTTTAGCCTCGAGCAAACAGTTTGCATGGCGCTGCGTTTGATGTGAGTTGAGTATGAAACTTTTGAAGAGATTTTGTCTGAAACGGCACGACTCTACAGTCACCTTTATGATCCATGATCATAGAGATAACCAGATGAGCAATAATTCTTTGCTAGAAATTGCAACAGTTGTGGGAAAGGAGGAAAGGATTTGTTGAAAAATTTGGAAAAACTGACTTTACTGTCGGTTTCTTTTGACAGCCTCCCTGTTGTTTTAAAGAATATCACAACGGTGAATGCGCCAAGTATAAAAGCCTCGTCTGTTTGTGAGGTGTGCGCGCAGTCAGCGGTGCCAGGCAAAAATATAAATCCAGCTTAATACAGATGAATGCAGAGGTTTTGTTTAAACGGGTTTTTGTTATTTTCATTTTGATGTACAGTGTCCATGGAAAATCATCATACACTTTTTAATTACTTAATTACTTGGCATAATTACTAGTCACACAACCAGAAATTAAGATACATTCCAAATAATTTTCCAGCCTTTGAAAAGTTTTTGTAGCCTTTTCCTTACCGGTGTCTTTATCCCGAAGGTCTTCTGAAAGCAGGGTGTAATGCGAGTAAAGGTAAAGATTTTCATATGGTATTATGATTTTCTATTGGCACTGTATACATTGTATCCTCTCACAGAAGTAATTTAGCTAGTGTGCCAGCATCAGTTTATTTATTTTATGTTTGTTTATTTTTGCCATAGATTTGCTGTCACACATATGTGGGTTTACTAACACTGATGTGATTTATCCAAATTGGTAATGAAACTTTTTTTCAATACTTGATAGTTTCGAGACAATTCAGACAGTGCCTAAAAAGTATTGATGTCAATATCCAGCTCTAGAGCTCATAACTAATAAAATTCAGTTGTATTATTTCAAAGGAACAAAACATTTGCATCAAATGTAGCTGTTTTTCACTGTAATGAATGCATCAGTGATTGCTAATGAGACCTGTTTGGATAGTGTAAAGAGGCCTCTTGTACTTGTAGTCCTTCTGCAATTGAATTAGTTTGAAACGTATCGTTGCTCTGTTTTATATGCACAATATAGATCAACATGCAAAATGTTATATAGATATAGGATATTGTGATGAATGCTCCAGCAAGTATTGCAACAAGAAAAGTTGATGCCATCACATACCTTGTAGTCTGAGAGATTTCTTATCTCTGAAGATATTTTAATTGGCATTTTAATAATATAGAAACTGACATCAGTGGGTTACAATAGCATTGACATTTTTTGAAGCATAATGAATGTTTAATGTCACTTCCCCTCTCTCATCTTTTTACTGTATCCTTGTTGAAAAAAGGGTCAATTATTTTAAAAAAGTGACCAGAAATTGCTTGTTTGCTAACTCGTCTTCTTAATGGGATAGTTTATGAAATAATGAAAATTCTGTCATCATTTACTCACACTTCACTTGTTCTAAGCTTTTTACTCATCATAGCACATGCGCTGCGGATGTGACAATAAAAGTGATTTGGTTTGATTTAATCTAAACCAGTATGAGTTTCTTTCTTCTGTTGAATACAAAGGTAAACTGATAATCTGGTAAATGTACTTTTTTGTTCCTACTATGGATGTTGATAGCTTCAGAATATCTTGTTTTGTGTTCAACAGAAAAAAGAAATGTATAAAAGTTTTATAACACTTGAGTGGGTGAACTGTCCCTTTGAAATCTGGGATTTGAAATCTTCAGTCTAGCAGTTGCACACATTAGGAATGGTCACACACAAGGTGCCGTTTTATTACATGAGCCTTTTTTTTCTATATATATTTTGTGTGTTTGTGTCTGTGTGTGTGTGAGTAGTGTACAGGCCATCTTCCCGACTCCAGACCCTGCAGCGCTGAAGGACAGGCGGATGGAAAACCTTGTAGCTTATGCACGGAAAGTGGAGGGCGACATGTACGAATCTGCAAATAGCAGGGTAAGAATGTCTGTGGATATATATTTGGTTAATACAAACACAATCACTTCATTCTTTCCTTTAAGTCTATGAAATCGCTCTCAAAGTCTAGTGTTAGACAGTGTTCTAAAAAGTGTTCAGTGGTCTTTTTCCAGTCACAATATATCTTTTAATGTCTTAATTTTAATGCAGCTTAAAAAATGATTTAAACAGATAGTTTATACAAAAAGTAAAAGTTGTAAGCCATTTACGGTGACATGGTGGCTCAGTGGTTAGAACTGACGCCTCACATAAAAAAAGGTCGCTGGTTCGAGTCCCCGATGGGCCAGTGGACATTTATGTGTGGAGCTTGCATGTTCTTCCTGTGTTCACGTGGGTTTCCTCTGGGTGCTCCAGTTTCCCCCAAAGTCCAAAGACATGCACTATAGGTTAATTGAATAAACTAAATTGGCCGTAGTGTATGTGTGTGAATGTGCAAGTGTTTGGGTGTTTCCCAGTACTGGGTTGCAACTTGAAGGGCATCCGCTTTGTAAAACATATGCTGGATAAGCTGGCGGTTCATTCCGCTGAGGCGACCCCTGATAAATAAGGGATTAAGCCGAAGGAGAATGAATGAATGAATTTTTTTTATATCTTCATTTGTGTTCAGAGGAACACAGATTTGAACGATAAGAAACTTAGGGTGAGTTTTTTAGACTTGGGGCGAGTAAATTTTGGGTAGAACGATTTCATTTATGGGTGAACGATTTGTTTTGGAGTTCCAATGCTAAAATTTTATTACACACAAGTTGGTCACACAAATTTGCTATACTACACAACAGAACAAAACAACTGCTTGGTTTGAAACTGATGTCTTTGAAAGCTTTATTCATCTAGTGCTTTTGGTAGTGAATAATTGACCCTTTGGCAAATGAAATGTTGCTAATGAGCAATTCCAGCGTTACGGATAGGCATGGGCCAATATAAGATTCTGATTGTATGATAACCTTAGGAAAGATTCACAAGGTTTTACAGTTTCACTGTATTGTGATTACTCTAAAAAGGTCTGGGTAAAAAAAAACAACTTCTCTCCTTTGAACACAATAAAGTTTATTTTAAGAAACATTTAAGATATTTTGTCTTTTTTATTTTAAACATGTCAGGTTAAACAATTGAACTACATTTCTGACTCTCTTCATTAGTTTCGAAAACACAGATTTCATAACAACTTGAAAAGGCATCCTTGGATATATATCTCGCCTCTATATATGTGACAGATGTGAAATCACCAGTTGTGTGACTTTGGTAATCCAGATAAAATAGTTTGAAAACATCAATAGACATTTTTGAGCATTTTTACTGTGACGTAAAATTCAAGCCTACACAAACAGCTTACAAATGCTTTCTTTATTTTAATGAACTTTTTTTTTTTTCATGTCAAGGTTGAAATTTGAATGGAATTACTCTAATATGGTCACATCTTTAAAATTAACCATTCTATATGCTTTAAACTAAATCATTTGATGATCTCTTCCAGGCGGAGTATTACCACTTGTTGGCGGAGAAGATATATAAGATTCAGAAGGAGCTGGAGGAGAAGAGGAGAACCAGACTCCAAAAGCAGGGTACGATGCCAGCGCAATCTGGCATGCCCAACAGTGCTCTACCTTAAGCACCAGCTGGCATGAATCGGGCACAGCCGCCCAGTTCGTGCACGTACACATCTGCATATATCCATTTGTCGGCCCGCAGTCAAATTTAAAGCTTGATGTATTGCTCTGAAATACAATCAGATTTAATCAAAATAACCCCGCCCCCCATGCTTCACTTGGCTGTGCACCAGTTTAGGGAAGAAAACACATTCACAGTTTCCTTTTCATGCAGAATTTAATTTAATTATTTAAAAAATAAGTATTATTTTTATTTAGAGATCTATCCATGTAAGAAGTTTGCTAAAAACAAAATTGTTCTAATGGTTGCATTATAAATTTTTATACGTTTGTAGTTTTTAAAACATTTGCATTTCAACAATTAATTCAAGTGTTAATAAAAAGCATAACCATTAGGATTTTATACTAAATTGGGTCACACGTTATGGAAAGACACTATTTCTGCTCTTAATAAGCAATTAATCAAAACTTTTATCTAAATAAACAACTAGTTAACTACTAAACAACTACTTATAATTACCGATTCTTGATCATTAGTAAGGTAGTAGCTGTGTTTGGGTAGGATTAGGGATGTAGAATAAGATCATACTTTATAAGTGCTAATAAACAGCCACTATCTTAATGATAAGCCAGCAGTTAACAGTAGCGATTGGTATTTAAACTGAAGTGTTACCTTAAATTATGAAATAGAAACAGGAAAGAAATGTTTGAACTCTGTTCCTTTCACATTCACAGAAAGATGTTTGAATCTATTCTTTCAAAAAGTAAACCCAACTGTGGATACCTAAATTTTGACACAATGTAAATACATTTAAACATCTCAACAAATTACTCCACCCACACATGTATAATTTCCAAATATAGCTGTACATTCCATTTAATAAACTCTCTTATGTTGCATAAAATAATACAATGCTAGCTTTTATTTCCAGTATAGTTAAATCACAGTTAAACTTGAGGCTGTTGTTTGTTATTGATCATGTGGAGTGATTATAAAGGATCTTCTGGTCTTTCCTAGATGGTCCTCATTCAGATCCGTCTTTAGTTCAAGCCACTGGTCCCAGTCAGATGGTCAATCGCATGCAGAATCCTGCTGGTATGCCACACTCACTAAATGGTCTGTAGTTGATGCACTATTGCTACATATATATGAAGGGTTTATGTGCAAAGACAGATTAGTCCATTTTTAGACATCATGTTTTGTACAATTGCCAAAAAAGAAATCATATTTTCACCTTGAGTGTTAAAGAGTACATTTGCAAAAAAAACTCATATATAACTGTTGATTTATCTGTTTTTATATGAACTCTTCATATATATAAAAGTCATAGTTTTGTTTTTGACTTATGTTTTAAACTTTGTAATTGCTTTCATCCAGGTATGAATCAATTTGGCCAGGTGGGGATGCAGCAACCAATGGGACAGAGGGCCACGCCTCCCCTGCCAATGGGTGCAAACCTCAATCAGGTAATTTCACTTGCCACCCAAAGGTCGGCGACTGATGTAAATGTACCTGATTGAAGCATTTATTTGGCATCTTTATTGTCTGTATTTAGATGAGCATGCAGGGAACACCTCGAATGGCTCAGCCCAATGTACCCCAGTTACAAAACCAGTACATGCAGAACCAGTTTACAGGAACGGGTGCTGGATTGGGACAGGGTGCGGTTGGCCTGAATCAACCTGCAGGGCAGGGAGCCATGCCGCAGGTCAGCTATTAAACCACATTCATATCTTGTTACTCAGAACAATGTGATGTCTCTAATATTTCTGTATGATAGTGTGTAGTGGTGCTGATAAGAGTGTTTCTCTTCTGAACTCTCGTGAAAGACAATAGCATAAACAGTTTTTAAAAAACAACCTTTATTTATTGAAATGTAAGCCTCACTCAAATTTAAATTTAAATCTCTTTAGATTCATTATTAGACATAGGTTTATTATTAAACATTCATAGAATTTAATGTTAAGAAGTAAGTGTGTAAGTGATGTTTACCATCATTTACATTTTATGATGAAAAATCATTCTGATGTATTCCTAATGTTTAAGTTAGTAATATTGTACTTTAAAACATTAACAAGACATCGTATCAGCCAATAGCTTATAGTTTATAATATTTGCCATTTCTGTGTTTTCAGTGATAGTTTAAACCAACCAATGATCAGTTCTGATTAGATCACATGCTGTATATAAAGTAAATGTAATGCAAACCTTAAAGACTGTGAAAGTAAAATAAAGTCTAGTAACAATAAAAGCATATTTTAACTGGTTCTTCACTGACAAGTTTGTTCAAATTTATTTAGATGTATAAATAGGGCTGGGTGATACTGCAAAAAAAAGTATCACAATATAGTGTTTCATATCATTCGGTATCATAAAATTTTTGAATTTTTTTTTTTTTTACAATTAATTTAGGTATATTAAGATTTTTTTAACCACTTTATTCTAATTTACCAATATTACTAAGGCACATCGTTTTATTAGATAAAAACAAAAGTATTTAAACAAAACATCTCATCTCTTCATAATAAAAAAAAACATAAGTGTTAAAGAGACACCTAAACTTGATAAATAAAATGTTACAAAGTGTGTGCAATGATAAAGTGTAAACGCTGAAGAATCGAAGCAAACTTTGAGGTGTGAATAGTAATGATACAGTAAACCTCAAACTCTTGTTAACAACACAAATTATCATAATCAAATCTGAGCTTTTTAAGTAAAGGACCCAGCCATTATTATTCAAATACACACTGCAACATTACAAATAGTGGAGTTCAATGACTATATTACCCCCTAAGCTAAAAAAAAATCTTTCAGATGGGGAGCTAGTGGCTGGGAACCACAAGAAAAGAAACCAAAAAGCCACTCTAGCAATACTTACATCCTTTTTTATTTACAATCTTCTAACTGCTGCTAGTCACGACACTCATTTTTGTGTGTGTTGTTATTCTGACGTGAAGTGACAAGTGTGAGCGCATGGTGTCCCTCACCATTTTCTATGCGATTTGCGCTTGCTCTCCCCTAACATTAAGGCATTAACCGTTTTCTCAGAGGATGACAAATAGACAAACCATTGCTGCAGTTTCGATACAAGTTTATGGAGAAAAGTAAAAAGCACATCAGTGTTTGGATGCGCTCTGATTGTCTGAGGTAATTAGTCTGCCGTTATTATCGAGATGTGTGTAATATGAAAATATGTGAATATATTCTATAAGTGTGAAGCAGATTAGTTAGTTCTACTTACATGAGTCGTGGTACGCTTGCGGCATTCGGAATAGTTGTGATATTTTCAACTATATGCGCCTGGAAATTGTGCGTAGGTGTGTGCCGCTTGCACAACATGTGTGCGTTGCTCCCATATGCACGACGTGCAAGTCACACGACTCCATTGGAAATGACAAACTTGCACCATAAGCTTATTGGCAGTGCTCAGCAGCCACATTTTAATAAAACTATAGCACTTGATAACAAAACATTATACTGAACTTTTTTTGATCAATATTGACAATCGTGTTCACTCATTAAATACCAATACCTATTTTGTCGCCCAGCCCTATGTACTAAATATAATCAGTAACGCACAGAATTCATTTACAGAATCATTTTAAAACAAACTGGCGTATTAATGCTGTTTTTTTAAGTGAACTCTCAAATCTGTTTTTAAACCAATTCCTTGAACTCAACCATAAACTTACAATCACTTCAGCATTTCTAATGCATTGAGCTATATAGTGAGCTAAAACACTAAAGAAAATGTTTTAAATACTTATTAATGTTGTAAAACAATCAGATTCATCCTTTTATATTCTGTCTTTTTCAGAATCAGATGCCCACTCCACCATCACTATCAGTCCATAGTCCTGTAGCTCAGTCCCAGTCGTCAGTCCCAGTCTCTGGAGCCGCTGCTGGCCCTCAGGGGCCTCCGTCCAACCACCCTCCACCTGCTCCTCAGCCCGGTCTGCACACGCACTGTCCTCCCTTACGCCAAAACTCCCCTTCTCCCGCACGTAGCCTCACCCCTACCCCTGCCCCGCACCAAACACCCCCGCAGTTGCCTGGTAACCAGACCCCTCAGCCCCACACCCCTAATTCATCCACCACTATGGCTCCACCTGCATCACAGCTGCCCCCTATGGCACAGGGGGTGGCCTCCGAAAAATCCAGTCAGTTACAACAGCAGTCGCATGGAGGTGGAGCTACTGGAGGCCCCCAAACAGGGCTGGCGTCATCTGTGCCTTCCCAGAACGCCCACGGGCTTTGTACACACCCACATAGTCCTGTGAGTATCACAATCGAGTGTGTTTTCATTTGACCCTGTTTATTTGGTAAATAACAAGAAAGTACAACTCAAGCCCAACATTAGAGACTTAATTGATTTCCGATAACACATACTGACCCTTTTGACACGGAGTCCTGAAGCATAAAGTATTAGCGAGACCAACAGCATTAATTCAAATTGGATAAAGAAAGTGAGCATGTTTCACTGTGAAGAGGTCAAATATTTGAGTTCAGTATAAGTCGACCCATGTGCTTGAATGCTTGTGGTATAACTTAACTCCACCATTAATCTCTTATGTGCTTTGTTTACACTAGTTGGCTATAATTAAATGATTTAAGAGCATGAACTCAGTGAGTAAGCGCTAAAGCATTTTGAGCTCATTTAAGTTGATTCTTCAACCTGATTTCACTGGAAAATTGGCTATTTTATATTTTGGTTAATCCTTGGCTAGTTAGAATTGAATGCATATAATATTATTATTATTATTATTATTATTATTATTATTATTATTATTATTATTATTATTTAAAATATAATTTTTAAAATTGTATGAAAGTGTCAGACTTTTGATTTTTTTTGTATGTTATATAAATTCATACAATATTCTCAGTACATCAAATTACTAATTGCCCTGAGATTGTGTTGGATTCTTTGCTCTCTTAAACCTTTTTAAATGTGCAAAAGGGAATATTCTATAAGTAAAAGCACTATATATATATAGAGAAACTTTACATTTTTAAAACCCTAAAACTTTTAAAGACAGACCTTATGTTGTGTAATGTTGTATGACCTTATTCTGTTGAAGCCTTTTCTGCATTTTACACTTTATTTTACAAATTTCAAATGGTTTAATTTTGGAATCTGTGGTGAACACTACATTATCTATGATGCTTTATAAAATATTCAGCCATTAAAATCTCTTTTTAGTTTTGGCTATTTGAGAGGTTGTTTTTTGGCCAATGGCTGTTTTCCACTATTTTTTTCTTCAGCTCCTATGCTACTGTTTTGTTAGTCATTCCTTCTGACTTTAATTTACTATTACCTGTTTGTTAACGACGACAAAACATGCCAAAATGATGCAGTTAGCATCACCCTGATTCATTGGCAAAAATCCAGATTTTTTTTTTCAAATTCCTTTTTGGATTATTGCAGAAAATAAAATCTTACTCATTTTGTTAACAGCTATGACAGAAGAATGAATTAATGAATGAAGCCTAAATACAACTGGCAGAAGAAGCTGAATTTAAAAGAACTTGCGAATCAGTTAATCAATGATCAAGCAGAGATGAGAATCAAGATAATAAAGAAAAGTATTTTCTTTCTTTCATAATTGAGTTTTGAAATTTTGAAAATTAATATTTGTATCTATTTCTCAATGAATAGAGGCTATCTATTTTGGTGCATTTAAACAAAACACATTTAATAAACAGATATATATATTAAAATAATGTTTTAGTCACCAAACATATTTAGAAATTGATAGACAATACAATTAAATTCAAGCAAAATATTGCAAAAAATATTCAATCTACAAAATTTTAACTTAATTTTTATTTATTTTTTTGCTTTTCTTGATTTTTCCTTTTTTTTAGATTTGTATTTAATTTCTTTCTATAACATATAAATTTGGGTGTACTAGTTTTTGGCTATTTTTGGTTATTTCTTTAGATAAGCTCCAGCTTTTTGCTTCAGTACTGACTAATCTAATGTATATGCTCAAATATAATATTGTAGAGCTCTCTATTAAACAGAATTTGAATTGAAATTGATTTGTCAGGGGTGTACTTATATATGCTGAGCACTGTATATAAATAATAAATTGGTTATATTTTATAATTAATGTTTTTATTTTTATTTGTTGGATAGTTTTTACCACAAATGTTTGTTTGTTTATTTGGCAGGGACAGTGTACATTAATAAGCATTCCTGCAAATGCACCAGAATTAGCCAGAAGGCTATTTTTCATCTGATGTCACTGAACAACTTAAAAAAACAATACAAGAATTATACAATAAATCAAACATTGTTAAAAAGTACTAAAATAGACAAAGTTATGTAGATAATAATAAAAAATGAATATTTACAAATTAAACTAAAACACCAAAATAAATCACTTAAATTATAATTTTTTGTACCTTTATTTAAAAAAGGCCACAAAAAAAAAAAAAATATATATATATATATATATAATTATTATTACATTTTCAGCTATTTTTCTTAGAAACAGCTGGTTTGTTTTGGCTGTTGCCTTTCATTTCGGTGTGCCATTGCTTTTTGTCCTGATCTGCTGTTCTGATGTGGTACCACCCCTCAGCTCTCTCAGAAATCATCTGCGACTGTGGACGGTCAGGCCTCGACTCCTGCCTCAGTCAGCAGTGCTGACCCTAGTTCACAACTGACATCATCCGAACCCACAGCCCCTCTTGACTCCAAAACTGAGGTCAAACAGCAGGATGAAGAGGAAGAGAATGAGAATGAGACTGAGGACAAGGCCTCAGGGAAAATGGCCGCCATGCAGACCGAGATCAAGTCTGAGGAGAAACCAGAGGTGAGCGAGGGAAAGAGCTTTTACATGTTAAAACTGATTCTTTCTTTTCCAGCTTAATTTCTATCCCATCCCTAACCCTAAGGCTAAATTATACTTCTGTTTGAGTGATTGCTATAACCCACAGTGCATGCCTTGAGTGTAGTCATGCATTTATACTTCTCTGTTTGTACTGATCTGCGGTAACCCTTCTAAAATGCTAGCAGGCACTGGGGTTTCCATGCAAGTTTTTTTGCGGATGGTTTGTTTATTCCGGAAATATGTGCAATGCTGACTTAATGTACAAGTAGTATAAACTCACCCTTTTAAGGTAGAAAAAAGGCGGGAAAACTGACGCACCATCCACACCCGCTTGATAAAAAGTATAAACTGGCCTTTATTTTGATTGGTCCGCTAGATAAAGAAGGAGGAGCCTGCAGGTGATGAATGTAAGACGGAGCCAATGGAGACATCCACAGCCGAGGACAAGAAGCCGGAGGTCAAAACTGAACCCAAAGAGGAGGAGGTTGCAGGAGCCAACAGCACTCCCGCAAACACACAAAGCAAGAAGAAAGGTACAACAAACATCATCGCACATCATGTCTACTCAAAATATACTATATGTGAGTGAATGTTTTATGAATGCTAGAGTATCGTTTCCTATGGGAGTATTGACCTTATTCTTCGATGTGGAAGTGCGCTCGTTTTTGCGATTGTTTTAGAACTTCCGATTCAGTCGCCTATGGGAGAAATGACTAGGAATAATAAATGGCAGAAAATGGTCAAACTGCTTGCTCAACACACAAGTGTTTGCATGATTATACAGACAAAGCAGAATAAGATAATAAGATATCAGTTGCAACATCAAGCAGTGTAACAAACTGTTTTTAACATCTAAAAACCAGTGGAAGTTAATGAGACTGGAAATCTCGAACCAAAAATATTCAAATGGCTGTGCCCACTCATACGCAAAGAATAAAGCCAATAATGTGGAACTCTACTACTAAAGATTGTGTTTCTGCAGTGAAATCACTGGTCGGTCCGTATGTTTGCAGTACATTTTCCCCCCACTAATGAATCCCTTAAAATTATGCTGTATTGTGCCTTTATTATTATTATACATTTTTTAGGTCAACAACAGTGTGTGGTGATGTGATCTGCCTTGTAGCTGGTTTGTTCGGTTTATGGCTTATAATGAGTGGGATTATCTGCTTCATGCCATTTTTTGTTTCTAGTCACAGTTGTTTGGTGAATCAGATTCACCTTGAAGGATCTGATGACCATTAACCAAAATAACCTTCCCAAAACGAGACATACATGTCAACAAGGTTTTATATTGCAGTAAATTTTTGAAGTGATATTAGAAATGCGCTGAAAACATCAGCACATGTTACTTTTGATCTAGAATCAGCTTGTTCACATTCCTCAGTTTAATTCGAAGAACAAACACTGCTTTGAAATCCTGAATTTCAAATGAATATGTACCTGACTCCTTCATTTCCTTCCTCTCTATCAGAATTTAAACCAGATGAGCTCCGCCAGGCTTTAATGCCCACTCTGGAAGCTCTGTACAGACAGGACCCAGAGTCGCTGCCCTTCCGGCAGCCGGTGGACCCCCAGTTACTGGGAATACCCGTACGTATTCGAACTAGTAACAAAACTAACCTGGTAAGGGCCTGCGCTGGCACGCATTACGCTACAACCAACCTAGCACTCTTTAGTTCTAGTCTCATTTCTTTCTTTTATCCCTTTTTCTCTCTCTCTTTGTTCTTTTCTGCCTGCTGTTTTTTTGTGTGTGTGTGTTTGTTTGTGTGTATGTGAGAGAGACGTTGCAAGCTTGCTTCTGTAGCGTTTCTGTCAGAAAAGAAGAGCAGAAAATAAGGCAGCGCAGACTATGAACATCTGCTCATGCGGTCAATATGTCTTCATCTCATCAAATAGACAGATAATTATGTTAGATACAATACACATATGCAGAACTTCGCTTTCAATTTGTTTTATATTCATTAAATTACTTTACCTAATGAATGTATTTTTAGATCTATATCGAATTGGAGATTGGAACCAAATGCATTTGATGAAGATCAATTAGTCATTTGGTGAAAATGAACTGCCAATTTGAGATTTTACTACTCTGAATGATCTCAAAGTCTGCGCTAGCCTTTTTCCTCTTCATTCATTTAGTGTTGTTTTTTCTGTTATGTTAAACTCCATGTAATTCATCATCTTATCATAAGCTTTAAGTCATTGCAGTTGTTTTGTTTTGTCACTTGCTTAAGTTTACCATCAATCCCCAGAGTTTAGGCCAAGAATTCTGACTATAACCAGCATAGCAGGTTAAAATTAAAATTTGCTGATTGATCAATGCATCACGTTTATAACGTTAAAGTACAATTAATTCTTATATATGTTAAGTTGTGTATAGAGGCATAAATGATTGGTGTAGTTTTTTGCTTGTTCCCGAGTTGCATTATAGGATCTGCCAGGTAATTCTGTTTCTTTGGAAATGGAGAAAGAAAATTATAATTACTTTCCTGCTATTCTGGTTATTTTGCTGCTTTCTCAGGTTTGGTTGAAGGATGCATTGGCCCTTTTTTAAGGTGTGACAGGCAAACATTACAGACAAAGAGAGATGATGACCTAGAAATTAAACATGAATAAATGTGTATGAAATCCTCCAGTAATCATGGACAGCTCAAAAAGACAAAACAAAAAACAATAGAAAACAAGAATAAAAAAAAAAAACAGATTTATTACTCAAAATCTGCTAGTAATGAAAATTTTTTAAAAATGCTCCTAAAATACGAGATCCTTACAAAGTCAATTGTAGGAAAAAGTGCCATTGCCTCTGCATATGTTGCATCAAAGTCAGGGTGCATCTTTTTAGTTTCTGTTGTGTCATAGTCAACAACTGACTGACAGCTAATCTGGTATACTTTACAACATCCTGACAGAAAGACTTTTTTTGTTAACTTGAATATTTATATTATTAATATTAATAATAATCATTTTTTTTCTCAGCCTGTTATGACTTGTTTGTTCCTATAGATCTGTGACATTGACCAATAGGGGCACCAAAGCTCTTCAGTATGCAGCTGTCAAAACTCTAGAAGCATAACATTTCCCCTTATAATCCGTGTGAAATTAAAATTGCAATGTTTATTTTGCTAGAACACATTTGTTCTTCTTTAGGTGAACAATTAATCCGTGCAAATTAATCCACTGAAAAAAAAAAAACAACAGTTTGTTTTTTTCTGACTGGACTTCTGCTCTTGGAGAGGCAGTCCATCCATCTGCTGACGTCAATTTGATGGTTTCATCCACAATATTCTTAACTATGACCCTCCTAGGGTATGTGTCCTGTGATGGAAATTTTTAATATTGATTATCACATATTGATGATTGATAGTTATATATCGATATTATAAAATTATTAAGGTTTTGCTAAAGTGAAGATCAACTACATTATAATCATTGTGCAATTTACAGCCATGTGTAATCTACTGGTTGTTTAAGACTTAAGGAGCTGTAGAGAAATTCTTATCTAAAACATTGGTCACAGAGGCTGTCAGTGTGTAATCTGATCATTCTCTGGAAAATTAAAGCAATTAAAAGATAAACTTTAAGGCCTTCACATTAAATGTATTCCTTGTGAACAGGAAGAAAATAATTTGCCTTTACAGTCCACAGAGGAATACTTTTTTGTTGCAGAAATAGCAACTGAGCAATTTTTTTCTGTTGTTGTCAATGGAAGTGCAATCTTTTTAAAATGATGTGGTGGACGCATGTCCTTACTAGAGCTGTAATCAGGCCATAAAAATTAGGCCCGATAGGGCCCGAGCCTGACAAGTACATTTTGATTGACAGCTTTATAAAGCCGAACCTGTTTACAGCCCGACATTATTCAAATGTGCACAGGCACACAGCTCTTTTGCCTTTTTTTCAAGAATGAGTCATTTATATGTTTTAACATAAGTTATTAGTAACAAACGTAGGCTATAGGCCACTTGGAAGTTGAAACAAAGAAATGAAATAAGTCCTCTCTAACATCATAACATCTCAGCACTCTAGGTACATAAACTTCGCCTTTGGCTGACACAGACTTTAATAGAAAGTTGAACCTTAACATAAACTTAGTATGTGACTTCAAACACTGTCCATGTGATTCTGGGTTGATTTCCTCTCTTTGTTGAAATTGGTGTTTGTTCATGTGTGTTTGTTTGAAACACCTCAGTTTGTCCTGACATTGGAGTCGTCCCCAATGTGTCTGATTGATGCACTCATACGCTTGAATAATCATGAGGAGCAGCCATTATTAAAATCACTATAAACATGCATAGTGGTTATGGGAAACCTGTAGAGAGATTTAAAAACGTACAAGATGAATCAAAGTTCAAACAAAATTGCTCTGAAACCAAAGTTTAAGTATGGGAAGTCAGTCCCAAATAATGGCGCACAATCAGGATACTGTGGGGTCGACGCCTGAAGGACCGTATTCCCAGTGTGTCTTTGATGATTTGTGCTGTTGGACTGTGAAGCGAGTCCAGCTGTGCTTTGCGATGTAAACGCTCATATGCTGATGGACTTGAATGTCCCTGCTTGTACTCACCTCAGCTTACTGTACCCTAAACACTAACCCTGCCAACTTCACCCTAGAAAGACCACGTTTATTTGGCGAAATAGATTCATTCTGTGTCAGTCTTGAAATGAATCCATCAAATTGAGTTTAAAATGATTGGTAATTGTTTTAAATACAAATTCCAAGATAATAAATATGATGGAGAAATGAGAATAATCCTAATGTTTACTGGGAGAAGCTCATGAAGAAATGCACAGGTCATATTTCACCGTAATCAAACGAAAGCAAAAAAATTTTATTTTGCATAAAGTAAATAAAGCTTATTTTTGGGACCAAAATATTATTTTTTTGCATTGCTGCATTTACATATAATCTCTTTTCTTAATCACATTTCTTAATTGCGTTTTTATTTAATAATATCAATAGTATAATAGTTTTTTTAGTTATAATTCACAATTGTATTCAAAAACTATTTTATACTATTAAATATTATTATTATTATTATTATTATTATTATTATTATAGAAGTACTAAATAGCTTATTATCATTGTAAGGTAGACATTATCCCCTTTTACACATATAAACTTTTCTGGAAAATTACCAGCAATTTTCCGGAATGCCTGTATGTGTGAACAGGCCCTTTTTGAAAATACCGGTAAATTCGTTCTGGCAATTTTCCGGAAAGTAACATTACCAGTAATTTGTCGGAATGCTTCGCTGTGTGAACGTAGAAGGAAAATTGCCAGAAAGAGTGCATTCATATCTAGAACGCGCTGTCGTGAGATGTCTACTCCAGCCTATACGAACATTCAGACGTATTCACATCCGTGCTGTTCATAAAAAAGCCTTTGAATATTTTTTTCCAACACATTCAGCTGCTAGTTGTTGGTCAGATAACGTTTCTATGTTCCTTTTGAATGCGAACTGTGTAAAGAAACATTGATAAAATGCTAATGATAAACCACTGTTTGTTTACCTTCAAGCTTTGCTTCAGTTGCTTGACACGTATGCACGAGAAGTGCAGTAGTGCTCCGGTGAGCGCCAGTACATACGCATATTATGTACATCTCAAAATGTGAAGGTGTTTCTCCATGTTTTCATCGAAGTTGTTCACAACACTTATCTATCCACAGAATTTGAAATGTTGTCAAACGTATAAACATTTAGCTGCAGTTTGCACTTCAGCCTTTGGGACAAAAGCAGCTGCATGAATGCTGAAGCTTTAGATAAAAGTGAAATCATCAACAAAAGCTTGACCACTTCTATGTTTACAAATACAAGCACAGCCGTTTAGAGCTCATTTCCAATTAATGATGTCAGTATTTACTGGTATTTTGGAATAGGTGTTCGAACGGTCTTTTCCTGAAAAGTTTCAGAATGTCCTTGCCTGTGTGAACAGCGCTATTTTGATTTTACCGGTAAAGTTGTTCCGGTAATTTTCCGGATCTTTACCGGTGTCACCGTGTCAGAGGGGCTAGTGAGTACGTTTACATGGACACCAATAATCAGATTTTTTTACTATTAAGACAATACTCTGATTAAGAGTCGACAATGTAAACATTGATTTTTGATTAATTGAGTCCAATTAAGGTCATAATCGAACTAACTGGAAATGAAATTAAGATGTGAAGTATGCCAATCTTAGTTGCATTATTGAAGAGCAGTACAGACATGTAAACACTTTAATCAAACTATTATTGTTGTGTAGAATTTTTGCTGCATTTTGCGACGGAATAGTGTAGACACACACACGGCTGTTAGACACTATTCTCTGCTTTTACTGAGTCAGTGAAGGACCACAGACACCTGGATCGCAAAATGTGAAGTCCCTCCCCCTCCCCCCGCCCCCCATACAACATGCAGTATTAAACTCCATTAAAACTACACTCTTCCAGTAATTCTTCACATCCAATATCTTGTTTGTTACGGGTTGCATGCATAAAATGAAAATGAAATCGAATGAAACATCCCGAATTACACGAAACTCCGGAAAAAATGTGGATAGTGTGGTGACAATGATGTTAATCCAATTATGTGCTATAACATGTAAAACAGGATCATGGCAGGAACATTCAAAAAGCAACTCCGGTAAACACCTTAACCATATTATTGTCTTATTCAGATTAAGGCAAATAATTTGATTATTGATGTCCATGTAAATGTAGTCAATGAAAAAATTATAGGTATAATTATATTATATTGTAATAATAATAAACAATAGCCATTGTTGTTGTAAAAAACATCAAATTTATTACCATGATCACTTCTATGAATTACATTCGACATGGATATTTAGCTTAATAATTGATCCCTTAAAGGTTTTAAAAATGAGCTCTGTTTTCGTTACGTGAAATATAATTTTCCCTGGCATTTCTTGACATTTCGAATGCGATTGCGCCAATCGTCTGACCATATGATGTTCAGCCATCCTACCCCAGTATGTCAGCCTTTTCCCCTCATTGACCCCAAGAATCCATGTATGTGTTTTGTGTGTTTCTGGGAGACCGGAGGTGAACTAGGGTACAGATTTGAGTGAGGCAGTGGGAGTCTGTTACGGTTTTCTCTGTTTGTGCATGTGAACCTCTTCTACAGCGCTCAACATTGTCCCCCTGCACCCTCTTCTCTCCCCCTGACTCTCCACCATCCATTGTCTCGACCGCGATGGTGACCATTCATCTTCCAGGACTACTTTGACATTGTGAAAAACCCCATAGACTTGTCCACTATCAAGCGTAAGCTGGACACGGGGCAGTACCAGGAGCCCTGGCAGTATGTGGATGACGTGTGGCTGATGTTCAATAACGCCTGGCTGTATAACAGAAAGACGTCACGGGTTTATAAATACTGCTCCAAACTGGCCGAGGTCTTCGAACAGGAAATAGACCCTGTTATGCAGGAGTTGGGCTACTGCTGTGGAAGGAAGGTCAGTGTGTCGCTTGAGGGCTTTATTTATTTATTTATTTATTTATTTTGCATGTTCAAGTGGGTTTTAGTAAAGGAATGTGGCTCAACAATATGATTTAATCCCTTTAAAAGAAGCCATATTAGGGCTGGGCGATATGGCTAAAATGTAGTCTCGATAAATTATTTTCTATATTGAAAAATACCGATGTATATTTTAATATCAGTTGTTAATGCATCCAGATTTAAGTGTATACCAGCAATGTCTGAAGCATTATAAATGAGAGGGTCCGTTAAAATAACACAACCTATTTTCGGTGGCCGAAAATTTTTTGCATCCTTAATAGCAAACACTTCTAGATTCTAGGGTTGCACGATACTGGAATTCGGAACCAATCGATAGTGATATTTGAAAAATGTTCATTTACCCCTGTTTAGCATGTTCATAAACAGCACTGATTTGCCTTTGGGTTTGGTGAACTGATGACCTTCATGGCCAATCACAGTCCTTTTCTGTTGAGCACTTGAACACAATGGCATATAAGCGCTGTTTAAGAATGCTCTCAAATGTTAGCGGGAAATGGATGTTTTTAAACTTTCAGTATTGATTGGTACTAAATTCCAGTATCGTGGTAACCCTACTAGATTCCCATTGTTGCACATTTGTGCTGTGTGATTGGCTCTTAGATCAATATAGAGTAAAAAAAAAAGTCCAGAGCGTATCATTGTTATTGACATAAATTTTATCCCGATACAATATTATCGTTTATTGGCCCAACCCTGCATCAAATATATTACCATACTACCTTTCATTATTGATTTCATTATTGATAATAATATGAATCTGGGTGTTAGTAATCTTTGTCTTATCTTTATTGGTTATTATTACTTCTAATGACATAATTTTTTATGTAATATAGATCTAAATAGATATAACATTTAATTTATATTTATACATACTACTTGCATTAATTATTAAATTTATTTGAGCAAGCAATATAATGTATAGTACTATTATTGATAATAATATATTATTATCGTTACTAATATTCACAATAAACTACTAAACACAGTAATACAATAATAAACTAATAATAAACTGAATAAGACAATATTTATTAATTTAACTTAATAGCAGTATAATAATCATAATAATAATCATGTTAATAATAATATTGTCATTACAAATGCTCAAAATAAACTAATAATACAATATTTAAATAATAATGAATAAACAAACTCAATAATGCAATATATATGAATGTAACTTAATAGCCTTATAAGTAATAATAATAATGATCATAATATTAATAATAATAAATATTGTCATTACAAATGCTCATAGTAAACTATTGAATAAACTAATAATACAATAATGAACTAATAAAAGTAAATGAAACAATATTTATTAATGTAACTATTAAAATGTATAAGTAATAATAATCATAATTTAAAAATAATAATTATTGTCATTACAAATGCTCCCAATAAACTACTAAATAAACTTAAAGTACAATAATACACTGATAAATAAACTAATAAGAACAATAAACTAAATAATACAATATTTAAAAAGGTAACTATTAATAGATGTAGTAGTAGTAGTAGTAGTAACTATAATAATGATGATCGTTTTAGGGCAGCACATTTTTGAAAAGATCCAGCATTGTTATTTGTTTCTATGTATTGCAATATGCATATAATTATACCAGATGGCTTGAATATCTTTATTTGAAAATAATTTGTTAATTTAAGTTGGTGAGGGTGGTGAATCACACATAACATATAATAAACAAATTCAAGCATAAAAGTGAAACAAACAGTGCTGTGTGATTTTCTGGGAAGTCTTACCGTGTTCAGGTACAAAAATTGAATAATCAAATGTGAAATAGCACTGCGTAGTCTTCACTATAAATAATTATAAACAAACAATTCAATAAAATTTATCTTTAATAAGTTACGAAAAATGTCTGAACGCTTTGAACTCTTAAAAATGCTAACAGGCCTTAAAAAACACATGCAAGTGATCAACTATGATTCTATTATGGTTAACCCTGCAGTGACTCCTCAAATCATGCGTTCTTAACTGTGGATACTGGTCAACTATAATCCCAACTATTTCAAATCCTACAATATGACCGTTACAGATACGCACATTGCCATATAGACGCTGAAACAATATATTGTGCAGTCTTAGTTTTAAAAAGAATTAAACTGTGGTGTTTGAGGTGGATTTATTTTTGCTTTAATATCAAAAGCTGTCTCCAAAATAATTTGTTATTGCTGCTCCTGCTCTCTCTTTCTCTCTCCCTCCTTCTTTTCTTTCTTCTCTCAGTTGGAGTTTTCTCCTCAAACTCTGTGCTGCTATGGCAAACAGCTGTGTACCATCCCCCGAGATGCTGCGTACTTCAGTTACCAGAACAGGTCAGTATTAAACGCATTCACACGCCTGAATACTACACACCACAGCCACTAAAACATGCAGCCATCAGTCATACGAGAATAAAATGAGGTCTATATTATGCACACAGACAGAAGCGAGTTATTATATTCAAAAGGAATGGCTTTGTGAATGGTCAGTGTGGCCTGATGGGTAATTGCCTGATCTCATCACATTATTGCATTTCAGCTTAAAATCAATTTCACGTTGCCTGGCAGCATTCAAGGGATTGTTCACCCAAAAATTCAAATGTACTCACCCTTCATTTGAACCAAACCTGTTTGAGTTTCTTTCTTTTGTTATTGGATAGCTAAAGCCTTTGACTTCCATAACCAAAAAAGATACAATGGAAGTCAGTGGCTTCTTGTTTCCAACATTCTTCAAAATATCTTCTTTTGTGTTCAAGAAAAAAAAGAAACGCAAAGGTTTGAAGCACTTGAGGGTGAGTAATAGGGATGGGTTTATCTTATTAGAGGCCAACAATATCAGTTTTTCTCTGGTCTATGTTGATGTTTTTTTTTTAATAGTAGCAATATATACAGTACAATGGTTTCATATTTACAAACTATAAAGTAACAGAACACAATACTAAAACAAAAGTTTTATTAAATAAAATATATGAAAATAACTGTAACAATAAAACCATAAAATAAATAATATCAATAACTAAATATACATAGGTCAGAGAGGGTTGAATCTTTATTTATTCGCTCAACTTTAGTTTAGTTATTATCAGCTTTAAAGTCCTGATCTAAAAAGAGGATGGGAAGTGCAATGGGTTGTAAATTGAAAAATGTTTGTTTTGTGGATGGGAATAAAGCAGTAATATTTTTCATATTTCTACAAAGATTGGATGTAACAGCCTAATGTATTCAGTCCACTTGGTTGTTTCCAGTTGCTGTTTCAGATAAGAATATAGTTATATAGTTGGGATATAGTTATAATTCTTATTTGTTCAAATCTAACATAAATCAGACCTCATAGTTTTTTTTTGCGATTTGGCAATCACTGAATTCAACGAAAAACAAACAAACATCAACAAAAAGTTAATTTTTTTATTTATTTTTTGTGATCTTGCAAGTTTGTTTTATTTAAAATCAAAAAAATTGCAAAAATGTAAATAATTCCATAAAACACCCATGGATTAATCATATATTTTATGATTTGTGTCATTGTCATTATGCCAGATTGAACACCTAACATTGTAGGCTTCCTAATATGGTAAATAAGATGCATAAATATATATACATATTTTTTAATTTATATATATATTTTTTATCACAAAATTAATTACCACAACTAAATCATTGTTATCGGAAAAAAAAAATCACAAAAGTAATAGCCTGAAAAACTAGGGGGTCTGATAAATGCTGCACTGGAGCAGGGCAATTAATATTGCAGAAAAATCTCATGTACACGTCTGAACCCTCTTTTCCTGATGATTGCTGAATGCTCCACTAGCAGGCCAGTCATTTCATTTGTTTGCTTTCCATTTTCCTTAAAAATGTCTGCCTGAGTCTCGGGGCTTGGTGATCTGTTATGTACTTTTATCATGTTTATTCAAGTTATTGGCAGTTTATTCAGTAAAGACAGCAGCCCTCGATCTGTATAAATTAGCAACCACAAATAAGGGGTTCATTTAAAAATTGCAGAGTGCCACGGAAAATTTTTTGGCAAGTTTAAAAAGACTGGGAACCACTGCATTAGACTTAAGTGTAATCAAAATAGCAAAAATATCCAAACAGGCACAAGGGTGCAGCACAGAACTGACAATACTAATAAATAAGGATATCAAATCTGAGGCAGCACATGAGTTGCTCCATCCCAGACTCTAAGGGACAGAGATTTTCTCTACAGTAACTGAATCGATAACGTTGAAGCTATTTTATACAATGCAGGCTACTATAATAAAGGAAAGATAATACTTTTCTCTAAAGATACAGGAGAGAGGTGAATCATCACTGATATTGCAGTAAATATTGTCATACCGTTATTAGTCCGTATCTTTATCACTAGTTTGAAAATAGTGAGTCAATGTGTATTTTTTTGGGTGAACTATGCCTTTAATATCCCTGCTGTGAAGAACACTTTAGGCCACTTCACTGACTGACATCTTCATTGTACACTTTGTGTTTGTGTGTGAAAAACCTCAGGTGAGTATTTTTAAAGTGTGAAAGTGTAAATGCTGTGAGCACATCAGGGTGTTGATGAATTTCAGGCCTGTTGATTTGACTTTCGGTGGCACAACAGACCACATTTCACATCTCTGCTCTTTCACTGATTTTAAACAGCCATTTTAAAGAGGGTCTGCTTCTTTTGATTAATTGTTTTTTTAATACTGATGTTCTTCCGATTAACTTCATTTGACAGTATTTGTAGTGATGACCTCAGTTGGCAGCTTCGAATTTGAAATGACCAAGTGCTCACGATGGGAAGGAAGCATCGTAACTGTTGCATCGCTCTTGAAATCACTGGCAGTTTGTAACGTTTCATCATCTTAGTCTTCAGCAGCCGATGTGAAATCAAGTTTGCTCTTAGTCTCTTTCTCTAGAGAATCAGAGGTTTTGGAACAAACAGACTTGGGTTATGCTCATAATTTTGTATACCTTAGATTTAAATGTGTTCTTAGCTAAAAGATACATACATTAAAACATATCATTTAATTTCAAGTCTCATTTTAGAACCCTTTTTTGTGATTTATTTCATGATTGTTGTTTTACTCTTATATTATAAAATTTTATAATCCAAATAATGAAAAAAATAGATTAAATTTTTGACTTATTTAACAAATATGTAACTCTATTATGTGATAAATTATTGTTGAATTTCTTTTTTTCCATCAAGTGTTTACATAAAATCTGTTTGGTTTTGTAAAATTTGAATCGTGCTTCATTTACTTTATGCAAACAATCTTTTTTGTATTGAACTTGTGAGCTGAATTTGTGTAGTGCAACGCACTGTGATTCACTCAAAGTACAGACAAACTGTAACATTCAAATTTCTAGAAAAATTGGTATAGTCTTCTTTCACAAACGTTCCTGCTGCCAACTGGACTAACTGCCCCTCTATCCCACATGTGGTTCTCGAGACCCTCTTTAAAATGGCTTGAAAGGATGATGGGTCTCTGTTGTTCACTCAGTTCATTATTGTCTCTCGCTCCTCTGGACGTCTCTGTTGTTTTCAGAGCTCAGAGGATGCGAGGGAGAGCATCTGTGCTTTGCCTCAGCTTCCTACTCACTCTTTTGGTTTAGTTTCATTAGTGATGCACCGATCTTGAGTTTTCATGTCTGATTCCGATTGCCATTTTTGTTTTTCACTAGCAATTATTTTACTCGGTTAAAAAAATAATGTAAAGGATTTGGTTGTAAAAATTCAATGTCAAGTAAAACGCACTGGTAAATTTGAAATTGCCACATGAAACAAAACAAATACAGTAGACATCTTTAATAAAATGTAAAATTTTCATAAAATGCTACATGAAACATTTGTTAAAAAACAAAACAGTAGACAGGATAAATATACATGCAAATTCACTGTCTGGCTTAGGTCACTCATAAATGAGAATTGGGTTATTAATTACTTGCCCTCATGCTGTTCCAAACCCCGAGACCTCCATTTGTCTTCAGAGCACAAATTATAAAAATCGGAGAGCTTCCTCATCCTCCCTAGTAAGGTTGCAAACTCATTCAAGTCCAGAGAAATATCAGAAATAATACTCAAAACAGACAATATACCTGTAGTGGTTCAATCATAGAGAGACATGCATAATCACTCTTGTAAAAGGCGCACAATATACTGACACTGAAGAGAAAAAAACTTGAATTGATGTTATTTTTGTTTTGTGTCCACAAAAGTATTTGTTTTGCTTCAAAACATTACAATTGAACCACTGAAAACACGCAGACTGTTATACACCGGGTTCTTATTGCAGTTTATCATCATGGAATAAAGAGTCACTAAATAACAGGACAAAAATTATATTCTGTGGACTAGGGTTGCATGGTTTACCAGTACTATGGTAGTATCATGATACCATGGCTCCAAAATACTGGCAGTGCCACTGTAGTTTGTAAACGTCGTTAACAATCCATCTACAATAGATAATGTTGCATGTGGAAAAGTCACTAAAACGCTCACGCTTTTGCAACAATAGACCATTTTATTTTAATAGTCGGTGGAGCCCTTTAAGGTTGCAAAACTGTAGAATTTGCGCATTTTGTGCTAGACTATTGCACGTTTTCTAATGCTTCAGTTCAGATGCACATCTGAATCAGATAATTCCGTTCCTGTCAATATGATTTAGTAGCTACAACAACCACAACAATCTCTTAAAAAGAACGACTCACAAAAATTTTGAATTGCTTTGGATTGTTACCTGAGAAGACTGAAAGAAAAAAAAACAACAGATGAAAAACCAGCTGTAAAATCAGCTGCACTGAAGATTAATATGAAATCCATATGAAATTACCATCAGAACTTTTCTAAAGACAGTAAAGATATTCCAGTTCCAGTTTTTGTAGCTTTACGATCGGTCTGATGGTGAATTTCTTTTTCTAATGCACCTATAATCCACACATAAGATCAAATCAACTGATTCACAGATATATGGAATGAAGCCCATGTTGTAGATTAAGAATAGAGGTTTACTTTTTAGATAGATTGGTTTAGAAAGCTTATCAAAAATACAGCTTTTCTTTATTTTTCTTAATAACATAAGAGTACAAGTGATCGCCTAAACGTGATCAATAATGAGAAATGTCATTTTATTTAGTGTTGAAACATCATCAAATTTAGGAAGTATGAAAAGTAAGTCATGCAGAAAGTCTTGTTTTTTCATGTTTATTCGGCTATACTCATGTCCAGTTCAGTGTGTCTCAGTTTGCACACTTTATCCAATAAAATAAATGTTTTGTATGCGACAAACAGCATAAAAACACTTGGAACAAAAATGGTCAGTTTCCAAATTGTGTCCGGTGGATCGGTGCATCTCTAGTTTTCTTCTTCTTCTTCTTCTCCTCCTCCTCCTTCATCCGCCTCACCCCTCCACCTGTCCAACACGTAGCTCTTTGTCCCTCATAACGGTTTTGTTCCTCACACTTTGTTAAAATATTCATTCTGCCCTCCTCCTCCCCCCTCTTCCCTCTCTCTCCCTCCTTGTTTTTAACGCTTGTGATGTCTGCATTGGCCTGCTTTGATGTGACCAATCATCCGCTCCGAAATTTACACGCAACCAATCAATCAATGTGCCCACACAAAATCCCCGCTTCATGATTGGCTGCTCCCCGGCGACGACCCTGCCTTCTGCTGTGTGTGCCTTCTGTCCGCTGGCCTGCCCTGCCCTGATTGGTGGCTGCTTCCACGTGCCCTCACTGTGATTGGCTGTGCTCTTGGCGAACGGTCTAGTTCACCCAAATATGGGCTTCTTGCTGACAGGTACCACTTCTGTGAGAAGTGTTTCAACGAAATCCAGGGGGAGAATGTGTCCCTGGGGGACGACCCAACCCAGCCACAAACGTGAGTCATACTGTATACATTATCTTTCTTCTTCTTCTTTTATTCAGAGCAGCATCAGACTTGGTGTAATAAAAGCTACATTCCCACTACTACTACTACTAAGGCTACTCAAAATAATATTAATAGTAATATATTATCTGATGATGATAATTGTGGCTCTATTATTATTGTTATTATTATAATTAAACTTAAGAAATTAAATGTTATTAAGTTGAAGGCGCATTATAAAAGTGTAACAATTGTATTTTTATGTTTCACTTGTATACAGTTGAAGTCAGATTTATTAGCCCCCCTTTAATTCTTCTTTCTTTTTAAAATATTTCTTAAATTATGTTTAACAGAGCAAGGAAATTTACGCCGTATGACTGATATTTTTTCGTCTGCAAAAAGTCTTATATGTTTTATTTCGACTAGAATTAAAGCAGTTTAAAAATAATAATAATAAGGACAAAATTATTAGCCCCTTTAAGCTACATTTTTTTCTGATAGTTTACAGAACAAAACATCGTTTTACAATAACTTGCCTACTTACCCTAATGTCAACCTGATTAATCTAGTTAAACCTTTAAATGTCACTTAAGCTGTATAGAAGTGTCTTGAAAAATATTTAGTAAAATATGATGTACTATCATCATGGGAAAGATAAAATAAATCAGTTATCAGAGATTAGTTATTAAAACTATTATCTTTAGAAATGTGTTGAAAAAGTATTCTCTCCATTAAACAGAAACCGGGCAAACATAAACAGGGGGCTAATAATTCAACTGTATATATATTCATATAATATAATTCGACTTCTACTATATATATATTTATGATAATCATCAGAACATTAAATGTGTTGTTTAATGGCATTTTGATTGTTTAAAAAGCTATTAAAATGACGGGTTTTAAATTAATACAACTACTAAAGTCAACTATAGCAACATTGATAATAAAAATTGTTAAGTGCAGCATTATATGAAAATATTACATTAATATAATAATAATAAAATAATTTTCTGAGTTTGACCTTTCCTGATTCTTATCCTCTCTCATTTCATCTTCATGTCCTGTCTAACTACTGTCTTATTACAATAAAGGCGAAAAACGGCTGAAAAAAATCTCAAGTACTCAAAATACAACATTATTATTATGTGAATATAATAAAGTACATTTTCTTCTATTATATTGTTTTACTATGATTATAATCAGAATATTTTTATCTGAAACATTATATTGTATTGTATAATCAATAATTATGTATTTTGTTTATAAAAAAGGAATAAATTGTAACTTAAAATATTATATTATGTATTAAATGTAATAAATTATAATTATTATTATAACTATGAAAACAAAAAAATATGTTTTTCTTACTGCAGAAATGGTATGTAACATTTATTGAAATGTAACTATGTAATTATGGAAATGTAACATTTATTATTAAGAAGTATACTAAAAATAAAAGATTACTATAAAACAACACAATTTCTTTTTCAAATGCATTACTATTGTTATCATTGAAAAGCGCTGTTATGTGTTTTATTATTAAAAAAATTCATTTGACATATTTTAGCAAAATGATATTGGGTTAGTAAATATAATTTTATTTTGTTGCCTTTAATAATGAAAAGTGTCTAATCCTTTTAAATCATAACAATAAACAACAATAAAGATTGAAAGAAAAGTGCTCAAGTCTTCAGCATGTGCATGTTTGATTATGTTCTACTTGTTATTGGGATTCTCATGATCCACTTGACCGGGTGGCCCATTCTCCTCTCCTCAGGTCCATCAATAAAGACCAGTTTCAACGTAAGAAGAACGACACCCTCGACCCTGAGCTGTAGGTTTAATTTTTACACACATTTGCACGCTCTGAATGTGTCCTATCATAAAACTAACTATGGATTTGTTGTCATAATCTGACTTTTGTTTTCTGCTATTTTTTGTCCCTCAGACTGCTGGAATGTGGCGACTGTGGTCGAAAAATGCATCAGATTTGCGTTCTGCACAATGAGACAATATGGCCGTCAGGGTGAGCTCACTATTTTGACCTTTTAAAACAACAATAACAACAACAACGACAAAAATGAAGTTAGCATAATTGTGAGTCTATTATTGTAGTTATTATTGTTATTATTATTATTATTATTAAAACTTTAGAAATGAAACGTTACTAAGTTGCATAATAACAGTATAACAATTATATTTTTACTTTTAATATAATAATCATCATCATCATCAGAACATTAAATATATTTGGTTTAACAGTATTTTGATGATTTAAAAAGCTATTAAAATAAAGTTTTAAAAGAATACTAATAATTTTAGCTATAGCAACATTGATAATAAAAACTAAGTGCAGTGTTTTGTGGAAATATTTTATTTAAATTACAATAATAAAATATGGCGACTGCAGTCGTAAAATGCATCAGATTTGTGTTCTTCACAATGACACGTCAGGGTGAGCTCACTATTTTGACCTTTCTAAACAACAACTGCAATAAAATCGAAGTGTTCAGTGCATCTGAGGCTTTACTTGAGGACTTTTTAATCTTTGTTTTATGTGAGGCTTGCAGGGGTTTTCTTGGTAAATGCATTATTAACAAGGTTTAAAATCATGTTTTTTTCCCGTTCTAGTAGAATTTGTCCTGATTATTGATCTTCAAAATGGGCTCCAATGTAATGTTACCTTGCATTAAAAACATATCAGAGATATTTTCATGATGATGTCTTAAAATAATATAAGTAAGGATCATTGCACAGCCCCAACATTGTTATAAATTGCAGTTTTAATTTTTTGTATTTTGCAACTATTATTTAAATCACTAGGTTTTACCCATATTCAGTTTACTTATTTAAGTATAATCAAATTGATCTCTGTCTGCACTCCTAAAGTCATATAAAAGAATATGTATGCTGTTGCATATGATAAAATTTTGAGTGGGAGAGATCAGCTTTTACCTGTCAGTGGGTGCAAATGGCTCCTAAATAGCTCAAAAGAGAAATAGTGAGTTTCTTTTGTCCTCTTTTCAACAGCCTTTAAAATACTTTAACTCATTGAAACGGTGTATAACATTGTCATATTGAATAAAAATATAGTGAAAGTTATATTTTTATTTTTTGTTTTTCACTTGTAGTTGAGCATTTATTTGATGGGTAAAAGGTGTGTTGACTATTTTTAAGAGCTTTCTAACTATATTTGCCACCATAAAAATAAAAGATGTTGAACAATTTCTTTCTTTCTGCGAGTCTTTAGCTGTAGAGTCTTTCAGCTGTATGATGTACTGTATTATCGTCAGATCTTAATGTACACTCATAACTTATTGTGCTTTTTGTTTTTAAATGTCATTTTCTTTGTTTTTCATCTGATCAGGTTTATCTGTGACGGCTGTCTGAAAAAATCCAATTCCACAAGGAAGGAAAATAAATATGCAGCAAAGAGTAAGTGCATAAAAACTTTTAAAACCTTCTTCAGAGCATTTTTTTTGTGCAAAATCTTATTAAAAATAAGTTCTTACATTCTAACATTACCACTCTTCATTTTAGTTTTAAGGAATGCTCTGTATATGTTGGTTTGAGTTTTTAATACTAACACTATCTCATCTGTTGTCTTTCTAAATGTAATATATATTTGTATAAAAAAATTCTATGATCATATCACAAACTCTCTTATCTATTTTTAACTTATTTTTTCTCCCTTTTCCATGTAAATTGCTATAGCTGCATTATTTTCTTAATTGTGTTTTTTCTGTCCTTATCTCAGGGCTTCCTCAGACAAAGCTTGGCAACTTTCTGGAGACACGAGTGAACGATTACCTGAAGCGCCAGAATCATCCAGAATCTGGTGAAGTCACCATCCGGGTGGTGCACATCTCTGATAAAGTGGTGGAGGTCAAGCCTGGCATGAAGTCCAGGTGAGGGACACCAAAAAAAATCTAAAATTACACCACTGTTGCTCCTTTTAAAGGGATAATTCATCCAAAAACGCAAATTTTGTCATCATTTACTCACCATGTGCTTGTTTGTTTGAGTTTCTTATGTTATTAAGAAAATATTTTGAAGAAACCTGCTGCTATTGACACCCATACATCCATTTGTTTTTCCTACCATGATTGTCAATGATTAAAGGTTTCTGTTTTCTTTTTTCAAAATTAACTTTGTGTTCAACAGATGATAAGCAAAAAAAACTCATAAGAGTTTGGAATCACTCGAGAGACAACACATGCCTCATCCAAAGGTTTTGAGGCTTAAACATGCATCCTTGAACGTTGCTTTGAATAGAATATTATTATTAAAAGTACATTTTAAGACTTTACACATAAAATAAAATATTCACAAAGCTGTATCTTGTAGTGTTGTCACTACTAGAATTCGGACTAATCGGTACTTAAATGTTCATGGGAAATGAACGTTTTTACATTTTAAGCGCTGTGGAGTGCGTTTTTAAACAGCACTGATTTGCCATTGTGTTTAACAGATTTGCCATTGTGTTCAAGGCTGTGGCTGTGAAGGTCATTGGTTCACCAAACTCACTACTGTTTATTGAGTGTAAACACATACTTTAGAGCATTTCAAAGTCACATTGATCCGCTGGTTTGTCTATAAGCTGGCAAATGAGCGATCGGCTGGTGAATTACGGCTTCAGAACGCTCCAGTGTTCCTGTATCTGAGGTTACGTGAAGTAAACAGCGGTGAATTTGGTGAACTGATGACCCTCATAGTCAATCACAGTCATTTCTGTTGAGCATGTGAACACAAATGCAAATCAGTGATGTTTAAGAACATGCTCCACAGCGCTTAAATGTTCGCAGGAAATGAACGTTTTTAAACTTTCAGTGTCGATTAGTATCGAATTCCAGAATCGTTACCTTATTAACACCAGTTTGTAGGTGTTACATGAGAGCTGCTGTTTGAAGACAATGAAGCAACCATACTTAAAAAATCAAATTTGTGATCAGATAAATTGCCCTATTTATTTTTTATAAAAGAAACCTATAAAAAATATTGGAAGTGGTGAGATATCATTCTGCTTTATAAATTTTTGTTTGCCTCTAATACAAAAACCTAAGATTATCAACCACAGAGTTCAACCCTTTCACCTATAAGTTTTTAAATACTCTGGCTGAGCCCCCTGCTTGAGTTTTTTATGGTGACCGTTATTTAGAACGATTCTCTTTAAAGTTTCCATAGTGCCGCATCAAGATTGTCATGTGAAATACCGCAGCCCCAGTGATTCATGCATATCGTTTGACATATATTTGTTTGAACACATTCAATTCCATCTTAATGCATTTTTGACTACCTTTAGAAGTGGTCGAATGGTCAAACTTAAGGCTGGTTTATACTTCTGCATCGAGTGATCGGCGTGACCCTCGACGCATGACTTGCGCATTGTCGTGCATTTATACTTCTGTACCCTGTTTGTGTTGGTCGGCAATAACACTTGCGAAATGCTAGCTGGAAGTGGTGTTTTGGTGTTCCTCTGTGTCGAGTTTCTTCGCTGGTGTTTGTTTTTTTCTGAACGATATCGTAATGTACAAATATCAAAAACTCGGTCATTCTGAGGTGGGGACCAATGGACGTGCAACAACTTTAATCATAAGGTAAACACAAAACAATAGTTTCTACCTGGAGCTCCTTTACGGAATTCTACGCTTGTGAACAATCGGTTCAACAGGTTTTTGTGGCTCTCGGCCATGTCCACACTCGTCAGCTCTACCAAGCCGAGCAATCAAAGAGCTTATGCTACGAATCTTTTTGATGTGTAGTTACATTTTTTGAGAGGTGCGCGTCAACCATGACGAGGGCTATGTGACCACGCGAAGGCTGCGCCTAAGCATACGCATTTGCTTAAGGCAGAAGTATAAATCAGCCTTTAGCATTGTCTACTTGTGAACTGAAGAAATCACATCTTTATACCAGGGCTACTTTCCATACCATTTTTTATTCCCCTAACAAGCCATCTTCCCCCGTTCCATTCCCTCGGATGTAAATCATTGATTATATTACACAAGTGTCCCACTACTGGCTGAACATTTGAATGAGTTTAAATAGAATGCCCTAAACCAGGGGTGTTTAAACTCAGTCCTGGAGGGTCAGTGTTCTGCTGAGTTAAGCTCCAACATGCTTCAACACACCTGCCAGGACGTTTCTAGTATATCTAGTGAGAGCTTGATTAGCTGGTTCAGGTGTGATTGATTGTAGTTGGAACTAAACTCTCTAGGACACTGCACTCCAGGACTGAGTTTGGACCCCCCTGCCCTAAACTCTTGAACATTTGGGAACTACACTGTTGTGACATCAGTCATTGCTTTCTAGAACATATAGGTGCTAGAGTGGACAAATGAAGCCTGTCAAAATCAAAGAGTGGAGGATATATTCATGTAAGCTTGCCTCATTCGCTTGACAAAGTGGAACTCAATTTAAAATGGCAGTGGGTGTTCCCTCGAGGGAACAAGTGAAGGGAAGTTTATGAGCCCTGGTGTGAACAGGACCACTGAAACGAACCACAGCCTTACATATTATGTAATTGCTGCAGACCACTGATAGTTCAATTGTTTTTCAAACTATTCTTTGAATGGGTGGACTGGAGCTTTGACAATTATTAAATAATAAATAGATATGCACTGCCAGTAAAACAGTGTTTGTTTCAAAAAGAAATGCTGCATTGCGTAATTCCTCATAGCATGACCAACATGAATGTTTATCATTGCATAAATGCCCACACGTTTCCATACATTTTGTATTAATATTGATGTATGTGGGCAGATGAATTGTAAACATTTGTCTTGCTAGCTCTCACTATTGGGTCTCAGAAAAGACTTCTCATGGATCAGTCACACTGTGACTTTTTCTTTTTAAACCAATGTAAATATACTATGCATCTATCACCATTGTGAGATAACAGTTCTCAAGTTGCGTATTTTATGGATATTTTATGAATACTCGTGCTAGCTTAATTAAAATTTTTTAAGACAGCACAACTGAAATGAAATAATCTAAGAATTAACTGTGTTTCTTTTCCAGATTTGTTGATAGCGGCGAGATGTCAGAATCATTCCCATATAGGACAAAAGCTCTGTTTGCATTTGAGGAGATTGACGGAACAGATGTCTGCTTCTTTGGAATGCATGTTCAAGAATACGGCTCTGATTGCCCTCCACCTAATCAAAGGTTAAAAATAACAAAGACTCAGTCACACATCTTCAGGCACACACTGATTCTTCACTCACGTGCACATGTATGGCATTACAAAGTGGTATGAGAAACACAAGTAACTTGATGGTATCTCCTGTCTCTCTCTCTCTCTCCCCATGCAGACGTGTGTATATATCCTATCTAGACAGTGTGCACTTTTTCCAACCCCGTCATTTGAGAACAGGAGTCTACCATGAAATTCTCATAGGATACTTAGAGTACGTTAAGAAAATGGGGTTTGTCATGGGCCACATCTGGGCTTGTCCACCGAGTGAAGGTGATGACTACATCTTTCACTGCCATCCATCTGATCAGAAGATTCCCAAACCAAAACGCTTACAAGAGTGGTACAAGAAGATGCTTGACAAAGCAGTAACTGAGAGAATTGTACATGACTACAAGGTACAGCGACAGCTGACTATAATGAAAGTTTACACTAACGTCAGCATACTGCTCTATAGTACACATTGTTTTTGATGGCCATGTGTCTTTTATTAACTGCTGCATGTTTCTTCTCACCCCAGGACATTTTTAAGCAGGCAACTGAGGATCGTCTGACCAGTGCGAAGGAGCTCCCTTATTTTGAGGGTGACTTTTGGCCTAACGTATTGGAGGAGAGCATCAAAGAGCTGGAACAGGAGGAGGAAGAACGGAAGAGAGAGGAAAATAACACCTCTAGTGAAAGTATTGATGTGAGTGATTGACTCAAATTTGCAAGCGCTGTGTGGTATTGGGGAAAACATGCAAAATGAAAACATTAGTTATGCATAATATTTCTACGTAGTCTTTTAAAAGTGTGGGTGATTTGCTATTTATTCTTAAAACCAATGTATTATTTTAATACCTTTTTTAATGATCTAGGCGACCAATGGTGACAGCAAAAATGCCAAAAAGAAGAACAATAAAAAGACTAGCAAGAACAAGAGCAGCTTGAGTCGAGCCAATAAAAAGAAACCAGGCATGCCAAATGTCTCCAATGATCTATCCCAGAAACTTTATGCTACAATGGAGAAACACAAAGAGGTATGTAGCTCCCAAAAACATTAAAAGTTTTTTGTCATTCACACGTTTACACCCAACTAACAAATGTCAATGCTCTGCTTAATTTCAAGGTTTTCTTTGTTATCCGTTTCATCGCTGGCCCTGCTGCCAATTCTCTTCCACCCATTTCGGACCCTGACACGCTAATGGCCTGTGATCTGATGGACGGCCGAGATGCTTTCTTAACGCTAGCACGAGACAAGCACCTTGAATTCAGCTCATTGAGGAGGGCCAAATGGAGCTCCATGTGTATGTTAGTAGAATTGCACAATCAGACTCAGGACCGCTTCGTCTACACATGCAATGAATGCAAACACCATGTTGAGACGCGCTTCCATTGCACTGTTTGTGAGGTAAGATATAGCGGGATGTATTATACTTTGAGGTTTCTAAAAGTATTGCATTTTTGGGATAAAACACTACAACTTTTCTTCTCTTCTTTTGTAGGATTATGATCTTTGCATCACTTGCTACAACGTTAAGGGCCACGAGCACAAGATGGAGAAACTTGGACTGGGTCTTGATGATGAGAGCAACAACCAAGCTGCTGCCTCCACCCAGAACCCTGGTGACTCGCGTCGTCTCAGCATCCAGCGCTGCATCCAGTCTCTGGTGCATGCTTGCCAGTGCCGCAATGCTAATTGCTCGCTGCCATCTTGCCAGAAGATGAAGAGAGTAGTGCAACATACAAAAGGCTGCAAGCGCAAGACCAATGGTGGCTGTCCAATCTGCAAGCAGCTCATTGCACTATGCTGCTATCATGCTAAGCACTGCCAGGAAACTAAGTGTCCTGTGCCCTTCTGTCTCAACATCAAGCACAAGCTTCGTCAGCAGCAGTTGCAACATAGGCTTCAGCAAGCGCAAATGCTGCGTAGACGTATGGCCACTATGCAGCGAGTAGGGCAGCCACCACCATGTGGAGGTGGGCCTCCAGGAGGTCTTCCATCACCTGGCAACAATGGAGCAACAGGTCCTAGCACACCTACGTCAGTTGGTACGCAGCCGGCAACACCCCAGACGCCCACACAGCTGACACCCAATCTTATATCTTTGCCCCAGCCTGGTGCAGGAGGAGTCCCAGCTGGAGCTCCCCAGCAGTCTCCTCAGCATCCTGTCCACCACCAGTTTCAGCAGATGCCTGGAGCAGGAGGCATGATGAATTCACAGCAACAACAAATGGTTCCTCAGCAATCATTGGGACAAGTGCCACATCCACACAATCAATATGGCCCCCACCCCACAGGTCCCTCCCCAAATACCCAGTCCCAGGGTAAACCAGGCCTTGGTCCTGCAACTCCTCCGCAACTCCCCAGCAACCCAGGCACTGTACCTATGGCCCAGCAACAACAACCTACAGGTCCTCCGGCAGCCGCTGTGGAGATTGCCATGAAGATTCAGCAAGTGGCAGATGCACAGCGGAAAATGGCACAGGTTCAGTTGCTACAAAGACAAGCTGCCCAAGCAGGAATGATGCCACAGCACCATCAGCAGCCACAGGGACAGATTGGAGTGGCCCATCCTGGAATTGGTATGGTAGGGCCACAAGGCTTAGCCTCGCAGGCACAAACATCAGCGAACAGGGTGCAGATGGAGCAGCAACAAGGACCTCAGGGAATGATGGGAGCCGGGCCCATGCAGCAACAGCAGCCTCAACAGGTCGCTGTGCAAGGTCAGATGCCCCCACAAATGCATCCACAGCAGCCGAGAATGAATCCACCACTTCAGCCTCAACAGCAACAGTGGCCAGGGCAGGGCATGCCTACCCAGCAGAGACCTGCTATGATGTCTCAGCAGGGAATGGTTTCAATGCAGCCCCAACCGCAGCCGCAACAACCATCACAACAAACGCAACAGCAGCAAGCACCCCAAATGCCAAATCGAAATGCCTTGATGAGTATGGTACAGGCTGGTCTACAGAGTGGCGTAGCAAGTGGGGCTGCAGCTAGCAATTTGCCCCAGGGAGCCTTGCAGCAGCTTTTGCGGACTCTGCGATCTCCAAGCTCTCCTCAACAGCAACAGCAAGTTCTCAACATTCTCCGGTCTAGCCCACTTCTAATGGCAGCATTTATCAAGCAACGGGTTCACAAGTATAAAGGAGGTACAGGTGGCCCCTCTGGACCGCAGGGAGGGCCAGGACCTATGGGAGGCCAACCTGTGGGTGTCAATACTGGGGTTCCCCAACCTGGTATGCATCTTGGACAAGGTGTTAACATGCAGAGTCAACTTCTGAGTCAACAACAGAGCCAACAGCAGCAGCAAATGCAACAACGACCGCTCCTGCAACAACAGCAAGTTGCTGCCTTGCAGCAGCAGCAACAACAACAACAACAGCAGCAGCAACAACAACAGCAGCAGCAGCACCAACAACAACAACAGCAGCAGCAGCACCAACAACAACAGCAGCAGCAGCAAGGGATTCAAGGACAGGGGACCCCAAACATGGCCAATCCACACTTCCGAGAACTAGTCATGAGAAGGCAACAGCAATTACAGTTTCAGCAGCAACAGCAGCAACAACAGCAACAACAACAACAACAAATGAGCAATCATGCGGCATTCCAGCAGCAGCAAGGTTACATGAGTCAGCAGGGTAACATGCAAGTCCCGCCAGGAGGTCAGCCACTGCAAGGAGTACAACCTGGCCAACAGCAGAATTTTCCTGGAAATCCTGCACAGCAACAAGCTGCAGCTGCTTTGCAACAGAGGCTTGCGCAGCAGCAACATCAGCTACAGATGCAACAGCAGCAGAATGCTGCAACACAAGGTCCTGACATGGGACCTGGAGGAGGTCCACAGCCCACACAACTAGGTCCAGGTCTTCAGTCACCACAGGCATTATTGCAACAGGCTTTGCATCAGCGTCTATTTCCGCAGCAGCAGCATCTTAGTGGCACCTCTCCGGCACAGCAAAACAACCCAATGAGTCCACAGCAGCAACAGATATCTCAGTCGCCCCACTTGCAGGGCCAGCAGCTCCCATCCTCCCTCAGCAACCAGGTCTGTTCACCACAGCCATCTCCACGACCCCAGTCCCAGCCACCTCACTCAAGTCCGTCCCCACGCCTGCAACCTCAGCCCTCACCTCACCACATCTCGCCTCAAACCCAAACAGGTTCTCCGCATCCCAGCCATCTTCAGCAGCATCACTCAGGCATGGCTCCACCTCCTCCACCCCACCAACAGCCACAGCACAACTCTAAGGACCCAAGCGGATTTGGCGCAGATCAGAATGCCATGCTTTCTCAACTCAGTGGCATGGCGGGACTCCACGGACCAGGAGCGAATGATATGCTGCCTCCTAGTGGCCAGGACCTTGGCATTAACATGAATCTAACCCTTTAGATCATATAGTTATTAGGAAATTTACAAAACCTCGCCAGAGAGTGTTAGCATTTTTTACAAGGGTGAATTTAGTGTTTTTCAACATTAATGCTTTGAGAACGGGCCCTTCTATGAGAGAGATCTCTTATATTCAACACAAATAAGTATATGGGGGTGTTTTTTTTTTCCTTTTGCCAGATATGTACAAAGAGAGGATTGTTTCTCAGCCTCAGAGAACAAACCACAAGTAATATTTTCAATGTCAGGTCCAGGGGAGTACTTTTCCTTTTTCAAGAGATATTTTTTAAGATTTTAAAAGTGGTATAAAAATAAAGCGCAAATGACTAAGGACTTCTTTTATATATATCGTTTCACCATGTACCAGTCTCTGTTACATGTTTTACAGAGTCACATGGAACATTTCAGCTATTGTGATGCCTATATAGTTATTATAATTATCTGAACATCATGCATATCTTCCTTGTAAATTTTGAGTTTTGCATTTTATTTATTCTAGCTTTTTCATTTGTCGTCATGATGGATTTCGTTCATGTGCGTTCCCAGAGACTGCTACAGTTCACATAGAATATATTTTTGTTAATACCTATTAAAATGGGGAGCTACTCCTTTCCTTAAGCTGGAGATTTAGGTTGACTATAATATAAATTACAGTGTTGGGGGATCGGGTTTGGTGTGCGCTCCGCTGCCCATTGGATCTTATTTCATGCCATATTGGAAATTCCTTTGGACATCACTGCTTTTGCAACAGGACGAGTTGTTGGACGCACACACCGGCCCGCCCGCCTGCCCTCAGAATGTGTGTGCACTCCTTCTAAGACTTACTGGATAGTGGAGCTGTCTGTACAGGTTGGGTGAGAGAATGTTTTGTGTATATGTGTGTGCGTGTGTATTAGAAGTGGTGCTGGAGTTCTGCTCATGCCAATGCCATATTGAGCAGCGTTTCACTTATGAACTGTATGGCGCAGTGAAACAACAGAACATGAGAGGCGTGTGTGCCACTGATATTACCATTTTTGTCCTTCAGTACCACTCCTTATTTTCCTCCACCTCCAGAATTTCCTTTGCGCTGAACTTTGGGAGCTTAATTTGAATATTTTGTACTGTACAAAGGAAACACAAACTGTGGACTTAATACTTTTTTTTAATAAAACGAAGATAACAAATTTTATTTATTGCGCATTTATTATTTGGGATTCGTTTTCAAATGGTTCTTTCTCTGCATCTTTCTCTTTAATTGGCTTAATCGGGTATTTTTTGGCAGAATGGAAGTGCTCTTGGATTTGGTTTTGTTTGGTTAAACGTGCTAATAAGGGCTGTTAGGCTGGTCATAGTTGACTCAGCAGCCAGCTGTCTTTCCATGTTGACGTTCAGGCAGATAAGGAGAAACCTGTTGCTCCTGCAAATGATCTTGGAGATGGTGAAAGGAACTGTGAAATTGTGGTATTTCTGTTGAGTGCTGTAAGGTCAGCTGATATCACTGAATACACTGTGGGTTTATTATTTTTTTATTACCTATTGAGAAGGAGTTTAGTCCATTTACCTGGTCCATTGAACACAGGCATTATCACGTAAGTGAGATTCTCATCCTCTTTTTATATTGTGACATTGACCGTCTGAATGTACTTTAACCATTTAATGAAATATAACACAGTATGTAATTAATTATTACACTGGTCTGAGGAAAACAGCTTTAAATTTTATGGAAGCTGACTCAAAAAAAACAGCTCTCATGTGTCTCAATTGTGATTTTATAACTTTGGTCTGCGGGTTCTGCAATTTCATAATTGTGAATTCATTCATTCATTCATTTTCATCCACTTTTCCGGGGCCAGGTCGCGAGGGCAGCAGTTTTAGAAGACAACCCCAGACTTCCCTTTCTCCAGACATTTCCTCCAGGTGCTCCAGGGGGATCCCGAGGCATTCCCAGGTCAGCCGAGAGACATAGTCCCTCCAGTATGTACTGCGTCCTCCTTAATCATGAATTCATATCTCATTATTGTAACTTTATCAGAGTGACTGCCATGTGATCGCAGACAGTAGCATTGCAACCCAACTAAATAGAACCCATTACGTTATAATCAGTGACTGTTTGTGATGGATGTGATGCAACTCAGTTGACAAATATCAGAAAGTAAAATGATGCCCCCAAGATTTTTCTCACATCAATCTGTAAAAACAACTAAGCATATTGTACATGCCAGGCCAATAGAGGGTGCTGTTGCTTTGTTAAAAAAACTCTTTGACCACAAAACGTATATTTTTGCACATATTTATATTCAAATCGTATATTTGTGTGTATATTTATATTCAAAACATATATTTTTGCACATATTTATATTCAAGTCGTATATTTGTTTGTATATTTATATTCAAAACATATATTTATGCACATATTTATATTCAAATCGTATATTTGTGCGTATATTTATATACAAAACGTATTTTTATGCATTTATTTATATTGAAAACTTGTATTTGTGCATATATTTATATTCAAAACGCATATTTTCGAGTATATTTATATTCAAAACATATATTTGTGCATATATTTATACTCAAAATGTATATTTATGCATATATTTATAATAAAAAGTTTGTGCGTATTTTTATTTTCAAAACAGATATTTGTGCGGATACTTATGTTCAAACGTATATTTGTGCATATATTTATAATCAAAATGTGTATTTGTATATATTTATATACAAAAAGTATATTTTTGCGTATATTTATTTTCAAAACGTACATTTGTGCGTATATATTCAAAACGTGTATTTTTGCATACATTTATATTCAAAACTTTTATTTATGCATATATTTATATTCAAAACATATTTATGCTGTTAATTATATTCAAAGTATATTTGTCTGTATATTTATTTTTAAAACGTATATTTGTCCATATGATTATTTTCAAAACGTATATTTGTGCGCATATTTATATTAAAAACGTGTATTTTGCATATATGTATATTCAAAAAGTATATTTATGCTGTTAATTATATTCAAAACGTATATTTGTGCGGATATTTATATGCAAAATGTTTATTTGTGCGTAATTTTATATTCAAAACGTATATTTGTGCTTATATTTATAATCAAAACGTATATTTTTGTATATATTCAAAATGTGTGTGTACATACATATACATATATATTCAAAACGTATATTTGTGCTTATATTTATATACAAAACGTATATATTTGTGTATATATTCAAAAACTCGTGTGTGTGTGTGTGTGTGTGTGTGTGTGTGTGTGTGTGTGTGTGTGTGTGCGCGTGTGTGTGTATTCAAACTATTTGTGTGTATATATATATTCAAAACATGTATTTATACGTATATTTATTATTATTTTTTTATGTTTACTCTGAACTTTTCCAAAACTCTTGTCATTTAAATGAATGGCTAAAAGGAATAAAAATGTAAATCCCTTCAACCCAAACAAATGATCATCACAAATCATTTAAAATCACCCACAACTTTATTTTTCCATTTATTTACTGTAAATACAAGCAAAAAAAGTGCAGTTGTCACATGTGAGAGCAACAACAGAGCTTATAAGCCAAATATCACCACGACCACAACATGTTTTTAGGCTCGGCTTTGATTTCTGCCATGCTAAAAGCACACCTAAAGCACATGTGTTCAGATGAACAGGATCTAGCCCTACAAAAAAGCGTCCACTGTAGCGGTTGTGAATGTAAACCAATACTGTCTCTTTAAAAATGCACAAAGGCCTCTGAACAGAGCGAAGAGAGCTCGGGCACAGATATGGAAACAAAGCCAGGTGCTCTTTCCTTTTCCCACCTGCTTGGTTACAGGACAAACAGGTGAGGTAACCGAAGTTCAGTCTTGGAGTCGGAACTTAAAACGGTTTCTTCTTATAGTTAGTGTAATGGCGACTGCTGGAAGAGTAGTGGTACGGATATGGAGATTTGCGTTACATGCTTGAAACCTTGGTGTACAGCATCACTGAGTATATTCAGAAATGTCATCCATCAACGGTTAACTTACCACAATGACACAAGGACAAACTTGAAGGAAAAATGCCTCGGAGGTGTCCTTACCTTGCTTGGACAATATCTGCTTCACTACTGTGAACTGTGTCGTTCACTTGGTCCTGACTAACTGTACATGTTTCTAATGAAATGCTCTTGGATTTCCTTGTCAATTTAGACCTCAAGCCCACACTCACTGAAAAAACCCTCTGCCGTCATAGCCTCTTTAAAGGTCACGGTCAAGGAATTTATGGTCACCTGTGTCACTATGACTTTCCCAGGATGCACTGCGGTTGTGACAGGAGTTTGTAATTGGTCAATTGGAACCTGGAATTCTGCCGTGACTTCAGCGTCAATCCCTTCCTTGTCTTTGGCCTCTGAACTGCCTACCTCAGCTGATTCTCTTACCTCCTCCTGTCCACATCTAGCGCTCAGACGCACCTCGATAACTGAAGGTCTGTTCTGTACTCTGTCAAACACACCTTCCTCAGCTCCTGACTTAGTGCACTTGTGTAATGATTGATCAGTGTTTGTTGTGTCATGCGATACCCATACACAGTCCTCGTCGCCTGCAGTGTTTGTGACTGGCTCATTCTTTTCTGTGTCTGTGATTGTACTGCTTTCTGGTGCTCCTATGGCTGTACCCGTATCTTCGCTTGGCTTCTCTTCTTGGTCAAAAATGGAAGAGCAGTTTTCGTCTTCCTTGATGGTGATTTCACTTTCCTGTTCTGCCGAAGAGTTGTAACCCTCGGACATCTCTTGACCTGGCAAAAAATGACAGAAACTTGGAATGAAGTTTTAAAGAGTGGTCAACCTAAACTTGTTGTCTCTATTTAACCCTAAATTGTTCTAATGATGTATGGCTGACTTTGTTCCACTTTTCCTTTCGATGTTGATCTTTACTGACCTACAACCTTGTGCTAAGGCACAGAATCGATAAATTAAATATTGACTTGATCTTCACAGAAATCCACTGTATCATTCTGAAGGATTCAATTGTATCTCGCTAGGCATATGGATTATTTTGTGACTACTTGAAGCAGCAAGCCCGAAAGCAAGTTTCAGAGCTTCAAGTTCTAAAAGCATTTAGGTCCAGAAAGGCTTTATTGTCCAGTGGTTCTGTCATCTACTTAAGCCTGGTTTATACTTCTGCGTCGAGTGATTGATGTGACCCATGGCGCCTGCCTTCCGCGTAGTTGTGCTTTTATACTTTTGCGCCCTGTTTTTGTAGCTCTGCAATAACACTTCTGAAACACTAGCTGCAAAGCAACAACTTTAATCATAAGGTAAACCCAAAACAAAACTTTCCATTTGGACGTCATTCACGAGACTCCACACTTGTAAATACTCGCCCCATCCGGCTTGTGTGGCTGTCACCTCCGCCCACACTCGTCAGCGATACCAAGCCGACCAATCACAGAGCTTGGCAATGCGACGTGTAGTTACATTTTTTGAGAGGTGCGTATCAGTGACGCTGACGGCCACGGTGAGGGCTATGCGGCCACATGTAGGCTGCTCTGGAGCGTACGCTTGATGCAGAAGTATAAATCAGCCTTTAAGCGTACTATTTCCAAGATATCACACCAGGTTTATGTCAATGATTGATTGTAAGACTGTCAAGACCTCGTCTTTGCCTCAGATGTCATGCTCATGGACTGCTGGCTCGAATGTTTGATGCACAAGTTGCATGAAATAATAAACACCAAGGAACCTTCAAAGTTAGAATTGAATTGTAGAGGTCTCGTGAAAAGCAAAGCCATGCCAGATGCTAAACTTCAAATAAGAAGGCTTTGTGACAATAGGGGCTTTCACATGTGGTAGTTACTGGAACTGTTATAAGAACTAGCTACCAAGAGCTATTGTGCTGGTGTTTTGTATTGCATGAATCTTCCTAATCAGCAAGTGAATATGTTGCTAGTTCTTATTGTGCAGAGATGGACCCTACTTTCAAAGTTTTCTAAAACAAAAAATAGTTCCTAGTTCCTACAGTGTACTTCAGACTCTAGTTTAGGGGTGTACAAACTCGCTGCTGGAGTGCAGTGTCCTGGAGAGTTTAGCTCCAACCCTAATCAAACACACTTAAACCAATTAATCAAGCTCTTACTAGATATACTAGAAACTTCCTTGCAGGTGTGTTGAAGCAAGTTGGAGCTAAACTCAGCAGGACACAGACCCTCCAGGACCGAGTTTGGACACCCCTGCTCTATTTCATAGGTCTCAAACTCAATTCCTGGAGGGTCGCAGCTCTGCACAGTTTTGCTCCAGCACTATTCTAACACAGCTGATCCACTGAATCAAGGTGTTCAAGAGTAGCCTTGAACACCGTAAATATTTGGATCAGGTGTGTCTGGTTAGGGCTAGAGAAAAACTGCAGAACTGCAGCCCTCCAGGAATTGAGTTTGAGACCTATGCTCTAGTTCTATGAACTATGAAAATTTCTTTTCAGCGTAAAAGCCACTAATGAGATCTTAAACTAAACACTGGATTTTCATAAGTATGTGGAGTTAACAACATGGACCATTGACAATTGAACACAATGTTCTTGAATAAATGATATATTGACAGCATGCTAGTCTGTTATTGTAGCGATGCCAGCTTTACATTGTCATGTCTCTAAACGCTAAAAACTGTGGCTGGTTGCTTTCCATGTCAGTCAGAAGGTCTCTGATCTTGGCTAAGCTGCAAAGTCCAGAGCTTCTTCGGTCTAAAGGTCAATTGTGTAGCTACCAATATTCAGCGTCACTGGCAGCAAATCTAGCATGGTGTAAATCACTAGTTTGATTAAGACTTGAGTGCTATAACAGGGTAAAACGGATGCTTAACTATTTTAAATGAGTCAGTCCTTCAGACCAAAGTCAAATGGGTTCAGAATACTTCAAATAAAAGTGAGTCGTTTCAGAAAATGAATGGTTTATGTTGTAGAGAAGCAGTCCATATGACATTTGGGATTATTTTATGGTGAAGACTGACTTGATTCAGTTTTTGTGTTTTGCAGAAGACTACATTTAAATTAACCTGATGCATTTCCATTTTAGGGTCAACTAGGTGGGATCTATTCGGTAGTCAAACACGTGTTTGCCGGTTGTCACTGTGATTCAGAAATATCTGCCAATATTTTTCAGAGTGGCCCTTATGACCCCTGAATGTGTTGCATGCAGTGTATCTTAGCAACAGTTGTCGTTTCGATGCCACATAACACCTACCACTCGGAATGTCCTGATGCACTTGCGTTGTGTTTTCTTCATCTTTTCTCATTTTCTTGACCTTTCTCTTCTGCTCGTCTTCATTCCACGCGTTCTCTGTACAGTCTTTTGCAGGAAGTGGATGTCTCATTGTCTGCTTGGATGGCTTGATGCCTTCAAAGAGTCTGGATCTGCACTGCCTGTTCTTGTACCTGTTCTTTAAGCGACGGTAGACAACACTATCTCTATAGCGCCTTCCGTTTTGGTCCACTTCGGTGCTCATGGAGCGGGTGAGTGACAGACGGATTCTTGGACTGGGTTTATCTGGAACCTTGTGTGCACTTCGAAGGTCCATCGGGTAGATGTTCTGTTGGGAGGGTTAAAAATGTGCTGTTTATATTGCAATATGCACTGCAATATTTGTCCTCTAGGCTGCTTTGTGTTGTTCTCTCTACAATACTAAAGTGTCATCACAACTGCTGTGATACTATATCTTGCAATCTAGATGGCTCTGCAGATGCACTTTTAGAGAATTTTCCTGGACCATGTGAGGATAAACAGCCCCCTGTTGATGTTAGGCCAAATTTGGAAACCGAAGCCAATAATGGACACAAACACACAGCGTTCAGGTCTTTCAGCAGTTCTGGGGCACTTTAGTACATCAGATCTGTTTTATTTTGTGTATCAGATTCTTGGATATATTATATAAAAATCAATATAACATTTTTTCGGCCATGGTACTCATTACAGAAACTGCACACACAGGACACAACAGATATTACTTAATAATGCAGGGTTTGTGCGTTAAAGGTATACATTTTTTTATTTGATGTTTGGTGTAATCTCAACTGAAAACAAAGAGCGGGCGGGACATAGAGTAGTCCCTCCCCTTTTAAAGAAACTGCCAAAAGCGTTTTGTTTTATCACCACTCTGCCACTGAAAGTAGTTGAGCTCAAAAGCATCAAATGAAAAGCAAATGAGAAGCATCTTGAAGGGGGCGGGGCATGTCAGATACTAGAGAGCATTTGATTAGTCAGGATTAGATGAGAAACTGAAGTATAATGTGACGTGGGAAAAAACGTCCATTCATTTAGGCGGAAGTGACAAACTACCATCTTTACATGTTTATATCAGTTTTATATCTTCTAAATGTGAATTGTCATTGTAGCTAGCTTACCGATATCCTCAAAGACTAATACTGATACTAACATAAAAAAAATGCTATTTTATTTTTACTGGACCTTAAAGCAAACTGCAGCCATTCTTATGCTCACACTTTTGCAGAAGCTACATACAAGTTTTTTTTAGTTTTTTCCTGAGAAGTAAAACAAATGTAACAATTCTCTTGTAAAAATGAAGCACAATTTTACCATAAAGTAACCATGACATTTCATCCTTCCAGGTTTAACACCGTAATATTCTGGGGATGAATGTTTTTAACATGTCTTGGTTAAAGTTAATATATTCATGTCTTAAAATAAGTGTAATAATGTTTTGAATAATTGCCTAAACTTACAATTTGAGTTCACACAATTAAACAATTTAAATTGATTTTGCAGAGTAACAAAGGAACGAACCAATCACATTTGGCGAATAGTGATCATATGGCGAAATTGGGAAATGTGTGTTCCTGTACTATCCTATATATACTTATATAGTTTTTCAGGAAAATCTCTTTGATTGGAGAGGATCTCCTGGCCATAGGTCTCAAACTGGATTCCTGGAGGGCCGCAGCTCTGCAGTTTTGCTCCAGCCCTAATCAAACACCACTGATCCAACTAATAAAGGTGTTCAAGACTACTAGAGACTATTAAGCAGGTGTGAGTTGGAGGTGGTTGGAGCTAAACTATGCAGAGCTGCTGCTCTCCAGGAATTAAGTTTGTGACCATTGCTCTAGGCCAAGATTTTAGCATATTCAGTTTGGAGTATTGGGTCTCGTCTTACTAGAGTAATGCTTATAAAGCACTAAAGGCCTTGCTGTATAGAACCTAGCATGTGTTGACTGGAGACCACAGAGGATTATTTTTGGTGAGATTAGAGTACCCTCAAATTTGTGATGTCAATTGTAGATCCGCAAATACACTGTGGATGTAGATAGAGACCCACAGTTTAATAATATACAACTTTTTGACATCAAAATAATGAAGAGTCAACTCATACCCGCAGAATAACTTGACGAGGTCTCAGGCTTTACCTCTTATAATATTATATTAAGATTATGTAGCAAAATTATGAAATATGTGCCCTGTACTGTCCAATAAAACCTGTAGTAATTTATGTTTTGGGGAGAATCTCTTTAATTGGAGAGGCTCGCTGGGCCAAGATTAATAGCATATATTTAGTTTGGAGTTTTGAGGTCTCATCTTACCGCAGTAAGCTTTATAGAACAATAAAGACTTTACTTCATATGTGATCAAAATAGTGTTCAAAAGAACACAGCCTGTGTCGACAGGAGACCACAGAGGATTATTCTTGGTGAGGTTAGAGTACCCTCAAATTTGTGATGTCAACTGTAGACCCGCAAATAAATTATAAATGTAGATAGGGCCTCACGGTTTAATAAAGTACAACTATTTGACATCAAAATAATGAAGATTCAACTCATACCCGCAGAATAACTTGACGAGGTCTCAGGCCTTTCTTCTTATAAGCCAGAGCTCTGTCCTTCTCTGCTCTGTTAAAGGAATGCAAAGGAATTAGAGATGGAAAATAATAATTATAAACCATTTGGTCCTTTTCTCATTAGTAATCAAATGTACCAGAGTGTAACTTACTTTTCTTCGAAGGCAAGGACAAGACGAGGGTCCAGGATGTTGTCTTCTGGTTCCCAGGTGCTGTACCTGACAGTCACATAGACAGACCCAAAGAGGTCATTGGAGTAGCACATAGCTAAAACAGTTTGAAGTGCAGATTATTTATTGTGTCCAGAATAAAAATGCACAGCCTACATTGATTTTTGTCCGATAATGTTTATTTGAATAGTTCAAGGCTATATCTTAATTGGATAACCAATAATCTTATAGAAATAAATACATTAATATATATATATATATATATATATATATATATATATATATATATATATATATATATATATATATATATATTAATAAACCTTTTAATATCATGAAATAAACAAATAAATTACTATAAAGATGTATCACTGTTCTTTTGTTTGGATTATTATCTGAAATATGACTAGGGCATGACTCATTTTGTGTAATTCATCTAGACATAAATGTGATGTAAGAGGAAAACAATAAGATGCTTACATAGTTTTTTTTCTATTTAGTTTGTAATCTAATCTTTTTAAAGTGAGATGTGACCTTCACATGTTTTTTGTAAGATGCACCCACATACTGTGTCCTAGTAGTAGGCTGTATTTTGTTTTGTAAAAATGACCTAAATAGGGGAGCAACTTACTTAGGCGACCATCCTTGCCACTTTAAAAGATATTCCACATTTCCCTGAAACGAGAGCGAAAGAAGAAAGGAGTCACTTTCACTTTTAAAGTTCAGATGGAGACATACGTCATACTCCTCGACGAATCCATGATCCAAACACTCAGCTGTCCCTTTAAGATGTCAACACGCAGTAGTATTTTGACAGAAATTATACAGGATGAAACGGAGCCGTGCGCGCAGTGCGTAATGTGACGTGACCATGGGTGAGCTCGTGAGTTCCATTTAAAAAAAAAAAAAAACACAGCGACTTTCAGGAACATTCATGGGATGGAAATAGGTGGGGCCATGGAAACGCGTAAACAACTCATTTTGTGCAACGTGTGGAGCGGTGAAGGTCTTTCCCCCCTCATGCTCGAGCGTGCGAAATGAAACCGCGTGCACATGCAGCGTTAGTCATCATCATCATCATCACCAGCTATTACTGTACATTACAACATCTGGCTCTATATTACGCAGAAAATAATAAATAACAAAAACACCTACCAAAGCGATACTTACGCGTGCGTGTTCTATTATTAGACATAACCTATTTTGTTTATCACCCTATTAAGAAACGAGTTTATTCCGCCACTGATTCGAAGTGCTCCGATTATTTTGACAACTGCGCGGATGTTTACGCGCATCATCTGTGACCCTGCGCGCGTATAAATAAACTGCGTAGCCACGAAACGCGGCGATTTTCCGAGCGAAAAGCGCATCGATGGCGATGATGATGACACGCGCGCTGTTCTCACACACCCCCTCCATCTATAGCGCTCGCGATTCAAGCGCGAGATCTTACTAAAATTCACAAACTTTCGAGAATAACATTCAAGTTACCGCAGTGTTGTGCACACAAGAAGCTGTGCAAAGAGAAAGTTTCGAAATGTTACGCAAGCAGATGTGTTATTCACTCGTGAGTCATTCCTAAACTGCCAACAAAACAAAACTGCGCGGACTTTAGGGGATATTCATCATTTCAAAACAGAAAGCAAATAGAGCCTGCAGAATACTGTGCAGTAAAACAGCTGAACCAAGTCTATTTTAATGCGCATCAGCATCGTCCTTACTTTTCTTATCCTCTTCTTCGTTATTGACTCCACCGCAAACACTTGCTCTCCTATTGATGACAGCTCCATGTTCATGAGATCATTCAGTGCAGCAAAGAGTTTCTGATCTCTTCCGTTTTTCCTCTTCAGAGGATGAGATGTCGTCGAGATGTCCCGCGTAGACTCTGGCAGTGTGTTTTCTTAGGATTTAAAGCCGTCGGAACTCTTAGTGCACCTTCGGGTCCGCTGCTCGTCCAGCTCTGAGTTTTAAAATCTGCGACACATGTACGCACTGGCTTTGCTTGGCGCGTGCACGCTCTACTCGCGCGCGCCCACCCACTTCTCCTTATGGCAAGCCGACTTAGCATTTATTTTATTTTTTAAAGGTTCAAGACACCCTGGAGTCCTTTTTAAAAGATTCGAACAGATTTGTGTGTTAAGCATCAGTTAAGGCAACGTTAGCACTTGTCAGCTTTAATTGTGGGGAAAACCGAATAATTATGAGCTTTTGTCAGCTAATTTTATTTTCTGGATTTAATTTTTTTTGGGCCGGGATCAAAAATGGTGACTTAGCGCAAATCTGATAGTGCAGTGATTATGCGTCGGTTTCTCATTATTATTATATTATCCTATGAGAAGACCCTGCTTCTTAATTATTAATGAGAGCACATGCTTTCCGAAGGCAAGGCACTTAGCAATATTTAGAAAACGGCAAAAGTCAGACCGAGTCCCAAATCAAACTTGCAGCCAATCAGCAGTAAAGCATCATTCACAATGCACATGAAAGCAGAGCATGTTTGTTTTCATCACTCACATTAACAGATAAGGGGTTGCGTTCGCAAGCGCATACTTCTATATAAGTAGTATGCAAACTGATTAGTATGGCCAAATTCATAGCATTCGAAAAACAGTATGATAAAACAACCCGGATGACCCTCATACAATGGAGGGTATGCTATCCCATGATGCCGTGCGAGAGAATTTATGAGTGAAGCGTTGTAACTGACGCAGGAAGGTCATGTAATAATGACAAATAGTAATGTGTAAGCTGTAATACATCTGAGTTCCATTTGTACTACTCGCATTCATACTATATATACACTTTTCTAATGGTCATATAGTAAACTCAAATTTAAATGAATGTAGTAACTACTTGAGTATAGGCAATTTTGGATGCAGCCAAAGCTTTCATACAGCATGGCAAAGTAGTGCAGCAATGCACAGCGTAAGCAGATCTGAAGCAGGATTGATCCTTGCATGCATGATCGTGTTGGTGTGGAGGGATCTGCGTGACCCATGGTGCCTGCCTTACGCATAGTCGTGCATTTATACCTCTGCTTGCTGTTTGTGTTGCTCTGCAAATTTCTTCACAGGTGTTTTTCTTTTTCTGAATGTTAAAAGTAGCTAAAACTTGCTTATTTAGAGCCAGGCCCTTTTTGAAAATACCGGTGAATTCGTTTCGGCAATTTTCTGGAAAGGGAAGTTGTAACATTACTTGTAATTTGCCGGAATACTGCGCTCATTGCGGGAAAGAACGTGTGCAGTCTAGAATGCGCTGCCGTGAGACGTTTACTTCAGCCAATCAGAACAGTCAGACGCATTCACTTCCTCGTGGTTTATAAAAATAAAAGCCTTTGAATATTTTTCAAGTCACATTTAGCTGCTAGATTTTAGTCAAATAACATTTATATGTTTCTTTTTAATGTCAGCTGTGTAAATAATTATCGATAAGATGCTTATGATAAGCCGTTGTTTGTTTAACTTTAAGCTCTGCTTCCTTCAGTTGTGTGACGTGTCACGTGTGCCCGTGAAGCATCCAGTGAGCGCCAGCACACCCATATTATGAACATCTCGACATGCGAAAGTGTTTCTTTATAAATTTTTATTGACGTTGTTCACAATACTGATTCATCCACAGAGTTTGTAATGTAGTCAAATGTTAACGATCACAAGCGCAGCCGTTTAGAGCTCATTTCTTGTTAATGAAGTCAGAATTTACCCGTATTTTGGAATGGATGTGTGAATGCTCTTTTCCAGAAAAAGAATTCCATAACGTCCTCGCCTGTGTGAACAGCGCTTTTTAAAATTTTCTGGTAAAGTCATTCCGGAAATGATTCGGATATTTACCGGTATCACTCTGTGAAAGGAGCTATGGAGTCAGTTAAGATACAGCAAGCCACAAATTTCAAATCAATTTGGCCTGTGCAGTGGTTAAATCAACAGGTTCTCACATACTGAAAGAAGGGTTAGTATACCTAGAGTTATGCACGTTTGCACAGACATTTAGGGAAAAAAGTACAATATAACTGTAAAAAGAACTAATTACAACAAGTGACAAGCGTAAGAATGTCTAATGCTAAACGCTGAATGTTACCTAGGATTGCCATACTTCGCCGTCCCTTCAGCACTGCACCGAGCACGAATGGCCACGAGAGTTCGCGCGCGTCAAGGAAGGAGCGCGACTGTTTTTGCCGAGAAATGGATATGAAAAACGGGAAAAGGTGGTCTCTCTCTGTGCGATAAAGACGTATTAGTGCGATGAGTCACTTTTGAGCTTCCCATCGGGTCATTGCAGATGCTGATGTAAAGCCCTGTATATAGAAACGTGATCTACGGAAACACATACACCTAAAAAAGAAAGTACTTAAATTGTGTTTTCCGAGAAACGCGCTGAATAACAATGATAAATATCCCGGTCCTTCCCGGAATCTGCGCCAACAGAATTCCAGAAAGTTCTGCTGATTTCTAGAGAATTCCAGCGCCCCTCATTTATACACCTCCCTCCCTCCCTCCCTCCTCGCGCTGCTGCTGCTGCTGCTGAGATCCCTGTTTGGTTTTATTCAGTGCATTTACTAAATTTAAAATAAATCCAGCGTATTCCGCTAATTATCCCACACTAAGCAGAAAATGGGAAAAATTTAAATTTTAGTTGAGTACTTTTATATTTAGTAGTTTAATGACAACGACGTATTAATACAGGCAAAACTTACACGCATAAAAGCTCGGTGTATATACCTGTAGGCTATATAAATATGTTCCCCTCTTGGACCCCAGATGGAAAACCCCTGCATAATGTTTCGATTTCTTTAAAATTGTTTTCCATAGAGAGAGAGAGAGGAAAAAAAGTTTGTAATTCTTTTAACCTGTTTACATGCTTTCCAGTATATACACTCACCGGCCACTTTATTAGGCACACATTACTAGAACTGGGTTGGACCCACTTTGCCGTCAGAACTGCTTAAATTCGTGGCATAGATTCAACAAGGTACTGAAAATATTGCTCAGAGATTTTGGTCTATATTGACATGATAGCATCACGCAGTTGCTGCTGATTTGTCGGCTGCACATCCATGATGTGAATCTCCCATTCGACCACATCCCAAAGGAGCTCTTTTGGTTAGAGATCTGGTGACTGTGGAGGCCATTTGAGTACAGTGAGCTCATTGTCATGTTAAAGAAACCAGTCTGAGATGTTTTACGCTTTATGACATGGTGCATTATCCTGCTGGAAGTAGCCATCAGAAGATACACTGTGGTTATAAAGGGATGTACATAGTCAGCAACAATACTCAGGTAGGCTGTGGTTTTGACACACTGTTCATTTGGTACTAATGGGCCCAAAGTGTGCCAAGAAAAGATCCCCCACACCATTACACCACCAACACCAGCCTGAAACGTTGATACAAAGCAGGATGGATCCATGCTTTCATGTTGATGCCAAATTCTGACCCCATCCGAATGTTGCAGCAGAAATCGAGACTCATCAGACCAGGAAACGTTTTTCTAATCTTTTATACTTCAATTTTGGAGTGTGAATTGTAGCCTCACTTTCCTGTTCTTAGCTGGCAGCAGTGGCACACCCAGTGTGATCTTCTGGTGCTTTTGCCCATCTGCTTCAAGGATGGACGTGTTGTGCGTTCAGAGATGTTCTGCATACCTCTGTTGTACCGAGTGGTTCTTTGAGTTACTGTTGCCTTTCTATCAGCTCAAACCTTTCTGGTCATTCTCCTCTGACCTCAACAAGGCATTTGCACCACAAAACTGCAGTTTCTGAAAACTCAGACCTGCCTGTCTGGCACCAACAACCATGCCACATTCAAAGTCACTTAAATCACCTTTCTTCCCTATTCTGATGCTCAGTTAGAACTGCAGCAGATCGTCTAGACCAGGGGTGTCCAAACTTTTTGGGCAAAGGGCCAGATGCAAAAAAACAAATGTTGTCGCGGGCCAAATTTTACATACATCACACAGACACGCATATATATAAATAAATAAATATATATATATATATATATATATATATATATATATATATATATATACACAGTTGAAGTCAGAATGGTTAGCCCCCCTAAATTGTTAGCCCCGTTTATTTTTTCCCCAATTTCTGTTTAACGGAGAAAAGATTTTTTTCCCCACACATTTCTAAACATATTAGTTTTAGTAACTCATTTCTAATAACTGATTTATTTTATATTTGCTATGATGACAGTAAATAATATTTGACTAGATATTTTTAAGACACTGCTATACAGCTTAAAGTGACATTTAAAGTCAAGTTAACTAGTCAAGTTAAGGTAATTAGGCAAGTTATTTTATAACAATGGTTTGTTCTGAAGAATTAAGGGGCTAATAATTTTGACCTTAAAATGGTTCATAAAAAAATTTAAACCGCTTTTTATTCTAGCCGAAATAAAACAAAAGTCTTTCTCCAAAAGAAAAAATATTATCAGACATACTGTAAAAATGTCCTTGCTCTGTTAAACATCATTTGGGAAATATTTAAAAAAGAAGAAATAAATCAAAGAGGGGCTAATAATTCAGACTTCAACTGTGTGTAGATAGACAGACAGACAGACAGACAGACACAGACAGACAGACAGACAGACAGACAGACAGACAGACAGACAGACAGACAGACAGACAGACAGACAGACAGACAGATAGATAGATAGATAGATAGATAGATAGATAGATAGATAGATAGATAGATAGATAGATCATAACAAGAACTGCTGCTTAATTGAATGCATGTAATAGCGACACCCGGTGGTTATTTATTGAATTACGTTCATTTTTGTATAGCGGGCCAGTTTCTTTTGATATTTATAAAAAGCCTCGCGGGCCGCCACAAAATTGATTGCGGGCCGCAGATGGCCCGCGGGCCGTAGTTTGGACACGCCTGGTCTAGACCATGTCTACATGCCTAAATGCATTGAGTTGCAGCCATGTGATTGGCTGATTAGAAATTTGCATTAACAAGCAGTTGTACCTAATAAAGTGGCCGGTAAGTATATTGTATTATTAATAAATTGATGTTTATTAAATGTCCCTGTCTTTACACATTAAGCCACTTAGTTTATAATCACTATTCTGTTTTAGCTGGAGATCTTGCACATTACTGAGGTTTATAAGAACATCCGTTTCACAGACGATTATTTTCTATTGTGTTATAATGTTCCATAAAGTGTGAAAAACGTTGTGAATTTATAAATGTCCAATATTTGTGTCTCATTCCAACTCTGGATTTAAATTGAAAATTAAATATGCATCTTTCTTCTAGAGTCAAAAACATTTGATAAAAATAGTAATTGCTAGCTCTTTCTATAGGCTTTTGATCTTTTGATACACTGTAAAAGTTACTTTTGCTGTTTGTTTAAACTACTTATTTAAAATTAGTTGAAACAACACAATTCTTAAGGTTTTTTTGGGACAGTTTAACTGTTTTATGTTAAATCCATTTCAGTTTGCAAAAATACTTAAGTTCACTTAATCGATTTGTGTTGAGACAACATGAAGGAATTGTTTGTAACCCAGCACTTTTTACACTGTAATCTCTCTCTCAATTTAATAGTTGTTTTATTGGCACGACAAATGTTACAAATTAATTGCCAAAGCAGTTCTAAAGTTAACATAATAAGTAAAAAATATATAATAAAAACAGTAATAAGTAGTAAAGATAAAAAATATGACATTTATATCTAATAATTAAATTAAATATCAACAGTACATCATATTATTCAATATATCATAATGTAATTCAACATATTACATTAATATTCAATATATAGTATTATTATTCAACATATCATATTACTTACTCATACAAATCAATACAAAAATAATAATAGTTTAGAATATAAAGCTTTCTAAAACACATACCGATGGAAGACAAATTAATGAACTGTACGTGGCGATAGAAGCGCCAGCGAACTGTAGTGTGGATTGAATCCATTGATATGACATTATCGTTTGTCGTGGGCATGTAGTTTCTAAAGAGCGTGTCGTGAAGTAACTGTCTGCACATACGATAGATGGCGCTGTCGTGCCGTTGAATTAATACGCTGCTTCTTCACAGGCGGCTTGGAAGGACAGCTAGCCTATTCATCTTCGATCATCCTTATAAAGTAGCTTTATCGTGTTTTATTTCCTTAAACCCTCCTAATGCCGTAGACTGTCCGAACGTCCCACACAGATAAAATATTTCAGACATTTTAAAACTGACACTGATAGACCGTCGTGATTATTTGAGGATCTTGAGGCCGCGAGAGCTGCAGGTACCGCAGGCAAGGCTAACGTTTAGTCAGCCGCATTCAGACACCAGCATCACTTTAACATGGAGCAACACGACTCGACGTTTGGAGTCCAGCTCTTCATTTATGACCTGTCGAGGGGAATGGCACGGCAGCTCAGCCCGATAATGCTGGGTGAGTGCAGCAGATCGTCTTTACTTTCCGTTACACTGGCGAGGGCCGCTAAGTTAGATTTGCAATTCTCGAAGAAGCGCTAGCTTATTTGTATGGATACCATGGTAGTGTCGCTCCCTGGTAAACCTTCCAATGAAAATTCCAGACTTATGAATATTAATTGGGTAAATCCAAAGACGATTTGCAACTGTCCAACGGCGAATATATTTCTTGATTATTAATGAGGTAATATGACGTCGCGTTGTTGTGGTCCAATAGGAAAGGGTGTCATCATGAATATTTAAGAGACGCCTCAGCGTACTAGGATTTATAAATTCGTTTACTGTTTCAGTACAACTGACTTGTTTAGAACATTTTATCAACATTTATTGCTAATCAAACAGCCTTTAGAGCTGTATTCGCAACAAGTCATGCCCATTTAGCTACATATAATTATTTGTAAGAAAACAAACTGCCCAAGAACACGATGTTCTTCATTGTAATGAGACGCGTCACGTGCTAGCCCACTAGTTTAGCCCTCATGAATGTTCAACAGAGTAAAAGTACTTTAACTCCTTAAGTGGTTCAGATCACAACAGTCCTGATATTGTATTTTGATAATATGAATATAACAAAATGATAACTTATGAAAGAAATATCTAATTTAATCCAACATCAATATTTGGATTTTAATCTTATTTTCTCTTTCAGGAAAGCAGCTTGATGGGATTTGGTAAGTTTGTGAATTACCTGTCTGTAAAATGTTATTATTACAACCCTTTATGCATCAAGTATAATATATAATATCTAGTTATGTAACCGCAAGCTTTTCCTGTATGATTATGTAAACACAGGCACACGTCTATAGTGATCTATGGTGAGGAATTCTTCTATGGTGGTGCTGGGATCTCTAGTTGCCCACCGGTAAGATCACAACGCATTGCAATAATATATTTAGTACAGAAGATAAGACAAGCACTTAAAAAATGTTAACCTAAATATACTCAATGTACTATATAATGTGCTGCAATCCCTTAATTTACATGTTCATCACGTGGAGCTTTGGACAGCACATCTTAACACTTATACTTGCCCATTTATTTTTGGATAAGAGCTTAAGATTAAAAGACATTGCAATAAAAGTGTTCTTAAAGGCGTAGTTGACCATTAAAATTACTATTTACTCACTCTCAGGTGGTTCCAAACGTTTATAAGTTTATTTATTTTGTTGAACACAAAAGAAGATATTGTGAAGTATGCTGAATCCAGTAACCACTGACTTCCATTGGAAATGCAAATATAGAAGTAAATGGTTACAGGTATCTAGCTTTTTTTAAAATATCTTGTGTGTTTAACATGAGATTGAACATTATAAATGTTTAAAGCAAGTAAAGAGTAAATAATAGATGAAAAAATGAACTATCCCTTTAAGAGGTGCTTTTGTTCTAGGGCAAGTCCAAGGACAGTATGTACCAGAGTGTGTCTGTCTGTGTTTTAGGGAGGGACGATGCTTGGACCTCCAGATACAGTGGTGGAGTTGGGAAATACAGAAGTGACGGAAGAGATCTTTATGGATTATCTATCCTCACTTGGAGAGACAACGTATAGGTTAGTGCGTGTTTGGTACTTTGATAATTTTATTTAAAATATTATAATTTCTTCAAGTTTAGTTTCTTACACATGCAAATAATACATTACAAACAGATTTTTGTAAGTCCTTGTTTCCCTGTTTCTCTGCAGTGGTGACAAGTATAGATTGTTTGAACACAACTGTAACACGTTCACTAATGAGGTGGCCCAGTTTCTCACTGGCAATAAAATACCCACCTATATCACCGATCTGCCCTCTGAAGTGCTCTCCACGTGAGTATGCTTAACACTTAAGCACATACATGCTTGTAAATGTCAAGAAGATCTACAAGATATTTGCATTTCCAGTAAATATCCGGAAACTACATTCATAGAACAGAATACAGGTGTGGGTCTTATTGATAAATAGGAGAAATACTTTTCAACAATAGTATTTAAAAACAGCTAAGTGTTTGAATGCATTCTTGAAATGATTAAAAGTGATTCATTCAGAAGTTGAAAACAATATAAAGTGTTGCACACTGCAGCTAAAATTGGTTGTCATAATACCTTTTAATGCTTAATCCTGTTTTGTACACACAGTTAAAAAATGTAAAACCATAATTACTGAATGTGTTGTTAATGATGTATTTTCTTCTATATGAGGGGTGCATGAAGTTAAAGGGAATGAGGTATATATATATATATATATATATATATATATATATATATATATATATATATATATTGTTAATAAAACAAACTCATTTTAAACCTAATATGGGTTTGTTTTTTCATGTCACATGCCAAAATATTGTGACATGCACCTGCTTTTAGCTGTCAGGAACCTGTTTTGCCCCCAACCCCTCCCTTTACACTTTTCCAGATTCACTTTCATTAACATTGGAAAATAAACAACAAAAGTCTTCTTTAAAATGATTCCCATACTACTGGATACATTTAAATCTTGTTCAAATGCAGTTAATCACAGCCACAGATGAATTGCATTATTGTATGCTTCTGGTAAGTAGCTACACATAAACAAATAGAGTATTTGTTAATAGTTTGACTGACAGTATAAATAAATTACATTCACATATAAAAAAAAAATGAATTTTATTAATTTAAGTGTTTATTTTTATTTGGTAAACTGATATAGGTTTTTATTGTTATTTTTAAAACAAAAAAAGCTTTATCTACAGTGCTCAGCGTAATTGAGTACACGCCATTTTTGAAAATGAATATTTTCTCCATTACTCAGTAAATATAGGCAATGTTTTCTGGTGCATTTAAACAAAACAGATTTATTAAACTGATATATTAAAATAATATTTTACTATTAATATTTTATAATATTATTTATTTAATAATATTTTCACCAAACAAATTTAGAAATTAAAAGATAATGTAATTAAATTGAAGCAAAATATTTAAAAAAAATTACAACCTACAAAATTGTACATTTTTTTTTGCTTCTCTTGATTTTTACCTTTTTTTTTTTTAAATTTTGTATTTAATATTTTTAAAATGTGCACAACTTAAAACACCTAAAAAATGTAAATGAAGCATTTCCAAGAGGGTGCTCTTAGACCCCAATAAGCTGTCATAGAATTCAAATACACATTTAAATTAAATACACGTGTATTTGAATTCTATCAGCAGATAAGAACTCGCGCGACAACACCGCTATTCAGTACGTGCGCGACAACACAGCTGATAAGAACTCGTGCGACAACACCACTATTCAGTACGCGCGCGGCGACAACACCCGCTTAAGGGTTTTCCAGCTCTTTTTGATCCCCGCTTATACAACAGACCGCAAGGGATTATGGCCAAGCCTGGGCTGATGGGAATTGTAGTTTCCGGTACCTCCCGTTCGCTTCATTCGCCTGAGCAAATTTTCTCAGAAGACCTATAGTTTTACCGAGTCATGCGACTACGGTAATATCGAAAAAAATTATATTGCGGTATGACGGTATTTACAATACCGTTACATCCCTAGGTGTAAACATTTCACGCTGTAACTGTAAAACTGTTATAACAATACTATGAACCACATAAGCTTACATGTAGATTTAATTTAATGCTCTAAAAAAGTACTCAAAGCAGTTTTCATTTATAATATGTGCATTTAAATGTTTGCTTTAAGCTTTAAATGGTCTCTTTGAAATTACTATTTTATAGAAAATATTTACTTATTCCATGGATTTTGCTGTACTTGGTCCCAGTATTCTTCTGCCAGCACTGTGTATGCAGCTGCAAGTGATATTACTATGATTTCTTCTCCTAATAGGTCTTTATTTATATATGCATGTGCGCATACAACTATGAACGTATTTACACAATTTACAATAGTTGCATATGTTTGTGTCTATACACATGTAACAATATATTGTTGCGCACACACACAGTTAGGTCCATAAATATTTGGACATGGACACAATTCTAACATTTTTGGTTCTATACACCAACATAGCGGATGAAACTAACAAGATGTGCTTTAACTGCAGACTGTCAGCTTTAATTTGAGGGTATATACATCCAAATCAGGTAAATGCTGTAGGAATTACAGAAGTTTGCATATGTGCCTCCCAATTTTTAAGGGTCCAAAAGTTATTGGACAATTGGCTTCTAAGCGGTTCCATGGCCAGGTGTGTGTTATACCCTCATTATACAAATTACAATAAGCAGATAAAAGGTCCAGAGTTCATTTCAGGTGTGCTTTTTGCATTTGGAATTTGTTACTGTCAACTCTCAAGGTAAAATCCATCACAGTGCAGATGGAGATTGACCCAAAGCATACTGGAAAGAAAACAATGGGTTATTGAAGGGAAAAAAGTAGAATGTTATGCAATGGCCAATTCAATCACCTGACCCAAATCCGATTGAGCATGCATTTCACTTGCTAAGGACGAAACTAAAGGGAAAATACCTCAAGAAAAAAACAGGAACTGAAGACAGCTGCTGTAGTTGCCTGACAGAGCACCACCAGGGATGAAACCCAGCGTCTGGTGATGTCCATGCGTTCCAGACTTCAGGCTGTAATTGACTGCAAATGATTGCAACCAAGTATTAAAAAGTGAAAGTTTGATTTAGGATTATTATTATTCTGTAAAAATTACTTTTGGACTCCTAACAAGTGGGAGGCACATACGCAAACTGTTGTAATTCCTACAGCGTTCACTTGATTTGGATGTATATGCCCTCAAATTAAAGCTGCAATAAAAACACATCTTGTTTGTTTCATTTCAAATCGATTGTGTTGGTGTATAGAGCCAAAAATGTTAGAATTGTGTCGATGTCAAAATACTTATGGACCTGACTGTATTTATATGTACAGTTTTTCAATACAATTGTCACATCCATTGCATCTCTTCTCTTTATATAAAGCTATATCTTCACAGAATTGTTGGATCTTGATTCTTGAAAAATTAATAAAAGTTTGGCTTTTGGGTAAACTATTTGGTCGTAAAAATAAGTACCATTTTCTTAATGACAGTCATTGTTTTGATTTTGTAGTTAAACATGACCTCGAGCATGTTTTTGTGAGCTTCATCTCTTAGTGATTGTATAACTGTGATGTTTTCAACTGTCACATTTCCAATGCTGAAAATTTATGTAAGAAAATCTGTGTGATTTTCACAGTTTTCGCAGTACTTCATGCTCTCTCTTTCTCTCTCAGGCCATTTGGTCAGGTGTTGCGGCCAATCCTGGACTCGATACATATTGCTCCTCCAGGCGGAAATGTGATCAGCAGCCAAAATAATCATAGTTAGATCAGCTTTGTAATCTCACACTTGCATACACATGCAATAATTCACACATTGGCTGTTTATACACAGACACACACACACATTTGCCCTGTTGTAAATTAGGTTGGCTCAAAAAACCTAATGAACAACATCCATTTCAAATCCAAATTCACAGTTTCTCAAATATTTTGAGGCCGTGTTTCAGGTCATCTCTCCAGATCATGGATGGGTTCATATTTTTTTTAGTGTTGAGTTCTTGGTTTCTATGGTTTTCATTTCATCGTCTATCTTTATTTTGTATATCTTCAGCCCACCACATGCAAAGGTCAGTTGTTGTTTGTTGATGACAATCCAACTTTTGTTTTCCTCTGTTGCTAGTTTTGATTTAATCATTTCATGTTGTTTTTCCCACCAATATTTATGTGGCAAGCCAAAATAATAGTAAAATTATCTTCATATTTATTTCTGAGCATATTTATTTTTGTGCACAAGTTTGTGGAAGACTAGCACATGTAATATAGTTTGTGTAATTAAGTTCCTTCAGCTCTAAAGATCTCATGACCAGCTCAGATTTACAGAGAAATACAGTATGTATCGGTGCCTTTGCCTTGGCAGCTTGGGCACAAGTGACATTTTTATCTATGTAGTACTAAAGACAAATTATTTATACATCTTATGCTTAAGATAGATGTTGTGTCCTGGATATATTTACCCATATAAATGCTTTTCTATATGCTGATTTGCATTCATGAAAGTGAAGTTTACTGCTGTTACCAGTGTTATATGGCTGAATGTGTCTTTGTTATGTGGTATTTATTAACATATTCCTTTATTTATTCGGCACAAATGATCATTTAAGACAGGGGTGTCCAAACTTAGTCCTGGAGGGCCAGTGCCCAGCATAGTTTAGCTCTAACTTTCTTCAACACACTTGCCTGGAAGTGTTTAATTGGAGTTGGAACTAAAATGCAGGACACCGACCCTCCAGGGCCGAGTTTGGGCACCCCTGCTTTAAGAAATGTTCAGAAATTTTTGATGAAAGACTAAATTCTTTTGTGTTTGTGGTCTTGTTCTCATTATCAAAATGTGGATGCAAACCTTAAACTGCATTGACTGTTTTAAGCTTTATCCTCGTGTTTTAATGGAAGTCACCTAGGTTGCCCCAAGGTTGATACCAGTGTAAGGTGTGGGTGTATATATATATTTAAAAAACAAACATAACTTTACTAAAATGCTTTGGAATAACAAACTATTTTAAGTTATCGTCTTGATATATTGTCTTGAAAATTTAACAGATTCCCACTATTTGCTTTTGACCGTCTCTGCCACCTGAATCTTGCATTCACCTTCAATTAAAATAATAGTCTAATTTTCATTTTTTGTGTGTGTGTGTTTCGCAAGTTAAACATTTGCATGTAACTTGTATTTTCTCTATTATCTGTAATTTCAGTTATAAAAAAAAAACATTTTGGGTAGCACAATCACCTCACAGCAAGAAGGTCTCTGGTCAGTGCCCCTGTTTGGCATTTCTGTGTGGAGTTTGAATGTTCTCCCCCATGTTCATGTGGGTTTGCTCCGGTTTCCCCCACAGTACAAAGACATGAGGTACAGGGGAACTGAATAAGCTAAATTGGCCGTAGTGCATGTGTGTGAATGCAAGGATGTTTCCCAGTACCGGGTTGCAGATGGAAGGGCATCCACTGTGTAAAACATGCTGGGTAAGTTGGCGGGGCTGTGGTGACCCCTCATTAATAAACGAACTAAGCCTGAAAAGAAAATGAATGAGAAATTTGTTTTTAAATTTTGTGTCTGTCCCTACAGTCTGGTTAACTGGGTTACATCAGTAATAAAAAGGCATAGTTACATTCTCCAAGTGATGTCGTTTCCTCTGTGGAAAACTGGAAGGCATTGAGGGATGTCATTTATTCCTCTCATTAATTTGCGCAAAATGTTTAGCCCAATCAGTGTTGGGGATAACGCATTACAAGTAACACGAGTTACGTAATAATGTTACTTTTCTAAGTATTGTAAACTAAGCATTACTTTTCAAAATAAAGTAATAATATCCGAGTCACCTTTTTAAAAAGGTAATCTGAGTTACTTTTTAGTTTAGTTAATTCACTTTTAAAAAATAAATTGCTTGATTAAAATGATCAGTCATGTTAAATCCCGCACATAATTAAAGAATGCAGGTATGGACAGAAATTAAGGTGGCTGAGCCATACCGTCCTGTGATGGAAATATTCTTATTATTTTGAACACATGGAAGAAAAGGAAAAGAGGATTATCTGAATGGCCAGTGATTTTACTGTTTAATAAGACAAAAAGTTTAAAAGTAGCAAATGCATTGCTTTAAACTGTCATTAATCTGTATATAAGACATCTAGAGCTTTGGGGTTAGGAAGTTCTCCAAAGATAACGATATCCTATATTAATTTTTTTTTGATGTGCTTTTAAAGGTAAATGAAGGTTATACAGTGTGTTGTTCATCGCAGAGTTCCTTGATAAAATAATAATAATAATAAAATAAATAAATTAAGAACAAAACAAAACTGCAAGTTCTGAAAGAGATCAAGCTTCAGCCTGGTCAGACAAAGTAACTTAAAAGTAATGCAATGCATGACCTACCATAAAAAGTAGCTAGTTACGCTTTTTTGGAAAGTAACTCGATATTTTAATGCATTACTTTCTAATAACTTTCCAAAAACACTGAGACCAATAATTGACTAATCATTCATCAACTATGAAAATGTTATTGAAATATCACAATGACAATGACTGTTTAAAAACAAATGCAATGAAAATGTATACCAAACTAGACATGTCATGTGGAGCAGAAGCACAAAATGGTGGAAAACAACAACTCTGTTAGTGGGTTAAAATGTTTAACTATTAAAACAACAATTTGTTGCATAATCTGATAATTAAATGATCAAATTACAATAACAAATCTAAACAATTAGATGAACAATCCCTGTCTATTGTAAGAGTTTTTACATTTAGTTTACTCTACATTATACATTTACTACATCTCACTATAGTTTTAGTAAAATCCATGGAAAATGCTTGAATTGCTCAACTTACCTGCTTGGCATTTTCTGTGATTGACCTCTTCTACGCCACAGTACATCCTGGAACATCTTGAAGTGCTGGAGCAGTATCAGGGTGTCCGCGGGGTCTTAGAAAGTATGAAAAGTTGATCAATCAATTTAGAGAAATGTAAGGTTCTTTAAAGTATTTAAAATTCCTATCATTTTTGATTATGCAATGCATCTCACTGTAGTTTTATGCTAAATTGCATATTAAGGTGCTGTAGTTTATAAAATCCATTAAATCCTGCTAGATTTGACAATGCTGCTTTGTTTATTGCAGTAACCAAGGCAACCCTATTATTCCTGCTGTACTTTAGACGCCCCCTGTTGGAAGAGAGTGAATTCGCATTTTTATTCAATATATGAATAATGTTTTAGTACAGATGCAGTTGTCTTGTGTATTTCAGAAAACTGTTTTTTTAACTTAAAAATATGTAATCTATTTTAAATCAATTAATTTTACCACACTGATGTAGGCCCATGTTGAATCTTTGTGTGGATCATGATAAATGTGGGGCGTTACGGTGGTGAAGTGGGTAACACAATCGCCTCACAGCAAGAAGGTCGCTGGTTCGAGCCTCACCTGGGTCAGTTGGCATTGGATTTCCTCTGAGTGCTACGGTTTCCTTCACAGTCCAAAGACGTGCTATAAGTGAATTTGGTAAGCTATATAGATCAATGTGTTGAGCTTATTAAATGGGTTATATAAAGGCCAGAGAGATTACTAAAGCCTTTTTTATTTCTTTTTTATTTCTTTTTTGTATTTACCCTTCTGAATTATATCGCCTTGATCGTTCTTATTTTCCTTTAAAAAGTGGACTTTCTTTTAGTTATACGCCTCATTTTCTATTTAATTTTGAGATTTAAATACATTATTTTAGTGATATTTTAAGCACTATTTTTTAGCTGGATAAGCTTGTCAAATGGTCAGTATGACCACACTTTTTGATGTGCCAATATTTTTTAAACATTTAGAATAAAGAAATGTTATGTTTTTTTTTTCTTTTCTTAAAAGGCATTAAGTTTTGGAGAAGCAATGATGGAGGCTCTATTTAAATTTTTTTTAAGTCCATACACTGGATTGTTGAGGTAATGTCAATGTAATCTGCTAACACCAGGCAATGTAGTTTCCTGGTAAGAAAAATTGATTCATTTTGTTCAGACAGGTTGGTTGTGTAGAGCCCTCAGAGAGTTGATTTTCATGCCACTGGCACTGTCATTCTTTTGACCTTTCTGGTTTAAACCACCACAGGACTTTCCTCAATTTATCTACAATGCAAGAAACCTCCTCAAGCCTTTTTAGAGATCTGAAAAAGGATGGTAACATCATGCAAACAGCTGTCTAAAACCAAGAGTCATTGCCCCCCAAAAAAAATGAATGCTCCAAGCAGTTGTGAAAACCTGCCTGAAAAAAGAAGACTTGGCCACCACAGAAAAGAGTATCTTTCCATACACATTTAACATGCAACGTGCCTGATTTTTTACATTTTGTAGGCAAATCTTGGTGCCTTGAATTTGATGCGAGTAGCTATTGGCAACTGATGCTAAGTGATGAACGGTGGTGTGATGTGTGCTATTTTTGAAAAATCTGAGGGAAAAGCAGTATCTTCTGGTTCGGTACGGGTCTCATTCAAGGCTATGAGATTGATACAATGACTAGTAAGTAATGTAATAAAATCTGCTTTGTCTGGCAATTCCAGAGACCGAACAGAAAAAAAGTAATGTGTTGGAAGACATAGGCCAAAAAAAAATGCAGCTTGTAAGGATTGCACTGACTATAGCACGTGTGCATGTTAGGGACTGCTACACTGTAAAAAATGCTGGGTTCCACATAATCAGTTTGTGTTGGGACAACATGAAGGAATCAAGTCAACTTACTAGTTTTTACAAATTTAAGTGGATTAAACAAAACTATTAAAGTTGTCTCCAAATAAACCCTCAAGAGTTGTGTTGTTTCAGCACATTTTAAATTAGTAGTTTGAACAAATAGCAGACATAGTTTTTTTAAGTGTAGGGGAAACATATAGTAACAAAGAAAGATGTCCACATTAAAAATGCAGTTCCACACAATTCATTCATGTGTGGCAACACAAAGTCATTAAGTTAACATAACAAATTTTAGTGGATTGAACAAAGCAGATGAGTCCCCCAACCCCCCCCCCCCCCCAAACAACCTCAAGAATTGTGTTTTAGCTCTTTTTTAATTAGTTTAAACAAGCAGCATAAATCTTTATTTTTTTGAGTGTAGGATATGATGTAGGTCACCAAAACTGAAGCACAAACGAGCAACACATGCAACTTCAGCAACAAGCATCCTAGCCGTGACAAATTAGCTATTTGGCCAGAAAGTCAAATTTATTAATAGGACTACATAAAGAAAACTGATTATCCTTGTTATGAGAGACATACATCAGTCAGTGTGAAAAATGAGTAAGCTTTAAAAGTGTACTACCCCACAAACACAGAAGATGGAGCCGTTACCCAGGACAACACTGCTATCCTTCAGCTCTCTGCTATGTTCTTCTAGAATGGAATATCTGTATATAGAATTCAGAGAAACCATGTGACGTTTATTTATTTACTCTGCTTGTGGACAGTGAGAGTAAACTGATAACCAATCCTTCATCTCTCCTGATTCTACTAAGAAAATATATAAATTGTATGTAGAAGTTTTTTCAGCACATTAGATCTTAAATCTACAGTGATGACTTTAAAACAAAATACAGATTTTATTTTCAAGGATCCAAATTTAAATAGTAAAAATGTATTTTAAAAAGTTACAAAAATAAAACAAAGATCGCAAGAGTGTTAAACAAGTACACACAGTTGTTTCCTGCTTCCAAATTTGTGTTTTTGTCATTTTTAAAGTTCATTTGTATTTGTTTATTCATAAATTAAACTATTACTTTCTATACACAAACATACTTTCAGAACCTCAAAGTAACCCTAAGTTAAAAAAATACAATGATCAAAACTATTATATTCTTAGTGTACTAAGTTTTGTATTGAATTTCTGCATCAATCTGATGTCAGAGAGATAAATTGAGAAACATTAATTATACCTAATAAAACATCAGATAGTAATATTCTCTGCAATGCTGCAGTATTTAGTGTCTTTAGTACAGTATATCACAATAGCCAAAAACATTGTATGAGTCAAAATGAATTATTTTTCGTGTACGCCAAAAATCATTAGGATATGAGCAATTTCATGCAAATGTAAACTTTGCCATGGAAAAAAATGTTTTTACCAAAATATCCAAACGGTATCTGCATTTTTTGT